CCCCCCGTGTTCTCCTGGGCAGAACGACTCAACTAGGTGTGTTTTCTCAACCAACTGGCGGTCAGGTTCTCAGGCGCCGGGCACAAACGCTGCCCCTCTCTTCGCAAAAGTCGTCGCAGCTTTTCTTCCTATTCAGCACCTGGGTGAGGATCGCGCAAAGGTGTCTTCTCAGTTTTCAGGGTATACCCCTCCTGGTGGCTTTGAAGGGAAACCGACCGCCGGCTTCCCATTCTGGCGGGGTAATCCTAGAAGACGAGCCACACGTGGGACTCGGGTTCTCATGCGCTTCCGTGTCTCGGGGACACGAAACCCAAAAAGGAGTCTTGGAGGGCCTCGTATTCTACACCCCAAACAGTGGCTATACAGGGATGATGCTTGGCTTTTGGCTCCCTTTCAGTCTTGCAGCTAACCCCACAAATAGACAAGCTGCCCCAAAAGCAGCGCTGGCCCGAATCTAGCCCGAATTCACCAAAAAGGTCATTCAGCGTCGACCAAATCACCTGAAGTCAGTCTTGGGCGCTGCTCCATTGGCTGAAATCAATGCTGCCAGATGGATCAAATGACACCTCGACACCTCACCGCACCGTGGTTTCATTCCTGCACCTTTCTGGTGCTTCAATCAAGCGGCTCATCCCCTGTCAGCCCAAAATTGCCAGACGGAGGCAATATGTTCAAACCCAGCATCAAACGTATTGTCCTCAAAGCAAGTGACAATTCTAGGTTGTCTTTCCGAAGGCGTGGGAAGATTTGGGCGCGTTGTTGCCTCCTGACCCTGAAAGGTTGGGTTTTGAAGGTACGGCCGTGGCCGTTTTATTTATACTAGCTGTATATGTGTTTGTTTAAGACAGATTTATGCACCTTGCGTAAGGTATGTTTCAGCTCCAGATTCCATACTTCAAAAAAGGGGGCAATTCAAGGGACACATGTCCATGAAACAACTGAATCTCAAGGACACATACCAGGGCCAAGCCTTATCCAAACCATGGTGAAAACTACCTTTGCTGGAACAAGCTGTTCTTGGGTTACAAAGTGGTTTGCTGATCCAAAGCTTACAATCACTCAACTTTGAGTGGAATAGTTCATCAGTCCTTCTGAAAGTCTAGTCTAAGAGTTGCTGGGAATCGCCAAGGCTCCCCTTGTAAGGGCATTGGGGTCTGGTGGTCTCACTTGAGTGGAGATGGGCCGGGAAAAGTCTATGCTTTTCAAAAACTCCTCAGTCCAGTAACTCAGGAAGTGGCCATGGCTCAAAATCCCGTACCAGTGAACCTGCCAATCCCCGAAATAGGTTCTAAAATGGGTGGTGAATTCACCAATCCCAACCAACATGGGCTCGATCCCAAAACGGTTTTGACCACCACAGCCAAGTGAGTTGAATCACACCCGGCTCACAAGACTTCGCTCGGGCGCTGCGTAGGCCACGCAGTTCTGCCCGTTGTCCTGGGCTTCACAAAGGCACAACGGCACTCGAAAACGACGCCTTGCTACCCAAAGGGGACGAGACTTGATGCAAAAAGGTCCCCGTGTTGCCTGGGATACAAAAAGTGATTCTCCAGAAACTTGAGCCACGGCAGAAAAGAATATGCTGAGCCATGGTGGGAACATGTTCAAACGGGAAGGTTATGCCGGTAGCAAAGAGGAACCAGTATGCAGACATCAATTCACGGCTGGAGCAGGAACCACAAAAAGGCCGACATAGGTGTTAATAAGGCTTGATATTCCCGTGACCCTTGGAGTGATCTGAGCCCTTGAAGTGTCAAGTCCACCCCAAGGTTCCAGCTTGGGCTCACCGCCAAGAGACAGCCAGAACCACTTTGCACTGTGAGACAAGCGGTTGTGTAAACATAGTCTTAAATGGACATCCCCCTTCTTTTGGCTACTCGCCCGCCAACATGCATTGCAATCCTATTTTTTCGAACAGCGGTACGCCACCTTGTTAAAATGTTCTATTGCTTCAAATCTGAGGGCTTCAAGCGAATATCTGCTGGCCTCAGCTAGGTGAAGACAACAGGCAATGATTGGACACGTGGGTGTCTGCCATAACATCAACTCTAACTTTCGTGGGCACCTCAGGTGAGGAAGCTGCAAAGTGCGATCCCTCAGAACCACCTCAAAAGTGGTGGACATGAGTCCTCACAAGTCAAAGGTAACCGATCAAAAGTCAGACCCATATGGCCATGGCTCAAAATCCCGTACCCCCAGTAAACATTCCAATCCCCACTAAAATAGACTAAAATGGGTGGTGCACCTACCCCCAACAATGTACCATTGGTTTTGACCCACAGCCATATGGGTGTCTCTTTTGCTGGGGGACCCCCAACATAACTTCGGTGTTCCTTTTGGCTTCCCTTTATCACCAAAAACAGGGTACCAACTCAAAACAAAAACGAGCCACCCATTTTGGAGCATTCCTGTGCCCGTGATGCTTGGGTCTCATGTTCCCCAAACTCAGATCCTCAGACCTCAGGGTAGAAATCTTGAGCTTTAGACCCTGGATGGGCCAAAGGAAACGCTTTGCGGTTTCTTGGCCGCATTTAAAACACTCACAGAAACAAACAATAAGTTCAGTTTCTGTTTCATGTACAGCCTCCAAACAGAAAAATCGAATCCGAGACCGGTTGGGTTGAGAGGCGTATGGCATCTTTGAACGTACCGCATCTTCCACCAGGAACACAAAGGGCGCAAGGGCAAGTCCATCCAGTTTGGTAAACTGCAAGAACTGCATTTGCCTAGCCCCCTGGAAAAAGCGATAGAATCCCTTCAAAACCAAAAGGGGGGGAAACATGTATTCCTTTCAGCCAATGGAAGTTATTGTGCCTTTGGGCCGACAAGGGACCCCCACAAACAGCGGCATTGATCGCTGTCCTGAAAAGTGCCGAAGCGTGCGTCATCAGTCGCCGTACACTCCTCAGCTCAGGCCAAGACTTCGACCTGCAAAAAGTGGACCGTTTGCTGGAAGCGGGAAAATGACGGAAAACTCAAAGGATAACCGGCAAGTTCAGCCCAACAAGCCTAGGACTGTGTTCAAACCGGGCTTCGGTTTGCTCTTGGCGTGCCGGTTAAAGCAGCTCTGATACCAAGGCTGGCATGGTGGGCCCGTGTTACTTGGGCTTCGACGGTAGAGCCTTCAGGACGCAACCCAGGGAAGACGGCAAGTCCCAAATACAAAGTGCAACTTCGGCTTTTTGGGATCTTGAGGTGGCACTATGATGTCTCAATCATGGATATGCAGTGATACTAGTTGTGTGACGCGCGGGTGGCGCTATTACCATTTGCCGAGCAATGGAATTTCCTTTTTACTATGCTTGGGAGGGGGGAACAGAGTTGGACTACTAGTGGTTGCCGACTAGTGGAAATAGCAGTCGAAACCCTATAAAGCAAACTTAAATTCAAACTGAAAAAGGAATGGTCCAAGCTTTCCCTAGTTGCTGGGATTTAATATATATATATATGTATACAATATGAATTCCCCCCCAAGAAGTGTGGCTCTTTGGAAGGCCACTTTCTTTTTTAGTGGTTTTAAAGGGGAATCAACTGGAAAACCTTCAAGGTCGCGAGCAACCAAGAAGCGCATTTCGCAAGTTCGAGCAGCTCGTGCCCTAGGGATGGTTTGCCTCAAAAGGGGATCCCCGAAATTGTTGGTGTAAGACTTCCTGTGTCTTTCAAACCGACACCTTTCTGGGCTCCCTCAAAACACACATAATGGCTATGGATTTTAAGAGTTGGAACCCCCTCCAAAGTGGACATGGAATGTCCAAAGGGTCCCTAATTGAATTTCAGACCCAAAAAGGCCACAAAGCTCCGACACGAATCGAATGCGCGCGGCCAGGGGCCGCGCTTGGTCGAGGCCAGTGAGAGGGGCCAGGAACTCGCAGTCTGGCCGCCGAATTCGCCGAATTGCTCTCGGCTCTGTGCGTACGATCTGCTTTGGGATGGCTTCCATTTGCAAAATCGTCCCCTGGAAAAGACATATGTCCAGTAGATAAACCAACAGGGGAAATAAACCAGCAGGGGAAATAAACCTATTCTTAAGCAAATGGAAGATGGTTTTTAAGGGAGAAACAAGCTTAAAACCACTAATATGGCGGTGAAGTGTCACAGGGAACCACCTCACAATTTGAGGTGGACACGAAACTTCGAATCTTGATGTCCACCAGCCATGTCCTTGGGTCCTAGGTTCTGCCTCAACGAAGCCCGCCCAGCATCTTTGGCACGGGTCTTTTGATTATGTTTGGATCGCTTGCGAGGGACAATCAGTTTCTCAAAGAATCCTTCCCACGCCATCAACCCAAAGCGCCCTGCATCTTTCGGGAGATCGAAACCAAAAAAGGGGGCCTGGAGTGACACAAGGTCGACCCTTTCCCTTTGGCAAAAGCTCCCAGGGTTCCATTTGACCAGATGGACTGCAACCCACTGGATGTCCCCAAAAGCACCCATGGATTCACGGCATGGCTCACTCTGGACAAACCGCTTGAAAAAAACGGCACACTCTTCCGCAAAAAAAATGTTCATGCAACGCTACCTACCAACTTCCCGGGCAGCATACAGCCTTTAGCCCCGCAAGAGGTCTCCCGGTGAGGAAATCCCGTACCAGTTTCCCAAGACCGGTGACGATCAGGGCAACCTTCCGCGTGCGTGTCATGGCTGGCGGGGTGAAATCTAAGCTTGGGCGTTGCTTTTGAAGGCTAAATTTTGTCCAGAAAACCGAGGGCGGATGTGACTGATCTATGGATCCACCCCTGTAGGAGATTAAAAGGGTACTAAAAGACTAGAATATAAAAGAGAACCAAGAGGTTCTTTCCAAAACATCAGTGAAAACAACCAAAAAACATAACGCAACTCGAAAACAACCTCGCAACTCCAATCCGCTGTCCAGAAACACTCACACCAGTTCGTCCCAACAGCCGCGGTCAGAGCATAGCTCCGCTGCGCCGCGCCTGGGCTGAAGGTCGCAGGAGCGCCTCCGCCTCCGGTGGCGCAGCCCCTCGGTATCTCGCTGCCTCGGAACTCCGCGGGGGGGAACTTCCACCTCGCAATTCCCCAAAGCAACCATCCAGTCTGCAGCAGTACCAGTTCCAAAGCGCTCACTTATTCGAACATGTCCTTTTCGACGGCCAGACTTATCTCATTTTGTTCACTTCTTGCATTCTTCCTTTGTCCCTAAGCACAAACAACGGTCAGATGTGCCCTTTTGTCGGATCCATTTGGCCGCAAGCGGAGAACACAGTGTGTATTGCCGGTAAGCTTGTTTTTGGGCTGTCATGTCATCTCAGCAAGGAAAACCCACAACCATTGCTGGAGTTTCCATTGAAGACAAACTTCCATGCGAACAAATCACCCGGCGGATTCTTCCAATCAAGCACCTGGAGATGAAGTCAAGCCATCGGCCTCCCCCCCCGAAATCATAGCAGGTGGACTTGGACTGGACTCCTCGTCTGGTGGTGGCAATCGAATTCACCGCCCTCAGAAAACCCGGTTGCCACCAGGAGTCAGAAAAAAACATGGAACCCTGTGTGGGGTTGGAAAGCTCGAGAACCCGAACAAAACGGAGCTTGGCGGATTTCACTGAGCTGGGACAAGGGATCACCCCTGCCCAAGGATCCTCTTCTGACTTGCGCAGCCGCCATCTGATACCTTTCTAAGGGGACCCCCTCGATCCCCCCAAGAGAAAACAATTGCGGTTTTTGTTCTGGCTTCCCTTAAAAACCACCCAACAAGTTGGGTTCCCCCGAAAAGACACGCCCATATCATTCAAGTGATTGGGGGGACAGGCCAAGGTGCCTGAACCAGTGCACTGGGCGCACCTTGCGACGGAAAGTTTGCGAGAGAGAAAACCAGTCGGTGGCCGTTTGGGGAGGCCCCGTCTTTCTTGAGGTCATGTTGACCCCTGAATAACAAATCCCTCCTGCTATTTGGGGGTGTTCCCTCCAAAAGTGGTCTAAATTCCCACTGAGAGCGGACCACCCCCGTGTTAATCAACCAGGGGTTGATTCATCCGGGGTTCCCATTCTCGCCCTAGCCTTTTACGCTTTAAGGCAAGGGGAAGCTACTTCTGCTCAACCTGTGAAATATCAGCAACATGTTTGGTTCTTTGCAGCCCCCCTCTCTCCACCGCAAGTAAACAACCCATACTTTTTCTAGCGGCTCTAGCGATAACTTCCCCGTTGTGAACTGAAAGATCCTTCGCTCCAGAATGCCACTCAACAAGCAGGTGAAATGTTGGCACACCCTTAGGGGGAGAAAAAACACACACACACACAAACCAAGCATTCCGGATGCTGAGGTGAGCCCAAGCATTTCCAACGACTAATTTGTCATTGGAAAAAGGATCCTGCGGCCGTGTTTGAGGGAACCCCTACCAAAGTGGCGTACCGCTGGTTTCCGTGTGAAGCAACCCAAAGCGGTACAGTCTTTCAGAAGACACACCCACTTGGGTATGTCTTGAACTAGGGGACCTCATGGTTGTGTTTGCTTTAGTTGTCCCGAAACAAAATGACCCAAAAAGGCATGCTGCAAACAACACGCCCTACTGAAGGTCCGTGAGTGAATTCGTTCATTCACCAACGTATTCTGGTCGGTGCGATCGAAAGAACCAAGGTTGCGATGTCAGCGGCCCATAAACTCGTAAACCGGCACTCTTCCCGGAAACTTCATTGCCTCAGCATCTTGTTCATGATGCCTATCATACAGGTTCGCGTAGATGGCGACTGACTTTGATCATTTTCATAATGACTCATGCAGGACATCATCGAACTTGTTTTGATGATGACTCACTTGCAGTAGATATAGGAGCACCTAACCGTGCCAGGATGCTTGCCTGACATCCCAAGGGTTGCTTCCTCATTCTCGTCATCCATCCTTTTCATTTTCAGAAGCCACAGTTTCCCTGCATATTAGCCTGGTTTCCGAAGAGAAGGATCCCGAGAGATTGGGAGGGTACATCTGTCATGAGCCTAGGGTGCTGCCAGCAAAGAACACATCTATGAATTGACATGGTGGTTTGGCGGTGATGGGGGTACCCATCATTTCCCATCAAGAAACAGACGTTCACACCCCCAGTTCCCACCAATGCAAACCAAGTGAGAGGAACCTGAAATCATGACCATCTCCTAAAAATGGAACGCTCAAAGCGCCAGGGACTCCAGCTCCCCCGAAAAGGACAAAGCTTCGCACCAAAGGTCTGAAGGTCTGAATGCAGGCCAAGGCGCAGCGCGCTGTGCTCCGCGCTCGTAAAGAGCATTTGCCCCCCGTTTGGGTCCACGTAGCTGTTTCGCAACTGGCGGCAGTCCAAGGATTGCCCGTTCTCCCAGCCCGATTGAGACAGAGACATAGTCAAGCCTGGCAAATGAGCTATCCCTATTATTGAACGACCGGATTTTCCATGACCTTCTACCCGGGTTTTTGTATTTGTATGCTTAGCTCCTGAACATCTGGGAAACCTCCCAAAGTCGACTCGCTTAGCGCCGCCGGGGCACAGGAGGAAGCTTTGCTGGAAAACCACGCCCAAAACTTGTAGCTGCTCATCTAAAAAGCGAACCGAATCACGGGGACGAAGTTACAAACCAAAATCGGCCCAAACCTAGGCACTTTCGATTACTACCCCGCGCAACCCGAACTACTTGGCATCCATTGGAAAGATGTGTCGTGAGACTCTGCGCAACGGAAAACAAGTGGTCCCTATTGGCGTGGACCGATTCGCCGCTTGTTTGGCTCGAAACGGGGCTCCGTGCAACTAGGTACACGGTACACTTGTGCACTCACCAACAGCTCTCGTGCAAAAGATGAGTGAAAGCTTCGTGAAAAACAAAACTGCAAATAATATCAGAAACTCAGGGACTCAGAATCTAAAGCGGAATGTCCTCGCGCTCTAGTAACTTGAGACCGTGCTTATCACTTGGGCATAGTGCTCAGGTGCCCTTGACCGAGTGCGCTCGTTATATGGCAGGGCGTGGCTCCAGTTTGGGCAGACGCTTCGCCGGCTGTGTCGATGAGCGGGCAAGCTTGAGCGGAATCTGACACGGCAGGAAAAATCTGAAAATTACCCATCCCCTTCTGAATTATCTTCGTGAAAATTCAACAGGAGCTATTGATCGCGCAAGGTTAAGGTTAGACCCAGCCTGGTCCTTGTCCGCCCCGCAAACGCCTTCTGCCGCGGCGTCCTCCAAAAGCCAAGCCGATGTGTGCTTGTGTGTGTGTCAGTGTGAGTGTGTGCGTGTGCGTGTGCGTGTGCGTGTGCGTGGGCGTGGGGCGTGTGCATGTGCGTGTGCGTGTGCGTGCGCGTGCGCGTGCGCGCGCGTGTGTGTGTGTGTGTGTGTGTGTGTGTGTGTGTGTGTGTGTGTGTGTGTGTGTGTGTGTGTGTGTGTGCGTGTGTGTGTGTGTGTGTGTGGTGTGTGTGTGTGTGTGTGTGTGTGTGTGTGTGTGTGTGTGTGTGTGTGTGTCTGTGTGTCTGTGTGTGTCTGTGTGTGTCTGTGTGTGTCTGTGTGTGTCTGTGTGTGTCTGTGTGTGTGTCTGTGTGTGTCTGTGTGTGTCTGTGTGTGTCTGTGTGTGTTTTTAATTGTGTGTGTCTGTGTTTGTTGTTTGTGTGTGTGTGTGTTTGTTGTGTTTGTGTCTGTGTGTTTGTTTGATTGTTTGTTTGTCTGTCAGTTTGTTTGCTTGTTTGTGTGTGTGTGTGTGTGTTTGTTTGTTTGTGTGTGTGTTTGGTTGCTTGTTTGATTGTTTGTTTGTTTGACTGACTGACTGATTGACTAACTAATTAATTAATTAATCAATTGATTAATTTATTGTTTGTGTGTTTGTGTGTTTGTGCGTCTGTGTGTTTGTGTTGTGTGTTTGTGTGCGTTTGTGTGGTTTTGTGCAGTTGTGTTTGTGTGTCTGTGTGTCTGTGTGTCTGTGTCTGTGTCTGCGTCTGTTTTTGAAGAACTTTGTACGTGTCTCGAATTGGGGGACCTAAAGTCCTAAAGAAATGGTGGGGTTTCCTGTGTTTACAGTTAGTGCTTTGGGGGGGGTCGTCAAAATAGGGGCACTTTTTCGCATCCCCTTTAAAAGGCGGCACAAGGCGTCACCAAGGTCCAAAAACGGGGCCATAGTTTTGACCACTCCCCAACGGTTGAATCAATCTGCAATGTTCACAATAGGTTCAAGCCTGAAATGAGTGATCCCGCGTAAAACCGCGGACCTACACCACTAGTGACCCTTTCCCCCGAATCGGTGAGCTCGAAACTCATAAACGACGGTCTACATGTTGCACACCTTGCTTCTTCTTTTGTCCATGGCACGCCTCTGCCAAAACCTTGATCTTCAAGTTGTGAAGGAATCCTCGGGGAGCAAATGACGCTGGGTCAAAAATAGGTACCCAAACTAAAATCCTGATAAATGGAAACATTGACTAAAACCTGCGGTCCAATTCCTGGTGGTTTAATTTTGACCCATACCCAAATGGCTCCAGGCAAATTCAGTACGTCTCCCACAAGATTGCATGGAAAGCTGCATTCCAAACATCGTCTGTCCTCAAAGAGGATCTCAAAAACAAATGTCCTTTTGGTTTGCGCGCACCACAAAACGGGTAACCCCAAAACCAGCAAACTGGTGGGTGGAGACCAAATCGTGGCCTTTGTGAGGAAACCGTATCTATGGGAGCTTCAAGGGAAACAACAGGTGCCAGAAACCTGAAGCCTTAGCCTTGCAAAGGACAAGACAAGGCGCTTTAACCTTTCGGATTGACGAATGGATTGAATGGACTGGGAAAACCAGGTCAGGGGTCGATTCGCTTTGGGCTGAGCAGGAAAACACAAACATATTATGGGATTTGAGAAGCGATTGAACCTGACAACAGCGAGTTGCAGCACGCATCAACTGGAAAACCCGTTGGTCTTTGGTGGACTATCAATTGCATTGAAGTTCACCTCCACCAAACATTTGGAATCCTCAAAACCCCGCCAAACCAGCCACCCGAAGCCTCCCCTTTCAGCCCCTTGGACTCAAGACCCGACTCGATCACATGGACCAAACAAATGGAAGGGGGAATGGGAGGATTGAACAAATCTGGTTTCTTTCGTAGGCAGGTCATACAAACCAGCTACAACTTCTCCAGGAAATTTGCCTAAAACCCTCCCAAAAAGCCAGGGGTTGGAGACCTGTAGCTGGTTTCGTCCTGTAGCTGGTGGATTCACACGGCTCCCCTCATTTCTTCGGATGAAGATCGAGGGGATCCTTCATCCAAAACAGCCACACTCTGAGAACCCAAATTCACCCACCGGAGTGTTTGGCGAACAACTCACTTCCGATCGAGTGGATTGGCCAAACCAAAAATCCAAACTTCTTGGTTTCCGCTAAACTAGTCCAACTTGCCAACCCCCGAAAACGTGACTCAAGCCTAGGAGAGCTCATGGGGGTAAGACCAGTCACGCCATGATCCGATTCCAAAGTTGGCCGCCGTTCCGGCCGATTTCTGGGGCTGCTGCCGGGATTGGAGTTCAGGTTCCTGGCTGAGAAAACGATCCCATCTTGGACGTGCGAAAACAAAGGGCAGTTGGATGCCACATTTCTGCTCGGCTTCCTTTCAGGTTGGGGGGATTTTCTTTTGGGTCTCATCTTTTGAACTAGCCCTGCGGTTGGTTTGATTAACCCTGGTTCAACACAAGGCGCCCACCCATGTGCATGTAAACACGGCTGGGCAAACTGAAACAATTTGGGTTGTTGCACCCAGTGCGACTGTTGAAGGCGCAAGCCTGAAATTAGGTGACTCCCAACATGCCAATTCAGCGTCAGCACAAACCCTCAAAACGCAAAACTATATTATACACCTTATATACTCGGACTTGTTATGGTCTCCAAGGACATCTTGAGCAGTTCCAGTGGTACCCGGCGACATTTGCACCGCCCCGACTTTGATGGCCCGGCCAGGTCTTATACTGTCCGAGTAGCATTGCGCTACTCCATACCATCGCCTAAAAACTCTTTGTATAGTTGTGCAAATATTCGGTATGGCTGGGACCGCCAAGCTGAGGAAGATTGCTCAACGGAAACTTGTCTGGTGCTGCCCGCAGGCATCCATTGGAACCCTGAGCCCTGATGTCTTCCAAAGGAAGTGGAAAAGGACACTTAGGCTGGGAGTTGGCCAAGTCGATAGGAGCCCCAGTTCCAAGGCGTTCGAAGACGGCTAATTAGGTGCAAACAGTCAAACCAGTTGGAGGAAATCGCTTATTCAGGACACGGTCGGTACAATGTGGCGCAAAACAACAAGGCGGATTTGTGCAGCTCCAGCTCGAAAGCCGCAACTGATTCACTACCAGGGTGGTACGCGAGGCCGAGGTTGGGAATACCCCTTGCCAGGTATGATCAATAGCACAGACCGATCCGTTCCTGCTACCTCTTCCACCTACAACTTGTCTAAAAGGCAAACTCTCTGCAATGAGTTGATGCACAGGCATGCCCAGCATGCTCTGCTGATGCCTGCCCTGTAAGAACCCATGGAAAAGCATCGAGGTGCGCATCGAGCTATGCAACGAGGAGGTATGTAACGAGCCAGCGGGTCTTGATACATGGGGCGTGTAACAGGGTATGTAACGAATGTCCGCCGCAGCTCTGCAATATACCCTTGAAAAAACAAAAAACACTGCCATGCCATGGTTGCCTTAGCATTTACCCGTTGATTGTATACCATTGGTATATCATATTGTTGCCCTCGACTTAAGACATCGCAAGCGGCCAGGGACCGTTACCAACGGGCCATACAACATTGCTTGGAAACGAGGTAACTGCTGGTCGAAGCGCCCCCTGCAAAAAGTGCGCTGCTTTGTGGCCAAGCAAACTGTGCAAATATGCGATCCAAGTTGTACCAATTAGTTGCTGGGATAGACTTGCTTTGAAGGCTACTAACTAACACAGACGGCTGTGGGTCAAAAAGAGGTGCCCAAAATGGAACCCTGGTAAATGGAAGCATTGGCTAAACTCTGCGGTCCCTGGTGGTTTAATTTTGACCCATACCCATACTAACACGGCAAGACAGCAACTTGCCAAGCTACTTGGTGTTCACGCTGAAGAACACACACTGGTCGTCACCTGCAACGCATCCCTCTCTCGGAAGAGTACTCAGCGAGGGCATCCGGGGTGCTCCTAGACCGTTTTGTTGGTACACCTTTAGCCCGAGGAAGTCCACAGGGGTGTCATGTTTCTCCCGCACAATGCCATGGCGGTGTCGAAATAGTGCAGTCGCTGAAAATAGCAACCTGTTCCTGCAAGGGTCTTCAACTTCAAGATGCCTTCCACAATGGTGCGGGCTGTGTGCGCCACTGCGCAGGGAAACAGGAGAGCAACCCTCACGTCCCACATCAATTGTTGGCCCAGCGCAATAGACTCGGGAGGGCCAGGCATGCAGGAATCCCCTGCTCACTTCCTGGATTGATTTATCTCGGAATCCCCTGCTCACTTCCTGGATGGATTTATCGCAACTATTATCGAAAGACATCTCCTGAGTTTGAATTCAAAAACTTGCCGGAAGTGAGCCTTTGGCAGGTCTCCGCATCTTCCTGTCGCCAAAGCATCAAACTAATTTCCTTGCCTTCGGGTTGGTTCCTGTTTGACCACAAGGAGCAGTTCCTCGGTCTTTGACCAATGTCACAAAACAAGTTGGAGGTTACGGATGTTACCGGGACATTCTCCTGCAGATTCCAAACAAACAAACAAACCAAAACATCCAAGGAGGGCTCGCTCAGAAAAGCACTTTCCGGAGGCTAGCCCTTTCGTGAGGTTATAATTTGTCCAGCCAGGCGTGCTCCAAATTAGGTATCTTCGGACAGGTGGCACACGGCGCACCGGGTCAAAAGAAGGCCCACTTGTCGGCAATCCCCAGTTGTCAGCTCTAAGGAGCAGGCTGTTCACGTTCACCCCCTGCTTGTCCACGTGAATCGCGTCACTGGGATCCACCTAGCGTCGCTTCCCAAGAGAAATGCGGACAGAGCACCGGAATATCCGTGACACTCGCAGTGGCCTCGGCCTGGAGCAGATTTTGGGCTTTCAACCCAGCAACGGGAGTGGTTTGAATCCCCATTTAACCGCCTGTACACCCAGGTAAACCCATGCAACCAAGGTCGCTGGCCAAATCCCGGCCATCTAAGTCGGGCCACTTGTTAACTCCTTGATGGCGCCCTGCTGGACACCGTCAGAGGTGTTGCAGGGGGGGGCCCCGCGCAGGTGTAGAAGGAGCGGGGTGTCTGCCAGACTGCAAAGGACCAGCTGAGCCGCAAGCAAAGAGAAGCAGTGCGCAGATGCAAGGGCTGGGTAAAGAAGAGAAGACGGCAAGACGCGGGATAAGATAGCACGCAAGGGCAGCAGAAGAGGCTCTAAGACAGCACGTCGCAAAGGCGCCACCTATTGTTCCAGCAGAGACGTTTGCCAAAGTCAAGGACAGTGTGGTGCCCAAGCAGTGCACAAAGTAGAGACCCTCCGAGCATGCCAAATAAATACAAGGCTTGAGCAGACAAAAAGACTGCAAAACAAAGCAAGATTATGAAGGAAAGCGCAAAGAGACAAGGCAAAGAAAGCATAAGCCTAAGGTCTGTCGGAGGCACAAGAGAAGCAGCATGCAAGCGATTGTGCAGCGACCACTATTACTCCCACAAGGCGAAAATAACAACAGTTCCATGGTGGCAAAACAACCGCCTCCACCAACAAGCACAACACGTCCATTTGGACATGCTTCAGGTGCCACCGAAAACACACTCACAAAAAAAGGCAACGTGACTTGTCAAGCAACATTGGCAACCAAAAGGAAATGCTGAGCCTAGACCATGCAAAAAGGCGACATACTTCCATGCGTATGTTCGGGCCACCTTACTAACGCCCCCAAAACAACCCAAGCGCGAGGGGTCTATAACGCTGAACATGGCCTTAGCGGTTGATTCTTTGGGGAGGGGATGGTTTGTACGGGATGTTCACAAGTCATGACCCTTCACCTTCAAACATGTACCTACACCAACATGCGCAGGAAACAATCTCAGGCAAATGGAAGCTCAGCATGTGACTGGCGCCTGCAAAAGGGTTCAAAGGATCCTTGATTTGACAACCAATTGGCCTGCTTACAGCATCCATGGTCTCCCAGACCATCAAAATCTTCCCAACCACTATAGTCTAGCAAATTCCAGAAAAAATAGCCCTTCCGTGAAGCCCGACAAAGTAACAAAACACCAGCCACAAAGTAGAATACCTCTTTCTCAACATGTCTTCCGTTTGCCAGTCATGAGCATACCCCCTGGCCAGCAGGGGAAAACAAATATGACATCGCTCAAAGCAAGCAAACCAAATGGACCTCAAGCAAACACGCCTTAAACAAAACAACAGCTCGATCAAGAGATACGCAACACACACACACACCACGTAAACTAAAACGCCTTAAGCAATAAAGACACAAAACAAACGATTCGAAAAACGAATACACAGGCAACCAACAACTACATAAGAGAGAGCCGCACACGAGACCACCTTAAGAGAAAGAAAACAAACATAACGCGTTTACAGTAAAACAACCATAGTTAACACAAACCGAATGCCTTACGCAACAGCCCTAAAGAAGCAGCAACAAACAAAGCCACGTTTCGCACCAACAAACTCGTCTTCACCTCGAAAATTACATATCGTGGGATTTCCGTTGGGGCTTCTCCGTCCCAAAACACAGCACTGAAGGTCCGGGGCTTCAGCGGATACCTTTGCAAGACCTGCAGCCACGGACCTTAAGACAACACCTCTTGGGCACACAAATCACGGCTCATATCACTGGGCACCAAATCAAAAGCCCTGCAAATCAACATGGCGCTCCTCGAGAGGCACCAACAATTGTTGGCCCTGCAGATCAACATGGAAGCCCTCAACACCAAAAACCATTCCCCTGCAATCAACATGGCCCCGCGCCATCCGCGCCAACTAACCTTCCATTTGGTTAAGACCGCTGGGACAAAACAAATATATATATATATATATTTAACGTAGTGATAGATTCCCTTTAAAACCAACGGGGGGAAACATATTAAGCAACTCGAAGTACCGCGCCATCCGCGCGGATCACCGGCGATCGCTGGACGCCGAGGCGCGGCCGGGTCCCCGCTGTGGGTCACCGTCCGCTCGCTCACGAAGACGCGGTCCCCGCCGTTGAGCCGCGCTGCCACGGCGGTGATCACTGCGTTGCGGCCACCACGGTACTGGCCTCAGCGAGCGCCTGGCCTAAGTTGGCCTGGGTGGGTGGCGAGGGAAGCCAACCTTATATATATATACACATACATGTGTATATAAATATATGCAACCCCCCCCCCAAAAAAAAAAGGTTTTGAACCTGGACAATTGCAAAAATCACTAGGAAAAATGCTACTTTTGAGAAACATGTGTATTTTCGCCTCTGCGAAACGCATATTTTTCAAGGTCAAGGCAAGTTCAATGAGTTAGTCAAACAACCAGTCAGCAAGTCAGCGAATTAGCCAGTTAAATAGTTGTAATGAATGAGCTCTGAAGCCAGTTAGCTAGTTAATTTGCCAATCAGTTAGTTATCTATTTAGCTGCCTAGTTAGTTAGATAGTACTGAAGGTATTCCCCTAATATTCCCCTTCCCTGACTAGTGAAATATTTAGGGAACACTAGCTAGGGTATACAAGAGATACTAAAGGAATACTAGCGCAATACTAGGGGAATACTAGGGCAATACTAGGTACATACTCAGGGAATACGAGGGCAATATTAAAGGTGAATACTGGGATAATACGCCGGAGTACTGAGGGAATACTAGGGGTATACTCTCAAGCTCAATCTGTCTGACTTCTCTCTGGCTTCCTGACTAGGGCAATACTAGGGCACTACTAGGGAAGTACTAGGAAAATATTTATAGGTGAATACCGGAAGAATTCTAGGAGAATACTGAGAGAAAACTAGGGGTATACCAAGATAATACTTAAGGAATACCAGGGCAATACTCAAGGTATTCCCCTAGTAATTCCACCCCTTTACTAGGGGAAATAGCAAGGGAATACTATGGGGTAGTGAGGAATTACTAGGGGTATACCAAGATACTACAAAATTAACTGAATACTAGTGCAATAATATGGGAATACTAGGGCAATCATAGGGCAGTACTAAGGAAATACTCAGGGAATACTAGGGCAATATTAAAGGTGAACACTAGGAGAATACTATGAAAATGCTGAGAGACTACGGGGTATACCAAGAGAATATTTGAGGAATACTAGGGCAATACTGAAGGCATTCCCCTAGTATTACCCTTGCCTTACTAGGAAATACTTGGGGGCACACCAAGAGAATACTAAAGGAATACCAGGGCAATACTAGGGAAATACTCAAGAACGACTAGGGCAATATTAAAGGTGAAACAGGGAGAATACTAGGGGAATTCTGAGAGAATATTAGGGGTATACCAAGAGAATATTTAAGGAATACTATGGCAATACTGAAGGTATTCCCCTAGTATTTCCCTTCCCTTACTAGGAAATACTCGGGGCATACCAAGAGAATACTAAAGGAAGACTAGGGCAATACTAGGGAAATACTCAAGGAAGACTGGGGGAATACTAAAGGAGCATACTAGGAGAATGCTAGGAGAATGCTGAGGAAATACGAGGCTCAATTTGTCTGGACAAGTCACCAGGGCAATACAAGAAAAATACTCAGAAAATACGAAAGCGTCGCATGCGTTCTTGAGGTCATCAAAGGTCATCAGGCTCCTTGGTCATGCTAGGACAGGGTCAGAACAAAGGGCAGAAGAGGAGTACGGAAGCGCTGGAGCCAGACAGCTTCAAATATGGGCTCGGTTCTGCTCAGATGCCAAGGAAAACTGAAAAAACTGAAAATACGGAAAAAACTGAAAAAAACTGAAAAAAACTGAAAGAACAACTGAAAAAACTGAAAAACCAAGGATTCTGAGGGACATGGCTGGGGGGGGGGTCATGTCCCTCACAATCCTTGGTTTTTCAGTTTTTTCAGTTTTTTCAGTTTTTTCAGTTTTTTCAGTTTTTTCCGTATTTTCAGTTTTTTTTCAGTTTTTTGCAGTTTGTTCAGTTTGCAGAGAGTTTCTTGTCTGAATTGTATTGAGGAATTGCCAGAGAGTTTCCAGAAAGCTTCCTTGAAAACTGAAAAAAACAGCCTGACAACTGAGGGTTCTGGCAGATTCAGGTTTTTTGTCAGAAAACTCAGTAAATACCAGTGTTTTCAGACCAAACCTGGGTTTTGGGGGGGGGGGGGTACCAAATATATATATATATATATATATAGATACATCTATATCTTATATATAAAAATATATAACAGGTGCATAGATATAAATATGTAATATACATCATCTGGGAGATTATGGGAGCATACTGTCAGAGAAAGCTACCTGGAATTCTATAGGGAGCCTCCTTAGGTTGTTTCACAATAGCAACAAAAGCCGTATTGTGGATGGACCAAACCGCGCTTCGCAGCAGTGGGGTGTTCATACTAGGGCTTCATGCAACCCAACTGGTGCATCATGTTGCCCATCCACTGCTTCCGACAGCCTACAGGAAGTTCGAAAAAGGGATACCTCTTGCCAGGTTGTGACAAGGGCAAATGTCCGATTTCCTCAAACACTGTCCGCTAGCTCAAAAGCGATCGTCTCCCCAATGCGGAAAGGAACAGGGATAACGAAAACATATTTCCGCATTGACATTCTTCTCGAACTCGCACCGGTTTGCGCGAAATTGCGCCCTTGTTGTGGGGGATCGCGCCCGTTATGCGGCCTAATTGTTTGGCCGCCATCTCCCTGTTTCACACATTGTACGTACGAGGTCCCACAATTACTTTCAATTCCAACAAGGCGCGCGTTTCCTTACAAATTGCCGTTTTTGCCGAGAAGCATACGCGCTTGGGGATGGGAAGTGGCAAAAAAAAGACGTGCCAAAAGAAGACCTAGGAGATGTGTATATATAATATAATATGGGTGCGTCTCAAACTAAACCCGAGATATGGATGCTGTTCTTTTGGTTTCCCCTCAAACCAACCCCAACAAAGGGCACCCTCAAACAAAGACTGTCCCATATACAGGCCTCCCATAGCCAACCGAAGCAGAACCGAACCTCAGCCAGCCGAGACGCATTGAAAGGTCTGCAGCTCGAAATCGCCGCCGCAGTGGTTGCTGGTGGCCCACTTGTACACCCCAGTACCTGCCGTCCCATGGTCAGAATGGCTCGGATATGCAAAGGGCAATTTTCTTTTGTGGGGGGGCAGTCTTGGGATTGAAAGAAAATGAAAGGAAAAATGGAGGACTCCTATGAGACAAACCCAAATCCAGTTCTGGCAGACCGGTTGCGCATGCGTACTCTCTTCTCCTTTGCATGTCGTTTGGAGAAAGATCTTGGGCCCAGGTTCGCCCGACGGAAACCCACAACCCCTACAAAAAACGGACACACACTTTGTCAAACCCAAACATGTTTCTTGAAGGATCGAGAGGTATCTGTTTTGGCGGGCTCCCCAAAACTTGTTTTCACCTTGCCAAACAGATAAGACCTCTATCTGCGAAAGATCTCTTGGAAAGTCAGGTTCGACAGCTCTCAGAAAGGACCTACATGACAAGCTTAAGCGGAAGATGTATGGGCATGTCATATATCGTTTTACAAGGTCCTGCGCAAGACCTCTATCAGAGGCTTGCTACAAGTGATCTGTAAAGAAGGTCCTGCGCAAGAACTCAAGAGGAACTCTTTAGCAGGTGCTCATAGGGTCCTGCGCAAGATCTCTCCGCAGGATCTTTAACAAGGATCTACGCGAAAGGTCTGCAGATGTCTGCAGCTCTGAGAGAGGATTTAGACTTAGAGCTTAGCGCAGTGCCGCAGAACGCGCCACCAACACCCTCGCAGCGGGCGCACTTTCGATCTAAATAATAGGCCGCGCCAAAGCGACAGCCGATCCGGCGCGCAAGTCCACAAAGCACTCACGCTCTGGCGAGGAATTCGCGCCTGACACACTTTTGGACCGCCTGCGAAATCAAAGTGTAATTCGCACAATTCTGGAAACAACTTTTGCGCTAGCCAGCTCACACGAAAGGCGGCGACAATTCGAAGCCTGATCCACATGGTTGGAGCAATATCCCTGAATTGTAGGCACACTATGGAGGCAGAAGGTGACTCCGAGATCCCAACACACGCCAAGAGGAGCAAGCAAAACATCACCAATTCAGCAAGCTGGCAGTCGCTTTCCCCATAAGGGGGTTCAACATTGCTAGAGAAAACTCCCTCAGTATCGGGCGTCGCAACAGGAGCAGCGTAACAACACGGTCCAAGGATTCCTCGGAAAAGTCTGGTCCTAAGAACAGATCCGAAGATTCCGAAGCACCACCACTGCTTGCAGGTCAGCAGTTGGTGCCCAAAGCATGTGTTCAAAAACAATTTAACGACTTACCGTCAGCATCTGTTGCTTGCCCCAGACCTGCGGTTTTCCAGGGTTCTCGGAGCTGAATTATTGGAAACATGATCCTTTCATGAAGTAATTGGAGTAAATACCGCGCCACCCGCCATTCAAATTGATGAGGCCAGTTTAGTATATAGGGCAAATAAATAATTATATATATATATAATGGTTTACACCTACAACAACTTTGCAACCCCGTTCCAATTATTTAGGCGTGAAGCCATTGGCACGCTGTGGCTGGTGCGTGGCAACCTCTCATTTGGATCCGTTGTGATAAAATGCTCCCCTGCAATTGAGCATGGAACCCCAAAAGCACCATTTGTTGAGGAAACTTTTGGGGGACTCCGCTTTTTGGGTTCCACGTCCAATGTTGTCAGGAAGCAGAACAACTCGCTTGCGGTCCGAAGCAAGCCAGTCACTCCCCCCCCCAACTGCCGGATCTCGTTTCGCCTTGGTGGTCGAAGCGCTGCGGCGCGTTGCTGCGCCAACTCTCCGTGATGTGAGGGTCCCCCCAAGCACGGCACGAGGCGTAGCGCGAGTCCTGCCAATCGCCTTGGGATCCGAGCGATTGGATCGATGTGCCCGGAAGGCGAGGTGAAAAATGGGCGCTACCCCGAAATTTGAGTTGTTGGCCCCCAACTGTGGGGCGTCCCTATTTCCGCACATAGCTTTAGTTGCAGGGGGCCTTGCTTCTGAAGAGGCGGGGTGTGTTCGGCGAAATCGGGCCAGGTGGGGCTGCAGGTGCTGATCAGGGTGCCGGTGGTGACTGTTCGGCGCTGCAGTCAGGGTGCTGATCGGGGTGCTGTGCGCGCCTTCTGCACGGATTCCCGTGCACGTTGTCCTCACAAACATCCGCTCAGGTGCTGGTGGTGACTGCTGGTGATTCTTTTTCGGCGCTGCAGTCAGGATGCGGGCGTAGGGTGCACACTGGTGACTGGCGCTGCTTGTTGCCGGATAGTTGAAAGCTACACGCATACATAGGAGGTTCTTTCATCAGGGCGCTGTTTGGGGTGCGGTGAAGGTGTGCTATGGTGGTTGTTGGCGTGTGTGTGGCGGTGCTTGTTTGGCTGCTGGTCAGAGTGCTGTTTGGTCTGCTCAAGGTGGTGTGGTGGTTGCTGGCGGTGGCGATGCAGTCAGGCTGCTGGGCAGGGTGCTGTTGGAATCTCCCATGCCATGATGCTGGCGCAATCTAAGGGTAATTGATGTATACTAAATTGAAGGTTTAGGTGGTGGTGTTTTGACTGTTTCATGATCTTTTCGACCAAAGCAAATCTGCTCATCCCCAAACATTGGCCTCCCGATCTAAAGGGAAATAACACGAGCTCTATACCCTCGAGGATTGAATTTAATCAGCGCCCGAGGATCCAATGGTGGAACACACTGCGCAGCGGGTGGGGAGGCTGGTGGTGGTGGTCGTAGTCGTGGACGCGAGTGGCGCCTGCACCACGTGGATGCCACTCCTCAGACGTCGACAGGCCACAAAACGCTGAGTTGGTCAGGCAAGCTTCCATTTGCGTAAAGCCCGACGGAATAATAAACAGATTTCCAGTAGTGATAAATTCCCTGTACAACCAACATGGGAAAATGAACAAACACATTGTTCAGCAAAATGGAAGCAAGAGTGGTGTAGGAAACACAATTGACAAAGCGCCGTAGGTTGTAGGCCAATGAAACTAAACATCATACCATCGCCCAGCCCCAACCCCCGTACTTGCCCGTTTAAAATTCCCGATGTCCAGCCAAACATGTTTGGAGAATCAAACACCAAATCAAACACCAAGAGCAGTGACTGACGCTTCGTTGGGGCCCAGCGATGGGGCCAGGTCAATGAAGCTAAGAAGAAGGAGCCATGATTATGTTTTTTCAAATGAAACCAGAGTCCGGCTGAAATAACGTTGGAGGAAGCCCCTCAAAATCCGACCTTCTTTTTGCCCACCGCCGTTTGTTCAGCTATGGCCTCCCGTCCGGCTCATGGGAAGGAAGCCACCGGCCAGTGGACTTTCATGGGAAACTCCCCTCACCCCCCCCCCCCCGCCCGCCCCCAAAAGAAGAAAAGGAAAAAAAAAAAAACAACGGTGCTACGGCAATCCAAATGCTTGATTCGCTGAAATGAAATGGGGATATTTCCGGATGAGCTAAAACAAATCCTTGAAGAATCCCTTGGAGCCTAACACCCTAAATATCAGGGCCTTGAACTCAAATAATGAGGTCTTGGATTCCTAGGGAATACTGAAATTTCAGGAATCCCCAAGCATCCTTCGACGTTTTACACCAACAATGGTCCCAGTCGTCGCCTGAAACGAGCCGGGAAATTTCCCCTGAAAGGGCTCACTCATGCACCCAGTTCCAGTTACCAACTTTTCTAGGTCACCAGGGCAAACCATTATGTACAACCTAGAAGTAAAAAGGCCAGTTTGCCTGTGTGGTATCTGGAAGCATTGGGCCAGACTCACTCATGTTATAGGTTGGATCATCTTGGTGTTCCTCCTGGAGAGGGTGCAACTCCCTCCACCCCAACCGGTCCGGAGCCTGTCCAAGATGAACCGCCCAATCAACATTCCCTTCCAGAGGAGCACTTCGATGGTCCGGAGGTTAAGCGGTTCGTCACCAATAAGCCGCTCACCCATGAAGCAAGAAGTTACCTACCACAGACCATCCAACCTTGGCCCAAATCTGGTACACGGAAGATGTCATTGTTGTTGTTTGCGGTGGTTGGAGGTTTTGTGTCGCATATCGTGAACTCCGACACAGAACAAAACTTGGGCAAACCCAAAACACCTTTTGGAGGGTCCCTCCATTTTGACCCATACTCACTGAGCAAGGTTGGCTTGAAGGGACACAAGGGAAAACCAGCCTGTGGAGGTTCCACATCCCTAGTTTGGCACATTCCCACTGAGGCCCTTCCGGGACCAAGGCGCGGCAGTGCCACGCAGTTCGGCAGCTCCCCGCTGGGCGACCTCAGGCGGTTTTTGTATTGCTTTAGCCTTGGTTGAGGTTGGAAGGGGAGCAAACAACAAAATCTTAGCAGTTAAGTGGTTGGATTTCAACCACTAAATCACAACAAGCAAAAATGCAAAATGTTTCCCAACAACAACCGTGTAGAGTAGCAGGCCAGAGTGGACCCCAGCAAAGAGCTCTGGAGTGCTCTCTAGATCATGGTTTGGAGGTGTTCGTTTTTTTGGATTCACCCCTGTAGAATATTAAAAGAGCACTCGAAGATTACGAAAAAGGAACCAACAGGGGGAGAACCCGTTGAAATCCACAAAAAAAAACGCATCCAAACCAATTTCTAGATGCTCGTAACAACATATCCACATACCAACATATCACCCAACCAACCGAACCGATCGTACGACCAATCGACCGACCGACCAACCAGCCAGCCAACCAACCTACCAACCAACCAACCTCCAAGCAACCTTATGTACATGATTGCAGGGGAGTACCACTAGTGATGACAAGGAAAACAACAGCAACCCCAAGGACAAACAGCAGAAACGTTAGTCTGGCAATATCTGGCGATTTCCCCTTGTCATCGTGTCATCCCATAGAAGCAAGTCCAGGTTCCCCCCCCCCCCCCCATTTTTGCCAGGTTTACCCCGGATTTCCGAGCCACTTGTTTCGCATTGGCTCCTTTCTGGAAGGCGTGGGTTTTGAGCTCCATGGAAACCTCCCCTAACACATCCATCCGTTTGGAAAAATCGATGAGCCCTCGAAACCCACCCAAGTGGATTTTGAGGGGTTCCCCAAAAAAGGAAAGTCGGCATCCGAAAACCCCGCTGTCAGCTTCGAAATGATGGTTGGGAAAGCGGTTCCTGCCTCATTGGCGATCCGCCCAACCAAAAACCAAATAATCTTGGTTCTTCCCATGGGTTCTCCAGCCAACATCAGATGACCAACACTTCCAGTGACACATTTAGGATTCAAAGTAAGGGACTGCGGGTGACAATCGATGAAATCGACCCGTGGAAGTTTATCCGCAAAGTGGGCTGTACAAACAAAGGGCTATAAGAAAATATACCCCCGTTTGACAAACTTGTAATCATGGTTGCCACGTACTTACTAAGCAATAGTAGTGCTAGTGGTAGTGGCAGTTGTGGTACCAGTAGTTGTTGATTCCGTAGGAGGCCCAATCATGGTAGTGTCACGGGTTGCAAATTCCCGAATCATTTCAGCGTTGCAAAACAATATTTGCGCAGTGTGTTTTTGTGGTTCGGGGCCTATACACTACTTGCACGCCTACGCGGAAGCCTCCGCAAGCCTACGCCGCTGCAAAGGGTGCCTACGCGAGCACAAGTCAGCTTCCAGGTGCCTACGCGGACGCCTACGCGGACGCCTACGCGGGCAGATGTTCAGTTCAAGTGTTGACGTGCAGTTTGGCAGCGGAAAATCGCAAGTTTTCAGTACAAGAGCAGTTTTGGCAGCTCCAGCTCTAAGATCACCTTTGCAACACAATTGAGAACCCACATCTGTTGAAGGATCTGGCTGCTAGAAAAGGTCCACGTACTCTAAAATACCTTGAAAGCCTACGCGAATGCCTACGCGGGGCCTACGCGGAGCCTACGCGAAAACTGCAGAACAAACGGAAGGAAGGCAAAAAGGGGAAGTTACATTGAGCCATGATTTGTTCAAACGCCTACGCGAAAAGCCTATGCGAGGGTTGACGCAACTGCCTACGCGCAGAAGCCTACGCGAGCCTACGCCCCAACCAGGATTGCCTCCGCAAAGTACATGCAGTTCCCTTTTTGTATAGACCCTTTCATTTGATTAAAAACCGCTGCTCATTTGAGAAGTTCAAACCTTCAAGAGGAAACTTGCACTGGGACTATTCGTCCAATCCAGCTCGTATTAGCAAGACCCTGGACCCAACTGGGTCCTACTACTCGCTTTTTGCTTGAAAGGGAAACCCAAAGGAAGCCACAGAAGGAGCCTCCAGCCTCAAGCGACTGACCAAAGCTCCAAAGACCCTCAGTGGGCCTCGAGGCCCTCGAGGCCCAAAGACCAACCCTTGAAGGACACCGGGAGCTCGGAATGCCACGCTTCCTACTTGCGTGGCCAATGGTCCAAGAAATTAAGCCGCCAAACTGGTCGCCCAGAAAAAGTCGAGAGTCCGGACAGGGAGTGACCAACCCCTTGGAAGTCTTGAGGGCCCCCCTGGCTACGCATGTGCTGCTTTTACCAATCATGGGACATGGTAGTGACATGAATGTGGACCGGAACCCGTGTTTGCTGGGGATATGGATGTGCCCCCGCAGATTTACATATACTCACATACCCACAACACCCTCTCTTTGAGGGGAACGCCCTTTTGCGTCCCATGTGAATTAGGGGAGCTCACCAGAAGACTCTTAGAACATAGGACTCTGCGGCTGGATGCAAAATGAGATCCTCCAACATTTATCCAGGTAATTGGGTACGCGCCAAAATGGGGGCACAACCAATATGGATGTCGTTCTATTGTTCTGGCTTCGCTTTACCTGAAAGGGGTACCAACTCCCAAAACGCACACAATGGCGCTTTCAACAGAACCCTCCCAGACATTCCGCTACCCTCGAAATGCCTCACTGGCCCAACGCGCAAAAAAAAGCCGAGGCACTCAGAGAGGCCGTTCTGGCAAGTGAATGTGCCGCCCGACCTTTCGACTCGACGCACAGCCGCAGTCTGTGGACAAGTTCTAAGATCTTTCCGTTCAGACATGAAGGACGACGGAAACCTCAATCACTTCATCTGCCCCCCTACTTCATCCCTTGATTCTGAAGCTGGTGAGCCTCAAATGTACCATCATTCGGACATGATCCCAGTCAAGCACGTGGAAACCAGAAAGACAAATGACGCAATATGACAACCTTTTGCGGGCAAATGAAGCTCGAACCCCAGCTGCAAAGTCAGGGCGCGATTGAAAGCGTGAAGACACAAGAAATCATGAACCAAATTATACTGCTTATATAATATCCTAAGCCACTTAACTATATAATGGGCTGGGTTCAGTAAAAAAGAAGCGGGGATCGAGTAAGACTGGGAATGAAGCAGATTCGTCGTTCCAGCTGCTCCACGAACTGTCCCTTCAAAGTGTTGGGCCATGTCTCTCGAGGTTTCGGGCACTCATTTCGGGTGCCCTTTTTGATGCCGGGTACCCCTGGCGGCCTTTCCCTTTGAGACCAACCCCTGTGGATGGAGAAATCCTGCAGCAGTTAGCTTATCTCAGTATCTGCAGAGTTTTGTCCATCTGATGCTGCAAAATTTACTATGATTCCAAAAGCTAACAAATCAGGCCAATTTCAGGACCTTTATCATGGCTTTCGTTGGTTATACCCCGAATTCCCTTCATCGGTGAGCTGGCTATAGGCTCAGATGCCCAGTGGATGTCCATGGGAAAAACGCATCGGCACCCTTTGTTTGTTGCTTGAGTTCAAAGCAAAGGAATCGCAACCCTTACCCAAAAAAGTCGCAAAAAGGGTGCCACTTGCCACTGGCCATGGGGGAAACAAATCGGCGCGCTTCTTTTGTTGATTGAGTTCAAAGGCATCACAACCCTTACCCCAAAAAAGTCGAAAAAGGAAGCAACCCACCGGTTGCCACTGGATCCCGCCCCCCGACCCTCGCGTCTCTCGGGTCCGCGCCCTTCTTTGGCGTAGCCGTTGCCGCAGCTGACTTCGCAGGAGGCCCCCGACACCAGCGCCGTGCAGCTGGAGGGGATCTCCTTAAAAGGCAAAAAACGCGCCATCGGCGCGAGAGAGGCAGGGAATGAGAAATACTAGGTCCTCCAGATTTGAGAGGTTGGGGGTTAGGGTGCCAACTTTTTTCTGTGGTTTATTTTAGTAGGAGAACCCTCCCGAAAAAAAAAGGGGGAAAGGGCACTACCGGGGGACCTAGGAAATGGAATGACCCTGAAAACAACCATCCTGTCCTTTAAGCGACTCCCTGGGTTCATTCCCACATTCCCTACTGAGCAGCAAGAAAACCGGTCAACATCCATGTGCTTGAGTCCCCTTTTACAGGCACAACCCAGAAGCCACAGAAGAGAAAGAAGTCCCCTGGAAGAAGTACGAACACATGGGTATGGCTCAAAATTAACGAGTTGGGGTTACGCGGCTTTTTGTCTTTGGTTCCAGTTACCAAGGTGCCATTTTGGTTCCACTTTTTTGAGCCACAGCCACATGTCCAAGAGTGAAATCGATTTTTCTTGAGAACCAGGGGAACACACAACATACTTTCAGCAAATGGAAGTCATGAGTCATGCGATTCCAACCCTTTAGACTCTAAGCCCACCCCGCTTCCCCCAAAGGTTCGACAACAAGGCCGTAAGGTCTTATTTGTGGCTCAAAAATAGGGGGTCCAAAATGAAACCCTGCTAAATAATAATCTCAAGCGATATCCACAACAGCACCGCACCCTCCCAGAATCCTCGCGTTAACAAGCAAAGCCAAGAGTGACAGTTCAATCGCGCCCTGATCGGCGCAATCGGAGCCCGATCGGGGCCCGACTGTGCAATCGGGGCCTGATCGGGGCCCGACGGTGCACCGTCAAGGCCCGACTGTGCAATTGGGGCCTGATCGGGGCCCGACGGTCCCGATGGCCCCGTGGTGCAACCCCAACCACCCATATTACAGCTCAACGCCGGCTTTTCTGAGGATGCGCCCTTACAACTGTATCTAGCAAAACTAGGCGATGCCAGCTTGGTACAGTTGGCGGGGCCCGGGGCGCGATGGCGCAATTGGGGCTGATCGGGCCCCGACGGTGCAATCGGGCCCCGACGAACTCAGCATGAAACTTTGTTGGAACCTTTCCTCAGGGCTGCCCCATGGCTTTTGCAGAACCTGGCGGAAACCTCGTGGAACGTTTTTGAATTCTTTGGGCCCAAAGCCCACCAAGTAATACCCAGCAATGCCAAGCATTTACTCTGCTGCACCGTGAGTCCGCAGCAACGTGATCTGATTTGCAAAAAAGCAAACATTTCGGGCCGCGTTGCCTGAGCAAGTGAGCAGGTGACAAAACAATGAAAGTGTGCTGAAAACCATTGATTTCGGTTTTGCTTAGTGCTCCGCCCATGAGCAAAGCGATCTTCTGAGCCCTCATTTACTGCTCCGATGGCTTTTCAGCGGCGGGCGCACGACACACTAAACCTTGCAGAACATTTCTGAAACCTTTGTGGAACCTTGTGGAGCTTTGGGGAACCCTTGTCACATCCTTGCGGAACTCTGTGGAACCTTGTGAAACCTCAGGGCCGCCCCGGCTCACAGAACATCGTGGAACCCTTTCATGAAACCTTACCTCGCACCACCCCGCATCACAGCTGGTGGAACCCTGGCGGAACCCTTGTGGAACCTCACCTCAACCACAGACCGCCTTGCAGAACCTGGTGGAAAGCTGGTGGAACCCTGGCTCGTGGAACCTTCCTCAAACCACCCCGGACCACCCCGCAGCCTGGAACCTTCCTCAATCCACCCCGGACCACGCCGCAGCTCTTGAAGAAATTTGTGGAAGCCTGTAGAACTCCCTGACCTACAAAAACTTGGGGTGTGCAGCAAAAACCAGGTTTTGCACCTGCCACTCGTCGAAAACCGGGTTTTCGGTTGAAGAACCTGGTTTTGCTTCTTGAAACCCGTACAAAAACCGTACAAAACCCGTATTTTCCGTATGCTTTTTGAAATCCAGGTTTCTCCTCTGAAAGCCAGGTTATGATTTGGAACCCGCTTTTTTGTAGGATTTTGGCGTAGCAGGTCTGGGTTAACCCTCGTGGAACCTTACCTCAAACCACCCCGCAGCCCTTGCAGAACCTGGTGGAATTCTGGTGGAACCCCTCGTGGCACCTTGCCTCGACCACGGACCACCCCGCAGCCCTCCAAGAAATTGGTGGAACCTGGTGGAACCCTCGTGGAACCTTACCTCAAACCACCCCAGACCACCGCGCAGCCCTCGCAGAACCTGGTGGAACCCTGGTGGAACCCTGGTGGAACCCTGGTGGAACCTTACCTCAGGGCCGGCTGAGACCCCAAAGCTTTCAGCTGTTGGGGAAAAAGGTAAACTAAAACCTGCGTAACCCCAGCTGGTTAATTTTGACCCAAGGCCAATTGGGAAACCAACTTGCCAGGTCCGAATTGGCCACGGGCAAAAGCTAAAAAGCTTGCTGGCGTCTGGGAGCAATCCGGGCACCCTAATAATAGCGGTTCCCAAGAATCCTCTCCCCGAAGATCAATCTGTTTTGGAGAAACACATGATCTTATTCTCAGGGGGGACCGAGTTAGGCTCGGCATTTTTGGACGGCTAGACAAAGCAACACTCCTTCAAATTGAGATGTACTATTGTTTGTTTCACGGACACTGTCAAGAGAGCGAGAGAGAGAGAGAGAGAGAGCGAGAGAAACAAACAAAAGAAAGGGAGTCAAGCAACTATGCACTCATAGATTGCCCATGTTCTTTGCAAATGAATGATACAGAATAGAACCCTACTGAGTGAGCGCATTGGTGTCCTAGTTCTTGGCTTTTGCTTTGGAGCAAGGCAGGTGGCCGGCAGCCAAACTGCACAGTCAGGCAACCAGGCGGGGCCCCTCTACCAGTGCACCAGGCGGGGCCCCTCTACCAGTGCTCTCTGAATACTTCCCTCACATCAACAGGGACCTCACCCCCAGGATGTTTGAAGCCCAAAGGTTGGCCGTGAACATAATGAACATATCGGAGCCCAACCCTCCGCCTTTTGGCAGGCTGACGTTGCCTCGTTCGCCGAGCCGCGTATTTGGCGGGTTCACTTGGCGTGGGGATGCTGGAACAGGTCACCGCCTTGGGCAAACTCCAGGAGGTGCCGGCAAGGTTCCTCGAGACCGATGCGCGTCAGTTGGGGTCTCTTTTGAGGGTATCCGTCTTCTTGGGGTGGTTGCAAGGGGAACTAAAGGCAATACCGGCGCATTTTGAGAGCAAACCATGTGTTCAAGCCAAGTGTTCACCAGAAAAAGGAGCCACTGGGGGTGGTTTCCCTTTAACCCAGGAAAATGGTTGAGGATGTTTGTTCAATGGACCTAAGAAAAAGGAAGCCAGAAACCGCAATCCACTGGGCAACTGTTGAAAGTTGTATGTGGTTTGCTCAAGAAATATTCAGGGAGTCAACCGTGGCGACCACATTGATCCACCTGCATGGGAAAGGGGGGGGTCGTTTCTCACGAAAGTGAAACAGGGCACCTCCTACTTGACCGGGTTATAATGATGGGTCGACATTCTCGGGACCCCACTTATGAGGCCGATTTGCAGCTTGTTTTTTCTCCTCCAGTAGAGAGGTTAGAATAAGGGTACCCTTTTTCCGGTAGTGTGTCTTAAGAGGGGAACCCTCCCCAAAAAAAGGTAAAAGGGCACTACTGGGGGACCTGGTTGTTGACCTCTTACATGTTCGGGCGGGCGGGGGGGGGGGGGCAGGTGGGGGTGTTGGTAGGGTCGGTGGGGCCTGTTACTGGAGTTGCCGTAAACAAACTCGAACCAGAAACAAAAAACGAAAAGCCAATCCAAAGAGCCCATTCAGTAGTTGCCAAAAGCAACGGCAACAAATGTTGGTCCCGCATTAATCAACCTGTAGCAAATTGCGAGAGCGTTCATGCATTTCCACAGGGATGACATGAAATCCCGCAACACCCGGGGCTTGTCCTGCTGAGGATAGCTATTAGCTAGTAACCCTGGTCAGCTCCATTGAAGTTGGCTCATCAGCCAATTGTCTAACGTACGTACCCACTCGTTCGCCCATTTCATTTGGAAATCAACATGCAAAACATTGAGGCCATGTTTTGGCAGAGGTTAGGAGCCGCTTGTGCACAATATTCCTCTACTTCCAACAATCCTCCGCAGTGGATTAAAAGTATTTTCAACAATCCTCTGCCACCCCCAAATTTAGAAAGTGGGCTCGGGTACCTCGAGTAAGCTCGCCATTGGTGCAAAACTGATTACTCAAATGCCCGAAGAACATACACATAGAAGCTTCATAGAACCTTGGCCAGAAAGAAAGGTCTGCTTCGGAATTGGACAAGTGAGCGTTTCTGTTTCCCATACGATCCAAAGGCATACTTTGATCCGCAACTTTGCTAAGTGGCGAGAGAGACTCCCTGAGTTTGACCCCTACGTCGCCCTGTGTTCACTACCTGTAAACCATGCGTTGTACTAATTACTAGTAGCCAAGGCATAGAAGGCAGCGACTAGACATGTGCTCAAACGCGGTACCTAGTGGGTTCCTGTAGAACTTCATGTAGCTGGCTTCTTGGATTCACTCGACCCTGCAAACCTTCCAGCCACTTTCCATCCTGCAAGTGGGCAGGGATGGACAGGGAGTTTCCCAACAGGAATGCAGTCTTGCAACACCCACGTGTCAGCTTTGATTTTGAGGCTACTGTGCATGTGCTGTTACCACATCCCCTGCCAACAGCTGAACACTTTTAGTGGCTTAGTGGAAGCTACCACTAAACCAACTGACACACTAAAAACCTGAGAACCACCAAGTCTAGTCGGGGAGACTCGCGAAAGGGGACATCAAGTCACCTCCTTTCGTCGGCATCGCACCCTGTCCCGTCCAGTCAACCTTGGCCCACGAAAAAAACATCACGTTCTGGCTGTGGATGGTTGCGAAATCCCTTCACCACCTGGAAACCATGGTTGAAAGCATTCGTTGTTGGCATTTACAGGGAATCATCATCCCAGGGTTTCTATTAGGTGGCGCAGGTCTAGCCTAAGTTTCATCAAAGGGGCATTTCTCCATTGTTTGCCCACTTTTCCAGCAAAAACTTGGGGACAACTGGAAAAACACGCATGTTTTGGGGGGGCCCCTTTTGAATCTAGCCAAGTCGAAAACTCGAGCCTTTCCGAGCTGCTCGGCTCCCACCAAGTACTCATCAGTTTGAGGAGTCGGACAAACGCCTCGCCCAGAAGCGCGCACCACGCACGGAGTCGTAGGTCCACCGCAAAAGCCTCGGCTTCTTGTCGTCATGCGCCGCTCGCTCGGCACGTGCCGAGCGAAGAGCAAACAGATCCTGCAACTACGTTTAGTTTGTTTGTTCTTGTTGTTGTTTTGTCTGGAAAGGTTCCTGTTGGCGCACCGGTTGTGTTTGTTGTTTTGTATGTGGCGTGTTTTCCTATGTTTGCGCCTGTTTTTTTTGTGTATTCCAAAGGTGGAAGGTGGGTAGGGCTCCGGGTCGCGCTATGAAACTAACTGGCTGGCTGCTGTAAACTTTCGAGTTGCCAGTTGCTGGGTTTGCTCGTTAACTTGCGGACAATTGCAATCCTCTGCTGCTCGTCCCCATGCGTCAAAACAATTTTCAGAGGCTCCCCTCCCCCTCCAAATAATTAACGTCTCCATCATACTGGAAGCTATCGGGAAGCTATGGTCTTGCTTGGGGACACCAATGGGAGGTTTATGGGAGGGGGCGACAAGGGAGCTCTAGGAAAGCTGGCCTCGCCACGAAATGGACTTGAAGATTCCCATCTTTTACATGGTGCCTGTAGAGAATGTCCCATGTTTGAGTCAGGGACCTCACACCCGCCCCCTCAAACAACCTCCCCCAACCCCAAGGAGGGCCTTATTTGAATCATCATCAAAACCTGGTACAAAAATGGTGAACCCAGACCCGTGTAAAGAATTGTCACAGCTGGAGATCCGCACCACATTGGGGATTCTCCCTTACCCTCCAATCCGGGCTGTGACTCATGTGACTCCTTTGGCGCTTCACCGAAGCCCAAAGCGGCAAGCCGAAGGACCCGTGAAGCTCAGCAGGTTGTGGTCGCAGCCTGAGCATCCCAGGTCGAAATGGCGCCGCTCTTTTTCAGCTTTTTGATTGTCGGAAAGCTGGTTTGGAGCCCGGTGGTAGGAGGGGCTTCCCAGTTACCCTCCACAAAACCCACGGGTTCAAATCCCCAAACCACCAATCCAAACCACCTAAGGGTTACCTGACTCTTTGGTTGCCACACAGAAACGGAAACCAACCACAACGAAAAAGCAATAGACAGCCCCAGAGCTTCCCCAGCAGCCCGGAGTTCTCCAAGAGCTGCCCAGAGAAGCCCCAAACGCAGGATTGGCTATAGTTGTGGCCGGAGAAAGCAGGACGAAAAAGCAGCAACAAGACGACCAAGCAGTATCCTTGACAGCCCCGGAACTTCCCCAGCAGCCCGGAGTTCTCCAGGAGTCTGCCCCGGAAAGCCGGAGAAAGCTGAGGCTCACACCAACACTACAAACAACTCTATAGAATCGTCAAACATACAGTAAACAAGCACAAAAAGCAACAACATGAAGTCTGAAAAAGCGTCCCCAAACGGAGATTCCCACATTTGTTCCGTTGATCCACTGAGAATGCCATTCTGATAAGAATATGTTTCACATGGGGGGAGTCTTCTAAATCACCCGATTAAACAAATTGATATGCAGCATGGCCGAATATGCTCTTTGAGGAGCAGAAGCAACCAAACAAACATGGCGCGCCAACCTACCAACCAACCAACCAAAACAAACAAACAAATCAAGCAAGCAAGCAAGCAAGCAAGCCACGAACAGCAACCCAATCCACAAGCAAGCAAAGCAAAACAATGCAAGTAAGCAAGCGAGCAAGCGAGCAGGAAAGGCAAGGCAAGGCAAGGCAAGGCAAGACAAGGAAAGGCAAGGCAAGGCATGGCAAGCAGGCAAGCAAGAAGGTAAGCAAGAAGGCAAGCAAGAAGCCAAACCAGCCAGCGAGCCAACCAAGTCTACCCAGTAAAACAATCCGCCAACCCAAAACACCACAGCAAGCAACCAGCCAAACCAGGCAACCAACGAAAAAAGCAAGAAAACCCACTATACAAAGAAGCAAACAATCAAGCAACCAAAATAATCAACCAAACAACCAGACCAGCATACCAACACGAAACCACTCCTACAAAATACAACCAGGTGCTGTGCTTTTCAGGGGGCAGGTGTACATAATCACCGCGTGGTCGATGGCTGGCAGCGACGGGTCCCCGATGCAGAAGGGCGCGTTGGTCGCCGGCACAAAAGCGCTGCAGCTTTTGGTGCCGCCCTGATACCTGGGAAGAAAACAAGAAAGAGCACATGAGTCATAATCAAAACCCGGTATTAAAATGGTCTACCGAGAGCCATGCAAAGAATTAAGCAGGCGGCCGCAGCAATTTATGGTTGGGATTTTCCCTTACTAACCTTCATCTACCCGGGTTTTGATGGTGGCTCACATGGCTTGGTACCACTATTTGGGGAATACATGGTTTAGGGGAATGCAGGGGAATCCATGGGTTATTACCAATATTTGGGGGAATCCATAGGTTGGTACCACTATTTGGGGGAATCTATGGGTTGGTACCAGTGTTTTTGGGGAATCCATGGGTTACCTCCATTTGCTTAAGTCACCTGGAAAAGATGCGGAAACAAAAAAAACACATCGAGTAGCGATAGATTCCCTTTAAACCCAACGGCGGAAAAAGAAAAAGGAAGTTTAGGGAATCTCTGGCTGATGCAGTAAACTGTTCAAACTGGTGGAATAATGGAGGCGGGGGGGACAAAGTTCTCCGGAATCGAACTTCACTGGGAGACTTGTCCATCAACTCCTGGGTCACAACTACATACGAGTCCGACGAGGTATGGGGCCCTGTGACCCCTACGGGAGGACCAAATCCTGCACGTATAGTATAGACTGGCCAGACAAAAGTTACGCTTCTTGAAGGTCAGAGCTACTCCAACCCTTTCCCCCTAAGTTTTTTTCTAGGAAGAGACCTACGGGGGTGCGCGTGGGAAATTTCGGACCCGGAAAGCCTTTTATCATTACAAGTTTAACAAAACGGTGTGATACTTGAGCGTCCCACGCCTGCTACACAAACCGCACTTGTTAATTGGATCCGCGGCTGACCGGGTAGTGTCTTCTCTAAACAGCCAAGAAGCATAATTGTTTGTCTGACTGGAGTATCGCATTTGTTCAAAGGGTTTCAAACCCATGGCAGGTGCATTTCTCGAATCCCGTCCCTGCCATCCGCGTTTCAAAGGATTCGGTCCACGAGAATTCCAGATCCAGTCACGTGCATACCCGCTTCACGCAGTAGTTGGCCGGCGGCGCCGCGAAGCATCTCTGGCCTCAGAGCGCTCGCGTCAGTTGCGTTTTCAAAACGGTAAGGCAGGGGCCCTACTCGCCGCAAAGGTTCGAGACAAGAGGCTCCTGCGGCTGTCAATGGAAGACCCAGACCCATTCGACACCCTGGAGGTGTTTGGGGGTGTGAAAACCTATAGCTGTTTGAGAGGCCTAAATGAATCGGGAGCGTGCTGCTTTCGCAGGGCCAAACTAGGCCATTTAAACAACTCTGGAACGGGCTTAGCCAACTCATTGAAAGAAACGTGGAGGTCGACTTCTTGGGGATCTGGACAAATCACTACAATTCCCTATCAAAAAATAAGGGTCTAACGCATTGCCTTTGTGAATAATCATTGGTGAGCTCGCTTCATCCCCGAATCGGTGACCTGCCACGTAAAATGAGTTGTCAGCGAGAGCCAAGGGGCTGTCCGAGCCCCAGCCACTGAACTTGCAGGAGTAGAAGTCGCCCGCATCCAGCGTGATGTCGCAGTTGTGGCTGCCTGGAAACCCAACTCGATGAACAGAACCAAATTGAAGAAAGAACAAGAACCAAAGACCGTACAAATCGGGAATGCTTTTAGCGCCACAAGGCACCAGTTGGAGCAGTCTAAAGCAGAGCTTCGGTGTCCTTTGAGTTGCCCACCCTCTTCCCCTTGGCTGCCCGGAGGCCAGCCAACCGGAAAACGGAATCCGAACACTGACCGATGAAAACAGGGCGTCTGCTGATTCGGTAAACACCCTCGTTACAACATGGGTGGTTCCAAGAACGGGTTCAAAACGCCTCAGACTGCAGAGCATACCAAAGGATGCTTTCCACTCACGTGGGTCAAGATCTGGATCGTTTCCTGGAGCCCACGGAGTGCCCAGCTGAAGGGGGTCCATAGTCGTGTCCAAAGGATTTCTTCCATCACACCCTGGAATTCCACTCGGCAAATGACCTGCACAAATTAGAATCATTCCCAAGCTGGAAAGAAACCACCCTCAGTGCTAAGCCGCTCGTCGCACGGCTTTTCACCACGGCGGAATCGCTCGTAAGTTGCACAGAATTGCCCGGTGAAACCCATCACAACCAACAAGTTGTTCAGGACCAGGTTGTTCAGCTTGCACTCCGAGGGTCCAATACAAAAAGACAGATCGTTCTTTCTCCGACACTCCACCCTGAACCGGTGCTCAGCACGGAATCAGAAATGGAATGAATCCCATAAACCATCCATCCTATGGCTTCCTTTATTCGGAAATCCCCTTTTGTTCTTCCCTCATTCCCTGCCAACCGCACCAGCGGCCCGAAAGGTAAGCTTGTGCTCAGATGAGCAGTGAATTTCCATGAAAACAAACGGGCACCTTGTTTTTTGTTGGTTCCGCTACATTGCTCAAGACCCCACCCCCCCCAATTGGAGTGAGTGGAGCCCACATCCCGGCCTTTTTTGGTGGTTGAGTTTAAAGGCAACCCTTACCCAACAAAAGTCGAAAAAAGGGCACCACTGGACAACTGGGCAATGAAAGCCTTGAAATGAAATGAACCCTTGAAAGGGAAACCTAAAAAAAAAGCAACCCACCGGTTGCAACCGGGTATGGAACATGAAGCCGGAGCGCCGCTCGGGGCTTTGAAGCACGAGCCGTCGGAAGTCACATCGTCGGGCCCGCAGGCGCTGCAGGAGCCGCTGTCCTGACCTGAGGCCAGGCGGTGAGTTCTCCTTTGTCTTCTGGGTATGAATTTTAATAAGGGACCACTTTGGTGGACATCAAAATTCGGTGGGGATTCATGTCCACCAACCACTTTGGAGGCGGTTCCCTACCAAGATTCATGAATCGCCTTATGGTGTTCCCAGGTTGTCCATTGGTTCCCCAACAATTTCTCCCATTGGCTCGTCCAGTCTTCCATTGGTTGTCCCTTGGAGTAGGTGTTCCGGTTCGGGTCTGGTTTCCTGTGGATCTTTCTTTGAACAACTCCCACGTTTCCAAGTCTTTTAGCTCCGTTTGGACGCCACGGGCAGAACGCGCGGTTTGCTCTGGTCCAGTTGTCTTTGTCTGGGTTCTCCTTTGGTTTGTGGCTCCCCCACTGTCCTACTTCCTGAGTGGATTTTGCTGGGTACCCTTTTCGGCTTTCAACATGGTGTCCTTGAATGCCCACATTTTTGTTGGTGGATATATATATATATATGACTTGGAAAAATATGCTGGTTTTCCCTTTTCATTTTGGTTTAAGGGGGAAACCAACCGGAAAAACCCACATCCGGGGGAAGTCCTGGATTTGGTCCCATCGTCCCATCCCATGCCACCAGACCCCACCAGACGCCGCTGTCCTGGCATGCACTCGTTGACGCCATTGAAATCGGTGCCGCAGGTGTCCTTTGGCAAAGTGTTGCTCAAACGGATAGGGGCGGCTTCCGTTTTGGGGCTCGGCTTCCTTCTTTTGGGGCATGGCTTCCTTTCAGGGCATGGCTTCCTTCTTCTTTTTTTGGGGGGGGGGGCATGGCTTCCTGTTTGGGGCATGGCTTCCTGTTGAAAGCTCTGATTCCTTTTGGAAAAACAAACACATGGTTCATACGAATCATGGCGCGCTATTCCACGGGTCTCCAATGGATGGTTTCCTTTGGGGCACAAATACTCCCCAAAAGGGGGTCCGAAATCCATTTGGAGAAACTCCCTCAAGGCACGGCGGGGAGCGGGGAGGGAGCAAAGAAATCAAGGCAACCAACCCTCTGAGACCAAAACGCACCCTCCTGTAGATGCTTCACGCTGCACGGCATGAGCGAGCTGACCGGTCAGTAAGGTGATCGCTTCCCACCGCATGGTGGTTTGGACTTGTGGTTCGGAGGTTAGCTCGTATTTTGCCCTACAGAAGAGCCAGTTTGTCAACACCAAACCGGCAATCCAAACAACCAACCAAGAGGAATCTGAAGTACGATACTGAGCGGAATGACCAAGAATCAAGCACGTCCGAAATCTCTGCTTGTTTGCCCAAACAGTCTACTGACGTGGCACGTAGGTGGAGAAAAGCACCCACATTGAGTTTCCTATTCAGGACTGCTGGCAAAGGCAGTCCAGGATTTCTAGAGGTTGAGTCCTTCTCAACCATGCGGTCTCCACAAACAGATCTCTTTTTTTTTTTGGGAAGCATGGTGTTCTGAAAATTGGCCAGCCCCAAGGACAAACAGCATTCCACGTGGGCTTCAAGGCGGTCTTGCTGAAAATGGCTTCAAGGTTCCAATGTCCTGTGGGCTGTGTGAAGTGGATCAATGGATCAAAGTCACCGTACCAAGTAACGGGTAGGGGAAAGTAGGGGTCCATACGGGTGTGTTGTTTTGCGTTTTTGTCTTTTATATATATATATATTTATTTTGTTTAAGGGGACCCACTCAAAATGGATTCGGTTTTCCTCTCGTTTCCCTTGAAACCAGCCCCAAAAAAACGGAAACTCAACAGACCCATTTGGCCACGGCTTCGTGCCTGGGCGATCTCACAGGAACCCAACCTCCCCGCGAAGGGGCAGTTGGCAGTTCTGCTTCGTTTGGGGCTGGCATCTCACCGAACAGCCGGGCACCTTTGATCTTGATTGAATAAGGCGAACAGAATCCCTCCATTTGCTTTCCCCCCCCCCCGAAAAAGAGATATATGTCCAGTAGTGGTAGATTCCCTTGAAAATCAACTGGACATTTGCGGGGGTCAAGAATTTGGGTGTTGGCCAAAACACACTTGTTTTTAGTCGGTGGCGTAACAACACGCCGGTGGTCATTGTCTTTTGCGCCGCGGTCGGGAAATTTTGCCTGTTGGTCGGGAATGTTCGCCTGTCGGGACCTTTCGCCTGTAGGTTCGGGGGAGATTGCGCTTACCACCCAAATAAAGCAAAAGAAAGGCCGCAGGCAAAAAGTCGCGCCGCTGCCCCAAAAGACAATTCGTAGCGAAAAGGCGGACATTCGAGCATGCAGGAAGGTCCAGGTATTCTTAAGCAAATGGTAGTCTTAAGCAAATGCAGGGAAGGTGCGTGACTCCACGGACTTTCGCTCGTTTTACCCTCGGATCGGTGGGCTCGTTGATACTCGGCCGGACTTAGACCTTCTTTGCTGGTCAAAAGGGAATATCAAGGAAACCAAACAGGCCCGTATAAGGGCAAACAGGTTAGGATATAGTCTGGAAACGTCGACCCCTAGTAAAGAAATTACTGGGTGTGCCATTTAAGAATTTAAGAGGGTGTCCTTCACTTTTGGGGAAGCACACCCAAAAAACAGGAGTTGATCCCCTGTTGATATTTGCACATCGAGCAACAATTCCCAAACTGGAAATAAGGATCTCCAAGTAAAAGACCTGCATCATGGGGTGTCGCTCGTTTTTTCACCCGAATCGCTGTGCTCGCCAAGGCAGATTCACATGGCCTGTCTGTGAAAGAAACACTTCCGAGTGGTTGATTGATATGAGCATCAGGCGCAGCAAGACTTAGGGCTTATGAATCATGTATATCTACTATAATATATATATATATATACACCAAAAATTGACCCTCGGGAACTGGAAACAAAGACCAACACCTGCGTACCCCTAGCTCTTTCATTTTGAGCCACACCCAAATATATGAGCCCAAGACATTTACTTACCGAGACGCTCCCGATTCATTTAGGCCCCTCAACAGCCAGGTTTGGAGACCCCCAAACACCTCCGTGGTGTCTAATGAAGGGTCTCTGTCTTCCATTGAAAGCCCCAGGAGCCTCTGGGTATGGCGTATGGAACCCCGAAAATGGTCCTCTCCCGTTCCGCTCCCTTTTCCAAGGCTCCGCCACCACCAGCCGCCGCGAAGATGCGGAAGCGGCCGATCCCGAGAGGTTGGCAGGGACAAAGAAGCCCTGCGGAGAGCTGATTGGAGGGACCGGACCCCCCACAAAAAAAATAAACATGTGGTTGTACTTGTCTGTGTTTTTGGCTTCTCTTAAAATCAATCTGAAAAGGGTACCTGGTTGGTAGTGAAGTGAAGTTTGCCGGATTTAGGGTGGGTTTACGAAAGCCAGGCAGGTTGATGGTGAGTTTTGGGTTGATTTAGAGGTTGCTTAGTATTTGGGGCGGCAATCCATTCATGTGAACTTAGCTCATCTGATGATTGGCTTTAGGGCTGATTTAAAATTTATCTTGGGCAGGTTTAGGGTGGTTCTAGGATGGGTTCCGGGTAAAATGGAACACGGAACGAGTACAGTAAGTCCTCCTCGATTGGTTGGATCTCAACAGCGACCATAGTCTTTAAACACCACCCCGCCAAAAGCAAACTTAGCAATGATGATGTCTAGTTAACACCACCCTCTCGGAGTAGGGGGCACCCTCAAAATGTGTGGTTTCCTCTTACTCACATGGGCGCGGCAACCTCCGGTTCACCAGTTCACTGCGCCATTGTCATGGTTTGCCTATGGACCCGTGCAGTCGCTTCGTCCAAAGTAAAAGACAAATCTATTGTTTTTCCCTGCCCCCAGGAGCAAAAGTGATTTTTGACGCTGGCCCATATATCACTTTATCCCTCGGGTTGGTTTGGTGTGGCGTTTGAGGGACACAATCGGACCCAATCAGACATTTCTACCCTTGCGGTTTGGTCGTCTTCGGGACCAGAGCAAGGTCCGAAAGGTCAACACCGCGGTTGCCAAAATTTGGGGTCCTGTTTGGCATCCACCCTGGGACAAATCCTGCACCAGATGTAGATGAAATCGTATGAATACCACTCACAACCCGCCAGACGTTTCTAAGGCCTCATGACTTTACCACAATCAACGTCACAAAATTTTGAGAACCCACCCCATCTGACTTTGATGACCCAACCCGAATCAGTCCAAACTATGGTGGGTTTCCTTTTCGTCCCTGTTTAAAACCACACACAAAAGGGGTGGTGTTCATTGTTTAAAACCAAAAAAAGGGGGTGACAAATAGAAAAAACACACCCATTTAACAGCCATCCGAAAGAAAGAGCGACGAAGATTTCTTCGCCGTAGAAATCAATCGAGCGTCGCCTCGCTGTCAATCGAGAGGCGTCGGATACTTATGTCGGGGAGATCTGGCACGTCATTGACCTGCGTCCTGCACACATCAGCCAAGGTATGTAACACACAGGAAGGGTGCCTACGCAAGCCTACGCCAAAACAAGCCCCTACACGGAGTGCCTGGGCAGACTTTTTCCGGCGCTTAAGTTTGTGTGAGGCAACACATGCCTTTGCGAAGCTGACGCCGGAATTGCTTGAACGGCCAACACGGACTGCCGACGCGATCCTTTCCCTCACCAGAATTGCTTACGCGGTGCTTCCTGCGGCGCATCCGGAGAGACTTCCCCCCGAAACTAAGCGCATACATAGGAAACAAAATTCTACATGGGCACCCAGGTGGCTGGAAAAACAACAACCAGCTCATTTCAAAGACGTCCCCCGCCCAGACCAAACCCCAAGCGAAGAAATCTAGGGCATATTGCCATGTTTAGACCCGAAACTGCCTCCCCAAAGAAAAAAACAAAATGCTTGACCCGACCCGCCGCATTGACTCGATCCGCTCCTCGAGAGGCTCATCCCGGTTCGATCCACGGAGCAGCTCATCGCGCCAGACACGCTGCGGATGGTCAGCCTTCGGGGCGTTCGTGGCAAAAACTGGGTCCGGGACCCCAAAAGCGGTGGCTAGCTTCTTGACTCTCCCGTTAAATGCCAAGAGGAGTCCACCATTTGATAAAACAAACTCCCCGCTGACTCAACACCAGGCGTTTACACTTTAGAACCACCAAAAAAATGATATTCCAACCACTAAATCGGAAAAGTTCCTCATGGTTGGTTGGGTGAAAATTAAACCAACAAACGACCGCGGGTGTTAGTTCTGGTTTCGCCAGGGCTCCATGTTTGATGAACCCACTTTGACCCACGGCCATTGGGGGGCCGAAGGGAAGTTTGGTCTTGGCTAGAATTGGGACCCCAGAAAAAATGTTTTTGCATGGTTGGGGGAAAACAATGGGACACCAAAAAGGCAAATAAAACCAAAAAGGGGAGCTAATTCTAGAGAAGTTTGACCAAGGCGCTGTTGGATGGGCGAGCGCACCGTGTTGGGATCCCGCGTTACCGTGGCCGCCACGCGGATGGCGTCCCCCACTGGGGTCAGCGCGGTGATCCTGAGGTTTGCTTCCCCGTTGCAACTCTGGGTATGGTCACAAAAAACCTGTCTTTTTTGCAGCCCCCTACTACTAATAAGCAGAACAAAAAAAACAACAAAACGCCTAAACACTTGCCAAGAACGGTGAAGTCCAGGCTTAAACAAAAAAAGAAATCTGGTCATCTGACACATACCACCCCTCCAACCATCATGAAAGCCCAGAGGAGGGTGGGTTTCTTAGGGAAGCCCCCGATCGTCTGCCATGAGGGAGGGTGCAACGTGAGTTGAAACATGGCAGGGTGAAGGTGAGTGAGACCTCCGAATCCATATATATATATATACTAGGTCCTTCAGTAAAGAGGTTAGAATAAGGGACCCCAAAATTGTGTTTTTTTGTTTTTGTTTTTTCCCCTCTGGTTTCCCTTCACCACCAAAACAGGTGCACCACACCATATAGGAACCCAAAATTGTGGTTTTCTCACTGTTTTCCCTATGGTTTCCCTTCAGAACCACCAAAACAGGTGCACCCTCAAACAAAGGAACCACACCACAAAGGAACGACACTCATATGGCTGTGGGTCAACAATAGGGTAACCCCAAAATGGGTTGCCCTGGTAAATGAACCAAGGGCTAAAACCTGCGGTTTTTCTGGTGGTTTAATTTTGACCCACACCCATATATGGCCATGGGACAAAATCCAAATCGGTTAGCCCCCAGTGAACATCCCAATCCAACCACTAAAATAGGTCCAAAAATGGGTGAATTCACCTACCCCAAAATGGTACCATTGGTTTTGACCCACAGATATATATATATATATATATATATACACGCACTGACAGCTCACGCGCCAGCGAATCACTGTTGGTTGCCTTCCAGCTTCCCATTTGGGCTGAACCTACTATGTCCGGCATCTCAAAACAAGGTTGTCTTTTTATTAGGGGGCCTCCAAAAATGGTGGGATTCCTTTGGCTTCCCATTAAAACCAACCAACAGGTGGTTCCCCGAAAAAGAAACAAAGAAAAGGAAAAAAAGAGGAACACACACACACACTAGTACTCTGCAAAAACAGAGCCGAGCGCAGCAGTCTGAGGGGTTAAAACCCATTACCACCGTCCAGGCTGGTCCTTTTGCAGCTTGGAAAGTTGGAAAAACCAAAACCAACCAGCACGGTTGCCCTTCTTAGTGGACAAGCTTGGGTTCCATCTTTGAAATCGCTCGATCCTTTTCTCGTTGGTTGACTTGAAGCCCATAGGGATTGTGAGATTTATCATAAAGCCCGGTTTTGTTGAACTCCCTGTGAAACAACCCAAATGAAACACACCCTCAACATACACACCCAAGTTGTTGGCATGTTCGAAGGGGAAAGCCGTGACCCAATGAAACTGATGCCGCTTCAAACTGACTTATGCAGCACCAGCCTATAGGCTACAAGGCGGGAATTGGGGTGGCCTCGCCTCCCCCCTCTGGTATGAGGGTGAACATTTGAGGCTAAAGAAATGTTCCTTGAGGAAAACAGCCATAGGTCAAAGGTCAGACTCAGACTAAAGAGGGCGCTCCTAGGATCCTAATCCCCCTCCCTCCCCTTGTTCTCCGAAAACAAGTCTAAATCAAAGTGGCCGTATTTGGAGAGAACCGGAGGGGTTGGGCTTTTGTGACATCCACCGCTGAGTGCGAGGTTTGGAAATAGGTCCAAATGAAATGCTGAGAAGTTATTAAGGCCGTGGGGAAAAAGTATGCTGGTGCTCAGTAGGGAATGACTCTGGGTTTTGGGAATGAACCTAGGGATTCCCAGCCATAAGGGATTTTGTTAGGGGTCATTTCATTTCTCATTCCCTGCATATCGAACCAGCAAGAAACACCCTTCCTTTTTTGGTTGATTCCGAAGGAACATCCTTCCCAACAAAAGAAAAGTCATGCCACTGAGCTGGACATGTATCAACACCAGCAACGTGTGGTCCTGTTTGCATCCAACACTTTTTTCAACCCCTCCCGGTTATGGCAAGGTGCAGGGAATCCATCTGCAACTTGCTTGTTACGGGGTACTTCATGTGGAGCGCTTTTCTTGATAGACAAGTTTGGCGCCCCATGAGGGCGCTCGCCATTCACGCCAATTGCCATTCTATGGCTGTGGTTGACTTCCGGTTGGTCTCCCTTCAAATAACATCTTGGGGGCGTTGTTTGTGCCGCCAAACAAGAAGACGGAACCAAACCCCCCCTGATATTGTTGGTGAGTTTTGAAAGAGTAACCGGCCCTCCAAAACTTGGGAAACTAGCTACCCCCCTCCTTCTGCCCGGAGGCGCTGGCTGATTCACTGGAGCCAAGCATCACTGGAGCCGGAAACATGGAGTCAGAGACTTGCGGAATGCAGTCGAAGCCGGTCTCCGCCTGCGAAGATCCGCGAATTCAAGAACTCCCCAAACCTAAAGTAGAGATGTTCGAGAAAAAGGACCCAACTCATCCTGGCTCGGGCTTTACCCCACTCAAAAAGAGTGAACTAGAAAGATGGAATGCCCGTTTCGTCACATTCCCTACATTTCCTGGGCTCCGGAGCAACTGTTCAACAGGATTCCTATGCCTCGCAAACAAGAATAATTTGATCCTCATCTTCCGTTCTGTGCGACCCTGCAACTGAGATGGTCTTTGCAATGAAGCACTGACCACGGAGCTATCCCTGCAAAGTTGAGAAAGCCAGCCGGACATCGGCCATTTCCATGTCGTGGCTTTCCTGGGAAATCACCCCAACACGGGATCCTCCAGATGCTAGGGAAGCACACTACTTCATTGAAAAGAATCAACAAGCAAGTGCAAGATTGCATTTGGTGGCGAAGCAATTGATTCCCGACCCTACGCGGGAGGACACCTACTTAGATGGTTTGCCGGAAAAGTGGATGCCGGGCCCCCCCCCCCCCCCCCCGCACACTAATTCAATTCCTTGCAGCGACAACACAGGGGAATCAAGCCAAATTTTGGGCTGCCCCTGTTTCCATTGACATGGAAACAACCAAAGGGTCTCCAGGCAGGTCCCATATCGTTTGGGACGGTACGAAGCCTTTGCGAGGTTGTGAAAAAGGGACACCAACATAACACCATGCCTTTTCGGTGTTTCCGTGGTTTTCCTATCTGGGTCTGTCCTTTTGTAAGGGTGCCGCTCCATTAGGTGTTGATCGGAACCCAAAGGAAGCCCCTTCTTCATTTTCGGGAGCCCTTTGACACATCGGATCATCGCACGCGACCCGTGGCCTTAAATCTTCCAGACGGGACCTGCAGGCTGTTGGGGTTGCCCCCGCCGCCGCCAACTCAGTGTGCGCTGCCGGTCCGTGTCTGAGAGTTGCATAGGTTTTGATTAACCTATGGGTTACTTAAACATTTTGAGAAATAACATTTCATGATGTGTATATAATATACAAGCTACAAAACCGCTGAGGGTGAAGAACAAAATGGTTTCACCAACCACTAAACTTGTTGGACCTGGAGGGAAAACATCGACAAATACACAATTTCCGAAGCGCTAACTCAGGCCACTCTGACGGAAACCCCGCACTGATCAAGCTTGCGGAGTGGGAGATCCGGTTCCTCTCACTCTGAGAAGGCAAACAACTAAGGCTTCTGCTTAGTCGCTGTGCTTTGGGAGCGCTGGCTTTGCCTTTACCCCTTCCGGATCGAGACTTTTTGCCGAGATGATCTTCCGAAAGAGTGCCTGAAGTCCAGGAACTCAAAAAGTGACGAATTAACCGTTCGGCAATCCCCGCCCTATGCACCTCCAAAATTTGATAAGAAGTGCTCAAACACGGGTTTTGCTCGTTTTACCCCCTATTGGTGACTTGGCAAACAAACCGAGAGCCATCGCGCGAGACCATCCAATCCTCCAGTTACCACTTTTGGGAAACCAACACAAACCACTGTGCAAAACGAGGAAAAAAACAAAAACAGCTGCCCACTCTGATGGAACTCAAACCGAGGGTCCAAAACTGAGACTGCGGGGTTGGCTTTCCGACATTTTTGTTGGTGGTTTCCCTTTGGTTTCCCATGCTCACCAACCCAAAAAGTGGTATCCTGAAGAAAGCGTACCTTTGGTTTTCCTTTGGTTGCCCCTTAGACTGGGCTGGTTTCCCTGTGGTTTCCCTTTACACTGGGCTGGTTTCCCTTTGGTTTCCCTTTGAACTGGCTCAGCTCCCCTGCTAAAAGTTTAACTTGTGGGTTAAATGGAAACCCCCCAACTAAACCTGGAAAACTTACAAACCCAAGGAACCCATTCGCGGATTCGGAAACTGGGACCCGCCAGAACTCACCACGTTCATCCCATGTTTGGCAGCTGTCCGATCCCGGGCCAAGGCACCGCAGTGAACTTGGCCCTGCCCAAACTCGCCTGACCCAACGTTTTCCAGTGCTTTGGGCCGGGGGGGGGAGGGAGGCCCGTGTCCTGCAAAACCTCATCATTGTTATTCTGATTCTTGTCGTGCTTGCTTTGCATGGAGTCTCTGGATGAAATGAATAAGATATCCGTGCCTGGCCGGTTCCTTCGGCGAAAATCACCAAAAACATGGGCTCTTTAGCGTTCAGTTTAAACCGTCAACCATTTGGGGCTAGTTGAAAGAGACAAGTTCAGGAAACCCGACGGGAGCTTCTGCAGGAAAACCACCAGTAACAACCCCAACTTGAGAGATACCCTTTCTCCCCAGCGACAGGCTTGACCACCCTGAAAAGGGTACCTTAAAAGACACGCACACGCGAACACACAGACAGACAGACAGACAGACAGACAGACAGACAGACAGACAGACAGACAGACAGACAGACAGACAGACAGACAGACAGACAGACAGACAGACAGACAGACAGACAGACAGACAGACAGACAGACAGACAGACAGACAGACAGACAGACAGACAGACAGACAGACAGACAGACAGACAGACAGACAGACAGACAGACACAGACAGACACAGACAGACATACACAGACAGACACAGACAGACATACACAGACAGACACAGACAGACACAGACAGACACAGACAGACACACACACACACAGACACACACAGAGACACACACAGAGACACACACACACACAGACACACAGAGACACAGACACACACACACACACACACACACACACACACACACACACACACACACACACACACACACACACACACACACACACACACACACACACACACACACACACACACACACACACACACACACAAAAGCACAAGCACAAGCACAAGCACAAGCACAAGCACAAGCACAAGCACAAGCACATGCGCGCACACACACACACAAACATACACACACTGAAATGGATTGCCCTGTCGCCCCAAGCCTTCTCTGCAGGTGGCCCCACACTTCTTGCCGAGCCGGGTGAAGAGACCGCAGTCACCCTGCCTCAAGAGAAAACGTGTGGCTTAGACAAGGACCCAGGAATTGGGCGGGTTGTCCCGGTTGTCCACTTGGTAGCTTGGTTTTCAAGGCAAAAGACAATCGATATCGAGGTCCTCGGATTTTGAGTCAAATCCAAATCGTGGAAGTGGGGACACCCACCTCCATTCCTTTTTATCTCCATGGCATGGGGCTGATCTCTAGATGCAATCCGAATCCAAATGCCACCCATTTGTTCAATTGGAAGTCCCCAAGCAGGGCTCAAAACTTTTTGGGCGGGTCAGGTTCCATCTTGAGTAGTTTCCGGGCGCCTATTTTGCAGACCCGACATTTGGCCCAAGGTTGCCCATTGAATGGGTTGAAACGAGTCATCAAAAGAGACCCCGAACACCAACTTGAGACTTTGATCCCTTCAGCCCGGAGCAAGGTAAGGAAGAAATTCCTTTCCGAGATGTCGTGTTTGTGTGTGAAGAGAAACCAACATATAAATCCAACCGTTTGGAAAGCTCTCTTCAATCAAGTCTGCAGCACCGAATGCTCTTGAAGGATCATGCAGGCGCGTTAGGGATTCGCACATGTCCCCCACCAAAAAAAGAACTCAAACAACATTGGCCAACAACTGACGGCTGAAATGGCTTGAATGGAAATGGCGCTCTGCCAAGTCTAGAAAGCCTACAACTGGTGGGATTTCATCAGGGGGTCACAGCCTCAACACGCGCAAAATTGGAGGTGAGCGGGGCGGGGCGGACTGGGATTTCAGCCGGAAAGAGCAAGCCAGGTGTGGGCGTGGGTTGGGCGATGCGTGTGGGTGTATTCCTCTGAGGTGTCATGTTTCAAATATTGGCCACGTAGCTTTTGAAGAGCTGAGACGCCTGACTAGGCCTGAGCCTGGAGGCAAAGAACCGACGGACCACTTGGCCGGTGCCAACGATCAACAATTGCTGGCCACGTTTGGAAGTCAAACTCGAGGGCCTCTTGTAATTTTCTTGTTCAGCGTTCAACCCAACACCTAGGATATGTTGTCATCATTGCTTTCTACCATGAGCAAACCTATAAGATCATAATACACGCAACGTTCGTCCTTGCATCAAGCGGATTATCTCTGGCTTCCCTTGAAGCCACCACAACGGATAGCCTCAAACCAAACCTAGGTCCGACGGTCCTCCAGTAGAGAGGTTCGAACAAGGGTACCCTGTGTTTCTGTAGTCTAGTCTAGTAGGGGAACCCTCCCCCAAGAAAGAAACGGTAAAAGGGCACTGGGGGACGTAACCCCCAAAAACCCAAATGCTCAGCGCATGTGATTCAGTCCAGGGAGCTGGTCCGGCTGAATTCCGCGGATCAGCCAACCTGAGCGCCCGAGTTCGCGCTCACCACCCAACCCCCGCAAAATCCCTGTCCAACCCCTATTCTAGAACCAAACAGGTTGTGTTTTTTGGCAGCCCCCACTAAAAATGAACAGATCCAAAAAAAACATGCCAAGAACAGTGAAGATGCCCATGTGGGTTCGATCTTTGGAGGGAACCTCACTTTCCTTTGCCTTCCCCTGCAAACAACCTCAAAAAAGACACGCCGTAATACTTGTTTGAGGGTAGCCTTCAGGTTGGTTTCGGAAAACCGAAGCCTAGTTTGGGCATCCAAATATAATATGACCATATACACAATCTGAAGTAGGCGGTTCCCCTTCCTCCATGGCACCTGACTGACAGCTCCCTCAGACCAGGCGAGGATCCAATACGCAAACATGATGTTTGGGCGGCTCACTTCCGATCGAGTGGACTGCCCCGAAAACAAGTACACAATGAGCGACCCACCGGATTTCCGGATGAAGAATCAATCATCATAATTTCAAGACCGGAACAACAAACAACTACCTGGAGTCTCCATGAGCCAAAAAAATATGGGACCCAAAACTCAGGGGTCATGGACCCATTTTTTAAGGGTCAGGCGCCCCTTTGACCTCGGAAACTGGCGCATGCAACGCGCACTTGCAGGCTTGGGCCCCGCGCTCTCCCGACCGTTCGCGGATTCCACCTGGGCCTCGAGGGGCAAGGGATAGCCCAAGACTCTGGTTATGAGAGCCTTGAATCCCCACAGGCCTCAAACAATAATTGGTGTTGTGCTTCTGGGGATAGGGAAAAGCTTCTTTTGGGAGTGAACCTGGGGATCCGCAGTTTATAAATATCATTCCCTCTTAAGTTTCGTGACAAACAAATTAGAGGCATGACTGTTGAGGTTGTGTTGTTCGGCTTGTTTGCCAGCAGATGCAGTTGCCCAATGGGTGAGGCGATGTCTGTCGCATCTTGCAGACAAGCAAATCAATGCTGACTTCTCCCTGGATCGTATTTTGCATCTTTCAGTGCACGAGGCTGCGTGGACTCTAACCTTTTGTCCTATCCTTGCGAAACCACAACTTCTGGATGATCACTAGGGCGCTGTTAGTGGGGATTCATCACTTTTGTGACTGATCCCCCAATGAATGAACTCCTTCCCTACCAGAAAATAATTCGGACTAGTTGACATACAGGTACCCTTTTTGGTTCGTCGAGGCGAGAAGCAAAGAAACCCCATTTAAAGAAACGAGAATACACAACACGGGAGGAGAAGGTTGTGAACCTGTCTCGGAGTTCAAGACCCTAAATTTGAGGGCCTTGCACTCCCACCGCCTCAAATAATGCAGTTTTGGGTTCCTGCTGGTAGGGTATCTCCCCCAGACCTTCGGGCACAAGTGGTCTTCCTGCATCTCCCCTATCCCTGTTCAATGTTTCTCCAATGCTCCGTCTGCAGGTCGGCAGTGTAGGCGAGAAACACCTTTTGGAAGGAACCCCCTTTCTGGGTTCTATGTTAGCTTGCAAGGTATGCCTGAAATGTAGGAATCCGCCCGGTGGATTCGCTTTGCCCCAAACTTGCGGTGGGGGGGTCTCTGCGCAACAGAACCGTCTCACCCGCGTGGAAAAACCATCAAAAAACAAACTTTCAGTGAGACTCAAGCGAATCAATCGCGGCTGTGCAAGGCTTTGGGGCCCCCTGGTCTGGGCACAACCGAAAACCCAAAGTCCATGGCTCAAACCGAAGAAAAGGGCGCAACAGGTCTGATGTGCAGCCGGATCGCTGTGGTGATGGGCGACAGGCACGCCTCAGCCAAGCACCCCAGGTGCTTGGAACCGACCAACTCTCAAGCTTGGGGCCCTTTTCAACCCTCCGTTTCCCCAAGTCCCCCAAGCTCAAAAAAAAAACGCGACTCCAGCAGCGACCGAATCCCTGATTACAGGGGACAACAAACAACGTTAGGCAGATGGCACTCCTCAAGGGCCATGGCCATGGCCCACCAAGCCTGGTTCGACACTCCGGTTCTGAGTTCGGGAAGCCCACAAAAATTGGCCACATGGGAGTAACTCCTAAGCGACACTGTGGGACAAGACCATTGGCCGTTTACCCTGACAAGAATGTCTGAAACGCAAAAAGGGTTTACGGCTGGCTTTGGTTTGGGGGTTTGGAGATACTTGACCCTAGACAAGCAACCAAGGGTCCAAATCCCTAACCCATCCAAACCACCGCTTGGTTACCTGAAGGCCTGATCTCTCCCCAAAATATGATTCCCTCGCAAGCACCAGTTTAACAATCAACGGGCTATAAACAGAGGCTGGGAATGAAATGACTTGCTGCTCCTGAGTGAAATGAGAATGACCCCAAGCTCAACCAACTCCTGGAAATTCCTTGCAGATTCAATCGGCTCAATCTTACAGTTGGCATTCCCTGTCGGGATCTCCCAACAAAATCAAGGGCGCATGACCCGTTATAAGGTTTCTGAAAGCCATGAGTTTCCCTTCAAAACCTTGGCCCAAGCTGGCAAACACCAAACAAACATCTGATCAGATTCTGGTCCATATTTTGTCTGGCCGAAAACAGATCGTAGCTTTAGGGGTGGCCGGACTTGTGTTCAGATTCTGCGTGATTCTGGCCCGTGTGTAGCCTCCCTCAAAGTCACAAGCAGTGAAAAAGGTGACCCCAAAAACGGCCAAGCAAAAAAAAGTAAGACGAGCACCAGGGCGCAGTTTGCAAGCTCCTGCACACGAAGGTGTTACTCCACACGCCGTCCTGCCGCACATGGACAGCGCAACTGGGCCAGGAACTTGCGACTGATCCCCACATAAAGGGGTCTTTTGACCTCACGCATTGATGTTGGAGGACACCAGACTTGGCTACGAGGTGGGTACCCCACTAAAAACTCACGCAGCAAAATCCAGCACAGCAACAACAGCACTATATGGGTCTAGCCTGGTACAGCCAGCTCAAACCTGTGGCGTAAAGTACGTAACTCATCTGGGAACGGCCACCGCCAAAACGCAGAATATTGAGTGAGTAACGAACCATTTCGCAAGTAAGCAATCCGTGGCCCGCAAGTGCCGGGGCGCAATGACAACTTTCCGTGAGTTTAGAGCGATTTGTTGTTGGGTTCTGTCAATTTGAAGCGCAAGCTGCGCAAAGCAAAGATGGCTCTGGACATGAAGATGGGGCTTTTGAGCATCTTGAGGTAGGAGCAGCTGCTTCGAAATGTGAGTGGGATGGGGCCAGATATGGATTCTGAGAGCCCCCCCCCAAAAAAGGAGGAGTGTACAAGGCCTTGCCTTTTGTTGTGTTTTGCGAGAACCTCATCGGGGCCGCCCGAGAAGGGCGGGCCGGACTGCCACGTCACCCCTCTGCGTATCCACCTGGTCACATACAGGCCTTCATCACAGCATTGGGGCCCAAACTCCAAGCGGGTTAAAGCGACCTTTGCATCTGCAACCTGAAAAAACTCACATAGCCTGGATCAGGCCAAGCGGGGTGACCCAATGCGGAGCTGAAGGTGACCTGAGAATAGTACCACCAAACTTCTAAATCCGTGACCGGGCTCGATGACGGCAAGATCTGGATGTTCGTGCCAGCCTGTCAAGGCTCTCTTCGTCAGCCGCCATTGCGACTTACACGAAGCCGCCTTGCAAAGGCATCTTGAGCACGGGGTCTGTTGACCATGGCACATATTGAATATGGGACCATGTGGCTTTTGAGAGTAGCCGTGTACGGTTAGTGTACAGAAACACAGGATTTCGGTGGGTCCCCTATTTGGCTAACAGGACACAACGTACTAAGCTATTCATGGAACATTTAGGGTGTTCCCCATCTAACAAACGCATAATTAGCCAGGTGTGCCTTAGTCGTTGCCATTCGATGCCACCATACCCGATTCAGAAATTCGAGGGACCCCTCCGTTTCTCTTGTATCGAGTGACAAACCAGTTTTTCCTTCCAAGAGGTTAGCATGTGGGTGGGTGTCTTTCTTAGTTTACACTTTTTTTGGGGTTGGTTTAAAGGAAAAACATCCGGAAATCATCATTGCGTTCGTCTCCCTATTTTGGCATATCCACATGTTGATTCGGTCAAGCCAAACATCGAAGGCGAACCAACTTCAGTGAGTTACAACGCCTATTTGGTGGTAAAAAGCTGCACTGCACGTTTGTTTCCACCGGGCTCAAGGGTAAACCGCACACAGGTAGAACAGCCACATGTGGGATAAGTACCTGTTAAATTAGGCCTGAGTGTCATGTTCTCAGATTCTCACTCGGTGAGCGGATTTGCAAAACATTAGAAACCTGTTCTGCCACTCAACGTGCAGCTTGGTGTTGTGTCTAAAGTCTAAAGTTGTCTTTCCCGCCGCGCGATTCGAGGACGAGGGAGTCTCCTGACACCGGATGCTGCCGGTGGGCACATAGCTTGCATCACAAGCCACAGGGCAAAGGAATCCATCTGGGACATCGCTACCTGAGCCAACTGCTTAAGGCCAACGGTGGCTGGGACCCGTGTGGCAGTGGGATATCCGGATACATCCGACAGCTTCCGATGTAAGGGACTCCGACACCTGTCAGCTACTATTGTGAGTCAGCAACTGGGTGGAGTAAGGAGGAAGCAACCTTGATGCCGAGACAGCATCGAGATGAAGCAACTAATTGCATGTGCAAGAGTCCGTCTATTTCCTTGAGGAAATCAAAGTCTGCGAGTGGACTTTCCCAATTCATCAAATTAGCAGGCAGCCGCCAATAAACACATACTGGCCATGCCTTAGATCAGGCAGCTGCGAGTGCAACTCCCCACAAATGCCCCACTGCCAAACGTGTTAAGGCCTTACTCTCACTTCCTGAATGAATTGGCGAAACAAGTATGTTTTTTCCCCCACTGACATGGTCTTTCCAAACAGTGCCAAGTCCAGGAACTCGGAAAGTGAGTACTCGAAACGGTTTGGCTCCAAGGCGTATTGAGCCCCGAACCCTTGGGGGATCTTTGGATGTTTTAGTTTCTCGATGACTGAGCCTCGCCCAAACCCCACCAAAAGGGAGCTCATCTTATGCTAGTTCAATAAGTGACTTTCAACACCCTTTTTAAGTGTATCACAAATATGTGTATGCTGATTTTATTACCGATATTCGATGGAGTTGTCGAATGAGTTTGTTTTGATTGTTGTAGCTGGAAGAATGCAATCACAGAAACCATTGTATTCTCCACCGAAACGGGTCTTGTCACTTTGCTGATTAGCTCAGATGCCCAGTGGCCATGGGAAAAAAAGGCATCCTTTCTTGCTTGGTTGACTTTAAACGAGAACCCTTCCCAAAACAAATGCAAGAAAGCGCACCACTGGGCAACTGGGTTAGTATGATCCTCCTCGCTCATCTGCGAGGTTGACATAGGCGCGTGTCCTTCTTGGAGGCTACCTTTGTAAATATTGTTGGGATTGAAAAGGGAGACCAAAAGGTTCTCCGACCATTTTGAGAGGCCAGTCGCTGTTGAAGACAACCCCACATCTTTGCATCACAACAAGGAAATCTCACTTGAGGAGCGGGTGAACGAAAGCTAGCAGTTGTTGCATGAGATGGGTCGGTGACAGAGTGGATTCATGGGTAGCTTGTGTACAACGAGAGGCCCGGCAAGATTCGTAGGATGCGACACGCAAACGCACATGGTGGCGTGGCAAACCTTGAAAAATGAAAACAACGAGAGGCGTCAGAAGCTGTCTTAAAGCACCTCTGGGTTCTGCATGCTGCGTGTGCAACGATTCTTGCGAGGTGGTTTACTGAGAAGACTGAGGTCTCAAATGAACAAGCTGAATCGGTGGAACATGTAAAAGTTCGTAGCACCAAGTCCAAAACGGGCAAACCGAGACTGCTGAAACACTGAGCCACTGCCCGGGGGGAGGGGTCGACCAAGGAGGAATCGAGCCTGAGACACGGGGGGGGGGGGAGGGGGGGGGTCTAAATAATTGATGTTTTTCAATCTTTTCGGCTCAAATAATTGAAAAAATCAATCTTTTGGCAGTTGAGCCCCTTACCTTGCTTACGCAAGGAGAAACTTCAGCTAGCTCATTTACAACCCCAACAAAGTGCTATTTGCAAAACAAAAGGAGCTCCTGCAACGAAAATACACCAAACCTCCAAAAAAGACAAGCCCACATTACAATAAGTAGAGGGCACAACCCCATTCACTTACCCGCATAAAGGCAATTTTACCACCTACTTTCACCCTGATGTAAACGAGCATGTGATTTGTTGGACTTTGCTGAGTTGTGATGTTTCAAATGGGACAAGCACCCCCCACAACAGAATTACTTCTGACAAAGCTAGAGTCCAAGCAAAGCAAACAATGCCTGTTGTCAATGTTTGGCAGCAGATCCAGTTGCCCAATGGGTGAGGCGCTGACTTTGTTGCATCTTGGAGAGAAGCACATGGAAACTCAAGTCTTCCCTGGATCGTACTGCATGTTTCGAGCCTCAGTCAAACCTCATCGGAGGCCGCATGGATTCTGGAGAAAACCCATTGGCGCCATCCCGCGAAACCAACCAGACAAACAAAGCAATATGGGTATGGGTCAAAATCAAGTTACGAGGGGACCCCAGATTTTAGTCCGTGTTTCCTCTTGCCAGGGTTTCATTTCGGGTACCTATTTTGACCCACAGCCATATAGGATCCGAAGGGCAGAAAGATTGCACCCGCGAAGAGGAAAGGTCCCCTCGCACCACATTGCCGCTGGGCGCAGATGAACCTCACAGGAATCGATCCCCATCGAAGCATCAAGAGGAAAGACGCCATGGGTGGTGGCACAGGTGTCCTTTTTGGAAAACATAGACGGCCCATCATGATTAAATCACCAGGCGATGCTTCAACGAAACCAACCGAAAAGGACACCTGTGGGTGGTGGTGTAACCCTTCTGAGACCATAAATAAGGAGCCGAAGGTCCACTTCTCCCAAGTGCCTAACATAGGCACGACAACATTCATCGAAGGCTCCGGAAGGCGGTATACCTCTTTTGCTTGCCACTAAAACAACTGGATGTTTATTGAGGGATCTACATGATCACCGCTACCAACCCCAAGTAGAAAGGGGTAGTAATACAACTCCGTGAGACCAAATTACCTTGCGATCATGAATATACAGGTGTGTGTGTGTGTGTAATTGCTTGAGGATTTCTCAAAATAGTGATCGCCCCGAATGGAAGGTTTCCTTTCGGCTGCCCTTGCCAGCTTTTTGTTAGTGACGTCAAGTGGCGGCCACTTAGACAAAAATGAAACGAGGCCACTTAACTGAGTGCTGGGGCCGCAAGCGGCTTCTTGTTGGCTGTTCAAATTTCTATTGGTACCTTCCCCATTCTTTCCATTCTTTCAGGGATCCTTCTTTTCAGGAAACCATCAAAAACCCAGGGGAAACTGCCGGTTTTTGAAAAGAACGATGGCTGAAAATAATGGGAAATCAACCCCTAGAAAATTGCCTGTTGTGCCCCCGGGAGCCTGCACGTTTAAAAAAAGCAAGCTTGTAAACAAAAGCATGGCCAGCTGAGGCGAGCGGCTTGCGCAGAATATTTCAAATGCGAGTCTCAATGCGTGTCATGTGAGTGTCGCACGGAGGCGACTCGAGGTCACTTAGGTCACGAAGAGGTCACTTACGGCAGTGTCGACTAGCTCGATTGAGTGTCATTCGAGTGTGGCTGTCGTCAGGTTACAAATCACTCTGAGTCCTCAAGGTAGCCAAGAGCCACTGTGTCTAACTGGCGCTTCTGTAGCCTAAGTGGCCCTCATCTCGCTTAAGTGACCTGTTGAAATTCAGCTAGGCGACCTGATTTTGAAAATGCATCATAGAACCCAACAAATGAACTGAGGTCACTGAACTGCTGCTAAGTACCATTTGGGGGTCGATTTGTCTGCCAGCTTACCCTCAATTGGCAATTTGCACCCGGAAGGTTTGAAGATGACACCTGATTTGTTTGGTCTTTCTCTTTGCGAGGCCACAGGAAGCGAGTATGAAGTTTGATTGGGAACAAAACGAAGGACGTGTCTGAAACCAGGATGGCGCCAGTTCTTGGAAGTTCGAATCTACAGGTGTGAAAAGAAAAATCGGAGAGCCGGGCAAGGGAGATTACAGTTGGTGTCCTACTGACTTCCCTCTCAAGCAAAAACAACCAACCTAGAAAAAGAGAATCAAAAAAAGGGTTCCCTCCAAACAGCCGCCAACACAACCTAGAAAACAGAAGCCCAACAAGGGGCTCCCTACCAAACCAAAAAAACACACAAACAGGCGTATTGGCCTTGAAGCTCCCCAGCTCGGCTCGAGCAGCATTTGGCCAGACCTCCCGCGGGCCCGACTTGAAAATACCACCATCTTCCAGTGAGCCCCACTGAGCAGGGCCACATGTCCTCAGCTTCCGATCGCGTAACCCGTATGGCAAGAGCTCAATCCTGTGCCAGGGACATACGAAACCCTACGAAGACGGGAGGAGATCCACAATCATTCCAACGTCTGAAATTGGGAATCCCCAAGTCTCGGTCACAGTTAGCTCATTTGACCTTGCCATAAAGGTCCGTATTTGGACCATTTTTCCCGCGTGGTCATTTTTTGTTGGCCGGTGGCCGTATGCAACCCGTATTGGTTCAACAAATTGTTGACAAACAACGCGAATCACCGTATGGCCATTTGTCGCGCTTTGAATCATTCACACGTTGTGTTTGTTCTCATGCTAAGTAGCCGGTGACTTTCTCGTCAAAGGGAAGGCAGCCGGGGATGGGTATGCGAAGGACAAACAAATCCAGACCTCAATCTACCTGCAAACCCATACGTGAATTTTTCTGGGAATCCGGGCAGGGAAGGAACGGATTCCGGAATCGCGCAGAAAGCCACAAGTTCCACTCCAAATGCATCCAGCTCCCCAAGCCCTGACTAGCTAGAGTCCCAACTTGGGATGGTGAAAAGAGGGAAGGTATGACAGGGTCACGGAAGGCGGCAATAAAGCCCGGGTTCACGTGGAACACCCAAATAGAGAAAAATTGGCGATGTGTCACACAAGACCACCAATTTGCTGGTTTTCTGTTTTCCCTTTAAACCGACGTCCCAAATCTCCCTTTGAGCCCCCCTTTTGGGTTCTATGTTGAAAATGCGAGGAAGTAACCCTGCTCTGCAGCCTGGTTGCTCTCGTGGTCACTGCATTGTTACCATTCCCGGTCCTCTCCAAATCAAAACCAGCGTCGCGAGTCAAAGAGCTTAGGTGTGGGAAACAGGTGTGCTATATCTCTATATATATATATATTCTGGGTGTGTCTTTTTTACTTGAGGGACTCCAATTAAAAAAGGTTGGTCCGAGCATGCGAAACTGCTTGAGCCGCGCCGTCGCCTTTGCGAGCCTCGTCGTGGTGATGTTGATCGTTAAAAAAAGAGATGCCGAGACTGCTGGAGCTGTTTTGCGGCACGAAGTCGATTGGCCGAGCCTTCGCTCTCCCTGGACATCGTGTCGAAATTTGAGCCCACGATCCTGTGCGACATCCGGAGCTGGGACTACGCGCTGTTTCCGCCGGGGCACTTCGACATGGTCTGGGCCCGGTCTGCACGGAATACAGCCGAGCGCTGACGAAGCGCCCCCGGCGGCTCCAGGAGGGCGACGCTCTGGTGCAGCGCGCTCGATGTCATAGCGCACTTCGAGCCGCTCATGTGGGTCATCGAGAATCCGGCCACCGGGCTGCTGAAGACCCGGCCGTTCATGGAACCTTTCCGGGTTGCTTTCACCCCTTCGGAGGGTGCTCGCCATTTTGAGATGACCACATAAGCAAAACCCCTGCCGATTGTCAGACATTTGTGATGTTTGTCAGCCTTCCTGGCAAGTTGAAAGGAATTGCGGCGAAACCCGAGTGGGGGGAAGTTAACCCAAAACCAGACACATGGGGGGTCTGTCCAACAGAAGTGAGTGCGTCGAGGGAGCACATCTTTGTGGTTTTGAAAGGCAAAAACCAAAATACAATTTTAGGGGTCTCCTAAAAAAGACACACCCAAAGTTTCAAACAAAAGGAACGGTGAACAGGGAACCAAACTCCAGACTTGAAAAAATGTGGTGGAATTGGATCCATGTTCACTCAAGACGCTACAAGAATAACGCGTTTAAGTTCTATGGCTAGGATTTACAACCAAAAAAAGGTTCTGCCAGTTGGGCAAACCTGGGACTGCGAGAGGGGGGCCTCGTTGTTGTTGTTCGGGAACGGCTAGAGTCTTTCCCTGTGGACTATCAGACAGGAAACTGACGGCAAAGTTAACCCCGCAGAATGAGGTTCTTCTCTTTGGGGAATGGCGTGAGTCGTTTGCTTCCTGTGTTCCTTTGGACTATCAGGTAGGAACTGAAGGCAAGGTTAAACACCCGGATCATTTCAATATGCGAAAACCGAGGGATTGAACCTCTTTTTTTGTTCGGGGAACGGTGGGGGTTGTTCGCTTCCTGTGTTCCTGTGGGCTATCAGACAGGAAACCGAAAGAAAAGCTAAACACCAGGTCAATATGCGAAATCCCCCTGTTGTTGAAAGGGGTTGGAATCTGTAGTGAGGCCGTCCATCAAGATAATAAAAGTTTAAAGGAGCGGGCGTGACCTTCTGTGCTGATGGATCAGCGAAAAAAGGGGGCCTACTCAGAGCCAGGCATTTGTGCGCCAGAGAAAAAAAAGGTCAGTTGCAACATGATTATCGAAGGAGGTTCTCATGGCTGGTGTCGCCCAAGCATAACAGAGAATACAGACTTGCCAACTTCTTGTTGCGCTTGGCTGTGGGGTCAAAGGCGATGCACCATGGCCAGGTTTGCCAAAACCGCTCACGGTCTGGTTGGCCGTCCGGAGGATCCCTGCAATCGGTTGACAGCCCTGCGTCAGCTCGGCGTGCCCGAGGCTCCTATCCGGGGAGTATACTGAAGCCGTAGTGCACACACTGCGCAGTCCACCCACTACCATGCGGATTCGCTTGCGCTGTTGCCGGAGTGCCTTCCGAGACACGGCCACTGAACCGGTATAATGCGAGGATCTCTTGGCTCGGCAGGAACCGTGCGGCTGTGGTCGCAAGCTGCCGGCATTGAGCTGGCAGCAGCTGTGCCGAAATCACACAGTCACGGCGACACTGTGATAGCTGAACCAAGGTCAGTAACCGTTGCACAGACTGTGCATGTTGATGCTCATTCCACAGTTGCATGGAACTCAACTGGATGGAGTTTCAAATCAAAGAGAATGAACATCACCACCAGGTTCTTGAAGAACACAAACCGATAGGTGAATTTGATGGTTCTGATTGCCCTTGGTGAGGTACTGTACCTAATCGCACACGTAGTGACCCTCCGTAGTTGATATGGCTGTTGTTGCTCATGAACATCCATTGCCAAATCAGTTGAAAGTCAATAACCATTGCAGAATGATCGCCCGACAGGTAGTCTGGGGAGGATGATGTAGATCAGGAGGACTGGGCAGCGCACACATCGAAAAACCTCCGCGGTCTCGACGTAGCGCAGCGGTGGCCATGCAGGTTCTCTGCGCTTCAACGTCCAGGTTCTCGGCGACTCTCTCAGCAGCTTGTGCTTCTTGAACTTGAGGATCAGGTTCTTCTTGTCCATGAAGCGCATGACCTTCAGCTGCTGGTTGATCATCAAGAAGGAACTGGTCATGTTGATGCTGTTTGTACTGAATTGCCAGGGCCTTGGCCGAGAAGTTGTTCGTCCCACAGGGTCGGAGGGATTGCAGGGTTTCTTCAAACTCCAGAGATCCCCTTGTGGAGGAAACGATGTCTCGCTTCTCATCCGCTCAAGCACGAAGGAATCTCAAAGTGCGAGATCAGATCCAAGTTGACCTTGGTCCATGGCACTCACGCCGGCAGACCATTTGCTTGGGGTCGTCGAGCTCAATGACGGAATCCACGAGCATCATCAGCGCCCTGGCTGAGGAGCTTCATGATCGGAACCTTCGTGAGACTGGGTGTTTTTGTTCAGCAGGAGGAGGTTTTCACATTTGAACACGTTTGGACACTTTTGGCTGGCTGCCTATTTTCTAGCGCCCAAAACAGGTTTTGGGTGTGCCCTGGTCTGTATTCTCACGGAAAAGCTCATTTGGACACTTTCGGCCCCTTGGCCAACCCAACCTGCCCAAATATTCTTTTCCAGTGCCCAAAACAGGTGTTGGGGGCGCCCTGGTCTGTATTCTCACGGAAAAGACTCAACCTGCAAACCAACTCAACACCTGCCCAAATATTATTTGCCAGTGCCCAAAACAGGTTTTGGGGGTGGTGTGGTCTGTAGTCTCACGGAAGAGATTCAATGATTCATTTGGACACTTTTGGCTCGTTGGCCTGCAAACCAACTCGAAACCTGCCCCAATGTTATTTTCCACCTTTACATCCACCCACCCCCCATCCATCCATCCATCCATCCATCCACCCACCCACCCATCCATCCACCCATCCATCCATCCACCCATCCTGTTATTTTTCAGTGCCCAAAACAGGTTTTGGGGGTGCCCTGGTCTGTATTATCATGCAAAAGACTCATTTGCACCCTTGGCCTGCAACAGCCCAGAACCTGCCCAAATGTTATTTTCCAGTGCCCAAAACAAGGTTTGGGGACTCCCTAGTCTGTACCCTTTCCGCCCCTTGGCCTGCAAACCAACCCAAAACCTGCCCAAATGTTATTTTCTAGTGCCCAAAACAAGGTTTGGGGACTCCCTAGTCTGTACCCTTTCCGCATCTTGGCCTGCAAACCAACCCAAAACCTGCCCAAACGTTATTTTCCAGTGCCCAAATCAGGTTTTGGGGGTGCCTGGTCTGTACTCAAGGAAATAACTCATTTGGACACGTTCGGCCCCTTGGCCTGCAAAATGTTGTTTTCCAGCGCCCAAAACAAGTTTTGGGGGCTCCCTAGTCTGTACCCTCAAGGAAAAGACTCATTTGGACACTTTCGGCCCTTGGCCTGCAAATTTTCCAGTGCCGAAAACAGGTTTTGGGGGTGCCCTGGTCTGCATTCTCAAGGAAAGACTAACCTGCCCAAATGTTACTTTCCAAGGCCCAAAAATAGGTTTTGGGGGTGCCCTGGTTTGCATCTTGTGGACCAGCCCCGAAACAGGCCCAAATGTTATTTGGCCTTGGCCGAAATAGCTTTTGGGCAACCCCCAACAACGGCATACCAACATGCAGGCGCGAGGGGCACATATAGCATAAACAACAGTCCAAAAGCTATTTCTACAGCATTGAAAAAATGTTCACACCATTCAGAGTTCTAAATCAGCATCTTTTATCATCATTGTGGCGCGTGCCCGTCCATCCCAGGTACTGGGAACATGATGTTCCTTCTGAGCCATGACTGAGTTGATGAGGGGCAAATTCAGAAGGAAACAGGTGCTTGAAGCTGGAGTCCACCAAAAACACTCATGTGCAGTGATCGCAGCTGCATCAGAAAGGGTGCTGAAGCTATGGCTCCGCTACCATGTGGCGGGGGTGCGCCGTGCGCCGCAGCAGTGTGTTGGCCTTCACCCACACACGATGCAGATCAGCGCTGACCTGTTTTCCACTATGACCACAAAGGTCAGGAGTTCCGTGCTGATGGATCAGCGATCGAGGGGGCCCCTATTCCGAGCCAGGCATTCATGCATCATGTTCAACTGACCAATTTCGGGAGTTGCAAAATCCCATGAAATACATCGGGGATGGGGAACCCCAAAGGTTCCTCTCAGAACTCTTCTACGTATCCCTTCTCTTAGAAGGGCCTCTCACCTGGTCAATGGACCTAAAAACAGATTGATCATTCGGAACCTGGACTGAACATGGCTCAGCCGTGGTCTAAGAAAATTGTTCCAGGGATGCTGGCCAAACGTGTTGTTCCCGGCCAAACGCGCACTCTTCCCCCCGTCCCGCCTCGTGAGCACGTCCGCGCAAGGCGCCATTTCCGTGGCACCGTCCTGCGGAAAGGCTAGTCAACTTGGTGGGCATCTGTGGGGCCAGTGACATTTTAATCAGTGCTCAGGAAGCGGCAGCAAATTTACCTGGGTCATTACATGGGCGTGTCTTAAAATGGGGGATGCCCAAACTGGCGGGTTTCCCTTCGCTGCCCTTCACCCTCACACAGCCAAGCTTGGCCAAATTTGAGGAGCCAATCTTCCTATGTTTGGTCCATTTTTAGTCATGGCACCAAAAGGTGAACCTTTCATTTCGAGGTCCTTTGGGCAAGCGAGAAAAGGAAACCAGCGATTTTGAGGGACCCTAATTTTGAAAGACCCCTAGGGTAGGGTGTTTTGCAGGAGGACGGATATCATTGGTGACTTAAGTCCTCCAACCTCCCGTCAAACGCTGCTGAAGGTCGATTCGCTTTGGCCAACTGAATGTTAAGTTTCCCTTTCTTCGACTTGTTTAAGCCCCCTGAAAAAAAAATAGGAAAACAAACACATATTTCCAGTAGTGAATCGATTCCCTTTAAAACCAAGAGGGAAGAATCAAACATGTTCTTAAGCAAACGGAAGCTTTAAAGCCAACCCCCGGGTGTCCGTGGCTTCCCAACGGACCACCGGGGCCACCGCTTCAACTGCTTCAACCGCTTCGAGCCGATTCCCCGGACGTCCAGGGCTTGGCTCAGCGCCAGCCAACCGCTGCCAAAGCCGTCGATGGCCACGGCCCAAATGGTGCGGATCCGGTCTCACACGGAGGCCATCGAGTGGACCGGAGGCCAGCGATTTCGCGGGGAAGATAAATTGACGGTTTTCCAAGTTCCACACTTTATAAGGGTTCCTTCATAAAGGCTCCTTGAGAAAGAAGCCTTGTAAGGAAGCTTGACAAAGAGGTTCCTTAGAAGCAAATGTAGAAGATGTAAACCCTCAAAAGTGGGTGGGGTGGGTTGGTTGGGGGTGGGGTGGGGTGGGGGGTTGGTTTGGAGGTGGTGGTGGTCAAGTACCCGGCATGCACAAGATTCTTAGGAAGTATGGGAAGTGGTCAAGCCCAAATGCGAAAGAACAACAATTTGCCTTGGATGTTTCTCATAGTGGTCGCAAACTTTGTTGAAGTTCGGTCCAATCAAAATCTAGTATGTTCAACTTTTCACGTATTTGACATTGCCTGAGCATCCAGGGAAGAAGCCTGCCTGCATCCTGTTGCTACTTTTTTGTGGGAGATCCAAAGAGGGGGGGGTGGCTTGGGTTTGCCGCGTCCTTGCGTGCTTAAGCCAGTGCGAGAACAACCTTCCTTTTGGCGTCCCAGAGGGGATCAGGGAAGGGAGTGATTTCAGGCCAAAGCATGGCCTTTGTTTCGGTCCCCAAGGGTTTATTTCTGAAGTTTATTTCAGTCGCAACTACCACTGTTGGGAGCAACCATCCCTTTTGACAGTCAATGCGAAACAGGGCGCCCTGTATTTTGGTAGATGCAAAAGGATCAAAGGGCCTCACTGAGGGGCCGGGTCTCAAGTGTGACACGATTTTCATCCCTGCCTGTAAGCTGAGCAGGTATGAGAATGGCCGTCTCATCCGTCTCCCCGTGCGCGAGGACGTGGAAAAAACCGCCGTCCAACTCAGTCAGAGAAACGGCATAGTGTCTGAGGCTTGGAGAGAGCATCTGAGAGGTCCCACTCAGTTTGGGTCAAATGCTGTCTGTTGCCATGGTTCATGTTACTTGATCATGTCAAAAAGGAGTCCCGGTTTATTCCTATTTTATTGTGTTCAACAGCCGTTCTTTCAAGCGTAGCTGTTTTCGCTGTGTTTCTTGTTTGTGTTTTGGAAAAGGGATCTGCGGACAGAATCGGGCAGGTACCCCTAGAACGGTGCCTGGGCCAATCAAACACGGCAGCAAAAGCCCACCTATCAGAGAGCAGTACGGAATTTAAGAATTGGCCAAGCTAGGCCGCTCTATAGCATGATAAGAAGGGAACTCTACGACATGCAGTGCCCTCTTGGTTTCCCTCTAAAACAAACCCAAAAGAACGGGGTCGCAACTATGTGCTATGTTTGCCCAAGAGGACACCGACAAAAAGTCCCCCTTGTCCCTTCCAACTGGGCCGTAGAATACTTCACATTTTCACCGAACCTCCTCCTCAAGTTTAAGGGTTGAAGGTCAAACACATGTGAAAAGCAACCAAGAACAATGCGGCTTCTCCTTTTGGTGGGACCCCTCGAATTTTCAACACAATCGCATGTTCCTGTGGTTGAAAACAGAGTGGTTCCCGAAGGATCACCGAGATGCGACATCCAGGGACGGCATGTCAGGGAGTCGCTTGTAGCAGGTGATCTTATTCGTGTCCGTGGCTGTAGCGTCAATGAGTGGAAGCCCATTCTCGAGCACTGAACCTCGAAAACGGCGGGGGATGTCCGCTCGAAACAGTCTTGGCTCCCACCTGGGAAGATGGCGCACTTGAGTGGATTGGCCAAAGTATGTTAATGCTTTAACATCTTTCCCACACACACACACACATGGATGGCTCACTTGAGTGGAGTCGCCCCAAAAGTTGGAACTTGTTATTCTCCACTGACACGGTCCCAAAACGGACGTCCAAGCCGTCCGCGTCGAACATTGTCTAACTTCAGGAACTCGGGAAGCGACGAGACAAGCTCGTGGTGTGTCAGAACAAGGAGACCCCTGCAAAATGTGGGGGTTTCCTTCAAACCAAGCTGAAATGGGTACCCCTCGAAAGAAAAAAAAACATGTATCAAGGTGTCCTAAACCTGTGCAGTAGTTGGCTTCCCTTGGCGTTCGGGGCCCACCCAAAAACTGTCAAACATATTACCCGTATCGCCAAAAGAACTTTCAATGAGCAAGGTGATGTGCACACCGCCCACCCAACAACCGACACCCCTGGTCGCCCCTGGTTTTTCTCCATATTTCTCCATGTCCCTTGTAGGGACTGGGGATTCGGGACAGAACCGACAGTCATTTTGAGAATCTCCCGTTCAGTCAAACACCAGCCACGCCCTGGATTTTGAGTGGCAATGGAAAATAATTTGGTCTTGAGGGTCTGGAAAACATAAGAACGCCGATCCCCTTTTGGCATGTTTTGGAAAAGAAACAAAGCGCATGCTCGTGAGATCCAGAAATCCTAGCAAGGAAACACAAAAAACAACGTGCCCCACTTTTAGTTTGTCTGTTTCCTAACTAGTCACAATTTGGCTTCCAGTACCCCTGCTGAGAAGCATGACATTTTTAGAGACAAACAAAACACGCAAACAAACCAACCAACCAACCAACCAACCAACCAACCAACCAAACAAACAAACAAACAAACAAACAAACCAAAAAAACAAACAAACCAACCATTAAACAAACAAACAAACAAACAAGCAAACAAAAAACTAGACCACGGTTGGCCCGAAAGCAGAACATCGCAAGCGAGGTCGGCCCAACGCTGCAGGATGCGTTCTTTTTCCCTACACGAAGCATTCGTGAAGCAAGCGCGAGACAGCACCAGGCAAGGTGCTCTGCGCAAACTGGTCGGTGCAAGTTGGTCTGCGCAAGTTGCTCTACGCAAGTTGCGCTGTGCAAGTTGCTCTGCGCAAGTTGCTCCGCGCAAGTTGCTCCGGCAAGTTGGTCCCTGCAAGTGGCTCCCTGCAAGTTGCTCTGTGCAAATTGCGCTCCCTGCAAGTTGCTCTGTGCAAGCTGCTCTGTGCAAGTTGCTCTGTGCAAGTTGCTCTGCGTAAGTTGCTCTGCGCAAGTTGCTCTAGGCAAGGCGCTCTGCGCAAACTGGTCAAAAGTTGCTCTGCGCAAGTTGTTTGTGCAACTTGCTCTGTGCAAGTTGCGCTCTGCGCAAGTTGCTTTAAAATGCAAGTTGCATCTTGCGACGCCCGCCCGCGGACCAGGGAGGAATCGAACCCGCGACCCGCTCGAACAACAAAAGTCGCAAAAACCTCGAGTTTCTGCACCTCCACCACGCCGATTCCCGCAGAGGGTTGCGCGAGCACCATAGAAATCGCAAAAAACCTCGAGTTTTTGCACCTCGACCACGCCGATCCCCGCAGAGGGTTGCGCGGGCACCGCAGAAATCGCAAAAAACCTCGAGTTTTTGCACCTCGACCACGCCGATCCCCGCAGAGGGTTGCGCGGGCACCGCAGAAATCGCAAAAAACCTCGAGTTTTTGCACCTCGACCACGCCGATCCCCGCAGAGGGTTGCGCGAGCACCGCAGAAATCGCAAAAAACCTCGAGTTTTTGCACCTCGACCACGCCGATCCCCGCAGAGGGTTGCGCGAGCACCGCAGAAATCGCAAAACACCTCGAGTTTTTGCACCTCGACCACGCCGATCCCCGCAGAGGGTTGCGCGAGCACCGCAGAAATCGCAAAAAACCTCGACTCGACCACGCCGATCCCCGCAAGGGTCGCGCGGGAACTTTAGAAATCGCAAAAAACCATGGGTTTTTGCACCTCGACCACGCCGATCCCCGCAGAGGGTCGATTTTCGTGTAGTGTCGTCGGCACTACCCCGCCGCCCTAAGAAGAGATTTTTACTCCTCGCAAGTCAATTGCACTTGACTCCTTGCACTTGCAACTTGCACTTGACTCCTTGCTTGTTTCAAGGAGTCATTGCAAGGAGTCATTGCAAGGAGTCATTGCAAGGAGTCATGTCATTGCAAGGAGTCATTGCAAGGAGTCATCAAGTGCAAAGTGCAAGGAGTCAAGTGCAAGTTGCAAGTGCAAGGAGTCAAGTGCAAGTTGCAATCCTTGCCATGACTCCTTGCAATGACTCCTTGCAATGACTCCTTGCAATGACTCCTTGCAATGACTCCTTGCAATGACTCCTTGCAATGACTCCTTGCAATGACTCCTTGCAATGACTCCTTGCAATGACTCCTTGCAATGACTCCTTGCAATGACTCCTTGCAATGACTCCTTGCAATGACTCCTTGCAATGACTCCTTGCAATGACTCCTTGCAATGACTCCTTGCAATGACTCCTTGCAATGACTCCTTGCAATGACTCCTTGCAATGACTCCTTGCAATGACTCCTTGCAATGACTCCTTGCAATGACTCCTTGCAATGACTTTCATGATGATGATTCCTTGCAATGACGCCTTGTAATGATTCTCATGAGAACAACTCAAGTGAACCCAGCGGAAGAACCCTTCGCCATGCTTTCGGGAAAAAACAAAAACAAACAAACAAACAAACAAACAAACAAACGAACAAACGAACAAAACAAACAACAAGAACCATCAAGCATGAAAAGACCCTAACACCCCACCCTTCCCATGCTGGTTTCCCTTTAAAGCCATCCAGAAAGGGGCACTGCGCGGATTGGCCACTGAAAGGGTCGCGGGAAGAAACCCATCACCTACTTTGGTTCACGGAAGCCATTCGAGGGACCAAAGAGCTGGAGTTTTACTCCAAAGACCCAAACTTTTTAAGGGGATCTGGGGTGCTCGATGAAATCGAACTTGTCATTTTCGGCACAAGGGGAACAACTGCTGCTCAGATGCCCAGCGGATTTCCATGGGAGAAAAAGAATCGGCACCTTTCTTTGTTGGTTGACTTTAAAGGAATCGGAACCCTGACCCCCAACAAACAGGGAAAGACAGAAGAAAAAAACAGCCAGGAAGCAAGCCACTGGGCAAACTGCTGGGCTAGTGCCTTTGGGCCTTTGGGCTGTCCGGACTTCAGAGAGCTGACCCTCTGAGGCCCTAGCTGCAGCTGGTTCGGATGTTGGTACCGATCTCCGCCACAGTACTGGTGCTCGCAAGCCCGCCCTCGCCCGGCTTCACTTCCTGACCGCTTCATGAGCAAACTTTGTTGATTTCTCAAAATCAGCGCCCCCCCCATGTGGCTTCTGTTAGTCCCCCTTTTAAAACTATGACTTGGTTGAAGTTGGAAGGGAAGCAACAACAATATGGTTGAGCAGTTCAGTGGTTGGATTTCACCACTAAACCACAACAAGCAATGTAAAATGTTTCCCTACCATGCAAAGGGGCTGCGTGGCCTTTGAAGGTTGGGAAGGGAGTCACAAGGCAAGGAACACCAACACATGTTGGGGTCCGAGTTTGACCAATACCCCGATGAAGAAACGGCCAAAGGCCATGGAACTCATGGGCATGGCGTAGAGGAAGCATGAGCCCGAGTCAATCCAAAGCCATCAGGGCTAGGCACAGCTCTGCATTGGTAGGGGTAGGGTGCAGACCCTATGCGCTGAACCTCTTCACAAAACCTACAGCCCCCGCGGTCAGTCTCAGACTGCACAACCTGTCCTGATTTCAAAGGCTGAATCTGACCCGTTAAACATTCTTTCCTGGTCAGTCGGCAAAACACATTTGCCAAAATGTCAAAAGTACAGTTGATCATTTGAAAAGATAAAGGCGACCACAGAACAAAACCCATCATAATTTCACCAGTTGAATTGAACTCACCCAACTGGATCTTCCACTGCCAATGAGGCCGCGAGCTCGCGTTGTCCGCTGAGATTGCCATGGTGGCTACCCAGCGAGCAGATCAAATTATCATAACTCACGTATCGAACATGGGCATGGTCTGCCTAGGCCCACGTCGAGACAAACACTTGCAGCGCCCTTGTCAGCGAAAAACGTCATTCCGAGACGCACCGCACGTCGCAAAGTTCTGCGTATAGACCAATCCTGCGCACGGCATTCAGAGGCCCCTCTCCCTGGAAAAAATATTGAGAGGCGGGTGAACGAAAGCTAGCCTAGCCAACCCAACGACGACATGTACGACTCAGGAGTTGCTAGGCTTAGGATATTAGGACTAGCAATCCTAAGTGGGCGTCTAGAAATGTCTAGAAAGACAGGTTCCCCACCTGCAGACATGTGGACGAGATTATTGGAATACACACCCGGTCAGTGCGGAGCCCCCCTTCATTTTCCCAGCTCGGTCTGCCGCTGGCCCTTCGCCCGATCCCAAGCACGACCCCCCGGCCCGTTCAGTTTCCCCCGGCCCCCAGCCCCAAGCACAACCCTCTCGATCCGATCAGTCGATCAGTCCGGTCAATTCGATCAATCCCAGGACCACAGAAACCCGAAAGGATGAAGTCCAATAAACTCTATGAGCGAGTGGCAGAATACTTCCATTTGCTTAAGCCCACCCGGAAAAAAAATATGCCCAGCAGTGACAAAGTCCCCGTAAATAAAACCAGCAGGGGGAAAATTGCATAATCGTTTCAGCAAATGGGAGCAAAGGGGCATGCATCCAACGCCCTCCCCGAACCACAACACTTGCCCTGTGGCAGGGTCAAAGGAGGGGCAAGAAGCTGTTTTGGATGATCTTCTTATCCGGGCTTGACATTACATCACACGGTTTTAGCAAGTTGTTTTCTTCTTTTTCTTTGGAAAGGGGGTTCTGAGAGCTGACGGATACGGGGAGTTCAAGGTGGTGGAAAGTGAGTGGCCAACATCCTCTTGCGAAGGGGGCGGGACAAAATCCAAATTAGTCTGCCCCTGATTTGGCTTCCTTTCTGCAAAACTTAACTGGACTTGGGTATGTCAAAATAGGGGAATCCCCAACATTGCCCATATTGGCTTCCCTTTAAACCAGCCTGACAATGTTAGACAGTGCCTCTCAAAATAGGTCTGTATCCTATGGTTGGCATCCGTTTGGATCTCCTTGAAAACTCCAACTAGGTTCGAAATCCATTTGAGCTGCCGCCAAAACCCTTATGCGCGAAACTGGACTCGCCAATACATATCCCTTGTTCCGACCCGTTTGGTGCTGGCTCATTTGAGAGGACCCCCAACTGACAAACGTCCGGTCCTGACACATCCTTCACCTGCACCCCCCCCACGCTCGCCGAAGGTGGACTCCGGGAAAGGAAGAAGAAGGTGACGCGGCCCGGCGCTTGTGAGGAAACGCCGGAGCACACCAGCCTCGGGGATCTGGGTATCTTCCATTTGCTCATACGCGCCCAGTGATACAAGTCCCCTTTAAAACCAACAGGGGGGAAATTCATCTTAAGCAAATGGAAGGTATGTCGGCACCGTGGACCGGAGGGTCATGATCGCGTGTGTTTTCCGCATGCCACGCACCATGGGTGGGGGGAGGGGTCAAGTACCTCCTGAAACACCTGTGGACCCTTGACCGAAGGAAACTTGTATCAACGGTTTTGGACAAGTAGGCCTGTTGGAGCTCCTCAGGTGTCACAAACTGACAAAACAAACGTACCGTGCGTGCTATATCCTTTGCGGGCTGGTCGAGTTTGAACGGAAACCCGACACTGGAGTCTGGGACATTCAAACGTGAGGTTCGTCAATTGTTGGTGGGCTTACTGGCTTGTTCCCGGATGCCCCGCTTCGTGGGCAAAACCATCTATTGCCTCCTCGTAAGGTTTGGGATGCGACCCTCGCCCGGAAATCAGTACATGATGTTACACATTCGACCCCCCATGTAGAGCGAGGGTATGCTTGGCCCTTTTCAGTTGGGTTTTCATGGCACCAGCTTGCTGGTGAAAGTGCCAACCTGACGCGGGTTGACACGCCAAAGGGACGCCTACATGAAAACCCCAAGGTCGATTTGGGGTCCGTCCGCGACCCAAAGAGCTGGAGTCCGAGTGGCGAGATCTGGCCGCTCACCGGAAAAAGAAGATGGTGAAGAAGAAGCACAACGCCGCCGAGCATAACTCTTTAGAGAGATGGGCTGGTCACTTCCTGCGCGGGAAACAACAACAACAAAAAAACAATTGCGACACAAACTGTGCACGTCACCAGGCCCCACCCTGAATGTTGTTGTTTTATTATTATGATAATTATTATGGTTATTATTATTACTATTATTATTATTATTAGGAGTCACTGGGGCAGGTCAGAACTTGACACTCTATAGCTTGAGAAACCCACATACCGCAAACAGCTTGTCAAACAAACTATCTAAACATGTAATGTAATGTTGACCCCAGATTAATAAACCGGTTTTATTGACAGGAGGTTCCAAAGTGATCCCCAGTAAAACGAGCACACACCCCTGATCAAAATCAACCGGAGGTTTTTTAATCTGGGGTTCCCATTAACCCACAAGAGTACTGCCATTCCCAAACCACAACTCAAGAGGAGACACCACGGCGCACTTCCCGGAGTACATGTCTAGCCCCGGGATTCCTATGCGGTTTCAACAACCAAGCGGGTTGTGTGTTTGTTCTGCGTCCTTTCGTGTGGGGGGGGGCTGGGTGCACCCATTGCAACCAAGGTGTGTCCAGGGTTCTGCTGAAAGCCTGAGTGGGACATGTCATAGTAAACCCTTTTTTTATCCACGGGCGCCAAAAGGGCCCCAGGAGAATTGAGGCCGTCCCCAATTCAATACATGGGTGTGTTTCTTGGTACCCGTTTGAGGCAAGGAAATCAACAACATGGCCAACATGTTGGGGTCGCCCTTTGAAAGCCTTTGACACATACCCGGGTTACGCATCCCAATTGACGCTCCCCACACATGCCACCCACTGGGCCAGTCCCATCCCCACACACACCTCCTTCGTGGCCGAAACAGGCCATGTGCAACGTTCGCGGCCGAAACAGTCTCGGCACAAATACGTACATATTATATTAATATATATATATATATATAATAGGTATCTACTTCAGGCTACCAATGTGTTGCGCAACCCAACAAAGCGCTGCGCCTGCCACGCAGTCTGCACCTCAAAACTGACGTCACAAAAAGTGCTCACGTCCGTGCCAATGGGCCCAGGTCCGATCCCGTTCCGAATCTGTTCCGAGCCGGTGCCGGGACCGTCGTCCGTCACGCGTTGAGACCAACACGGAAGTTCCTTCAAAACGTCCTGATGAATCTATTGTTTGCCCCTTGTTACCAGTGAGTTCAGCATGTATCCTGACTCTACCCTACACAAGACATATAGCATCATATCGCCCATGGGCCCATGGACAAAAGTACAAACTTATGTAGCCCGTTTTCTTACTTGTTCGGAAGCCATGGTTTCAACAATTTGAATGTTTGCTTTCACGAAGCTCCGGTGGGTGGCCACGGGAACAAGTAGGCAACTTGTTGTCTACTTGGTTTTAAAGGTTGGACTGGGGTTTTGGAGAAGTCCTCCCAAGTGAGCCACGGTTCCCGTAAAGGACGTGAGTTGGCTTTGAAGGGAAACTTGTCAGTCCGTATCTCTGCCAAAAATGGAACGAAGACTACTCTGCATTTTGACCAAACCGAAGGGAAACACCGATCCGGAGACAACGCTTTACAATACAGACTCTGTCATTACCCTCATATTGTGTAACCGCACGGCAAAGTATCCTGAAATGGCACTGACCTGATGTGTACCGCTGTGCCCAAGCTTGCCATCGAAACGGGTCCCATTCAAAAACGGCTCAAACTGACCTGCTGAGTTGACTGTCTAGAAAGACTGAGCCTTTTTGGGCTTGGACTAACATGATGAACAACACCTACAAGCCACAAGTTCTACAATACCCACAAGCCACAAGTTCAACATGGATTGAAGCTTGGAAATGGAACAAGTAAGGGCGAATGAAAGCGAAACCAAAGGGCTGGTTGATCTCCAGTCGGCTTCCCTTGAGATTAATATGGAGGATCCCTGGGCTCACAGGTCCTTCCTCAAGACTCGTTCCAAGTTGGGGGATATTCAAAGGAAACAGGCACCTGGACCCAACCTACCCTTAACAAAGGCAATCACCCCATCGTTTTGGCGCAACCCATTTCTCATTGAGGAGTCTAGGTAAGCAACAGGCAGCGCGCGCGGCCGAGGAAACGCCTCGAGAGCTCGGGAAGGAACTCAACCACTGGGGCTGGTCTCCACAGAACTGGCTGCACCTGGCTGAAGGCTCCAGCGAGTTCGTTCCACCGCGATGTGAAGCCGGGGACTCACTGCCGTTCGGCTTCCAAACAAGGCCATGTTTGCCCCTATCAAGGCTCGGTTGCTTTCTGCTCCCCTGCTAAAAGTTCAAATTCTAGTGGTTTAATGGAAAACCACTGGGAAACCGCTGATTCACGGTGTTTGGGGCCATTTCCTGCAAATGTTCCTGTAACCAAAGCCTTTGCCACTAGTGGTCAAGAGTCCAGGAACTTGGAGTCCAGGAACTTGGAGATTTGAAAAGGGTTTTTCGGGAAACTTCAGGGAACCTTAACCCCAATTTTCTACCCGGCCTTTTTTGATCAGAACATCCCAGCATCCTAGGCTGATAAGGCCGCCTGAGGTTCGGAGTATGTCCAATGCGATGGTTCATTCCTATGCCCAATAGGACCTAAGGATTTCTATTGATGTACTGGTGGGGGGTCACGGGGCAAAGCACAGAAGTACCCCTCCGGGCACTAGCAGCTTACAAAGGAAGCCTTCCGGAACCTTAAGTTGGTCTGGTGGCTTGGACGGTAACGGGGTGCCTTCCCATTTGGCTTCAAAAGGCAATTGGGGTTCAACCACCTATCCAACCCACCAATTGGAGGGAAGCTGACCTCAGGCCAATTCCATTTCTGGCGAGAATGCCAGAAGCAAACGTTCTTTGGACTCGGAAGAAAGCCACTGAAAAGTGGCTTTAGGCTCGACCATGGACCAGTAAAAAGTCCACGGAGGGGGGAGCGGAGATAAAGGAGAAATAGCATGTGAGTCACAATCAAAACCTGGTACAACAATGGCGAACCCAGAACCATGTAAAGAATTAGAAAGGCGGCCGCAACTATTATCTACCCGGGTTTTGATTGTGGCTCATGTTGGTGTTGCTCTTAAGTGACACCCTTCCAAAACAAGGAACAATGTCGTTGATTGAGGTCTTGCCCAGCCTTTGGTCGAACAGATTGCACCAAGTAACACTGGTTCCCTTCTGCTGGTAGGGGGATCTTTGTGTTCCACAGGTCAGAAGTCAAAAACAAGCTAAGACTGCTGACTCCGCTTGGGTGCTTAGGGATTCGGTTGCAAGGGAGGCCAAAAAGACAAACCCTGATGGCATTCTTTCTGTGACTTGATTCTTCTCATGCCTCCTCTAAACATGCACTCCACTTAAATAGGACCTTCCGTTCACCTGACAACCGAAGGACGACAAACCACCTCATCCAAGCGAAGACTCGGACTTTTTTTGGCGGCAAATGGGAAATCGAGTGGACTGGCCCTGGCCAAACTTTTTTGTTGGCAATCATGAGCCAAACGAGAAGTCCCAAAAAGTCCATGAACCCAGTGAGAATACTCAAACCAACACCATGTGCTGAACATGAGCCATGATCAACCTTGGCATTAAAATGGTCTCCCAGAACCAATTTAAAACGGTGGCAGCACCCAATGGATAGTTGGGATTCTCCCTTCTACCCGAATCGGTTTTGAGGACCGATTCGGCTCGCATGATCAATCCAAGCGACTTCGATCCCCGATGGATTTCGCCGGAAGCTCTGAGGCCCCCGCCTTCAATGCGCCAGTTTTGGGGCCAAAACTCTGCACGGGCGTTGCACTTCAAACAGCTGCGGACAGAGTCAGCTTCCATTTGTCGCACCTTTCAAGTCGCGTGACTGAGTTCGAGGTGACTTGGGCAAACTTTCCATGAGAATGACCGCACTTTGTCCACGTAACAGGGGAAACCACTCAAGAAACTTGACGGCTGCACGTGTTCTACAGGCCTAACCATTTTGTTCAGGTATTGGTTCTGGGTCACATACCACTTACGCAAGGCGTTTTGGCGGGTTACAAGCTTTTGTTGGAGGAGCCCCTACCTCCCCAACAAAACCCTCACTGAAAGATATGGCCGTGCAGCCTAGTGTGTATATTTTCTTCGCGACGGGTTGAAGGGTCTCACAGTTGCTCGCTACAGGCAGGGTCAGTCAAGCCGGGTCATTGGATATTCAGCCTTTGGGACCCCAAACGGCCAGCGTTGATTTGTATTCCCGACAAACTTGCTTGGACATTATTCAAGCTTCCGCAGACCCTGCCGCATCCTTGCCGCGGGCCAAGAGGTCCCTTCCGCGAACTTCCGCGGCACATGTATTTCACTGTTTGCTTCCGCAAACTTTCCGCGGCGCATGGTTTGCAACATTTGCTTCTGCGAGTATGGGCGCAGAAAGAAAAGTCATTTTAAGTAAGGTAGTGTTTCGCCGCAGCCTGTGTAGGCTTGGGCTCCATTGGGCTACCCATGCTACGTGGCCACTTGCCTGCAAACACGGGGCCACCCTTCCGCGGAGCTTCCGCGAACCTTCCGCAAAATATGGCTACATATGGCTTGCTGTTGGCAACTGCTCTTCTAGTAAGCGTTGTATGCAGCAACACCTTTATGCTTCTACTGTAATCGTTTCTCCGTGCTTTTCCACGCACGCAAACTGAAACATTGAATTTCATACCAGCCACGAAGCTTCCAAAAACCTTCCGCGAAGACATCAGCGTTCCGCATGCTTCCGTGCGTGTGGCGCGGTGCACATTTTCAATAATAATGTCCCACTAAACTAGCTTGCGGCCAAAAAAACTGCCGCTCAAATGGGAAGTTAACCCTGCCAGGACCCCAGGGAGTCATTGTCAATCTGGGCCCTATCCTGAGGATCTTTGAAAAGGAGCCAATGTGCTGTTCTTGCTTTTCAAGGGGTCGCAACAGGGCCCATCTCCGAACAAGTTCTCCCCGGAAACTATGGCAAACTACATTCTGCCAACGAAAGTGGGACGATACTCCAACGACCCCAGGCAGCCATCAGTCTGGACACCATCCCCCACACCAAAAACCCTCCCCCACCAGTAAGGCCTTGTTTAGCCTTGGCCTTGGATGGTTGGTAGGGTTGGAGGAATGCAAAAGAAGCCGAGACTTTATGCCTCAGTATTAACCCAGAATAAAGAAATCTCTATGTAGCCCATGTAGCCTCCGGCCCCATCTTCCATCGTTTTTCTTTCTTTCCTTTTGCGGGGGGAGGGGAGATTAACTCTTCCCCAACTCTCCCCCCCCGGCCATGGCGAAAAAGAGCTACATGGCACCTTCAGCTGATTTGAATGGAAAGCCCCTTCAAAGAAAGCGTGGGTGCTGGGTGTCTGGGTTTCCTTTAGTTTGCTTAATGGATTTGCAAAAGTACCCTCAAACAAGGAACCAGAGAACCACACTGATTCGAAACATGACTTCAACCCACGTACCCCTCAAAGAAGCACATTTCACTGACTTGCCCAACGCACCTGGAAATAAAAGGTTAACCTTTTGTGCCATAAACATGGACCAACACTAAACAACCGAAGGTCAGAAGGTCGCCTTTGGCTTTGGGCAACTGAGATACTGGTGCCTTGAGACTTGCTCCCACCAAAGTCCCAGCTCGGCTTCCATTTTGCCCCGCTCGACTCGCGATGGCTTCGGCGTCAGAAGCGAAGTGCGCCGCCTGGGAATGAATTGCTTCGAGTCGTTTTTTCGCCTTTTTCGAAACACGGGGCCCCAAAGGGGAGGGGGAGGAACCCAAATACCTCCTTGATGTTGTCTTTCCCCGTTTTCTATCTTCTTCTTTTTCTGGGGGCTTCATGCTGAGGGAAGTAAGCCGCTTGGTCAAGTTGTTTGTTTTTGGAAACCGAAGAGGTTGCACAAAGACATCTGCACTATGCTTTTCATTTCACCAACCTGACTTCATGGATGAGGATTGGAATGATTGACCTCCATTCTCATTCCGTGAGATGGCCCAAATCTTATCATGGAAGTGCCTCAAAACCCTTCACACTCGGTCACAAGCAAGCTTTTTGCGGCGTCTGTCTAACAATCGCTTTCAAATTGGAGGCTTTCAAGGCAGCTGCCGAGAACAAAACCAGGTGAAGAGGCATTGACAAATAGCTGGATGCTCAGCACTTTACGCAGAAAAAGCATCAGCCGTTAAATGCTTCTTTGTGAGGGAGTCGTTCTTTGCAGCTCAAGAAGCATGCTTAGTACTACAGGACTCGGGCTGTCTTCGACAATTCATTCAGTTCTTGAGAATGCTTCTTGGCATGTGGCTTGGGAGGACATCGTTGATTGCCGAAGCTGCCATAAACAACAACTACAAACGAGGCATTGCTGGATGCTCGACGTTGACTGCCGCGTGCAGTAAAATCGGTACGAGTTCCAGCATCAGCCTTTGAATTCTTCTCGAGAGGGAGTGGTAGCTGCAAAGCTACAAAGCAAGATCAAGCAGGGCTCTGCCAGCCGCCAATGCTAATTCCGCAGTCAATCAATCCTGGATCCGGATCAGTCAGTACTTGACAGTGCTACAAAGCACACTAAGCATACCTCCTTAAATGATCAATGCTTGTTCTGCATGCTGGATCCGAATCAGTCAGTTGCTTCGCCGTAGCTGGCTCGCAGCTGCAGACTGGCTGACTGAATAGGTTCTAGTTTGCTACAAGGGCACATCTGCATGAGGCGGTTGAAGCTCATTTTACGCATGGCTCGGCTCAGACTCTTAAGCAGTCTGCTGCTGCTGGAGGACTTAGGAACCTCCAGGCATGCCAAGTGCTGCTCCATGAGATCAACAACTGGACCAGCTCGCGGCACCTTCTCCGCCCAAGCCCTGAGATGGGCAACAACAAGGCTCAAGCGCTCTCGCTCACTGAGGCTGCGTAAGGCTTGACGCTGCTGCTTGTCCAGGTTCACGCTGGGACCGTGAAGGGGTGAGGCCACATCCTGCCTCTCGTTCCTGCCAGCCTTGGGTGAGGGAGGAACGGGGGGAGGGAAGGAAGGGACGCGAGAGGGGGCCTCCTGCTCGGCGCATCCGTTGGTCTTGCGCGCCTCGGGGTGTGATAGAGAAGCACGCTTCTCCAGCGACTCAACTTGGGCCAGATCTGTGAGAGCCTCCGAGCCCGGCTCATGAAGAGCAGGAAGGCTGGCTGATCTCCTTGCTGAACTGCGCCACTTTATGGTGATGAAGGTGTTTTCCACGCAAACGTACATGGCTCTATGCTGCAACCAACTATCCGCTGGTTATGGCTCTATGCTGCAACTAACTATTCGCTGGTTTCTCTGCTGCCTTGAGCCACTGCTCGCCAAGCTGGGTAGCATTGTTGGAACAACCAATGCCACTTGTGCATCATCAAACTCCAACAAACCCAATTCACACGCGAACACACACACACACACACACACACAGTCCTACTGTAAGCAATGCTCATGGACGCTGCGATTCGACAAGGCCAGTGTTCCATTTTGTCCGTTGCCTTCTGCAAATCCCAGGGAAACACAAGGCTGATAAAACAATCTGCGAATTTTAGTGTATTTCCAAGAGCTGAATCAAGGGATCCCCAAGTAAAGGACCTTTATCATGGCTTTCGCTCGTTATACCCCCGCATTCCCTTCATCGGTGAGCAAAAAAAAAAAAAAACATAGGCAGAAACAATGTTGGTTGGTTGGTTGGTTGGATGGTTGCGAAATCCTGCCCCACCCAAGAAACCATGGCAAACCCTTCTTTGTGGGCATTTCCAAGAAAACCATCGTTCCAGGGTTTCTAAACGGTGCAGGATTTTGTCCATCCACAGTATTCCGACCAGCTTCGCTCCACTTGAAGCCACTAAGAAGTACTTGCTGGGAGACTACTTGAGGCCCAACTGTGACCCCGAGCTGGTGTTGTCCTATTTGGCTGTGGGTCCAAAATAGGTACGGGCCCCAAATGGCTTGCCCTGACAAATGAAAACATGAACCAAATTCAGCGGTTTGCTCCTCGTGCTTAGTTTTGAGCCACACCCATTTGCTTGGGGGCCCCAGTCCCTGAATCACTGCCCAACATCTAGAAGCTGGGAGCGTGAGTTGAGTTTGTTGATTCACAGTCATCAACCATGGCTTTATGAGAATCCGGCTGGCTCATGCGGGGGAAGTGTAGGGAATCCTACTGTGGATGGACGAAATCCTGCACCACCTAAGAAACCCTGGAAGGATGATTCCCCTGTAAATACCAACAAACAATGGTTTCCCATGGATTCCCAGTGGTGCAAAAAATATGTCCATCCACTATGACTTAGCCACCAATCAGTTCTTCGGACTGCCGCACCGGCCACAAAAAAGAGCCCGGCGCAGACCATCGACAGATTCGGTCAGAGCTCGAAACAGGTCGGAACTAAATCTCTGCCTGACGGACCTAGAAGCTTCACCTTCGGGGTCCATGACTTAAAAAGGAATACCAAAAGGTCGAAAGGTCAGTTTTGGGCAACTGAGTGGTTCCAATGAAGGCGCACTTCCCCGCTTTCGGAAGCAAAGCCCAAAAAGGCGGAAACCGAGGGTTGAAACTCAAACCCAACCCAACCAGTCCACCCCCCACCCCCTCGCAAAACCAAAAAACAACTTGCGCGGCCTGAGGGGATTTGGACCTGGAGCAAAAAGGAGTCCTTGGAAGGTGCTGGAACTTGCTGTTTGGGTTCCAGATGGCTGTGGGTCAACAATATGTACCCAAAATGGAACCCTGATAAATGGAAACATGGACTAAAACCTGCGGCCCCCAATTCCTGGTGGTTTAATTTTGACCCATAACCGCCCATAACCAGATGGCCGGCTTGCACTCCGCCACGTTGCAGCAATGCCTCCTCTTCCAGCACTGTCGGCACACATCCCTGGATGCGTAAGCGGGCAAGATTTCTTTGCATCCAACCCCGCTCCCCTAATGCCCTCGAAGAATGGCCCATTCACTTGAAGATGTCGGATGACGAACCAAATAATTGTGATCCAATTATTGGCACACGACGGGTTGCAAAGGCTCTTCCGACCAACTCCTCCTCAGATCTGTTTCAAAAAACACATCCCAAAAATGAGGTGTTGAAAAGTCACAAAGTGGTCCATCGGATTCACGGCAATGTGGGACATGTCTGATCTCCCCTTCCCCACGAAGAATCTGATCCCAAAAACCAGGGAAACGTTTGTCCCCCCCCCCCAGTTTTTGAGGCCTCAGAACCCCAAACTCGGGTCCTCACCTGGGCGCGGCATTGGCGCGCACGAGATGTCACCACAAAAAATCCATACAGAAAGGCCTGTGATGTTGCCATTATCACCGCCCTTCCCCAAAATATGATCAAAGTCACCCAAGTTGCAGATTGAAGGAAACAACCCCTGTGATTGATTTTGACACGCTCTTGGAACAAACAAAACAATGACACCAGAAGAACCACAGTTTGAAGACTTCGGTGGTATGGCGCGCAGCACAAGCCTGGAGCCACGCTGCGACTCAAATCACGCATTGACTCCACTTTCTTCAGCCCCACAAAACACAACCATCCCCCAAAAGATATCCTCTGTTGGGGACCTCCCCGTCACATGCGACTTTCACAAGATTTGCCTCCAACAAAACCGATTTCACACTCAGTGGCCTAGCTCTGTCTCAGCTTCCACGACCTACGCTTACCACACCTGTCCAATCACGTGAGGCAAGGTCAAAGCTGTCCAATTCGTACAACAAACCACGCCAGAGGATTGGCAGGTGCTGCAACCTCCGCGCCCAAAGCCGCGCGCTTGGCGCGAGCTCACGCGTCTGGGGCTCACAGAAATAGATCTCGCAGGTAGTCGTCGATGTCATCCTGCCCGTGCACTTGGTAAAAAAGTGAAGGCAGGCCTTCCCGTGGGCCGTTCCATTTAAAGATATTTAAAGGGAAATGCTGCTTTCTTTAGGGGCAACTATTAATTAAGGAACCCTTTTTGAGGATATTGTTCTGGGCCCAATCGCAAAGGGGAAGAAGCCTCAAAAGTCCCCTTGTTCCTGAAAACAAATCAGCAAACCTGCCCCTCAATGCGCCATTCGCAACCTCCGCTCCCACCAACGAGCATGTCTGCTCCGGTACGTGTACCCCAGCTGCTGGAGGCAATCAACTCTTGAAAGCATCAGATCTGGTAAAGCCTACCACATCGCTGTTGAGAATCTGCTGCAAGTTTTGCTCGCTGGCAAGGTCGGGAAAGCACGATAGCTGAGCTGAGGACAGACTTTGCCCCCGCGTGAACAGAGAGAGCTTGAGGCAGTGGCGCAAGCGTGCTGGTTTGAAGCAACTCCTGGTTGCTCGCCTGCAAGGTGTGGGCTTCGCTGCCATGGCAAGTGGTAGGGGTTGTGTCCACTTTCGTGCATGGCGTGCGTCCCCATTGACTTGGAGTCATGCCTGCCCGGAGGTTGCGCAGTTTCATCCACCATTGCAGGCGTCTTGCTGCTCGCGCCGCAGGCAGCAAGAGTGCCAGGCGCAAGGCCCCTCTGGTTCTGAGGCCGAGGCTGGCCTGCCAGCCCCACGTTGCCAACTGGCATGAGAAACCCCAGCCAAAGAATGTGCCATAGAATGTGCAATGTGCCACAGCCATTGCGTAACATGTGGCCTCAAGTTAACTCCCTGTCCTTCAGGCAGCTGGACTTCTGGCTGCCAGCCGCAGGAAGGCGCCTGCGCCCAGACCGAAGGCAGCTCCGGCATCGTTGCCCCGCGTCGACACAAGGAGAAAGGCTCGAAGGTCTTACCGCAAGGCGTTCGGAGGTCGCGCGGACGAAGAGGAACTTGTGGATCAGATTCTCTTATGAAAGACACGATCTGCTGCATCTTGGTGGACGAGGGCACCCGCTGCGAAGCTCCAGAGGTACGCCCAAGACTTGCGACTCCTGAGGCTCTTCCAGCGCTGGCTGACCTGGAGCAAAGATTTTCGGGAGGCTGTGTGAGCCTTGGGCTGTCTGCAGGACCTGGACAGGTGTCACGGGCCTTGCCCGCCCCGTTGGGATCAAATTACCCTGGCACGAGCTAAAGCGTTCTGAGCCTTTTGCCTCAGCTAGATGATGTCTCTCCACCCATCCCTCCCAAGCCGAGGTTTCTCAGAACACCTCAGCTAAGCAATCTGTAGACCCTATCATCACTCCGAATAAATGCGCCAGTGCTCTCAGAAGACTTGGGGGTCACCGGTTTCATGAGGTATAGAGTGCATGAGTTGCCTAGCCCAGCTGCTCTCTCATCAGGTCAAAAATGCCTGGTCCTGATCCTTGAAATTTAATCCGGCTTGAAATGTCAGCCGGCTTTGGTTTTGAAAATCGACCTTCAAAGTAGTAACAGTCTCTCAGCACTGTTGCGGATAATTACACGCCTTCTTTTGTTGCTTCTTGCCTAGAGCTCAGACCAAAACCCCCTGCAACAGTTGCTACCTTTAGCGAAACAACTAAGCTACTCAACAGTCCCTTCCATATCTTCCTTGAACTCAACAGAACCGATGCACCAAACAAATTAGGACACACGCTGAGAACAGTGAGCACCATATCTTGTTTCTGACATGACACATCATTTAGGTCACAAGCTCGATTCGTTGCCTCTTAGGATGTGGCGGGGAACAAGCCAAGTCCCACCCAGTCTGGCCGGTCAGTCCAAGCCAAGTCCCGCCCAATCTGGCCGGTCAGTCCTCGCGAGTGCGCGCCTGGCAACAAATGAAATCCGAAGAGCCAAAGGCCAGCTATGCTTGATTTGCGCCGCAAAGGGTTGCTCACTAACTCACTTTCCGAGTGATGGGCCCAAAACAAGTCTGAACTTTTTCATTTTCCACTCAAATGGTCTTCCCCCCAAAAAGCAAGTCCAGGAACTCGGGAAGTGAGCTGAAGGGGGCGGATATCATGCCTGAAGAGGTTCTCTTTCCCAAAGAGTCAGATTCGGCAGTTCAACCAACACTGTGGCTGCCTAAGACTAATTAATGGTGCCACCCCTGAAAGATGTTCAAGATGTTTCACCCACTTAGAAAATTTCAAGATGTTTAAGATCAATTAGTGCCACCGCTGAATCATCTGTTTTTCCTCCTGGCCAGCGCTCAGCTGCCGGATGCACATATAAACAGGCTTGACACAACAGAGGCAAAAAAGGAAGGGGGGCAAAGCGAGAGGTTGACATAGAGACGAAGGGCAAGCGATTCAAAACTTGGCGTACAACTGAAGTTCTGGGCATTAGTTTCCGGGTGTTCTCACCCCGAGTGTGCAACCTCAACTGAGCTGCTCCCATAACTGGCCAGAACAAGTTGAAACTTGTTGGGTGTTTTGCCCAAAAAATGAAGCAACCTACCCACGCAACAAAAATAGGTTGGCAAACTCAGCAAGTCAGGTACAAGTGACTCGCCAGAAACCAGGTCTCATCACGGAGCGCCTTCAGGACGAACCTCTACAAACTTGGGCTGGCTTTTGCACATGAAAAGGCATCCTGCTCCCAGGAATTACTAGGCACTCCAAAATTGGACACTTCCCTACGGGCCCAAAAGATCAGACTTAAAACCAAGGGCAACAACGCCACATGTAGGAGTTGATGTTCAACTCAAAAAAGCTGTGAGCTTAAAGCCCCTATGCTCACCCCTGAAGGTTGTCTGTTTTGTCTTTGTTTGCGTCACTTGGGTCGGCGCAAGCTTCGCCTTTGTTTTCCGCGGATTTGAAAGGTGGCCAAAAGCACTCCGAAAGGTGATCGATCACCTTTTGAGACCTTGACTAAACATGGACCAAAATGGGAAAACCTAAACCCCAAAAGGCTGGCGTTGGACAACTGATTTAAAAGCAATCCCTCGAGTCTGCCCGTGCCCTTCTTGTCCAAAACGGATTCTGGGTTCGACCAAACAGCGGCGGCTTCAAGCTCTACTTCCACTGGAGAATTTGTTATCTCTGGGTTTTGAACACTTTTATCACACATGTATTCATCAAAAAGTCCAAAAGTGTCCAACCGCCATGAAAAAAGGTCCATACTTTACTACATTACTGCTGGTCAGTACCTTTATTCCAAGCCGCAGGCTCAATCACAGTGTGAACACGCCTCTACCCTGCAGTCCACACAGTGCCTGTAGAATCAGCGTCGTAATCATGTGGGAAATATGAGAGTATTTCATGGTAGGCTCTTGGGGACTTGTTCCCCCTCCTGGATACCCGGAAAGTACCCCTCAGGTGTCCTTGGAAAGACTTGTGAGCGGGGAGCTCAGTGTTGGGAAAGATTGAAAACTACATGTTTTGGTACCCAGCCTTTTGCTGGAATTCATCCTGGCCCGCAGAGTTGCCCCGAAGGTTGCTGTACATAGACTTTCGGGAGCCAACAGTTCAGACCGAAAAAAGAAACTGCACGGCCGAAAGGAACGTCGCTTTCCAAAAGGGGACTGCGCACTTCAAAGTACGGCCTCAGCGTGCTATCCATCTGCAAATCCTTCGCCAGGATAATTTTCGGAAACCTGGGGGGGCAAGTTTGGCATGCTTTCAAAGGACTCCTAGACTATTTGGGCGACCACCTCCTTACAGGTTACCTAAGAGCTGGTTGATTCAACAAACGTATTCCTGCAGGTTCACAACGGTTTCAAAGGACACCCACAAACCAACATGGTTGCGCTGTTCGCAGGAATTCCCGGTTTTTCTCTCCGCGAATCTGGATGGTGCTTCCTATGTTGGACTCCGACTTGCGCTTCTCCAGGCTCAAAGCACAACTGGGCCGTCCGTTTTCAGATCCCCTACAAGTGAATAACTTTTAGCGGGTGAAATAGGGAAATCCATCCACTAAACCCCAAAGGTCTTAAAGAAGCAAAGGAACCGGATAGTTGGGCTTCACCAAGAAAAGCCGGCCTATGCTCCGCACCCAAGAAAAGCCACCAGCGATCCTCCGGCCCGCCTCGGGGTCGGGGCCGCGCCAGGCCAGGGACTCCAAGAGCTGCAGCTCCGTGGCGCTGGGCCCTGACCGTTGCGCTCCCGGTGCGCCAGGCCGTCGCTGCTTTGGGGTCCAACCGCTTGAAGTTGTATGTTTGTTTCTAGCGGTTTAAACGGTTTGTTTGATGTTTCTTGTTTCTTTCTCTTTCTTTTTTTTTGGGGGGGGGGGGGTAGTCTTGGTATGATTTGTTGGTAGAGATTTTGAGTTGTTTGACTTTGGGGGGGCAGTTATGTTGGTATGTCTTTTGTGGGTCACCCATAAACTATGAGTACATTACGCACCCCCTCCCGCTTCTGGGGGTCTTGCAGGCTGCTAGGATCTTTTGAGTTGTGCTTGTCACAACCATGCTTGGGGTGGGCTCGTTTTGGGGGAGGTGTGGCAACACCTCAGCCTAGGAACCCCCTACGCAAGTTGTCAAAGAAAATTGAAAGGCGCGCTGTGACACCTTGTTGAACGACCGTTGCCAAAGTTCTTCAAACTGAGCACATATATAACTTGCAGGAACGCAAGTAAGCGGGATTGCTTCATGCATTACCCTCCCAAGAAACACGCCTTCTTGGGCAGACTCCTTTTCCAAGATGAAAGTGGTGGTCTCCTTCCGTGTTTCTCGGTCGGACGGGCACCACATACAAACCGCCCAAGGGCGGGCAAGAAGTTCATAAGCCTGGGCTGGGGGCCACCGCCAGATCAGTTGGAGAGATCTTTCGGGGACATGTTAGGCCGATTCCATTCCCCAACTTCCTGTGCAGTGCAACTCATAAATCTTGCAGACTCGCCTGGTTCCAAATGGAGCAGCCAAAGATCTTCTTTTCAAGGTCCTGAAAGATCGAGGAAACGGTCAGCAAAACACCAGATCAATGGAATACCGAGCACTCCCCGGAGTCAAGAAGCTGCCTCTTGGGCACACGTTCTCCCCATCAAGTCGGCTTCTCAAATTCCAAATCAAGCATTAGCATTTCGCAGCCAACAGATTCGCCCTCTTTGTCAGCGAAACATACAAATCATCACATCTTTGCGGGGCTGGCGACATGTCCCAAACATCCACAGAATTTGCGGCCAGATCCTCATCCGCCCCCCCCCCTCGACTAGAAAAAAAACAAAAAAGCACCACAGGACACCAGTTGATAGCCCGGCGCCATCGGTGCTTCACCTCCCTCCCGGCTCGTGCCACCGGTGCCTTCCGGAGGCTCAAGCGCCTGCGGCTTCCCACAAAGCGGACCCTACGAGGCTGGGTGGGACACTTCCGCCCATTGGCCAAAGCAAAAGGAGGATCTTTGGACAAGAGGCATTTGAGCGTACCGTCTTTTGAGGGTGTTTCTCAGAATTAGGGAGCCCTCCAAGGCTGCCTTTTGGTTTCGTGAAAACAGTCCGAAAAGGAGTCCCCTCTTGTGAGAAACACCCATATGTGCGCTTGCCGCGTCCGAGTTGCCCGGTGACCTGTTCGGAAGAAGAATTATAGCTAGTAGCAAAGGCTTCCCTAAGATAAGGCGCTGTGAGTACTACCATGTTGTGCTTGTAATCATGGCAATCTACAGTTGTTCAAGTACCCCACAACTCTGTTCCTTTTCGGGTTGAGCCAATGTTTAGAGGGTCCCGAACTCGCCAAACAAAAAGGAATCTAGAAGGTGCCACTGAACAACTGGGCTAAAATGTCGACCCTGAAAAAATGAACCGTGGATACTAAGGATGGGTCGTGGAACCAGCTGGCAACACTCAATTCAAATGGCAGCATGAACTATTGCAATGGCTTGTCTCCTAAACAGGCAAATGTAAGGATACATGACTGACCACTTGGAAACACCCCTCACCCCCTCTCTGGGTGCTTGGAGAACGGTGTCCCAGAGACCGAATTTCTCAAAACCGATGGGACTTTCGCCTAACCCACGATTTTCGGACCCTGGGACCTATGCATCAGCATCTAGACCCGGGTGCTGCAACTCAGCTTCCAAATGGTTCAAGGCTTGGCCATCTCGGGAAGACTTAAGCCTTGCCGCAGAACATCTGTTTGACAAATTCCACGGCTAAAGGTGGCAATGCATAGGCTGGCAACAGGCATCCACCTTGGCTGCTATCGAAGAAAAGCGACCACCCTTGGACTTGCCATTTCCGAAGCTCTCACATATATCTTGTCTAGACCGATTAAAAGATACACAAATCCCGCCCTCTAAAGTTTTTTTCGGTGCCAACAAGCAAACCCCGCCCGAAGCAAACGTGGCTGAGCAGAAAAAAAACATGTGGAACACCCTCCAAAATGGTTCATAGATGCTACTACATCCCCATGCAAATGATGTCTTTCAAAGTGGGTCGCAATTGAGCAGCACCCGAAACCCATAGATGTTTGGTTCTACCAAGACGATGAGCTAAAATGAACAGTGAAACATCGTTTTTCAGGCTTCGCTGCACCCCACATGCAACTAGGTAGTAGAGCCGCCAACTAAAATGCCCAATTGTGGCTTTAGGCAAAGCTCAATTGAGTCACAATCAAAACCCAGTATTAAATGGTCTACCCAGAACCGTCTAAAGAATTAAGAAGGCGGCCGCAGCTATTTATGGTTGATATTGTCCCTTGCTAACCTTCACCAATCCCCGGGTTTTAATTGTGGATCAATTGAACATCACGGATAATCCGAAGGAACCCACCGAATAGCAAAGCTAAAGCTACACCCCGCACCATTGGGACGTCCAGTAGCACCAGAAAGCCACCCCCCCGGAACAACTGCGGTCCATATCCTGGTTGAATTTTGACCCGTGCCCACATGGCTGTGGTGTTCAAAACCAATGGGATCCCATTTTGGTTGGTAGGTGAATGCACCACCCATGTTAGAACCTATTTTAGTGGTTGGATTGGGATGTTCACTGGGGGCTAACCGGGATGCTGACCCGTAGGAATCGGCCGATCCCAACAGCTTCAATCCCGCCCGCCCGCACCTCGGCCGTGGCCTCTGCCACAGCCTCTCGCGGCGCGAGTGGCGCGCGGGAATGTATAGCTCGAATTCGGCTTCCCCTAAAACCCAACAGGACTTCCTTCAAAGTCAGCAAACTCAGGTGTTCAATTCCACACACTGGGTGAATTACAGTATAACTCAATAGAGGTTCCTTCCCTAAGCGGGTTGTACGTTGAAAAGACAATGTCTTTGCGAGGTCGCCCAGAAGCATGCTCAACCTTTCCAAACATATGCTCCGAGCAATACTGGAATCCCCTACGTCTGCAGCAAGACTCAAACTACCCTCCTGCAAACAATGAAGTCTGACAGAAATTTTCTAGAAGACGATTTCCCTCTTTATCATCTTGATCGAAAAGAAGCCCCCCAGCAACTTCCATGTTGGAGGATACCACCCAATTTCCGTGGATTTGTTGGTGGCTTCTGGGCAGGAGGATTGGAAGGAATGGTTGGACGTTGACCCAGAGGCACAACTCTTCATAAACTCTCAGAAGCCGGACTCGTGTAAAGTATGCATCACCGCACCTAGACCAACCTCACTTCCGATCGATCGAGCGGATTTTGCCAAACCTCCAAGAACGTTTTTTTTTGTTTAAGCCAGCGCACCAAATTGATCCCAACAAATTTAAAGTCCAGGAACTCGGGAAGTGAGCAAATGGTCCAAAGTGGGATGGGACAAGATTGTGAAGCGGCGGGCGTATAATTTTCTGATGCTACCTTGCGCTGGATTTCAGGGGACACCTAAGGGAAACCGTGACCTTCCCAACAACTTTGAGACAACCCAAGCGGCTCCACCTTCAACTTCCCTGGCTCAAAACAAGACAACGCACATCCATCCCCCCCCCCCAAGAACGCTTCGCCCCGGCCTGCACCGCATTCGCCTGTGGCCCCTCCTCTTGCGCTTCCGCTTCCTCGAGCTCCGTCTTTGGGCGCTTCTTGGCCTCCGGTAGCATAGAGGCTCTGGCACAAAATGGAAAAACCGCCTCTCCTTGGTTTTCGTTGGGCAGGAAAAGCGCAACTCCCTCTGGAACAACGGGAAGGAGAATTCATTTCCTTCGAAAGGGATGGGATGTTTTTTTGTTTACCAAACAAAAGGAGACCTTTGTACCCTCGTGCGCTAGCATCGGTTCGTGTCGTTCTTCTTTCCTCAGCATCGGTTTTCAATGTTTTGGGGGCTATGCGCTATAAGTCGACATGGCCAACATACATAGGAAAAGCAGGCAGCAGGCAGCGGCCCGCGCACTTGTCTCACGTGTTTCAAAAGAAGGTTCGGTCATCAGGAACAGGAACTTGACGAGTTGCCGTGAAGATAGCAAAGCAAAGACAGGGCAAATGGAAAGTTTTGGGCCCTGTTTGGGTCCAAACCTGCGGCGTTTGGAGGTTTGGATGGCGAGGTGCCTTCTTGAGGCGGCGGTAGTGCAACTTGAAGGCGCAGCCCTGGCGGACACAAGCAGAAACGTGGCCAGTGCCTCGTCCACGCGAAACCAAACAGCAAGACATAGGCGTGTCTTTGTTTAGGGGACCCGAAAAAAGGTTGTCCTTTCGGTGTCCTTTAAAACCACCAACACAGGGAAACACAAAAAACAAAAACGTGGTTTTCCTGTTGATGCCCTTTGAACAAACCCACCAACTCAAAGGGGGGCCCTCAAAAGAGACAGACCATGAGCTGCGCCCAAGACGCATTGCCACTTGTTCTACCAACATGGTGCTAAAGATTGTTGCAAGCTGTACTATAATCTCTTCATGTCAGATGCTGCAAGGACCTAGACAAAAAAAACAAAACAAAAAACAATGTTGACTTCGGATTAATTCGGAGATCCGTGCGAGGGGTGGTGTCCCTCTTCTTCTTCTTTTTTTTTTGGGGGGGAGCACACCTCGAACTAGTAATCCGATTTTGAGATTGAACCTGTTGGAAAGCCATTTTGACTGAGCATGGACCGTGAGGACACCAAAAGGAGCCCGTCGATTGCCGTAATTACAGGTCCGGCCAACCCTGCAATTTCCGGCCTCCCACTTTAGCGAGTTTGGTGCGCGAAACAACAACAACATGTACCAGTCAGAAAAAAACCAACTGGAAACAAACAGGTAGTAAACATACCTGTCCTGCTTGATTTGCATCTAGAACATCCTTTCTCTTATCAAACCAAACGTAACAAACAACATACAACTCGAATTTGCAGAAGGAGCACCAATACATCGGGGAAGGCAGGTAAGGAGTTCAATTGGTTGGACCTGGGGGATGTTTCCAATCAGTTTGAGGCTCCCAATTCGTAGCGTAAATATGCACGGTGGAATCCAAACACCAAAAGCAAAGTTGCTCGAACATGCCGCTCGGCACGTGGTCAGCCCTCTGTTAGTCCCCCTTCACGCCTCCCGCATTCATCCCTGTGCTTCGTCCCGGACGTGCCAGCTTTCCTCTTCTGATGGCTCCAGGTACATATGTACAACATGGAAGCCACAGTTGTGGCATGACATGGCTGTGATTGAAACAACCATGCAGCATCAAGTTCAGCCTGAGTCCCCTAAGCGCTGTTCGCCAAACCCCATCGATCAGCACCCCAGGTCGCAGGCTGTACAGCTCGCAGGCAGAATGCTTTAGATCTGCTTCTTCAGAGCTGACACTGCGAATGCCTTGACCACCGTTTTCGCAGGCTGAGCCTTGATGGCCACCTCCTTGCCGAACCTGGGCCAAAGGACAAAAAAACAAAAGGTGCACTTGTTTAAGCTCCAGTCAACAAGAAAGGTTCACCAAGCTATAAAAACAAAACACAACAGGTTGCTCTAACCAAACTGAGGAACATCATCCGCTTGCCCGCCTTGGTGGCTGGCTTCGTGCGCGTCTTGATCATGCACAGTCCCGGGATCACGAACTTGCCGGTTGCCTTTACCTCCTTCGCTCCGATCTCGGAGAGCTGTCCAAGAAGTTGCGACACCTCAGACTTCTTCATGTCTGTCGCCGAGGCCAGCTCACTCACGATGCCTCCCTTGGTCATGGCCTTGGCAGCCTTCATCGCCTTCATGGTTTTGGTTGCCTTCATGGGAGCCATGTCTGCAACGGAAGGGATGAGAGATGGAGATCTGACTGCGCAAGCTTGATGGATGACGGCTGAGCAGCATAAGCAACATGAGTCACTGCTTCGTAGCCAGGAACCCCAAGCCAACTCCTGCATACCTGCAAACTCTGTGTCAGCAACACATTGTCGCCAAAAGGCAATTTCCCAGCCCGCCAAACAACCCATCGCACTGAGTCGCGCCAGCTTTCTTCTTTTGATGGCTCCAGGTACAATGTACAACTTGGAAACCACAATTGTGGCATGACACGGCTGTGATTGAAACAACCATGCAGCATCAAGTTCAGCCTGGGTCCCCTAAGCGCTGTTCGCCAAACCCCATCGATCAGCACCCCAGGTCACAGGCTGTACAGCTCGCAGGCAGAATGCTTTAGATCTGCTTCTTCAGAGCTGACACTGCGAATGCCTTGACCACCGTTTTCGCAGGCTGAGCCTTGATGGCCACCTCCTTGCCGAACCTGGGCCAAAGGACAAAAAAACAAAAGGTGCACTTGTTTAACCTCTGGTCAACAAGAAAGGTTCGCCAAGCTATAAAAACAAAGCACAACAGGTTGCTCTAACCAAACTGAGGAACATCATCCGCTTGCCCGCCTTGGTGGCTGGCTTCGTGCGCGTCTTGATCATGCACAGTCCCGGGATCACGAACTTGCCGGTTGCCTTTACCTCCTTCGCTCCGATCTCGGAGAGCTGTCCAAGAAGTTGCGACACCTCAGACTTCTTCATGTCTGTCGCCGAGGCCAGCTCACTCACGATGCCCCCCTTGGTCATGGCCTTGGCAGCCTTCATCGCCTTCATGGTCTTGGTTGCCTTCATGGGAGCCATGTCTGCAACGGAAGGGATGAGAGGGGAGATCTGCCTGCGCAAGCTTGATGGATGACGGCTGAGCAGCATAAGCAACATGAGTCACTGATTCATTGCCAGGAACCCCAAGCCAACTCCTGCATACCTGCAAACTCTGAGTCAGCAACACATTGTCGCCAAAAGGCAATTTCCCCGCCAAACAACCCATCGCACTGAGTCGCGCCAGCTTTCTTCTTCTGATGGCTCCAGGTACAATGTACAAATTGGAAACCACAATTGTGGCATGACATGGCTGTGATTGAAACAACCATGCAGCATCAAGTTCAGCCTCGGTCCCCTAAGCGCTGTTCGCCAAACCCCATCGATCAGCACCCCAAGTCACAGGCTGTACAGCTCGCAGGCAGAATGCTTTAGATCTGCTTCTTCAGAGCTGACACTGCGAATGCCTTTACCACCGTTTTCGCAGGCTGAGCCTTGATGGCCACCTCCTTGCCGAACCTGGACCAAAGGACAAAAAGACCAAAAGTGCCCTTGTTTAAGCTCCAGTCAACAAGAAAGGTTCACCAAGCTATAAAAACAAAACACAACAGGTTGCTCTAACCAAACTGAGGAACATCATCCGCTTGCCCGCCTTGGTGGCTGGCTTCGTGCGCGTCTTGATCATGCACAGTCCCGGGATCACGAACTTGCCGGTTGCCTTTACCTCCTTCGCTCCGATCTCGGAGAGCTGTCCAAGAAGTTGCGACACCTCAGACTTCTTCATGTCTGTCGCCGAGGCCAGCTCACTCACGATGCCCCCCTTGGTCATGGCCTTGGCAGCCTTCATCGCCTTCATGGTCTTGGTTGCCTTCATGGGAGCCATGTCTGCAACGGAAGGGATGAGAGGGGGAGATCTGACTGCGCAAGCTTGATGGATGACGGCTGAGCAGCATAAGCAACATGAGTCACTGCTTCGTTGCCAGGAACCCCAAGCCAACCCCCTGTATACCTGCAAACTCTGGGTCAGCAACACATTGTCGCCAAAAGGCAATTTCCCCGCCAAACAACCCATCGCACTGAGTCGCGCCAGCTTTCTTCTTCTGATGGCTCCAGGTACAATGTACAACTTGGAAACCACAATTGTGGCATGACATGGCTGTGATTGAAACAACCATGCAGCATCAAGTTCAGCCTGGGTCCCCTAGGCGCTGTTCGCCAAACCCCATCAATCAGCACCCCAGGTCACAGGCTGTACAGCTCGCAGGCAGAATGCTTTAGATCTGCTTCTTCAGAGCTGACACTGCGAATGCCTTGACCACCGTTTTCGCAGGCTGAGCCTTGATGGCCACCTCCTTGCCGAACCTGGGCCAAAGGACAAAAAGACGAAAAGTGCACTTGTTTAACCTCCGGTCAACAAGAAAGGTTCGCCAAGCTGTAAAAACAAAACACAACAGGTTGCTCTACCCAAACTGAGGAACATCATCCGCTTGCCCGCCTTGGTGGCTGGCTTCGTGCGCGTCTTGATCATGCACAGTCCCGGGATCACGAACTTGCCGGTTGCCTTTACCTCCTTCGCTCCGATCTCGGAGAGCTGTCCAAGAAGTTGCGACACCTCAGACTTCTTCATGTCTGTCGCCGAGGCCAGCTCACTCACGATGCCCCCCTTGGTCATGGCCTTGGCAGCCTTCATCGCCTTCATGGTCTTGGTTGCCTTCATGGGAGCCATGTCTGCAACGGAAGGGATGAGAGGGGGAGATCTGACTGCGCAAGCTTGATGGATGACGGCTGAGCAGCATAAGCAACATGAGTCACTGCTTCGTTGCCAGGAACCCCAAGCCAACCCCCTGTATACCTGCAAACTCTGGGTCAGCGACACATTGTCGCCAAAAGGCAATTTCCCCGCCAAACAACCCATCGCACTGAGTCGCGCCAGCTTTCTTCTTCTGATGGCTCCAGGTACAATGTACAAATTGGAAACCACAATTGTGGCATGACATGGCTGTGATTGAAACAACCATGCAGCATCAAGTTCAGCCTGGGTCCCCTAGGCGCTGTTCGCCAAACCCCATCGATCAGCAACCCAGGTTACAGGCTGTACAGCTCGCAGGCAGAATGCTTTAGATCTGCTTCTTCAGAGCTGACACTGCGAATGCCTTGACCACCGTTTTCGCAGGCTGAGCCTTGATGGCCACCTCCTTGCCGAACCTGGGCCAAAGGCCAAACGGAAGAAGGTTCACTTGTTTAACCTCCGGTCAACAAGAAAGGCTCGCCAAGCTATAAAAACAAAACACAACAGGTTGCTCTAATCAAACTGAGGAACATCATCCGCTTGCCCGCCTTGGTGGCTGGCTTCGTGCGCGTCTTGATCATGCACAGTCCCGGGATCACGAACTTGCCGGTTGCCTTTACCTCCTTCGCTCCGATCTCGGAGAGCTGTCCAAGAAGTTGCGACACTTCAGACTTCTTCATGTCTGTCGCCGAGGCCAGCTCACTCACGATGCCCCCCTTGGTCATGGCCTTGGCAGCCTTCATCGCCTTCATGGTCTTGGTTGCCTTCATGGGAGCCATGTCTGCAACGGAAGGGATGAGAGGGGGAGATCTGACTGCGCAAGCTTGATGGATGACGGCTGAGCAGCATAAGCAACATGAGTCACTGCTTCGTTGCCAGGAACCCCAAGCCAACTCCTGCATACCTGCAAACTCTGAGTCAGCAACACATTGTCGCCAAAAGGCAATTTCCCAGCCCGCCAAACAACCCATCGCACTGAGTCGCGCCAGCTTTCTTCTTCTGATGGCTCCAGGTACAATGTACAAATTGGAAACCACAATTGTGGCATGACATGGCTGTGATTGAAACAACCATGCAGCATCAAGTTCAGCCTGGGTCCCCTAGGCGCTGTTCGCCAAACCCCATCGATCAGCACCCCAGGTCACAGGCTGTACAGCTCGCAGGCAGAATGCTTTAGATCTGCTTCTTCAGAGCTGACACTGCGAATGCCTTGACCACCGTTTTCGCAGGCTGAGCCTTGATGGCCACCTCCTTGCCGAACCTGGGCCAAAGGCCAAACGGAAGAAGGTTCACTTGTTTAACCTCCGGTCAACAAGAAAGGTTCGCCAAGCTGTAAAAACAAAATACAACAGGTTGCTCTAACCAAACTGAGGAACATCATCCGCTTGCCCGCCTTGGTGGCTGGCTTCGTGCGCGTCTTGATCATGCACAGTCCCGGGATCACGAACTTGCCGGTTGCCTTTACCTCCTTCGCTCCGATCTCGGAGAGCTGTCCAAGAAGTTGCGACACCTCAGACTTCTTCATGTCTGTCGCCGAGGCCAGCTCACTCACGATGCCCCCCTTGGTCATGGCCTTGGCAGCCTTCATCGCCTTCATGGTCTTGGTTGCCTTCATGGGAGCCATGTCTGCAACGGAAGGGATGAGAGGGGGTGATCTGACTGCGCAAGCTTGATGGATGACGGCTGAGCAGCATAAGCAACATGAGTCACTGCTTCGTTGCCAGGAACCCCAAGCCAACCCCTGTATACCCGCAAACTCTGAGTCAGCAACACATTGTCGCCAAAAACAACCCATCGCACTGAGTCGCGCCAGCTTTCTTCTTCTGATGGCTCCAGGTACAATGTACAAATTGGAAACCACAATTGTGGCATGACATGGTTGTGATTGAAACAACCATGCAGCATCAAGTTCAGCCTGGGTCCCCTAGGCGCTGTTCGCCAAACCCCATCGATCAGCACCCCAGGTCACAGGCTGTACAGTCGCAGGCAGATATGCTTTAGATCTGATTCTTCAGAGCTGACACTTGCGAATGCCTTGACCACCGTTTTCGCAGGTGACGCCTTGATGGCCTCCTCCTTGCGTATCCTGGGCCAAAAGGCCAAACGGAAGAAGGTTCACTTGTTTAACCTCCGGTCAACAAGAAAGGTTCGCCAAGCTGTAAAAACAAAATACAACCGGTTGCTCTAACCAAACTGAGGAACATCATCCGCTTGCCCGCCTTGGTGGCTGGCTTCGTGCGCGTCTTGATCATGCACAGTCCCGGGATCACGAACTTGCCGGTTGCCTTTTACCTCCTTCGCTCGATCTCGGAGAGATGTCCAAGAAGAAGTTTGCGGACAACCTCAGACTTCTTCAATGTCTGTCGCCAGAGGCTAGCTCACTCAGATGCCCCACCTTGGTCTATGGCTCTTTGGCAGCCTTCATCGCTTCATGGTTTGGGTTGCCTTCATGGGAGCCATGGATTTTTTTTCTGCAACGGAAGGGATGAGAGGGGGAGATCTGACTGCGCAAGCTTGATGGATGACGGCTGAGCAGCATAAGCAACATGAGTCACTGCTTCGTTGCCAGGAACCCCAAGCCAACCCCTGTATACCTGGAAACTCTGAGTCAGCAACACATTGTCGCCAAAAGGCAATTTCCCCGCCAAACAACCCATCGCACTGAGTCGCGCCAGCTTTCTTCTTCTGATGGCTCCAGGTACAATGTACAAATTGGAAACCACAATTGTGGCATGACATGGCTGTGATTGAAACAACCATGCAGCATCAAGTTCAGCCTGGGTCCCCTAGGCGCTGTTCGCCAAACCCCATCGATCAGCACCCCAGGTCACAGGCTGTACAGCTCGCAGGCAGAATGCTTTAGATCTGCTTCTTCAGAGCTGACACTGCGAATGCCTTGACCACCGTTTTCGCAGGCTGAGCCTTGATGGCCACCTCCTTGCCGAACCTGGGCCAAAGGCCAAACGGAAGAAGGTTCACTTGTTTAACCTCCGGTCAACAAGAAAGGTTCGCCAAGCTATAAAAACAAAACACAACAGGTTGCTCTAACCAAACTGAGGAACATCATCCGCTTGCCCGCCTTGGTGGCTGGCTTCGTGCGCGTCTTGATCATGCACAGCCCCGGGATCACGAACTTCCCGGTTGCCTTTACCTCCTTCGCTCCCATCTCAGAGAGCTGTCCAAGAAGCTGCGACACGTCCGACTTCTTCATGTCTGTTGCCGAGGCCAGCTCACTCACGATGCCCCCCTTGGTCATGGCCTTGGCAGCCTTCATCGCCTTCATGGTCTTGGTTGCCTTCATGGGAGCCATGTCTGCAACGGAAGGGATGTCCAAGGATGATCTGACTGCACAGGCTTGATGGATGACGGCTGAGCAACATAAGCTACATGAGTCACTGCTCCGCTGCAAGGAACCCCAAGCCAACCCCTGTTTGCCTGGAAACTCTATGCCAGCAACACTTGTAAACAAGACGCAATGTGCCGCCCCCAAACAACCCTTCGAACTGAGTCTCGCCAGCTTTCGTCTGATGGCTCCAGGTACAATGTACAACTTGGAAACCGCAAATTGTGGCGTGACATGGCTGTGATTAAAACAACCATGCAGCGCATCAAGTTCAGCCTGGGTCCCCCAAGCGCTGTTCGCCAAACCCCATCGATCAGCACCCCAGGTCACAGGCTGTACAGCTCGCAGGCAGAACGTTTCAGATCTGCTTCTTCAGAGCTGACACTGCAAATGCCTTGACCACAGTTTTCGCAGGCTGAGCCTTGATGGCCACCTCTTTGCCGAACCTGGGCCAAAGGCCAAACGAAAAAAGGTTCACTTGTTTAACCTCCGGTCAACAAGAAAGGTTCGCAAAGCTTTAAAAACAAAACACAACAGGTTGCTCTAACCAAACTGAGGAACATCATCCGCTTGCCCGCCTTGGTGGCTGGCTTCGTGCGCGTCTTGATCATGCACAGTCCCGGGATCACGAACTTGCCGGTTGCCTTTACCTCCTTCGCTCCGATCTCGGAGAGCTGTCCAAGAAGTTGCGACACCTCAGACTTCTTCATGTCTGTCGCCGAGGCCAGCTCACTCACGATGCCCCCCTTGGTCATGGCCTTGGCAGCCTTCATCGCCTTCATGGTCTTGGTTGCCTTCATGGGAGCCATGTCTGCAACGGAAGGGATGAGAGGGGGTGATCTGACTGCGCAAGCTTGATGGATGACGGCTGAGCAGCATAAGCAACATGAGTCACTGCTCCACTGCCAGGGATTCCAAGCCCTGCGGACACTCTGCTTCAAGGGGGCAGTACATCAGTCTCCAGTATCTCCACTAAACACCTTCATCTATTGAATTCTCCCAAAAGCTGATGCTTGAAACCACATAACAAGCCCTGCAGATAGCCTCAGAAGCGAGGCATCCGCGCGGAGAAGAAAAAAGAAAAACAACGCAACCCTCCCCGTGCCCCGGGCCTGGCAAAGCCGCACCTTCACGAGGGCGCGCTTGCCGCAGCCGGCCTCCGAGTACTTGAAGTCCACCTCGTAGCCTGCAAAGTTTCGGCCAAAGGAAGCCACGTCGTCTTTGGTTCCAAATAATACTGTGGATGGACAACATCCTGCACCACGTGGGAAAAATGGGAAACCGTTTTCGCTTGGTGTTTACAAGGGAATATCTTTGCCAGCAAATGTCATGTGGGGTCTTGGCTTTGGTATGGCCTTCCCTCCTCCAAACAAAGAAAAACAAAGCAAAAAAACGGGAAAATGGGTTGGTTCCATTTAATAGCATTGGAGAGAATAAGTTGGCTCCGTCGCCCTTTTTCCGTTGGTTCCACATCTTCATAATCTTAGCATTGAACACAACATACCAGCGAGGTTAACGGGGGCATGCTTGTCAATGCGACCTTAACATTCACATCTAGGCTTCTGGACTGGAACCCAGCACAAAAAAGAAAAAAAAAGGTTGTCACTGAACAACTGTAACTGGTCTGCCAGGTCGGCATCTCCAAAGCCCGATAACCCATATCGTTTGTTTCCCGAGAGGGACACGGGAAACATGCTGGCCGATACCAATCAAGTTGTCAGCCGAGAGGGTTGGCCCCCTTCAAGAGTTGTCGGCATGACCTTTGAGGGAAGCTGAAGAAGGACCGAAGCCAAGCCACGTGGGCTAGTTACACCCGTTCTGGAAGTTGGCAAGCCTCACTTAGAAGGCAGCCAGCAGCGTTCCCAGAAGAAACCAACGAGGAGCCCCTGCTGACGTGGAAAACGCAAAACAGGTATACGTTCTTTGGTTCCACGTTCATGTTCAAGCTGGATTGCTACTCACATAATCAAGAAAGCTAGCAGCACAAAGCGTAAAGTCTAACAACTCACCAGGTAAAACGATGGTGCATAAACATTGTCATATTTGTAGTGATACTTCAATTACAGTATGTAGAGCAAGTATATACGTCTGTATAACTCACACACACAACCATGTCGCAAATCATTAATCCCACACACAAAGTAGACTAGTTGTATATATATATATATGTATATCATTCAAGTAAGGAGCCTTCATCCTGGGTTTTTTGCTCGTTCTACTCCCCCAATTGCGCGAACTCGCAAAGTGTGCCAAGACATCGCGACTGGGTCCCCTGCTTTTCAGCTCATCTCTGGCAGAGCAGAACCTCGGCCAAACATGTCGCGGTGGTTTAAGGGGAGGCCGTTTTCGGCAAAATGTCGCCCGGGGCTTGCCCTCAAGCTTCCTTTAAACCCACCCAAAACAAAACAAGCCAAATCTCTCCAAGCCAAAAACTCAAAGAATGCGGGCGTGACGCCGTGTCTGGAAAAACAAAAAACCAAAAGCAAGCCAAACCCCCCCCCCCCCCGCCGCCTTCCCTGAATGCCTTGGCTCCGGAGAATTCCGAGCCGCTTGTGCCCGCAGGTGAACTGGCCCCGGCCCTGCACCACCTCCGACTCCTTGGTTGCTGCAATTACCCCCCTGCAAAAAGTTGCAATTGCTTGGGGGGCCAGTGGAAAACCCAACTTCATTTCCCAAAAAGTTAAAGTCTAGAGATCCAATCCAATAGCAGTCAAGACTCGGTGCGCCAGCGGAACCCCACGCCGCCCTTGCGGTAGCCCGACAAGTCGCAAATGACCTCAGCCGGCAAATGGGCGCCTTTGGGGGACCTCACCTGCTGAGTGGATGGCCCAAGAGAAGTCCAAACTATATATTTGCCACTAAAATGGTCTTCCCAAAAAGTTCAAAGTTCATGAACTCAGAAAGTGAGGGACTGGGAACCCGAAAACCTCAGGTTCTTTGAGACGGTGCAAAAGGGTGACATGGACTGGGAACTTTGGAAAACCTGAGGCGCAAAAGGGACGGATCTACACGAGTGGAACTGGGCCCTAAGTGCATCGCGAACGAATCATTTCCCCATGTACTGCCCAGAAAACCAAATGAGTTGCCCCAAATTCAAGGGTGCAAAGCTAAAAATGGAAACGCCAGGTGGTTTGGTCATTCGGACCTCAACCTGTCACCCAACCCCCCCCCCCCCACCCACCCAGAGTGGGAGTGCCGGTCGTTGAGCTCTCCCGAACGCACGGCAGTGCTAAGTCAGGCGCGTACCTTAGAGAAAGCGAGCAAGCATGCCGGGTGATGAATAGATCTTCACAAATTCAAGAATTTCCCTGCTTCCTACCTGGAAGATCAAGTTTCTCTGTGTGTGTGTGTGTGTGTGTGTGTGTGTGTGTGTGTGTGTGTGTGTGTGTGTGTGTGTGTGTGTGTGTGTGTGTGTGTGTGTGTGTGTCTGTGTGTGTGTGTGTCTGTGTGTGTGTGTCTGTGTGTGTGTGTCTGTGTGTGTGTGTGTGTGTGTGTGTGTGTGTGTGTGTGTGTGTGTGTGTGTGTGTGTGTGTGTGTGTCTGTGTGTGTCTGTGTGTCTGTGTCTGTGTGTCTGTGTGTCTGTGTCTGTGTCTGTGTCTGTGTGTCTGTGTCTGTGTCTGTGTCTGTGTCTGTGTCTGTGTCTGTGTCTGTGTCTGTGTCTGTGTCTGTGTCTGTGTCTGTGTCTGTGTCTGTGTCTGTGTCTGTGTCTGTGTCTGTGTCTGTGTCTGTGTCTGTGTCTGTGTCTGTGTCTGTGTCTGTGTCTGTGTCTGTGTCTGTGTCTGTGTCTGTGTCTGTGTCTGTGTCTGTGTCTGTGTCTGTGTCTGTGTCTGTGTCTGTGTCTGTGTCTGTGTCTGTGTCTGTGTCTGTGTCTGTGTCTGTGTCTGTGTCTGTGTCTGTGTCTGTGTGTGTGTGTGTGTGTGTCTGTGTGTGTCTGTGTGTGTGTGTGTCTGTGTGTGTGTGTGTCTGTGTGTGTGTGTGTCTGTGTGTGTGTGTGTGTCTGTGTGTGTGTGTAATCATTTAGCCCCTTGTACCATTCGTCTCGTTTCTCACTTGCCTCAAGGACCTGAGCATGGGATCACTTGCCTGGACCTTGGGCAGATCAGCTTTTGGCGTGTTTCCTTTTGGGAAGCTTAATCATTGTTTACATTTAGCTCCGGTAAAACCAGTGGCTCTTCTCACCTGCAAGCGGTTTATTCAGCTTTGCAAAGCTTGCGGAACATCTGTGTTTGTTTTGAGGCCCGTTTGGGTTCTGCTTTCTGTTGGACTCTGTGTAATATTGGCGCCCCCTTCTAGAATAGCCAAAGCAGCGCTCGGGGTCCTGAACAAGGGTCCGGCAGCTCGGATGACTTAAGTATTGCTTCAGTACTGCCACTACTGAGTTTAGTACTTGTAGCACTTCCTGCTGAATCGCCACTACTTAGTCAAAATCTGGTTTAGCATTGCATAGTTTAATCTAGTATCGCAAAGACTTACTCTCAGATTCCCACTACTTTAGTATTGACTCCACAGTTGGTCTCACGCCTGGTCAGTCCCTGCCTCTCCTCAGGCAATCAGCAAAAAAAACAGGAAAAAGGCTCGGACCTTCCGGCAGTCTCATTGCAACCGGAAGGAAACCCCCATTGGTTGGAACCCACCAAGAAGAATCTGTCTGTTTCCGAGTTGGCACCGTTTTTGGGTCTTCAGAACCCTATTGGTCCCCAGAACCCAGAAAGCCGGGTGGAATCCACTGAACTGGGTCGAAGAAGAGGGGCTCTTTGAAGAGGCGATCGTAGTACCTGCGGCCGGCGGCCACGAGGATGCCATGAAAACATCAGCAAAGTTACTCTCGCTCTTACTGACGTGTAGCTAAGCAGCCCCACGGAGGATAAAGTTCCTGCTCAAAAGCACCTTCATAGTCCAGGCTGGTGGAAGGGTACCAGTCATGACATTCCAGGAAGCAACCATCAAAGGCAAACAAATGCCCTTGGCCATGTGGATTTGAGGCCATCCTTGAAACCAATACAACTTGACGACATGTCGAAGCACCCCCTGCAGCGCGATTGAAACCCCTTGGTGGACATCATTATGAGGGGGTTCCATCTTCCAACTTCCGTGCAACATCACAGCTGTAGTTTTGTTGCACATTGGAAAACTTCAGGGCTCCCTTTTGTATTTTTGACCTGGCATCCCGCAACAACTCAAGCGACAAAAAAAACGCTTCTTGCCGGGTCGTTGATTTTTTCGCGCCCAGGCACCCAACAACTTTTTGTTGGGTACTTGTTGCTTGTCCAGGCACCCAAAACCTACCAAGACCGAGCCGCAAAAATCGGAGAAAACAAAAACCAGCGCGCGCGTTTCTCTCCCGCCTCTTGGCCATGCGCATCTCCCAAGAGCTCCCGTCCAGCGGCTCGTCCCAGAGGAAGCGGTGGTTCTCCTCGGTGCCGCGCTTAGTTCTTTTTTGCCCAACAGCTGAATAATGCTGCGGGGTGGTGCGAGCGAGCACCGCATCTTTTTGGTAGGGATATCACCTGAGCTTTTTATTTTTCCGGGACACCGAGTGGTTCATTGGAAGGTAGACTCCCTTCTTGATTGGGTCAACTTTCTCTGAAAAAGTCATCTTAGGTATATATATATATATAAGTTAGAAGTAGAAAAAGGAGGGGGACCATTGGGGTGTGGCTGAAAAATTGAGTAACCTCAAAATGGAACCCTGGCAGATGGAAAAGAAGGCTGAAGCCTGTGGTCACTGGCCCTCAAAATTTGAGGCACCTTCTTTTGGGTTGAATCCATCTTGCAACTAATGAAACAGGCTTAACTTATAATAGACCCGTTCGAAACCCTGGGGGGCCAAATCGAAAACCGAAATCTGCTTAGTCCTGTTATCTGTGCAGCAAACTTTTGGTCAACATCGTATGTTGCAGCATGGACAATCTGTGCAACCCACAATCCGCAATCCGCATACTGAAATCCGTAAACCAAACAATCCGCAATCTGCTAATGATTGACGACTTTGTTTTCAACAAGCTAGTATTCATCTGAGCCAGAATGGTGAATATACGGCGTGAAGCGGACAGCTGGATCGGGCCTCGAAAACATGAGGTTGAAGTATTAGATTCCACAACACATACATGTTTAGAGACATCTTTTCAGGGAGGGCTTATGGGGCGTTGTTGATTTGTAGGCGAGCTCTCGATTTGAACTTTTTTGCCCGGCGCAAGAATACCTCCAAGAAGTGGGTGTTTGTGTTGACGCTTTCCCCTTTTTGTGCGTTTCAAAAGGAAGCTACGGGGAAAACAACATGTCGGGGGGTCCAACCTGAAAAAGCACACACACCCCAAGAATATCCCCGGCATTTGGCCATGATGTACTCCCCCCAACACTTCCGTCTACCTCGGAAGCTGTCGGGACCCTTCCAAAACCAGCCCCAAGCCAAGCATCCCTCCACTATGTCTGGTGAAATGGTACTGCCATGGAGGTGCGCCTTTGGTTTGGGTGCTTCCTTGACAACCAAAGGACAAAGCTCCCCAAAGGATTCGCAAGAAACATCCTCAAAAGCAGCTAGCAAATCTGAGTCAGCATCGAAACCTGGTACAAAAATGATGAACCCGCAATTATGTAAGGCATTGAAAAGGCGGACGCACCCATTCTGGCTGGGATTGTCCCTTACTAACCTTCATCTACCCGGGTTTTGATTGTGGCTCATGTGAATTTCAACATTAACACGACCTTTGTATATCTCCTTAAAATTCATGGAAGTGGACAGGGGCCTTCCCAAAAGGAACGAATCCCCGAACCCCACTGCCAGCTTCCCGGATTGGCATCCCGATCGGAACTGCAGCTGAGCGGCCCTCAAGATTGTCAGGTCAGACTTCATGCAAGTCACCTCAATATTTTGTTGTTTGGGAATCGAAGATTGTCAGATACGAAGCTGGTACCAACCAATGGTACCCAGGGTTAGTCAGCCCCTAGTTGACACATACAGTAGGGGTGTCCCACCGAAGAGGGGGCCCTTCGCTCTTGCCAGGTTGACTACATTTACACAGTGGCTATGAATTTAAATAGTTAGAACCACCTCACAAGTTGCTGAAAAACATAAAACTCCCACAATGATGTTTTTAAAGGGTCCACAAAACAACTTTTCAGCACTAGATACAACTCGTGTCTGTTTCAGGGGACCCCCAAAATGGTTGTGATCTGACACCCATGCTTGTGCTGGAGCGAAGAAACCAAGCACGCGCCATGGTTAAGTGCAAGGGGTCCAGCTCGGATTTCAATGCGCTAATGGTGGTTGTCCTTTTGGTGTCCCTTTAAAACCACCCAACACAAGGGGAGGTAGCCTCAAAAAAAAAGGACCCACATGCGAGAGAGAGAGAGAGACAGAGAGAGAGAGAGAGAGCTGAGATGAGCGCTTTGGACTTCTTGACCAGCTCCAGCAGCACCTTCCGGGCGTGAGAAAAACACACCGACAAGCACCCGGGTCCCAACCACTGATTTTTGGTTGCGGATGTTGGACAGAAACTGTTCCACCAATATTTTCCCTACCAGCAACCCCCAATCATTGCCTATTGGACAGTACTCGGGATTTCGACATGGGAAACAGCAGTTGTTGGGGTGGGCTCGGCCAAGAACCCCCAAAAAGTGAACTTGTTGCTTTAAGGCAAAACTGAAAGAAATCCAGGGCGAAAGATGGTTGGTGCAGTATGGCGATGTTTGGTCAGTGGTCAACTGGCCGGATGGACGGAGTACCGTAACTTCCAATGTCACAGTCATGCAAATCGGGGGGGGGAGGAGGGGTGGTCCAACTGACCGCCCCAACAAAGTGAATCGCTTTGCGCTGGACGGGAACACCTTGAGAGAACCCAAAGACAACGCACAGCTTCCGTTGGTCAAACTGACAGGCTTCAAGTACCTTCCGGCTTCCTAGCAACTAAGTAATTGCAGTTGTCGTCCTGCGGGACAAAGCCTTGCCCAGTCAACAAATCCGAGTGAGCTATGACAACTTACAAACACCTGCAGGAAGAGCTCACCAAGAAATGAACCTTCTGCATGGGTGAGATGGCAAACCTCCGTTGCACGGTCGCTACAATTTGCCCAATGAGTTGATGCGAAGTCGACTTCCATGTCTCTCAACCAGCAACAGCCAGAATTAGAAGCGGCTTCCGATCAACTTGACAGGGGTGCTCCAAAATGTGGCTGAAGCAAAAGCTGCTTAACTGCGCTTCTTTGAGAACACTCCCTGACATCATCTGCCAGGTTCTTGGATGAGGGGCAATATTTTGCGATTGGACCTTTTGACCCTCCACAAAACGGCGCCCTTTTCCCACCCGGAAACGAGTCGAGCCCATTGGGCAGGAGCAATACACACCAACTATTGCAAACGAAGCTCGCGGCTCTCGTTGACAGCAAGTGCAGGTCCGTTTTTGTGCACAAGGACCAACTTGTTGTTTATACAGGGCACAGGCAACCGCCCGCTGTTAGACAGGTTGTTGGAGGATCATCTCACCTAACTCAGCCAATCTCACATGTGACCTGCCAGTCATTCTGTGGGTCCCTTTGTTTTGACGCATACCCATTTGGGAAAATTATAGCGAGCTTCCCGATCGGGGTAAAACCAGGCAAAATACGATGAACGGCGATGTTTTGTTGGCTTCCTTGTTGCCAGTTCGGGAATCACATTTTTCCCCAGTTTCCTTTCGAGTTCCATTTAAACTACTTGATCACTCGAGCACCCTCAAACAGTACTTTAACCAGTTTCCTTTTCATCTCCCTTTGAACGAGTGAGTACCCCAAAATTCCGCACCCATTCGCTTGGTAGAATGTAAAAGCAAGCCTAAAGGAAGGCCATCCGTTTTTTTGGACCGCCCTACATGCACACCTTATACCCAACCGGCATCTCGCCTTGTGGTACTCCACGCTGAGCCGCGGCCGAGTCTGTGCTCCCGTGAGGCGGTCTGGGCGGAAGCCCGTGGGCATCTCGCGGACCGGGCGCCGCAGGCCGCTGCCCTGGCGCACGCCGTACCTTGGAAGCCCAAGTTTCCAGAAAAGTGGCACGCAGAGCATGAAACCAACCCAACCCACCAACTCAACCCACCCACGAACCAACCAACCAACCAACCCACCAACCCACCAACCCACCAACCCACCAACCCACCCACCCACCCGCCCACCCGCCCGCCCGCCCACCCACCCACCAACCCACCAACCCACCCCACCAACCCACTCAACCCACCCACCCACCCACCAAAAAACCAACCAGCCAGCCAGCCAGCCAGCCAGCCAGCCAGCCAGCCAGCCAGCCAGCCAGCCAGCCAGCCAGCCAGCCAGCCAGCCAACCAACCAACCAACCAACCAACCAACCAACCAACACACCAACCAACCAAGTGTGTACGTTAAAACAACCACCAAGGATATGCCGCGAGTGAATCGGCCACCCGGATTGATTCATGATGTCATCCGGGTCAGCCCAACACCGCCAGTGCGAAATGGAAAGGGCACCTTGCCTTTGTTTGGCAAATTCTGAACGGGCGCGAAAAGGGAACTGCAGGTCTGGTTGGCAGACGAACTGGGTGTTTTTTGTTTGGTTTCATTCATCAACCCCAAAACTGGTACCTGGACACTGACACTACCCTTAAAAAGGGAAACCCATCTTGTCGGGGCAAGAACCCATGTTCATGCGTGGTTTGGCTGTTCCCCTTCCATCCCCTGCTAAAAGTGAGTCATTTTTAGTGGTTTAGTGGAAACCTCCACTGAACCCACCGAAAACCTTAAAAAAAAAAACAAGGGAACCGGCCCGGACCCTCAAACTGCCCTAAAAACAAGGAACCAGATAACTGCATGGCCCTTTGAACCAGCAAGCCGCCCACCGCTTCGCTTCCGAGAAGCTCCAGGACCTCCTGCGCGGTTCGCTTCCGCGTCGGCCGGTCGCCCTCCAGCGCCCCATAGCCATGCCTCAAACCAGCTGCGCCAAAAAACCCAAAGCGTGGCGGGGGGGCCTCCCATATTCTTGAGCAACAACATATAAACCAATATGGACCCTAGGGTTCCTTGCCCCCATTTGAAGAATGGCAAGGAGGCCCCAGATATTGAAAAAAATATAAACCAATAGGCTGTGGTTGTCAAAACCGTCTTGGGATCCCATTTTGGTTAGTAGGTGAATTCACCACCCATTTTAGACCTTATTTCAGTGGGGATTGGGATGTTTACTGGGGGTACGGGATTTGGACCCATGGCCATATGGACCCTAGGGTTCCTTGCCCCAATTTGAAGAATGGCAAGGACCCTATTTAGATGATGACAACCCTGAACGGTAAACAATGGTGGTGAAACAAGAACCCCCGTGGTTTTAATGGTAGTTTGAAGCCCCGGGTGGAGATTCCTCAAAATACCGCTGATTGACAGAATCCGAATCGTGGCACCAGTTGGAATGGATAAATCCAACCCGGTTGGGCACCAAACGTGTAGACCTGCTTGTCATCTTTTTATGGTTGTCTTCTTCACCCGCTGGCCAGTTCTTTCCAGCAGTTACAAATGAGTTCCAGTTTATGTCAAAATTTATTGCTTCCATGTGCTTTATTAAGCTGCCTGGAAAAAACATATGTCCAGTAGTGACAGATACCTTTTATAACCACCAAGGGAAATAACAATATGCTGAAGCAAATGGAAGATTCTCATACCTTGAGAACTTTTCCTTTTAGCCGAACAACCTTTCGTCACGAAGCCAAACAATCCTAGGTGCGGTAGGGGCTTGGAGGCAACCTCATCGTCGCTGGCGTAGCCGTCCGCGGCACCCGGCATGGCTTTCACTATGGCACATGAAACATTGGCTAAAACAAGTCTCACTCGGTTGACAAAACTCTGCCAAACTGGCTTCTTGGCTGGACATGCTGGACCAAAACATAAATATTGTCTACCGCTCAAGTGGTCCTTCGAACGAGTATATGGTCCAGAAATGCAGCTCAGCTGCCTCCAGAAAAACACATTGGCTTGGTTGGCTTTGAGTTTAAGTGTGAGGAGTTGTTGCTTTTCGGTGCCTCGCAAAACGCATTCCCAATTGGAGTTCGTACTTTTCAGAAGAACACAAGGGCCCAGACCCCCCAGCGGCTGTGGGAAAAATGTCACCTCGCTGGCAGTTGATTTGAACAAAAAAGAAAACGCAACACGTAAGCTAGAATGGATTTTATGTGGGGCAGCTGGCTTGTTCTGTGCATCCAAAGTGGCTGATTTTCTCCATCTTCCAAAATGCATGTTCTTGTTTTGTTTATTTTCCAAACTTCCAAAGAAGGCATTGCCCAGAATCCATTTCGGAATCCGACCGGGCGAGGGTGTGGCTTCTACCTAAGATACACTTCCCACTTAAGTGTTACCTTGTGTGGTGTGGGGTCAGCTGCGAGCCACGATAGTGTTACGCTTCAGCGGTTTAAACACGTCTGCAGAAAGACCCCAACACATTGACATGCGGCGGCCTTGGCATGTGGCTCAAACGCTTTGTGGGCCTGTGTCTTCTCACTCGGCTTCATGTCAACTGGGGCAAAGTCGCCATCTGAGTCTAGGCCACACATCTTGAAGTCCCTCGCTCAGATCCCTGAAGGACAACACCCCGCCCAAAGGCCACTCATGTTAACAAGCAACAGGAGGATTGAAGCCCCCTGGCCCCCGAAGCCCCTAGCCCCGGCTTGTAAGGGGCCTATTAAAGGAGGAATCTCGATGGGCCGATTGGTGCAGTCACTGGCGCCCCGAAAACCATCAGCGATCTAGCGACTGCAAAAGACAAAACGACAAAGAAAAAGCGAAACTTCGCAGCGTCGAGTGATTTGATAGCACTTTGTTGCCATGTTGACTGGATACTATTATGACAGAGAAGTAACAACCCACAATTTCAATGATCAAGCAGTACTAAGGCGTCAAGGGATCTGCAACTAGACCTTGGTTCTGGCTGAGCTCGCTTCGACCCACACCTGCGCGCAGACTTTTGATTGTCCTGAATCGATCCCTTCGGCGCGGATGATCACGGTGCGAGGTCAAAAAGGGCATGGTTGCCAGTGCTTCCAGTTCCATGTTTGTGCAGCATAAAATAAACTCACTTCCTAAGTGGGCTGGCCAAACCTGAACTCTTTGGAAGAGAGAAAACCTCAGGGTGCAAACTAATTGGCTGCCCACTGTGGTAACTGAAAGCATGAGTTCGTCGGGGGCCATTAAAGCACACCATGGGTGGTCAAAAACATCCATCTCTCCTGCAAAAAAAGGGTCTGGGGTTCAATGCGTAAAAAAAAAAAAAAAACACAACATGGGGGGGTTCATACAACCACCATGTGATACCTAAGGATTGTCATCATCTAAATTTGGTCGACCATTCTTTAAATGGGGGCAAGGAACCCTAGGGCAGGGATGTCCTGACTTGAAACCCGGCGCTTTAACCCCCCCCCGCCATGCTTAGTGCTCACCTGTTTTGCGAATTCACTGGTCGCCTCCAAACAAACCCCTCTCGCGTCACTCGACCACGGATCGCTTCGGATCGCTCCTGCTGAGATCATCGCCGCGCGAGGTGACTAATGGCCAAGAGCCCGGAAAGGGCGAAGCCGCCGTAGAGGGTGACGTACCTCGGGGGAAAATGTGGGCTCTGGGCATGGACACGAATAAGCAAACAGAAAGCGGACCAACACAGCAGCAACAACAAAACAAACAATGCTTATGCCCTAATTAAATCCACAAAATTTGGGTACCTCGCCAGTGGTTGTCAGTGTGGAGTATGCTCCCTGGCAGCTTGGGACTTTCCGCCGATTGGTTGGGTTGTGCCATGGATTGCTTGGCCCGACACATACCCCGGGAATACTCCGAATACCCATTCAAAGCCGGCCCTGGACTCAACCATGGGCTGAATCATGGAAAGAACTGGAGGTGCCCTGGTATGCACCAGCATTGATTCACATGTGCTGAAACTCACCCAACATTCTCGCCTGCGATTCACTTGTCACGCTACACATCACGTCTTCGTCACGTCTCTCACGGCCACCCCCCCCAAACCCCCACTTATGAACTGGAACCTTTCGCGTGCTGGAAAGAAACGACAAAGCGGGGCCGGGCAGTTGGATGTGTTTCGGGTATCTTTAAGAGGTGCTGGATGAATAAATCTTTGAAGAAGTTGAGAGTTGCAGCACGCAGTGTCAATTGCTGACGGAAGATATGATGAAGAGACTTGAGGAGAGGCGTGATGTAAGACATCACAGCAGATGCGAGGAGAAACATGAACAGATGCATGACAAGAGCCATGACGAGTGACGAAAACGTGACAGGACTTGTGCCGAATGCCCCACGAAGAGAAGAGAGGTTAGAGAAGAGAACTATAATACAGAGAAGAAACAAGATAGAAGCGGGGGGAAGAACTGTGGCCTCATCCCCTTTACTACAATGCATGATCATGGTACGTATTAACTGTTGCTCATGAGAGCAGCACCGAAAACCAATCGAACCCCAAAAGACTTTGTTTCCACCACTCTGACTATTGAGATTCATATAAGCCTACTATAACCCATATGAAACCGGGCAGTTCAACAAACCTAGCAAAATGCCCAACAGGAGTTGGTGCTCATGTATGTTCACACTCCCAGTGTGGTCTGCCTGCGTTTGAGGGCTAAGCCCGTAACCCTGGAGTAGGTGTCCCCTGAGAAGGCAGCGGGCAAGTCACTCGAGCCCTCAGACTCCACGGGCACCTAAATGTCTTGGGGTCTTTCAGGGATCCTCTCAAAGGATACAAACCAGAGGTGCGGTCTTCCCATTCAAACCGGTGCTGTGGGGGATTTGGTCCTTAGGCACCAAACAGTCCACGGTCTTTAGAAAAGGACAGTTTAGAACATGGAGCGAGACTTCACAGCTCCCCCAGGCGACTCCCTGGAAGCTCCCGAACGGACCCCGAAATGGAAGACTGATAGTTTTCCATTTACATTGGCCCATTCGGGGAGCTTCCGGCATGCCCAGTGGCCATGGGAATAAAAGGGGCATCCTTCTTTGGGTGCTTGCTTTAAAAGGGGAACCCTTCCCAAAACAAAGTCAAAAAAAAGAAGAAGCAACCCACTGGACAACTGGGGGGAGCTTCCGGCTGGAATCATCTCAGGGATCTATTTGCAGCCAGAGAGTCATCGCAGTCTTGGCCCTCACCGCTTTCCTCTGCTCCTCTCGCGGCTTCCGATCGATAGCGATCGAGAGCGGTTGGGGGCCCTGGCCGTGGGTGGTTCTTCCCTTGGAAGGAAAGCTGCTGCTTGGGGAACTCGATGAGGTTGAGCGGTGTGATATTTGAGGGTACCTCTTTTGCGTGTTGCAAGGGAAGCCAAAGAAAAAGAAAAAACAAGAAGCCCAAGATGGAGGTCTAATCCTTTTCTTTGAGACGAACCTCTCTTTGAGACGAACCTATGACATGGTTGTCAAAGACCATGACCCCTCTTGAGACCCATGTTCAGCCCCACACCGACAGCAAGCGCCGCCCGCGGGCTGGAAGACAAAGGTTGAAATGCACGACCCAAGCTTGGGTTGCATGCGAGCACTGATGTCTACGATTGACTTAAGAGAAACATAGGCGAGTATCCGTGCTGTGTGTGTGCGTGGCCTAAAATTGTGGCAGCCAAATAAGAGACTGCTTGGATCCAATTAGCGGGTGGTTGTCAGCCGAACCCACTTGTACCCCCCCCCCCCCGCGCGCCAATCACACAAAGTTGCCTCTGTTGTAAGTGGGCTGTAGCCTAGTTTACCAACCACTTTACCGGGGTGAAACATGGTGCCGAAACAAGCTACTGTCTATAGCTGGGCAAGCGGGACCATGCTTGCAAAAGCAAATTCTCTCCCCCCCACAGGCCCCGTCCTCCGTTCGGTAGAGCATGCAAGCCGCTTGCCTCGCTGGCTTTTTCCGGTTTTTTCGTCGCTCTCTCTCGAGGGAACTCCAGCAGATAGTATCTCTCCCTCCTTTCGAATGCTTAAAGAATGCTGGAATCAGCTCGTCCATGTTTAAGAAAGGTATCAGTGCCCAACACCCATTGACTTTTGGTTTGACCAAGATGGCTGCAAAGGTGTATGCATACATTTGTAAATAGTACTAATTATAATAATTGATTATATTTAAACACATAGTATTTAATACTTAATAGACTCCTTACTGGCGACAAAATGTAAATGAATGTAACCTGTATGAATCCAGGTGTCAGATCCACCTACTATTTTGGCTGCTCAAATGAAATACACCTATGCGCTATGGTCGAGCCATCCTTTGAGTTACGGCCTTAGGAATAGTCATCAACCCCCCTCGATAGAGACCACCCACAACATTGATGAAAGAGGCCGCCAAGGTAAACCACAGAGGCCTCTCTATCTGGGTGAATTATAATCTTTCACCAGCCTCAAATAAGGTGGTTTGGGGGCTATTCCCGACATAAACCACCATTTCAGGTGAGGTCGTGTGAGGTCGTTATAATTCACCCAGATATATGATGTCCCGTTGTGCAAAGCTCCTTTCCAATACTGATTCAAAGCCATAGCAAGGGAAGCCTTACCTATGGTCCTCGATCCCTGGTCACTTTCTCGTAGGTTGCAATGGCGCCCCTTGCGGCTCTGAACCAATAGACCGTTTTGGAACAACCTCATTGGACTCAGGGAGCCAACGAAAACAGGGCACCCTCACCCCCTACATAGGTGCTTTCTTGGCGCTCAGGCCAGATGAGGCTGAGACAAACGAAGATACCCATTCCCTCGGGGGGAACAGAACAACAACACATAACACTCATGGGGCCATTCGGCGCGCGTTGACCTCTCAACATCAACCTGATACCCACCTCTCATAGTTGCTTCGCCAACACCATGACCTTGGGACATTTAGGTAGACCACCTGAGGCGGATCCTTCCCTCTGAGCCACACACCCCAAAATCGGTGGCTTTCCAGTGTTTTCTAACACGGCGTCGCTTCAACAGGCCGGCAGGGCCAGCCCACAGCAGTGCCCAGCCCGATGCCAGCTAAGAAGACGCTGGCCTCAGACCCGCACCAACTAGTGAGTCTGCCCCTCGGGTTTCGGGAGAAACTCAAAACGCAACCTCCCGAAGTAGAATGGAATTCCCCGTCTCCAAAGAAGCGGGAAAGAAATATCTGAATGAATAAAACTGGTCTGGCGCAGCTTGCAAAATCCTTTGGCTGCCAAGCATCCACCAGTCTCCCGCTGACCTCGGGCTGTCGAGTAGACATGACGCGATCGAGCTCAGCACTAAAAGCAGCACGGCTGCGCGGCTACGGCGCTTGAGCCGAAGTCTTCGACACAAGAGTCAATCCAAGGGTTTGTGCTGTACAACCTCTTGCAACCTCTTATATGTTCTTCACAATGTGCTTCAACAAGAAACACATGTTACAAGCTGTTGCAACATATGTTACATTGTGTTGCCACATGATAGAAGCTTTTGCAACCTTTTAAACAAACACTGTACACAACATATTTACAGCTTTTCACAACCTTTCTTTATCCCTCAACTAGGTCCTTTTTGAATTAAGTCTCTCTAAAGGGTGGGCCAGTATGCAATTCAGAGTCAGTCAAATGAAACCTTTTGAAGGTCCTCAATCTGGGTAAGTCGATCTAAGACACGCTGCAAAACACGACTGTTTGTTGACACAGCCCCCCCAAGACAAACCTGAAGTGGGGCTGCTTCGGCAACAAATTTGATTCTTGCCTGGCGACCGCTAGCGACCGCAGGTGTCTATTTTCCGCGGCTCAGAGATCCGCCTGCGAAAGCGGATCTCACGGTGTCGGGTGCATGGGATTGGCCCAACCAAGGGGCACAGATCGTGTTTCATGTTGAGTCAAGCGCGAGATGCAATCGGAGGAGACTCAAACGTGTTGTGTTTAAAACGGTAGATTTCGAAAAACCCGATTGTCCGTAGTGAACACTTCTTTGTTAGGGGTTATCATACCCTCAAACAAGTGGGTGGGTCTTTGCAGGTGACATTTCGAGCGCTTTGAAACGGTCTGCTCCCGTTGACCTTTGCTCAAGGGGCCAGGGAGGGGAGTCAGGGAGCCCGAAGTTGCCCCATGTTTGTTGAACGAAAAGACATCTGTACTTCTCTGGGCTGTCCTCAGATGCTCCGCTAAAAGTTTAACTTTTAGTGGGTTGAATGGAAACCCAACCACTAAGCACAAAAAGGCTAAAAAGATAAGGAACCGGATGGCTGAGAACCACCAAGTTCTGTGATTGTTTGAGGAAGGGCGGCCCTTCTTAAGCCCTTATGAACCTTTTTGGGCTCCGCCCTCCCCCGACCCCTGTGATTTGCTAAGAACCAGTTGCTTGGACAGGGCCTCAAAAAAGGGCTGCTTCTTCTCAGGGTCACAACCTTTTTTGGACAAAAGCCAGAAGACCCCTGGAAAAAACGGCATTTGTGGTCGGAATAGAACGTATAGTGAACCACAAAATGGAAAAAGGTACCCTCCCGCCAACAAACACGAAAGTGTACCGCCCGCCCTTTTCAAAGACTAGTTTCCCCTTGGGAAAGTGGCTGGTGTCCATGTTGTTTCTTTGTAAAGGTCGCACCGAAGAGCAATCCAGGCATCATTCGCCAAAGTCTGAGTGCAACTCCCTCGGACTAAAGAAACATCACTGTTTTGCGGATTCAAAGTTCTAAGGAAAAGGACGGAACTGGGATCCTAGCTGCAAAATGTTAGGCCTGAAATTAGCGTTTGTTTGGCACCCGGGTGGCATTTAGCGCCACCTGATTATGTGGTTCATTCAAGTGGTCCATGGTTTTGGCAACCTAGCAGATATCAACAAAAAGACCATCAGGCCAACCAATTGGTGACTCATTCTTAGTTCCGTCGGCACTCATCTTGGGGGTCCCGCCAAAAAGAATCAGATTCCCGCCAAAAAGAATCAGATTCCCCAACGTAAATACCAACAAATCATGGTTGCAACCATGGTTGCAACCCTGGTTTCGTTGCGTGATGCGAACTGGATTTCGCAACCATCCACAGTACCACCAAAGCTGGTCTAAACCACATCCAGATATTGACCTCAAGAAAGGCACCAGAAAGGTCCAACCAAGCAAGTGACGAAAGTCCATAGGGAGTGAGTTGCCTAACACCAATCCCCAAAACCTGGCGCAGTGGATCCCAGTTGCCTATAAAGTACGCGACCCTTCGCCATTGTCCTTTTGGTTTTGAAAGCCTGGCAAGCCCTTGCTTACCTACAAAACCAGGAAATGGAATCACTGGGTGGGGGCTTCTTCTTTTCTGGGTTGTTTACAGATCCCCCGCTAAATGCTTTGATCCCCCGCTAAATGCTTAGCTTTCAGTAGGTTAAATTTGGAAATCCAACCACCAAAGCAACTTGTTCGAGATCTAAACAAACCTAAACAAAATCCAACCACTAGACTACACACCAAGAATATATTTAAACATATTTCAAAAAAAATGAACATCCAACCACGAAACACCAAAACTAAGGAAAACAAACAGAGAAGAACCACTAAACCACCACCTGAACCCTCAAACTACCCCTAAGAACGGGATTTCACCCCATAAGTTGTGTGGCCATAACCCCTTCCGGGAATTCTGAGGGTTCGGGCAAACACCTCCCAAGTTGACCCGGGCCGGCCTTGAGCTTCGCCAGCTCCGCCTCCGCGGCCGCCAGGCGCTCGCGGAGCTCCGCGGCCTCGTCCTGGTAGATCCGCAGCCGACCTGGCGGAGTTCCACAGAGCCGAGGGGGAGCTCGCTGGGGTTGCTGGGGTGTTGTGTTTTTTTGGTTTTTTTTGTAGGGGGCTGTAAAGGCGTTCGGGGTTTTTTGGGGGTGTGTAAGGGTGTTTTAGATGGTGTTCGTTCAGGGATGTTTAGGGGGTTTTCGGGGTTTTTGGTTGGGGGTGTTTAGGGGTGTTTTAGAGTGTTTAGAGTGTTTTTTTTAAAGAGTTGCTTTTCTCGTTTTTTTTTTTTTTACAATTTCTGACTTTGTTTGTTGGTTTGTCAACATAATGACATCCCCTGGTTTCACTTTGGGTAAATCAAACCGGTGTTTAGGAACACCCTAGTTTCACTTTGGGCAAATCAAACCATATGGTTGCTATTTTGCACGTCTGGCAACTGGTGGATGTATTTTTGGCTTCTGGCGATGTTCCTTTTGGTGTCACTTTTTTCCAGTGTGAAAAGGGTATCCGGCAAAAACACAGACCCCTTTAGCACCCAATTACATGGGTCTTTTTGAGGGCACCCCTATTTTGCGGTTCTTAAGGGAAATCAAGGGAACTCGAATTTGTTGGGGGTTTCGCAGCCCCCCTAAAAAGACACACTCATAGCTTCCCTCCAATTTGTGGTTTGGTGGTTTAGAGGTTCGGGGCAGGTTTCCCATTTACCCTCTATAAATGAGGCTTCAAACAAACAAATCACGCTCAAACAAATCCGCTGGCGTCTTTTTTTTGCTGGCTGATGTTGAAGGGGTTCACCTCAAAGCAAGTTGGAACAAAGCTGGGCTAAACACCCGCAAAGCTGGCTTCCCACTTACCCTCGACAAATAAGTTCAACTAAGTTAAGGCTTCAAATCCAGACAAATCCAAACCGCCAACTCGGGCATTAACTGGGCTGTTCAAAACGGGTTGGGCTGTTGCCAATCCGATTTTCCAACATCCCGACAAAGGGAAGCCACCACAAAGGGGACCGGTTCCTGGCGTAAGCCAAGGTAAGGACGAAGGATTACCTTTGAACAGCCCAGCAAAGGGGCTTGGTTTAGGGCGGCTGGGAGGCTGGGCTGCGTAGAAATTATGTTTTTTTTTGGGTGAGGGTTTAGGGATTATATGCTTATAGGGTTTATTGGTTGAGAAAAAGTTGACCTCCTACCGATCTGTGGCGTCACTTTCAACTTTCCACCCAGATATACCCAGTTGTTTTCACGGATTCCGGTGGGGTTCTCAATTTGCCCTACCCATGGCAGCAGCTGCTGGGAATCCCGTGTGAAAGCTGCAGTCGTGACACTTAACAATAGGAACCTTGGCTCCACGTCAACGGCGAAGGTCACGCAGAATATTTTGCTCAGACCCGGACACTGTTGGGTAGAAGTTGTTGGTTCCTGGGAAAGATTTACCAATGTTCTACCCCTGTTGTGTTGTGATTATCTTTCAGGTAGGGCCAGACTTGGACACCGCAAAAAGTAAGGCTCAAACCGCCGTTATTGGAGTCCCAGTATTTTGGAAGTTGGGCCCTCCGACCCTAAAAATTGGTAGGCTGGGGTAAGTACCCCAACTAGTCGAAGGGCCCAACTAGTCAGGCCCCTTGTTGCAGTGCTCCAACTTTCTTTGGACCCCCCAAAAAAAACGCGTTTCATGCTGAAACGTGGCGTGCCAAAGCAGAAGCGACCTCCAGTTCCCACGGGCAAACTTAGGGCTCCTTTGCTGGGCGAGTTGATGTTGAATGTTCAAACTCCGCCGCAAAAAGGAAAACTGCCCCGAGAGAGAGGGTGTTGCAACAGCGCCGATTTGGCAACAGCGCCCTTGCCCCTCACCCAACGAAAGGACCAAAAGCTTGGCCCTCTCTGGGCTTCCATCAACTTCCCGTCAGTATGGTGCAGCAGACCGCACCGGCCGAGTGGCCGGTCTGACCCGCCTGTCACTGAATCCACCTTGGCCGAGGCATCCGGGCCAATCGCCAGCACGGTCCAAGTCTCATCCTCGACCTGCACGAAAGTCGCTTGCGACTGAGATGCTACACCTCCGTTTGCCTAAGCCCCCTATTTTTTTTTATATATTTGTTTAAAGCTATGTCCAGTAGTGACAACGTGCTTTAAACACCAACAAACATATAAAACACACGTCGATCCATTTGCGTTTATAAGTGCCCGGGGAAAATGCGAACATATGTCCAGTAGTGATAGATTCCCTTTAGAACCAACAGGGGAAAATAACACTTAGTCTTAAGCAAATGGAAGTATAGCAATGGGTCAACAGCACAGTTTAATCAACTCAGGATGGGATAGTGGCAAATGGTTGTTCAAACAACCCCCACCTACAAGAGATATGCCAAGTTGAGCTTGTCCCACTCCACCTTGTAAACGGGGCTACCCAAGTTCCAAACATCATGGTTACTCAAACTCTGTTCAAACAACAGTCTGGTCTGCTAAATCCAGAGCTTCAGTGGATTTATCTGAGCAAAGGACTTGTCATGCTTTGTTGTTTTGTTCCCGGTAGTTGATGTTATTGTCCGTAACCCACCCAGAAAAGAAAAAAAAAAGGAACAAAAGGTATCACAAAAGTTCAAGCGAGGCGGACTTCAGCCACTCGTGGTTGACTTGGGTAAAAGGGTTGGCCCAAGCCTGGCCTGCCCCGGGGAGGATATGGACTGGTGGACCACCCAATTTTCGCAGGTCCCTTCAAACAAAGACGCAAGTTTGCCTGTTGCTCGCGTGATGTTCATTTGACCTTCAACTGGATCACTCTTGCCCATCTGAGACAGCAGCATCGGCCCAGTTCCCAACTCAAGAAGCTAATGACTCACATCTTCAACCAAAGAGCCCTGGGTTTCTCTCGAGGGAGTCGGACATTTGCGTGCCTCCAATCCACTCGTTGATGCGTGAAGAAACCTGCTGGGGAAGGCTCTAACCCGTTTCGAGAGCTGCAACAAGTAGCGGGCTTGTTTACTTGATGTCCCAGCATAGCTTCGTGTTCCTTGAGTATATGCTCAATGATGCTGAGCTTTCATTGGCAATTTGCATTACAGGGCTGCTCCAAAGGCTAGAAACGGGTCACTGGAAGGAACCGAAGGGAAAGAAAGCTGTTTTACAAGCGTGTAGTTTTAAGCAATCTTGCCAAAGAAACAAGCCTTCATGGGCAAGGGCTTTGAAAGCCATCTGCCATGTCGTGATCCTCCTCCTGGCGTTTCGCTCTGCGCAAAGGGTGATGTCCTGGGGAGCCGGTTAGCTGCCAGCGATGTGCTCCCCGTAAAAGCAATCGTGCCATCGCCGCGCAGCTGAGCTTCTTCAGTGAGCCCAGGAGGCTCTTTGGCGTCAGTAAGCTCGTTCAACAAGCAAGATCATGGCGTGTTCCGCCTTCAAACGGGGTCCTTGACTTCTTGGTGACGTCCTTCGAGCCGACAAACTCCTCGCACCACGAAGACCATGTGCATCCTCGTGCTAGTACCAACGCTGCGCAAATGCATGCAACTTGCAAGCAACAAAACACGGGCACCCATAAACAGGTCGCGCTGTCTCGCTAAATCAGACATAGAAGCGTGCAATGATTCCAGCAGTCCGAAGATACAAAAAAACTGGACTTGGGAAGACAGCTTGGAAAGGTTCAAGGATGCGCCTTGCGTGGTCTGTTGAGAATAACAATCCCAGTTCCGAAAGGAGTGGGGGAACTGGAGCCACCTTTCCAAAACAAAAGGCACCAAACGGGACTCACATGAAAAACACGTAGCGCCCTTCTCACTTGCCCAACAAAAACACATGTTCACCCTGCCATGGCTGAAAGATCACCGAAAGAATCGGACAACTGAGCATTGTTTTTTTAGAGGTTCATGGCTTATACACACTGCTGGGGAGGCTACGCGGGGGGCTTCGCGGGGCCAGAACTCGTGGAAGGGTTGGCTTCGCCAGGCCTCGCGGCAAGACTGTGGCTTCGCAGAGTGGCTTCGCCGGGCTTCGCGCCACAAACATCTCTGACGTTTGCGCTCTCATGCAGTTGAATCATGTTCAGTCCATGCGAAAGGGGGCGATGAAGGCGGTAAGGGAGACATTGAGCTTCAGGACTAGGGGACGTGGCTGGGCCTCAAAGGGGGCGGAGCATGGAAGTTGGACGGCAGTGGCTTCGCGGAGGCTTCGCGGGGGCTTCGCGGAGGCTTCGCGAAAACGTTCCATCGTTTCTAGCAAAACCGGGCCTGAAACGGTAATCTTCCTGTTGTCTTGTCGTAGCCTTCTGACTCTAAACATCAACCTTTGGCATGCTACTGCCATGAAAGCACACAACACACTTGCCATGATCGCACATAACACACTCCAACATCTCCAACCACGAAGTGGCTTCGCAAAGTTGGCTTCGCCTGTGTGAATGTTGCCGGGCTTCGCGAATTGGCTTCGCGGGGCTTCGCGGGGCTTCGCGGGGCTTCGCGGGGCTTCGCGGCACACAATGTATCACACAAGTGCCTTCGCGGACCTTTTCCCACGAAGCTAAAATCCATCATCTGAGAAAAACACGCTGCTCAACTGAGCTCGAGTGTTTCAAAGGCCGTCAGAAAAAATATATGCCCTCTGCATGTACGCCTAATAATCCCCAGAAAGCTATGCCCGCTGCGCTGTCCAGTATGTAAGCCAGAAGGGCCTTGAGCCCAAACATGGATAAATGTCGAAGATGTATACATGGCTGCAAGAAGGTCAATGTCGAAGCAAGCGAGAACACCCCTCCCCCCCTCCAAACTGGCGCCTCAGTCCGTCCTGCGAGCGGCGTGGCGACCAACCACAGCGGCCCGTGTCCCAGATCACCCCGAAGGAAATGCATAGATTGGCAACCAAAGGCGTCTAAACCTTTTTCTTTTTGTGGCTTTAAAGGGAAACAAAAAGGACCCCCGCCATCTGTATTGCCAACTCCAGCCCCGACTTGCAGAAAGTGGCAGTTTCTTGCTCAGAAGGTTCGATCCAACCGAGCACCCGAACCCAACAACTCTACAAAACTGCCTTGAAACGACCAAAATAGGAAACGCCGAGGTTTGTCTTGAAATAGAGAAACCAAGTTCCAAAATAGGTGACGCTCTCTTTCAGACTTTCTGAACAACAAAACATAATACAAAACCAATGATGAATAAACAAACATGAACAAAAAAAATGAACCCACATCCAGCACCCTCCGACTACGGTCTAAATGTTATTTTCGGAACTACCGGGTATTTGGCAGTACTTCCGAAAATAACATAAAAGACAGTAGATCCCCTATCTAAGGTCGTTTCACGGTGTCCCAAACAGTAAAAGACAAGCCCACGGGGTGACACGGTGACACCGTGTGACACGCAGTCGACACGGGGTGACACGCAGGCGACACGGGGTGACACTGGGTGACACGCCGGTGACACGGGGCGACACGGGGGCGACACAGAGTGACACGCAGGTGACACGGGGCGACACGGGGTGACACGCTAAAACTGCTGTTGTTCGCAGCGATCTACTGTTGTTCTAGCATACTGACACGGGGGCGACACGGGGGCGACACGGGGGTGACACGCAGGTGACACGGGGTGACACGTGACACGTTGTGAGGCGCTCGCTGCACTTGCTGCCGCCCCTTGATTGCTACCACCCCTGCTATGGCATCTCCCCGTTGTAAGCAGTAGCTAGCAGTAGTTAGACTATGCATGGGCATCTCGCAAATAAAAAAAATGACAGTGGTTTTTTCTAGCTACGGTCGTTTTTGGGAAATGTCTATCTACTGCCCGGGCAGTCAGAGGCTGCTGGATTGTGACCGCTGCTTGGCTCGAAAAACCACGGCGCCCGCCAAAACCACGGCCGCGCCGACGGCCGACGGCCGACGGCCGACGGCCGTCCTTCGTCCCGCACGTCGCTAGTCTGCAGGCGCGCGCTCTTGGCCGCCGCTGTGAGCCCGGCCAGCGCCGCCTCGGAGTCCTCGGCTGAGCTCCCGGTTTTTGGTATCCGAACGGCCCGTTTGGGAAAGGACGTCTCCAGGGAAAAATGGGAACATCTGTGTGAGTTCCCCTACAACAAACAAGATAACATACAACATATTCTTCAGCAAGTGGAAGAACATGTTGGGGGTTGGTTTGGCCAACCCCTTGGTTTAGAGAATACATTCGTATGTTATATAATGGTGGGTTGGCCCTTGGTAATCATGGGTTTCAGGGAAACGGAGAAAAACACAACTCAGGGATTCGATGGGTTTCTCGTGAGGTTTGGTCATTTCAGGTGTGGTCCTGTGCGAAAATCAAATGATTGCCAGGATTCTGCAAAAACAACTCAGAGAGGCGTTACTATGCCACCAAGAAAACTACCATGTCCTGATAGGTTCCGGGCGGTGCAAATAGGTAGCTGGTGGGGTAGCCCTGGGTGTTCCATCCCTGAAACATATTTAAACGGTTGCTCACACCGAATCGCAAAAAGTGAAGCCCCACTCATACATTGTTCCCCCGCAAACCCACCACGCCGTGTGCAGGGCACGCGCCGGCTTCTCTCTCGGGGGGGCTGTGAGAACCCCTCTCTGAGCGTGGAAGCCTTCTTGCAGGGGGTGGTTTGAGTTCCCAAACTGTAAACTGTGCCGAAAAGACCGTGTGCTGCGCGTTGGGCTCCACATATCACACAACATGTTCCGCCAAAGGAAAAAGGACATAACCCAGCAGAGGCAGCTTCAAACGCAACCGGTAACCCCGCATGGATCCCTCAAGTCGACCTAAAACCAAAGCTGGTGGAGGAAAGTAACCAGCTTCAAGTCTTTCGGGCCCCCCGCCCTTGCAACCGTTGACACAGAACCCACCAAAGGCTCCGCCAAAAAGCACACTGGTCACAGGGACTTCTGTCATCTTCTGTCAGGTTCCATGTTTGGTGGAAATGCGCCCGAGAAAGACCTGAACTCAGCGGTGACGGTGGGTGCTGGTGATGCTGGTGGAATGCCAAAGCCACAACAGTCCCAAGGAACGAAAAGCAATCAAAGCCCCAAAAACGCTGGCAAAAGCCACTTTCTGGTGAGCCGAAACAAAAACACAGAAAGACAACCAAACAAACAAACGCATAAACCAATGACGAAGTTGCGTATACTCAACTTTTACACATATCTGGAATTGTTCAAAGGGAGCTCTTGGGGCTGTGAAGGGACTATCGTGCCAGCTGTTGCCACCCTGCATGGCTTCTACCCAAATGGGGTTCCTTTGGGATACTATACACATTGTCCCCGGCGTCCGCGAATGCACCCCAGTTTGCCGATTGTTTTTAACAAAGAACCACCTCAAATGGTGCTCTTAAAGGCCCAACTCCCTAAGTCAATCTCATGCTCCTGGGGGCTGGGCGGGAGGGAGGGAAGGGGGCCCGAATTATATAAAGCCCTTAATACAGCCGTTATCTAGGTTTTATTTGACTCTCCCTTCCCCCCAGCCCCCATGACATACCCCTGGAGAACCCCTCACCCCCCGGGTCCCATGGCATGACTTGGGGTCCGGGCCACTTGCAGCACCACGATCATGGACCCGTCCTCCTCCCACGCCTCGAGCTTGCCCTTGGGGCACTCCTTAGGAATTCCCGGATCGGAGGCCCAACGAACCGTGGGTTTCCATTTGGTTCAGACTCCTGGAGTAGTGATAGATTCCCTTTAAAACCGTACCAGGGGAACTAAAACATTCTTAAGCAAATGGAAGGTGGTCAAAGCATGTGCCAGGATCATGTTCCAGCCCCTTGCCCCCGTGGGTGTCCCATGTCCAAGGTTGGTTGTCAGGAGGATTCAGCCCTGAGGGTGTGCCATGTCCAAGGTTGGAAGTGTTGTGTTGTCCGGCAGATTCAGATTGTCCACCAACTCCTTGCTTCAGCCCTGAGTGGCCCCTAGCCTTGCATTTCCGAAGTCAGTACGCATCACGGAATGGCAAATGGTGTCAGTTGCTCGCCTTCCAAGAGATAAGCCCAAGACCCACCGTTCCTTGCATAGACCCAGAAGCGAGCGCTTTGGGGTGCGATACCCTCTCTGGAGGCTCTCTCGGTCTCTTAGTTTCGCTTCAAAGATCCCAAAGCACAGCGAGCCCTGCGCGGAAACACATTGACTTTTGGCGGGCTGGTCGGCCAGAGGAGCACCAGGGAACCCGAGCACGAGCTCTCTTTTGAAGTTTTGTTGGGGTGATGTTTAGGGGAGGAATGTGGGGAACTTGAAGACACCAGATGGAATAGACCTGCTTCCAAGAGCCATGGGGCGCTCCAAAAATGCGTTTGCCCTTGTGGGTTCTTTGGGAGGATCAGAGTACCCAATACAATTGCTTTGCCCTTGGAATGGCTTGGAGAAACACTTTATAACAATTCCCGGGCCATACCAGATCCACCAACCATGATGGATCACTCGCTTTGACCCCAGTGAGCTCGCACAATTCTGGCAATTCAGTCAACTATCACACCACCCTTCTTCACCTTTGTCCGCGAAGAAGGGTTTGTGACCCTTTTCGATTTTGACGGCACAACTCAACATGTGGCAGAATGAGCAGGTGCAATGTAAAGGCATATACGGAAGGGAAGATACGGGCCGATGCCAATGGAACGATGTCATCTTGCTCCAATCGCTGAAGTTCCCGGGTTTTTCAGTTCGAAGCTTCAACCTTTGGACTTGGACCGTCTCGAAAATGTAAAAGTTAGGCCGCCGATCCCCGAGGATTGGGCCATCCCCCTTCAACATGTTCAGTGACCCTGATCAAAAAAATACAAAAGGCTCATAATTTCAGTGGAGAGCGCACCAAGCAAAATCGGACATGGGTGGCACTGATCAACTGGCCCGTGATTTGCCTCCGCTTCGGCTTCCAAAAACTCCATTGCGGCCTTGACGGGCCTGAAAACTGGTGATCACCTCTATCTTGTTCCACAACTGACGCAAATGCACAGGCTGGTTATAAAGCCAATTTCAGAGCAGAAGGGACAACATGAAGTCCCAAATGAAGGGGGACAGAAGCCAGTGTTGGGCACTTTGGTGTTGATCTCTCCTGCTGCGTTACAAACTGATCGTCTGTTGCAACCCAAGCACACAATCCCCAGAACTACCATCACAGCTTGCATCTGCGGAAGCCCCAAGGGCAGTTTGAAGAGCGTTACTCAGCCCAGCCTGAAATTGCTTTAGAGGGCAACACCAACGAGAGTTGATGATAACACAAACGCAATGGCTCCAAGGCCTGCGGCTTCACTGGTCGATGTTTTTTCCTGAAGGGGCAATCTATACTTTGTCATGTTCCCACCCTAACAAGTTGTTTGAGCATGGCACGCGTGTGAGTTCTAGCGTCCCACCCTTGGGGGTTCCACCGAAGGTCTTGCGAAACATGGCCTTCCCATGGCACCCGGTAGGTTTCGATTGAGCTAAAGGAAACTGGATCCACAGTGACATCGACATTACCTTCTAAATACAGTGAAAGGGAAACACCCGGAAACACCACCCCAAAGTAGTTTTGAGAAGCACTGAACATCTGCGCATGTGGCGGAATACGGGGGCCCCGCCAAAATTGTGATTTTCCTCGTGATTTCCCTTAATGGACTCCGTCAACCAGGTGCACCCAGCTGAGGCTCGCTCTGTGACTGCGTCGTGCACCGCGTGCCCCACCTGCCAACGTGGCTGCCTCACTTGAGTGGATTCGCCAAAAGCGTTGACCAAACTAAATCATAATCAAAACCCAGCATTAACATGGTCGATACCCAAAACCGTGCAGGCAAGCCCTGGTAAATTTAGCAAACAGCTGGATGTTCTTAACCCCACTAAATTCGAACAGGACGAACATGTTTCATTTTTGAGAAAACAAACCAACATGCCAAGAGCGAAGATTCCAAAGTTTGTCAGAGCCAATCACAGTTCCTTTTGGAAACCAGCAATTTTCCGCAAGACAGGCAAGGTACAGCTAGAATGTTGGCCCCTAGCTACAACAAAAAAGCAACCAGTGAAACAAATGAAAGACCAGTCAGCAAACACCCAAGCGCTTGCTTGGCAAAACAGACCTTGGGGACGGGATGTTGTTTTCCTCAAACTTGATGGAAGGACAACTATCTTAAGGAAGGCCAACAACCAAAATGGTTGCTTCAAACCGGGATTTCAAGGCAGAAAAAGAGACCACTAAGCATGAAAAGCGGTTTGCCAACCCCCAAGAATATCAAGGTTCTCCGAACACCTCAAAAGAGTGGAAAATTGGTGTCTTTGGTCGACTCTTACTTGCTAAGCCTAGGTATTCTACGGCTAGACATCCAGGGAATGCTCCATCCCTAGAAACCCCACAAGCCCTGGGGTTCAAAACACCAACACAAACATGGGGGTTCATATAACCACCATTGTTTATCCAAGGATTTTCATCTAAATTGGGTCAACCACTCTTTACTCGGTTGCTTTCTGCTCCCTTGCTAAAAGCTTATTGTTTAGTGGTTTCATGCAAAACCCGTGAGTTGGCACAAAGTTAAAGTCCTAACATCCAAACAAAATGCACCAAAGTTTGAATGGGGCAAGGAACCCTAAACCAAGTCCAGCGGTCCCTTGGCTCCGTTGAATCCCCCGCCTGTGCCGCGAGCTTGCCCGCGGACATGCGCAGGTCGCTGCGAGCCACCACTGCCAGCTTGCAATCCTTGGGCCCGGAGAAGGCGAAAGGCTGGTGCTTGATGGTTGGCGCGAAAAGGAAGAAACATGGTCCACTTTCTAAAACAAGACATGGGTCCTTTGGGGAAAAAAAAAAACATGTTCCACACATCCTTTGGAAACAACTCATGTTGGCGCGTGAGGAGTTTGATTGGTCCCTTGGGTCCTGTGGGTCCTGTGGGTCCTGTGGGTCCTTGATGCTTGGTGGCGCGCAAGGGAAGAACAATGTTCCATGCAGAGTAGCCAACATGAGCAATGCGGATTGTGAGTAGTGCTTTGGGTCCCAAGCGCAACCTGGGCTTCCAGAATCCTGGGTTGTTGCAGGTCCCAGAGTGGAAGTCCATGGGGAAACAAGGCCACTTCTTCTTCTGGCAGTTTTCAAGCTTGAAATCGGCCAAAGGGAAACTGGGCTCTCCTCAGATCCCCCCCAAGCTTAACTTTTCAGTGGGTTGAATTGGAACCCAACCACTAAACCAACCAAAAAGCTGAAAAGAGTCTAAGGGACCGGATGGGAACCACCAAGAAAACCAGACCACTCTTTTTTCTGGTAGTTTCGCCACATGGCCATGGGCTTTTCAAAACCCAAATCGTACCTCCAGTGAACATCCCAATCCAACCACTAAAATAGGTTCTAACATGGGTGGTGCACCTATCCCAAAATGGTACCATTGGTTTTGAACCATGGCCACATTGCTCAAGGCCCCACCCCACCCAATGCAAGTGTGTTTTTTTGTTTTTGCTAGTTTGCAGGGTTGAAACAGGCAAAAAGGTGCTTTTGTCCTTGTGGAAACAAGGCCACACCATTTCTGGCATGTGATCAAGGTCGAAACAGGCCACAAAGCTTGTTCATTTCCAAGAGACAGAATTGCCTCCGCAAAGTACAGTTCGCTTTTTGCATGAACCTTTTCAGTTCTCCAGGGGATGACTCTCCATTCTCTTCAGCCGTCCTTCTTTCCAAGAAGCGGATCCGTTTTCCCGATCGGGTTTCCGGAGGCTTAGAAAGATTCGGATCCCTGGAAAGAATGGAAATGGAAGGTACCCCTAGAATTTCATTGAGCAAACCGCTGCTCAATCCAAGGGACGCCCTAAAAGTTGCCGAACAAACCGGCACCCCAAGCTGGCCAGGCGGCCATCCGCACGGAGCAGCTCGCGAGGCGAACTGCCAGCAGGACAGCGCCAAACGCGCGGACCATGCAACAAAACGGCGGCAAATGCGACAAAAAATGCAGAAATATGAGAGCTGGGTGGCTTTTTCCAGATTGCTTCTTTGTTCATTTTGAGCTGTTGGTTGTTTGCTTGTTTGTGTGCTCGTGTTGGTTGTCAGGTTGGTCTTTGTGTGTCTGTTGGCTTGCGCATTTGCGTGGTGAACTGCTTGATGTTGACTGTTTGCCTGTTTGCCAGTAGTGTGGTTTTTGCCACTTTGTGTTTCTTGTCAACCTGAACATGCGTGTCTTTGTGTGTGTGTGCCCGTTCACGTATTCAAGGGCTTGGGTGTTCCGTTTGTCCGAGCAATGGGCTCTGGTGTTTCTTCGCTGTAAATCTGGGCCTTGGGCACGTGGTGAGCAGCCAGTCCCTGTCCCATCCAGGCGGTGGCCAGGGGCGAAAAAGCACCTCCTGTTCCGCTTGTTGTCTTTGAAGAGGAAAAACATGGAAACAAAACAACTTGCTGATGCGATAGGCAGGGAATGAGGGAATGAACCCAGGGGTCCCCTGAACGGAACCACAAGGGGATTGTTATGAGGGTCATTCCCTCATTCCCTGCTAAGCACCAGCAAAACAACCAGCAGAGAGGGAAAAGGGACACCATCGGAGGTCCCTCAAAATCTCGCCGTTGAACGGTCACATGACAGGTGCCTGCAAAGACTGATTGCCATTTTTGGGGGGACGGATTAGGTTCCAATTCTCATCAAACGCATTTCGACCAGCAGCCCAACCACTCAAACATCCCCACCCCAAATTGGCAGTTACGAGACCCCCCTGGTATAATACATGCAGATGTTCGTTCACCCATCGATTGGGGATGGGAATCTAGGAGATTTGCTTCTTTAAGAGGGAATAAGGGGGTTTTTAAGTCAACCCCCTGGCTTTGGTGGTAATCCCACCTGTCCAATTCTCCAAAACGGACCACAAACTGCTGACTTTGGCCGCACACTTCGGACTTCGGGCGATTTTCTCGCTCGCCGCCAAAACCAATGTGCGCCCGGCGCGCCCGGCGCTTCGGGCCGAAGAAGCGCCGTTCATAGAGTCCGTGGGTGAAGGCTCAAATTGCCTAGGCCTCCAGCACGGTCTCCGCCGGTGCCTGCGGGCAAGGGCCAAAAAGGCGCCCTACGGTGAGCTGGGGGTCATATCATAGACACTCCAAAACATCGCGCCGCTCAAGGAGTCTGCATATAATGGTGGTCTTCAAGGACAAGCCTCGGTCAATATAGGAACAAACCCGAGGATTGGCATCTGTTATAAGTTTTGCCATTGTGCTACTACCACACCTGGACCTCCTTTTGGACTCTTAAAAAGCACCCGCATGATTACCTCCCATGTACTCGCTTGCTGGTTGTGGACAGTTTCCATAACCCCTGTTCATTTGCCATCCATCCCCAAACACCAGCCAAATTAACTTCCATTTGCTTAAGCCCCCTGGAAAAAGGAGAGCATATGTTCAGTAGTCAAATCGATTCCCTTTTAAACCAGCAAGGGGAAAACTAACACATAATCCTTTCAGGAAATGGAAGACAACCCGCTTTGCTGCCGACCCCTTCAAAGACTGTCACCATGATTGGCATGTCTCGCCCACGTCCGCGCCTCAGCTTCCACGATCTTCTCCTCCTCCTTGGATTTGCCCGCAGCTCCTTGCATGCCAACAGGCGGCCGTTGCCCTACTTGAAAGACAGTTGAAACGTGGATTTCTTTACTCATATTAAACCACCTGGTGTTGGCTTCCTTGCAAGGGGACAAAACCATGCGGAACCTCCTTTGGGTGTCCTGAATGGGGTGGGCAAACCCGAGCCCCTTGGTTACTTCATGGTTTATAACGCATTGTTGTTTAACCGACCTTCGTTTCTGTTGCCAACCCCCGGTCATGCGTTCCGCGTTCAATCTAAATACGTTCTGGTGGCTTTGACAAGGTTTTCCAGACCTCCAATGGATTCGGAGAAAATGGTACTTGCCCTTGGTGTTTGTGAAACATAAGTATTTTTCTGTTGGCTGACTTTAAAGGGAGCTTCCCCGCTTCCAACAAAACATGGAGTTGGCCGGAGGTTGAGCAGTAAGATCTGCCAGGCAAAATGCCAGGGCGGGGGTGGTCGAAATACGCTAGACAACCCAGGGCTTTCTCTTTGGAACAAGCCTGGGCACATGATTTTCACCATTTCTGGGTCAAAGTCAGCCACTGCAATTGGTGGTGTCCTTTCAACCTACTGGGGGCGTGACTTTACTGGTAGAATTGGGGCCAGCAAACCGCTGGTGCGACAACTTCCAGTCGGCGTTTCAGGTGGCACCAACAAATGTGCTCGATAGTATAGTATATATATATATACATATGGGATTGTATTTTTGCCGTTGCCAACCCAGGAAGTTTGAGGAGGCGGTATGTTTCGGGGGTATGTTTTGGGGGTATGTTTCGAGGTATGTTTCGGGGGTATGTTTCGCGGGTGTGTTTTCGGAAGGTTTTTGCTTCACACATGTGAGCTAGTGCGTGGACAGGTCTCCGGCAGCATTTGCGGCTCCTCCCTTCTCCGTGCAAGTTCAATACAAAATCACGCACGACTGACGAGCACCACTGCCTAACCAGGCCCGCTACCATAAGTGCAGCGCTAAGCGCTTTCCACGCTGGCACCCCGTGCTTGTAGCTGCGTTCAAGGACCGGCGGCCTGCGTCGCCTTGAGCTACAAGGAGCGTGGCCGACGACGTGCGTCGGACGCTGCGCTGCGATGGCAAGGAGGATTTCCATGGTCGCAGGGCCCTGCAGGTCGCGCCGACGCCAAGCAAGGCAGATCAAGGCAGCATGACATCTCCGACACGCAGATCGCCTGCACGCGCTTCCACCCAAGCCGCAGCCACCGCCATCTCTCCTGCTGGTTTGCCTGGGAAAGAAGGCAAGGCTGCTAGGCAAGGGTAGCCTAAGGCGTGGCAAAGCACGTCGACCTTTCCTCTTGGCCGGCAAGACTTTCGCACGCTGGCTGTTAGAGTCTGTCTTTGCGCAGCAAAAGCAACAAAACAGGCATCGGTGGCAAGCTGCTGTCAGGGGGTAGGTTTCGGGTATGATTTGGGCATGATCCAGGTATGTTTCGGAGACCAACTTAGGTTTGGATTTGAACCACTAGCTTCCAGTCCCGCGCAACTCCCCAGCCCACTCTTGAACGACCTGGTTGTCTGCAGTCGTTGGCCCCACCACAGCCGTCCGCGCTGTCTGATCTTCAGATATCCTCAGCAAGCAAATGTGGTTCAGTCACAATCAAGCGTTGTGGATCGGCTTTCTGTGGTCAATCGAGCATGTCGTTGGCGCGATTGCCTGAGAGCACGACGCAAGGAACACTTCTCTTAACCGCACCCATGTCGGGACAAATTTACCACGCGCGCTACGCCACGAGGGTCGCAGCCAAAAGGCAGCAAACATGGTGCACTACTCTCAGCCCAAACATAGCCACACTGCGCAGGAACACTCTGTCAGAAGTTCCTTGTAAGTTTCTTTTACTCGTCTACCCTTGCACGGTGCCTGCAGCTGTTGTTACGGAACTGGCACGTTGTTGGTCAAAGCCTTCTGCTGCAGCCCACGCAACCCCAAATTCAAATTCCACAATCCGCAAACCGCATACTCTACTCCGTACACCGCGCAAGCCGCAAACCGCTAATCGTTGGGGATTAGGTTTTGCGCAAACTAGAAAACGGGTACAGTTCGGGGGGTATGTTTCGGGGGTATGTTTCGGGGTATGTTTCGGAGGTATGTTTTGGGGGTATGTTTCGCCGCCGTCGAACTTCCCGCCCTGACTAAACTGGACACACGCCAAAAAAAATACAAACCCATATATATATATATGTCGGTGCTTCTTCTGACTCGACACGGGATCCCATGGCAAAAAAAAAGGGAAAGAACCAACTTGTATTTAGCAAATGGAAGTTGCTCAAGGTTGCTCGTTGTTTGTGGTCAAAAGGTAACCCTTGCTGATTTGCTTGTCCCCAAAAATCAGCCACACAATGGGTGCTTTCAATACTCTTCCGTTCACTGAACCAACCAGGTCACCTTTGGGAAGTTAATCGGTCTGCCCGCAGGCTCAATGTCGCAGGGGAACCCAAGAGCAACACGTGTTTTTTTGGTGGTGTTGAACAAGACCAGCCAAAGTAAAACCAACTACCTGTTGATGAACGGGGTGTTCTTCATTCGGGAGGGGAAATCAAGTCACTTTTTGCCGGAGGTCATTACACTCCTCGAGTGATCGCAAGCTTCAATGATCGCAAGCAAACATCATGTGGGTGTGGGTCAACATGGGTACCCAAAATGGAACCCCGGTAATTAACTGGAAAAACAACTAAAACCAGCGGTCTATATCATATGTTGGTGGTGAAGAACTTTGAGCCATACCCATGTGCAACAACCATCACCAACCCCAAGCAAGGAGCCTCCAGAAGACTTTCATGGGTGAGGTCCCAAATCAAAACGCATGGTCACCAAAACATTTGTTGCGCAATGGGAACCTATCTGAGGGTGTCCAGCACTCCGTCGACATAGGTATGTGCCAAAAACAGAAAGTTCATGGAAAAAGGGTGGTCTTCCGTGTGACCTTCCGTGAAACTAACCTTTAAAAGGGGTACTCTCCACAAAAAGCCCACACCAAAGAGTGTTTCTCAAAATAGGCGCCCCCCCCCCGCCCCCGCTCGATGTGTGGTTTCTGTTCGTCCCCCTTTCTAAGGGTTCCAGTAGAGATGTTAGAATAAGGGTACCAACTTTGTTCAGTAGTCTATTTTTTGGTAGTCTATTGATGGTAGGGACTTTTTTCTGTAGTCCAACTTTATTCTGTAGGGGAACCCTCCCACAAAATAGGGGTGAGCAAGGGCACTATGCGGCGCTTCTTTGCGGAACTTAGAAGCTACAGATGGACGGAGGTCCCTCGCAGGATTGCCAAAGCTGTCCTTCATTACCGACTGGACACGGGACAAGGCACTACTGGGGGATCCAGCCCTTGAAAGCCACTAACCGGGCTCTGCCGTGCCAGTGCCGTCGGTTGCGTCCTCCGTGGGTGAGGCGGAAGAGCCCGGCTGCGAAGGCACCCCCAAGGAGCTGGAAGAGCGAGAAGCAGACCAGGTTGACTCGAGGCGACCACAGGCACCGTATGTTTCCCCCTAGAAATTGTTCACCCCCACTTCAAGGGGGGTGACTATTCTTCAGGGCAAATGTCTAGACTTTTTTCACCCCCACTTAAAGGAAACTCACCATTCTTCAGGGCACACAAGGGTTGCAATTTACTGGTTTCCATTGAGACTGCCACTTTGGGAGGTTCCAAAAAGGGACATGGCTCGGAAACTCACTATTTTTTGGCCCCAAACTACCATGTCCTTCCAGAAATCCTGGTAGCTCCTTGGATACCCCCAGCTCCGTAATGGCTCCCTTCCAACTACGAGCTTATTGAATCCACAGAAACAAAAGAAGAAAAACAACAACACATATCGGGAGGTTAGGGGTTTCATGGTCAGCCCATTTAAAAATTTCACCATGCAAAACACAAAATGTTCGGCGGCAAGAGAAATGGGAAGGAAACCACAAGAACAAAAGCCTGGATCGCCAGTTGCTGCTTTTTTCCATCCACTTTACCCCAAAGACCAGCAACAGTGACTGAACAAAGAAGCAACTTGGCTATCTAGGAGGTTAAAAAGGAAAGCTAAATCTAGCCATTGTCCTTACTGCCCAACTTCAGAAAGGAGCGCAACAGTAGCGACTGAAGAAAGGGGATTATTGGTTCAGCTCGGCTTTACGTGCCTCCACGTTTCCAAGAAAACACACATCGCCCAACGGAAACTCACCAGGCCCAAAAGATGATGTTCAAGTATACATGACGATCCGTGAAGTCTCCGTGACCAAAGAACATCCTTCTTTGAAGGGAACTAACCTCAAAGGTCATCCAGTTGCTTACGTCCGTGAAAAAGGAAGATCAAAAGAATAACGTTTTCAATCGTGATAGATGCCCTTGAACAGCAACAGGGAAATCATAATCATCATCATAGCTATAATTGAATCACTCTGTTCATTTTCATTTCAGCAAATGGGTGTGGCTCAAAATTAGACAGCTAGGGCAAACCGCAGGGTTTGGTCCATGTTTCCACTTACCAGGGCAAGCCATTTTGGTACAGTGAACATCCCAATCCCCACTAAAACCGACTAAAATGGGTGGTGAATTCACCTACCAACCAAAATGGGATCCCATTGGTTTTGCCCAGTCTTTCGGCCCCGGTTTGTTTTTTTTCCAACGCCACATGGAGGTGGAGGTGTTGAACACCAGCCCCAGAGACTGGGCCGAGGCGCCGAAGGGCCCGATGCCCAGGCGGCCCGGGTTCACCACGTTCGCCAGGTAGATGCCTAGAACCCAGGCCCCCCCCCAGGTTTTTTCGAGGGGTACCAATTCCAATTCCAAGTCCAACTGAGTGCTGGGGCCGCAAGTGGCTTCTTGTTGGCTTTTCAAATTTCTAGGGGTACCTTCCAATTCCATTCTGTCCATTCTTTCAGGGATCCGAATCTTTTCAGGAAACCATACAAAAAACCCAGGGAAGCAGCTGGGTTTTGAAAAGAACGATGGTTGAAAAGAATGGGGAAGCAACCCCTAGAGGTATGGTCTCAGATGCCCAGTGGATTTCCAGCGAAAAAAAAAGCAAAAATAATCGGCATCCGATTTTTGGTTGGCTGACTTGTCACCCTTTCCAAAACAAAGGGACAATGGCAGCAACCCACTGGGCAACTGGGTGGTGGACACTTGGGATGTCTGGGCTGTCCGTTTTCAGATGCGCAAGTTTAACTTGTGGGTTAAAATCGGAAATCCAACAACTACACACTAAAAGCTAGGAACCTAAGGAACCGGCTGCCTGCTGCTCCCACCGATGTCTTTTTTAGTCTCTATTTGTTGGGGGTTTGGTTTCTAGGGTCCCAGTTTGCAGCCTGGGTGCTTGTTTCCTGATGCCAAATGGATGCTTCCTCATGTTGCACTCGTCTTGTTACATTTCTGTGTTTCCACCAATTGACATGGGGCTCGGTGAAATTGCAAATGGCCCTACGAAATCAAGCACTGGGGATGCGTGAACTCCCGAAAACCACTTGCGAACAAACCAGCTATCAGCCACCATGTGAACGGTCCTTTCCTCCACTCGCAAACAGGGAACCTACAGTATTACTTGAAACAAACAATGAATCATACGTCCGTGAGTTCCCCCATCAGAGCAGGTACTTGCCATTGTGTGCGGGTGTTGGGCCTTTTTGCGGAACCCAACAGGATCCTACTAGAACAAAAGTGCTCCTTAAAAAGACGAGTTTCGTTGTTCTCTCTGAACATTGTCTCAAGCCTTTTTGTTTAGATGCAGCTCTCACCTATGTTGCGCCACTAAAATCACTCAAAGCCAACAGCACTTCATGGCTGTGGGTCCAAAATAGGTGCTCTAACTCGAACCCTGGAACATGGAAACATGGACTCAAGGCTGCGGCCCCCTGGTTTAATTCTGACCCAATTTGCACATGGGACCCCTGGCTCAGGGGTGGCCACCTGGGTACCAACCAAAACCCCCGGGCCTCGCCCCGCGGCTCGAAACAAAAAAAAACTGGGGCGCGCGCCCACGGCCACGGCGGGATTCAGCTCTCCACCTGGACTCCGAAACCCGAAACGGCATGGACTCAGGTCCGAAGCTGAGATGTGCCAACAAAGAAACTCCGAAACCCAGAAACCCAAGAAACGCAGAGGGGAGTTTACTCGTTTTTGGCTTTGGGATAGACTCACTTCTGAAGTTGAGATAGGCCAAAACAGGTTCCCAAAGTTGTTGGCCACCAAAATGGTCCAACCCCAAAAAGTGACAACAACCTGGGTTCCAAAGGCGGCAACAAGGCCATAAGCTAGGTTCTGATTTTGGGAACAGTTGCGTCATATGGCCATGGGTCAAATCCCGCACCCCCAGTGAACATCCCAATCCCCACTAAAATAGACTAAAATGGGTGGTGCACCTACCTCAAAATGGTACCATTAGTTTTGACCCACTATGAAGACCAAGGCTGTGTGGTGTCTGTCCACAATGCCTTGTTTGCCAATCACAGACTTCACTTTACCCATAACGCCGGTACCAGTTAAATCCCTGGCGGGAGACACCGTGCGATTTAACATGGAACGGCCAAATCCTTGACTAAACTCAATGCCATGAAAAAGTTGGATGGTCCCCTATGGGTTTTCAGTGCTTCGAGGCCGAAAAGAAGGCATCGGTTTTGGGTGGTCCCCAATCAGCTTGGCTTTGCAGGCATTTCATTTTGCTCACCCCAAGCCCCTAACATTACCCTTGACTCACTTGACGGATGATTTTGTCGGATAATTACTCATGTACAAAAAGGTATCCTCCCAACAAACATAATCACTGACAGTCGGGCTCCGGAAGACTTCTTTCCCTCCATGAAAGCCGTTGGATGGTTGACAAGGAAAATGCACGGGACACCTACCACATGTTCAGCTGGTATGGAGGGTCTGGACAACTGAAACTGTTGTACGTCCACACGCTGAAGGTGACCTCAAACACAATGTTTGCCGATTATGACCACGTCCTTTCAGATTAAACGAGACAAACACAATACCTAAAGCAAATGGATCAATAATATCGATCCATCTCCGAGTGGTTTCCTTGGGCTGAAATCGAGCATATGTCACCCCAATCGACTCAGCAAGCGGAACGCCAGCTGATGCCAAGGCAGTCATCATAACGAGCAATGGACAAGCGGCCCCTTGCGGCCCCGGGAGGAGGCGAATAAATACTCCGGAGTAATACAAACGTAACATGTTTTTGGTCGCCATCCCTGATGACCTTTCAGGGTATCTTTCTAGCGGATGATTCCCCTTCATGTTCAACCATCGTTCTTTTCAAGAACTGGTCGTTTTCCCTGGGTTTCTGGAGGTTCTCTTCGAACATGGATTTTCTAGAGCCATCAAATGGGTGGGGCTCAAAATTAAACAGGAGGGGTCATGCAGGTGTTGGTCCATGTTTCCACTTACCAGGGATCCATTTTGGTACCGGGTTTTTGGAGCCACAGCCAAATCGGACTGCTCGGCCCAGAAACGCTTGCGCACTCAGTTCGCTCGCCTGAGATGGCGCCGGCGGCGAAGCCTCCGGCGGTGACGCAGGAGCCGATGGCCAGGCCGAAGTAGAAGTTCCTCGGAGCCAAAGTGAGTTGTCCAGCAATGAGTCGACATGGTGGGTCAAAAATATGTACCCAAAATGGCTTGCCCTGGTTAAATGGAAACATGGACTAAAAGCTGCGGTCTGGTGATTTGGGTATGGCTCAAAATAAAAAAGAGCTGGGGTTATGCAGGTTTTGGTCTTTGTTTCCATCCAAGGGCCCAACAAAATGGGTACCGCATTCTTGAGCCACAGCCATTTGTCCACCCATGATTCGACATCATTTCCTGGTCAAGAGGAACATCTTGCTTCTAATTCTACTGCCCGTCCTCCAGCCCTCTTCCAACATCAATTATTGGGCCCATACACCCCCCCCCTTCCCGCGCCCCTGCCGGTTCGCTGAAGACCTAATCAAGCCCACTGGCTTACACAACTTCCCCCCCCCCCCCCCAAAACGCCCCCCAAACGCCCACCGGTCCAACCGGTCCAACCGGTCCAACCGGTCCAACCGGTCCAACCGGTCCAACCGGTCCAACCGGTCCAACCGGTCCAACCGGTCCAACCGGTCCAACCGGTCCAACCGGTCCAACCGGTCCAACCGGTCCAACCGGTCCAACCGGTCCCCGAGTCTGGAGCTCTCCCGCTTCCAGTCTTCCAGCCCAGCGGCTGCTTGGTCTTCCATTCCGCCGGCTTCTCCGTGGTGGCCACCGCCAGCACCACGTAGGCCAGGATCATGGTGAACAGAAGCTCCGCGAAGGAGGCCTGCGGTGTTCTGCGGTTTTCGAACATCCACCCTTGGTGGTCAAACCTGTCGATGTGTCCAAACCACTCAAAAGGGAAATATAGGTCTCCATGTGCGTGTGTGGAAAACATAGGAGGCCTGCGAGCAGAGTTGTTCGAAGCGTGCCGGGTACACCAAGTGGACAAAACCAGGTGGTGTCTTCAACCACCAAAATGGGAAGTATTTGGCATTGGGTCAAACATGGGTAACCAAAATGGAACCCCGGTAAATGGACACATTGCATGGACTAATATGTGCGGTCCCTGTCATATAGGCTTGCGTGTTCTCCCTTGGTGCTTTGATCATCTTGGCGAATGGCTTGGTGAAATCGTGCTGTACCTGCATGTGACCTACCAGGTGCTACAAGCACACGGCAGCCCTCCAAATGGATCCAGATTGGTCCAAAGCATGAACGATGTTAGCGTATGACGTTCTTGCGCTCCGCTCCCAGAGGTGTTGAGAAACCAAAAGTGCTCAGTCTATTGAAACCAGTCCAAATGTCCCCGCGCCTGTTCTGTTTGATGCATGACATATAATATTGACCCGTCGCGAGCAGCCGATAGAAGGCAGTGCTTGGATGTTAAGCCCACTTAGACAGTTGGTTGCTTTTGACCTCTCTGCAAAAGTTTAACTTTCTGAGGGTTCAATGGAAAATACAAAGATCCAACCAAATAGCCATAGAGGCAAGTTGGTGGTATTAGTCGCATGACAGGAGCTTCCCCACTTATTGTGTGTTGCGTTTTGTCTTTGGAGAGGCCAAGGCTCATGGGCTCCCCCCCCCTCATCTTGAGGTTCAGAGCAAACCCCTCCATTTGGGGGTTATCCAATATTACTTTTCCCGGAAACCCTCCAATCGCCGGCCTTTCGCGCTCCAATCGCGACCGCAGCGGGGCCAATCGCGGAGCAAACTTGGTAACTCCTTCCCATCTCACAAGCAGAAGCAGCAGCAGCAGCAGCAGCAGCAGCAGCAGCAGCAGCAGCAGCAGCAGCAGCACCAGCAGCAGTGCCAGCAGCAGCAACACCAGCAGCGCCATGAGCGAAGGCCACGGAAGGGCACCCCCTGGTCCTGACGGGCTCGTCAATTGCCGGCCAATCGCCGTACAATCGCGGGCCAATCGCGAATTTCGCCGACTTTCCTGGTGAGACTGGTATGGCCGTTACACTGCCTAGCTGAGGGGCTGAGGCAAGGTGTCTACCACAGGTCCACTGCAAGCTTGTGTGAGTGTCAGACATGTCGCCGACAAGGTGCTGCGCATCTCCCTGTCTACAGGGGAGCGGGGTCTGCAAATATGTAAGGGCGACAACCAACCGTTGATGTAACAACATGTTTTGCGCTTCCAATGAGGGGTCACCCAAACATGTAGATGTTACCCCAATCGCAGTCCCAATCGCCGGCCTTTCGCGATGCAGGTTTTACCAATCGCGCACAAATAACAAGTTACCCGAATACATAAACTGAAGACTAGCATTTGCGGACGGCCCCCATTTGCTTAAGCCCCCTGGAGAAAAAAAAACGAACAGTAGTGATAGATTTTGTTTTTTAAAACCAAAGGGAAAAACCAACAAAAATGCTTAAGCAAATGGAAGAACCTGTGGAATGGACATCCAAAGTGCGCGAAGGGCCTGGCCTGCCAGATGTCATAGTGCTTCCCGAAGGCGAGCCTGCGAGAGTCGATGCCATTTGACCGCTTTTGACCTGAAGACTTGGTGTCAAAGTGGATTGCGAGGGGGGAGGGGGGGGGGGGGGCGACCGATTTTTCGACAACTGGACACTCTTCACAGCTATCTGTTTTGAGCTTGTGCATGGGAACCAAGCTGATTTGGGGGGTTCGCCTTGGAGAGCCAGGTTCATTCTTCCAGCAAGGCTGGGGTCTTACGAAGGACATCAGCCGCTGTGCGAAGTGCAATTTGCTCGCTATGGGGCAAAATTCAAAGCTCAATTCAACACTAGTATGAGAAGACCCCTTTTGGTTTCACTTAGGTGGGGTTCCCTTGTCGGCCGACTTGGCTATCTCCCCCCGTGGGGCAACCAAAGGACTGGGGTGGAACTACCTGGACTGGAACAATCAATAAGAAGATCCGGCCGGTCCGGGTTGAAAGAGCGAATGAGTTTAGCTGTTTGTAGGGGACCCACCAAAATTGGTGGTTTTATGTGGTTTTCCTTTTGGTGTCCCTGGTCCCTTTAAACTTTAAACCCACCAAAACCAGGTACCCTCAGGAGAAGCTGGTAAGTTTGGCAATGGGTTGCGGGAAACGGAATCTGTGACGGCAAGGGGATCTGGGAAAAGAGCCCAGCTCCCTTGCCCGAACCTACCGTTAACACGAAAAGATGTCGAAAGCTACATTTGCACATGAGCAAGTCACCCACTAAAGGAAGACAACAACATGCGCAAGTTCAAAATTGGAAGCTTGGTTTCGAACACGTCAGGGTGATCGCTTTACTGACCAGCTCAATTGACTGGCAAGGACATCATGTTCTCTATTGTCTGTGTTTTTTTTTGGGGGGGGGGTGCACACTGACATGATGAAGACATCTGGCAACATAAGGATGACTGCTTGGCGACTCGAGAGGTATACTCACGGCGGCATCCCACGGACATCATTTTGGGATTTAGTCAAAAAGGCTTGCCAATTGGTAAACATGTCTTCCTTATAAGCTGCACGTCGAATTTGCCAATCGGCAACGCACTACCGATTGAAGGTTCACGTGGCCTAATACAAAAAACCCAAAACCAAGGGAACACTAGCACTTCCTTCCATTTGCTTAAGTCCACCGGAAAAAATGAAAAAACATGTCCAGAAGTGATGGAGGCTTCTTCAGGCGCCACCAATCTTCTCCAAACAGCAAGCATCGAGTCATCCGCCTGTCCGTTCATAACCCTTCAGGGGCCTTTTGTAATATCCATCGATTGGATTCTTGAAGAAACAAAACACCAAGCGACACCTGTCCATTCCGCAACAACCACACCTCAGGGGCCTTTTGTAATATCTTCCATTTGCTGAAGCCCCCTGGAAACACTCAAAACATGTCCAGTAGTGAAATGGATTCCCTTTAAAGCCAACCGGGGAAACTCACAAATAGTCACTGCAAGGAGGCTCGACATTTGCCCAGCTGGGACTCCCCGCTGAATGGACTTGCGGTTGTTGGAAGACACCCCATGGAAGGCAGCGTAGGAGAGTCCCGCAAAGATGCCGCCTCGCGACCCGGGACCGGGTGGACACGAGACGAAGGTGGCAGACCAAACCTCTACCCTGAAAAATGTGGCTTTAGAATAGGCCGTCCATACATGAGAATGCTTTCATTGAAAGGGATATTTCTGTGAGTGTCTCTCCGGCAAATATCTGGTTGAACTACAATGTCTCCTCCAACTGTCCGGTTGAAGCGTTTAAAACTATGTTCTCTTGAGCCTGCGTTGACCTAGTCTTTCCTGGGTTGCCAACCACGAACTTCCCAACATGGCTAACTTGCTTTTGGTTTCCATTCCAAACAAATTTAAACAACACTTTCAACAAAAGTAAAGCATGGCCCCAAAATGTCCATGTCCATTTCAAGCAAAAAACGGTTCTCCCCCCAAAAAAAACGAACACCTTGAGACGCATTGGCCACACGTAGCTCCTTTGAAGTGACAGCCAAGGCGCCCAGGAGCTGAGCCAGCACATAGCAGGCCGCCTGGGCAAACCAGAAACGCGGCCGGGGGGCGGCCTTTGTTGATCAGAGCTCACTTTTTGACTAGGTAAACTCAAACTTCAAACCCAGAGGTTCCCTTTTTTGGGACATCAACCACCCCTAGCCTACCCTGCTGTATTCAGAAAGTGGAACCGCTCTTCTTGGATGGCCCTTTTTCGCACCGAGTGAAACAAATGATCAAATCCGCAGGGGCAAATTGCTTCAATTCGCTAGGCGCCTCCGCCCCCTCCCCGGGCCTTGCCATAGGAGCACTTGCCCCGAAGCGTGACCGCCAGGGTCACTGCGGGGTTCCTTCGCGGGCAAGCTGCTTGGTCCCGGAGAATTTCTATCGGTCTGGGTGCTGACTATAGGGAACCTGGGCAAATTGCAGGAGCCAAGTCTACTATCATTAACTTCTCATTGTATCATATCCGCTTGTGGCTTTCTTTTGGGGAAACTCAGAATCATTCACGTTATGCTTCACGCCCGGGACCTCAAAGGGACTCTAATTTGACTGTTCGATCTCGCCATAAGTGCAGGCGCGTGAATACTTGAGGCCCCCTTGGTGTTTGAAAGCAGCGCAAAATGACACCAGGCCAAGGGGCGATGTCGCGGGGATCCTTCACTATTGGAAGTGCTTCTAGTTCTCACATGCGTGCACTAAAGATAGTTGTGCCAACCTACACTAAGGCATCATGGTGAGCATGTACCACAAGGTGAGCCCGCTTTCATTTGTACCGATGTATGTTCACGCTGCAGCTGACACCTTACATCGTTAGGCCAGATCGCAAGCCCGGACAGCTTGCGAAGCCACTGGCAACAATCAAACAGCTCCTTCATATGGTTGTTTGGAGCTGAAGGAGGAGTCCCCGAAAGCAACCATGATGGTTTCCTCCAAGCGTCCCTTTCCAACCCTTGGTATGGTAGCAAACAACGCGTTTTTTGAAGCCCCCGGCGAAGAAAGACCAGAACCAAACCCAAACATATAAAACAAACCAACAACATTCAACAACAGTAAAGCTCCTTGTGGCGTAACTTGGATTCATCTACCCTGTCATCTTCTTTGGAGCCCCTCAGAAGTGGCTCCCGATGGGTTCCCATCTTCCCCGTTTTTAGAGCTTCATAGTCCTTGGACAGGCGCCAAGGGAAACCAAGACCGAGGCTTCCATTTACCCGAAACAAAGCCTGGGCTGCACTCAGATCCCCCGCTAAAAGTTTTACTTTTCGTGGGTTAAATGGAACGAAAAGGGATAAACTACCACTATAGACACTAAAAAGCCAAGGGGATGGCTACAAAGTGGGGGGTTGTCAAAAATGCGGAGCCTCGTTTTGGGCCGGATTATGTAGGGCCCGCCTTTAAGACGGGGTCCAAAAAGGGGTCCATATGTTTGAAAACCCACCAAGTCTATGTTGTGTTCATTACGCATGGATACCCTTAGATTCTTGGTTCCCCAAATGTTTGGTTGCCCCCTCATGTCCCGCCAATAATTGTGCCAGCTGCTCCTTTCAGCAACCAACAATACTATTGTTTTTGTGGTCCCGTATCGGTTTCTCGTGATAATATTGTCGGGCATGAATACTTGCACCAGTCCATGTCAAACAGAACAACAACGAACAAGCAGCGGCTACGCAGTTTATACAGCTGCCACCACGGTTTGGAGTTCAGCAGCAACTTAATTGTTCGGTTGGCTACCAGATTTCACATCGCAAACAGAAACAAACAAAGGAACTGAACATGCAGCCAACAAATGTACAGTACACTAGGCCTTTGTATATTTCCAATCAGACCAAGTACTTTGCCCCGTGCTGCAAATGGTTGCGGGGTTTGGGCGCTGCTGATGCTCTCACTTCCTGAGTGGATTGGCCAGCAAAAGCCCAAACTTGATATTTACCACTAAACTGGTCTTCGCCAAAAGTTTCAAAATGCAGGAACTTACTTAGGAAGTGAGGGTTGACTTTTGTTCACCTCAAGGGGGGGTGGCAATTTGCCTTTTCGAGCGGCAGATGCGCGCCAGAGATGTTGCCCAAGGAGTAGATCATGCACATCCTCGGGGCTTATCATGCGGCAGCGACGGTGGCTGGACCACATGGGGTTTGTGTCATTTTTCAGTGAGTGTTCGGTGCTTGTCAAGGAAAATCAAAAGGAAACCCATATTTATTGGGGGGTCCCCTTTAAACCAAAACCCCACATACCCTTTGTTACCATAAATGCCATAAGACATTGATGCTCAACTGAAGGACCTACATCATGGCATGGAGAGCCTTTCCCCCCCCCCCCCGCTAAGAGTTCGCCACACAAATGGGCAGTTTTTTTTATTTCTGGGGGGGTCTTTAGTCTTTGGACAACTGATTTAAAACCTGCCACCGCAGCTTGCTGCGCAGAACCTAGTCCGAGTCTTTCACATAGGCTTGCCTACCACAGGTGGCCCTTCCATGTTGGAAGGGTCACCTGTCTCACCCGATTTGTGGGGAAAGAAGCGACCACCGTAAAAAGGAAGCCAACCCTGAATCGGAGGTCCCTGGCAAACAGGGGTCCTTGAAGCATACATGCAAAGTCTACCAGCTTTACAGTTGTTCTTGTTGACTGGCCAAATTATGGCGGGTTTCTCTTGTTTCATTCAACCAACATGAAAAATGTACCCAAGGGGAAGCCTCTCTCGTCTTCGCGCGTTGCGTTTTTGGATCAAGGCACAGCGCGGCGGCCGCGGAGAAGGCGACGGAGGGGGAGGTGGCCACCAAGTTCATGCCCACTGTGAAGACCTCAGCTCGCGGAGTTGTTTTCCCCATGTTTTCCCTGGGTAGTCTATTTGGGTGTGTCTTGTTTGAGGGAACACCGGCCCTTTCCAACTTTGCTTTCCCGGTGGGCAACACCCCCAAATGGCCGGATGCCCCAAATGAGTCTCTGTCTTTTTTCCTTGGAGGTACCTTCTTCTTTTGTGGTTTTCTAGGGGTTGATTCCTTCTCCATTCTTGTCAACCATCCTTCTTTTCGAAAACCGGATCCGTTTTCCCCGGGCTTTTGATGGTTTCCTGAAAAGACTCGGACCCCTGGAAAGAATGGAAATGGAAGGTAGCCCTAGATGTTTTCTCTTGTTCATGCTTGCTTCCCAAGATGCCCAGTGGCCATGGGAAAAAAGGGCATCCCTTTTTGGTTGGTTGATTTAAAAGGGGAACCCTTCCCAAAAAAGGAAAAAAGGGCACCACTGGGCAACTGGGGGGTTTGTTCTTTGTTCATGTTTTTATTATCAAGTGGTGTCTGTCTATGAGTTATTGTTTCATGCGGAACTGGGAAACTTCCTGCAAGTGGATCTCCATTAATAGAAGCTGACAGAACTCGGTCCTCTGCCAGAATTGTTGGAAAATGGGTGGGTGAAAAAATGTATTTTGTTTTCCAGGCAGTGGTTTGAACGAAAACAGATGAATTGTTCAAGACGTGACAAGTGGTGAGGACGTGAGTACCTGAGCCGAGGATACTTACACACAAATGGGGCATGTGCATTGCTTTGGGGCTTACTGGGTGTTCACGTCTGACCGGAAAGAAAGGCATGGCATCGGAAACTGACCACGGTCTCGGATGAACCCGAGAAAAATCTAAGCTCACAGCCAGCATGAAGGTGCCCAACAACTCAGCCGCGCAGCACATGAGGAGTCCTGCGCGGGAACGCCGTTGGTTTCAGCATCTTTTTCTGGAGGGAAAGCAGCTCCCAGACCACATCCAGCTGCCCCATGGGTGAGGCGTCGGTTGGCGGGGATGCGGGACACAGGTGTTGCTTTTGAAGGTAACCCTATCTTACATACACGAGGGTGCCTTGGTTTTTGTCCCCATTGGATGCCACCCCGAAACATACAACTAAACTTGCTGCTGTAGGATGATTCAGCCACCTCAAAAAGCACCGCCTCCCAACATGGGCTTCGGTCTCCATTTGGTTTTCCAGGCACTCCCGAAAAGCAACATTTAAGGAATTTTCTCGGTCTCCTTTGAAGCAATCCAAAACCGAGCTTCCCTTTAAAGACAAAGGCAACCTCCAAGACGCGAACATTTAGGACTCTAGGGACTCCAGATTTCCCGAACCAGCACCACAGCTGGCGCCGCATCCTGTCTCGTGCTTCTCGAGGCTCTCTTCAGTGGCATCCTGCATGCTACGAGGGAAAAAACAAGAAGAAGATCCAATGAGTCTCTTTTGGTGAAACGTGTGACAACAAGTTTTGTTGAAGAAACTTCCTTTGGTTGGTTGGTTGGTTGGTTGGTTGGTTGGTTGGTTGGTTGGTTGGTTGGTTGGTTGGTTGGTTGGTTGGTTAGCAGGCTGGTTGGTTGGGTTGCACTCCTGGCAAAGCTTGCGCAAGCAATCCAACAGCAACAGAAGTACGTAACTTGGGTGATTTTCTCAGGTTTCTCGACCAAACAACGAGTCAATGGAGCAAAATAGTTCCCTGCATTTGCTTCAGTTCCCGCGAAAAACAAACACAAACACCTGTCAGCAGGGATAGATTCCCTTTCAAAACAACAAGGGGAACATTGGAAAACATTTAAAACAAATCAGCAGAGATAAAATCCCTTTTAAACCGGAAAGTCACAGCTCTCCTTTAGCTACTGGAAGGTTTGGAGGAGATCCCAGCAGGGTTCCGCTTTATGACTACCCTAAAATGGACTTCAACTTAGGGGTTCTCCTTTTGGGAATGAGCCACTCCTGGGTTTAAGTCCACCCTGTAGTCAAAGAGTCAAACCCTGGATCCCACACTCCCCCCCCCTCCACCCTCAAAGTCTATTCTGGGGAACCCTGGATCCCAGAACATCCCAAAGCCCACCCCACCCCTCACCCCACCCCACCCCCAAGGAGGTTTCTCCAGGCCCTCCTGGGCGAACTCCTCCCCCCGCAGCAGCCGGAAGGCGCCCGCCGCCACGGCGGCGCCCAAGAGCTCCGCCGCACTCCACAGCCAGGGCCAGTAGATGTCCTGCCAGCCCGGGGCCAGCCCCCCCACACCAAGAAAAAAAACCAAAACACAGGCACGCAGCACCGAGAAAGCACCAAAAACCGACACAACCCCACCCACCAACAGAACAGACAACCCCCCAAAAGGGAAAAACCAATCAAAGCAACGACAACAAAACACACACCCACACGTACACGTACACGCACACACGCGCACGCACACACGCACACACGCACGCACGCACGCACGCACGCACGCACGCACGCACGCACGCACGCACGCACCCACCCACCCACCCACCCACCCACCCACCCACCCACCCACCCACCCACACACACACACACACACACACCGCACGCACCCACACACACACACACACACACCCACACCCACCCACGCCCACACCCACACCCACACCCACACCCACACGCACACGCACACGCACACGCACACGCACACGCACACGCACACGCACACGCACACCCACACGCACACGCACACGCACACGCACACGCACACGCACACGCACGCGCACGCGCACACACACAGCCACACGCACGCGCACAAGCACACGCACACACACAAACACAAAAGCACACAAACACAAACGCACAAAGACAAAAACCAAAAACACAAACACAAACGCAAACGCAAACACAAACCTAAACGCAAACACAAAAGAAACACAAACGTAAACTCAAACGCAAACACAAGCACAAACACAAACCCAAACGCAAACGCAAACCCAAACGCAAACACACACAGACACACACAAACACAAACACAAACACACAAACACACAAAAACACAAAAACACAAAACAAAAAACACAAACACAACGACACAAACACAAACGCAAACACAAACACAAACCCAAACGCAAACGCAAACCCAAACACAAACACACAAACACACAAACACACAAACACACAAACACAAACACACAAACACAAACACACAAACACACAAACACACAAAATCACAAAAACAGAAACACACACACACAAACACACAAACGCAAATGTAAACACGGACACAAACACAAACACAAACACACCCACACCCACACCCACACCCACACGCACACCCACACACACACACACACACACACACACACGCGCACACCAAGAAAGCACCAAAAACCAACATACCCCCCCAACAACAACAACAAAAAAAAACACCCCCAAAAAACAAACAAACAAACAAACGCCGACACAACACGCACACACACACAAACAGCACAAACAGCACAAACAGCACAAACAGCACAAACAGCACAAACAGCACAAACAGCACAAACAGCACAAACAGCACAAACAGCACAAACAGCACAACAATAAACACAAACACACACAACATACACACCAAAAACATCTCCCAAAAAAAACACAAAACATCAAACTCAAAAAACTAGGCCCGGCTGATAACTCCAACAGCCTCGGATATCCCTGCAATCCTTCTGAAAGTTGCCCCAAGCCATCTCTGATTGCCAATCTGGGCCTGTCGACCCCAAAGCTTCCAGCTGTTGATAAAAAAGGAAACTGGTGTACCCCCAAAAACAATCAGGAACCAGCACGTTCATAGGGCTGACCGGTTCCACAAATCCACAAAAGGCGCTTACGGTACCGCCCTTGGAAGGTGCTGGCAAACGAAATGAAACACCAAAACCCTCCAAGATGCTGGCATAAACAGAATACAAACATATGACTGGAGCACAAACAACCTTGAAACCAAAGAGGGATAAGGCAAACACCGCAGTAAACAAAATGCCCACCATCAGGACAACACAAGAACTGCCCTCCAAAACACTCGCACACACAAACAACAAACTGAATGCAAACATGACTTAACAAACACAACCAGGCAAACCATGGGGGGGGGCAACATATATATATATATATATATATATTTATTTATGCTATCTATATATATATATATGTCCTGAAAAAGGTGGCTAAAATACAGAGAAACCTAGGCACCATGGGGCGGGGGTACCATATATACATATATATAAAATATCTAGTGTATTTTCATATATATATATATATATATACTGTCCCAAGAGAAAGAGTCAGGTTTCCCTCTTCCCACAACGGTAGACTTGCACACATCGTAGCAGCTGCCAACTCCAAGCTTGGGGCACGTAACACGTACTTCCTCCGTTTGGCTGGGGTCGCTCAAACGTAGGGCAGCGTGAAGCCCAAAACTTGCTAATGTGCTGGCTGTGGATTTACTGGTTTGACTAAACATTTTTCATTGGATTTTCGGGGGGGGGGGGGTCCCCATACCCCCCATCCAACACCCAAAACTTACGTTCTGTTGTTTGGGGCCGAAGGGAATATTGCTCAACCCCCATTTGGCTGTGGGTCAAAACCCTGCACCCCTGGTGAACATCAACATAGGTGGCAAAGGGATGTTCATCCACCCCAAAAAGGAGCCATAGGTTATGCCTCATGGCCATTTGAATCACAATCAAAACCCGGTGTTAAAATGGTCGACCCACAACCATGTAAAGAATCAAGAAGGCGGATATCCGCAGCTATTTATGGCTGGGACTGGCCCTTACTAACCTTCATCAATCCCCGGGTTTTGATTGTTTCGGATCAATCATTTGCTCACTTGGTCCTGCTTGACCAATTCGGTCATGCAAAAAAACAATAGGTTTTGTTTTGATTGCTCATTTGGTCCAACAAAACTTACAAATCCCCCCAAAGATCCCCCGGTCCTTGCCAGAGGTGGTGCCCAGCGACAACGCCACCGCCGGGTTCAGCGCGGCCCCAGACACGCCCCCCACCGCGTGGCCCCCGGCCACGATGACGAAGCCGATGGCCAGGCCGAAGAACTGGTTGGGGTCCTTGGCGCGGAAAAATGGGCGAGCCCATCCTTTTGCTGCTTCGCCCCCTGGGAAATATGGGAAACTATGTCCATGGGTGTGTCTCTTTTATTTTGGGAACCTCATGTTGGTTGTTGTTGCTTTTTTTTCTGGGCGAGCAAAGGCAAACCAACAGTTGAATGGACGCCAATGGCACCTGGACCCTCAGACCCTTCAAGGGAAACCACTGCATAATTTTGGGGCAACCATGGGCAACCCATTGGGAAGTTTGAGAGTCCAGGCAGTTTTTGTCAAGGCTTCGGTACCTTTATTCAGTCAAGGCCAAGTAAGGCAACACACCCACTCAACCTTCCTATCCGATTCTCACCGGGGGTTAAACCGATCGTATGAACATTTCAAACAAATGGAAACAACATGAATGCAATCCAGTTAGGAGACTGAACAGGTCAATGCCTTACTCTCACTACATGAGCTTGGCAAGTCTTCCAGATGAAAACCAACCTTGCCCCGCATGTGACGGAAATTCATATGTTCTGCGGTCTAACTCGCCACATCTGGTCTACCTTACTTCCATTTGGTTAAGACCCCTAAAAAAAAAGTAGTGATAGATTCCCTTTAAAACCAACAGTGGAAAATGCAAAATATCCTTAAGCAAATGGAAGCTTCAAATATAAACCTAGTTTTTGGGATCGGAGACCCAGCAGCATGTAAGGCTGCTTGGCCTTCTGACCTCGCCAAGAGGCGTCCTTCGGATTGTTGCGGCGCGATGCCGCGCAGTTCAGAACCACAAAGCACCTTAGGAACGCTGCGCGAGGGCAAAACATCCCACAGCCCCCAACCAGAAGGGCTCAAAAACTTCAGGATACGGGCAACGTGAAACCGTGCAGGAGTGGACTTCAGTGTTGCTGGGTGGTGGTACGTCAGTGGCGCAATGGCGGCGTGCCCAAAAGCCATGCTCGCTGCCGAGGGTTATGGGTTCGAGTCCCCCATCAGTGCCTGTGTTTTTCCAAAACAGGCAGGTGCCTCGGCAGTTGTCTTTCCACAAGTTCAGCGGCATGAGAGAAATGGTTGCTCGTTTTTTTCCTTCCTTTTTTTTAACATACCAGGCGTTATCTTACTTGGCTCCAACTATTCCGTGGAAACCATGCGAGCCCGGATCGACTTCTTCGGATGGCATGGGGGGTTACCAGCATCTTTCTTGGCTTTAGTAGGATGGCTGTGAACGTAGGCGTTGCAACCCCAAGCGCACCAGGTAGCAGAACCCGCTGCTCAAGTGTAGCCAGGGTGTGGGCCTCTGACATGTCGGGGGTGGGCAAGCTGCATCTTTGGAGGAAAGAGGCTGCCAACGCATTTGGGCGCTTCCATGTTTAGGGTAATGTTGCACCTGGTTTCATATCGGTAGTCTGAATTATGTCAAGTTCCCCCGGCTTAAACACGACCCCCCCACTGTTTCGGTACCATGACTTATGTCAAGTTCGAACCCCAAGAAATCCCGTTGAAAAAAATCTGACTCAAAATTCGCAATATGGGCAACTGATTTCTCCTCTCAGCTTCCTGGCTCAGTCCTAGTAGTGAAACTCTGCAAATCTTTGGTTGCTCAAATTCCTCACAATTCCTGATTCGATCCCAAGCTCCAACCATCAAAATTCTTTACTTAAATCCATCCAAAAGCAAGCCCCAAACAGTCCTGCAAAGGGGGTTGCCCACAAGGGGGCCTGATCCTCTTTAAGGGGCACTGTTTGGGTACCATGTTTAATGTCCAGTCTTAGGCGTGGGTGGGTTAGGAATCTCCAGGTCACATCTTAGCCTCTTGCTTTTAAAGGGGCTCCAAATCTAATTAAAAGCTTAGCAAGGGACCAGGCCAAGACCTGAGCCTAAGAATTCCTGATTCGATCCTAAGCTCCAACCATCAAAATTCTTTACTTAAATCCATCCAAAAGCAAGCCCCAAACAGTCCTGCAAAGGGGGTTGCCCACAAGGGGTCCTGATCCTCTTTAAGGGGCACTGTTTGGGTACCATGTTTAATGTCCAGTCTTAGGGTGGCAACCCCCAAAAAAAAAGTGCTGGCAATACTAACCCAAGTAGTGGCAGCCCAAAAGGAAGTGCTGGCAATACTAAACTAAGTAGTGGCAACCCAACAGGAAGTGCTGGCAATACTAAACCAAGTAGTGGCAATTTCAAAAGGAAGTGCTGGCAATACTAAACTAAGTAGTGGCAATACCAAAGAAATACTCAAGTCACCCAAGCCCCCCGCCAAATCCGTATTCAGGATCCCCAGGACTGTTCTGACTGTTCCAGGGGGGGGGGGCCACAGTAAACAAGGTCCAACATTACTCCTGAATTGGTGGTTTGGATTTGGATTTGAACCCTTGTTCTTAAGGGTGAATGAGAACCAATTCCTAACCGAAACGAGTGCAGGATAATTACCCGCAAATATGAGGCAACCCTTGATGACTCGAAACCGAGGGGGCGGTTGGGTACGCCTGAATCGGAGACCCGCATGGATGGTCTTGCCAATGGAACCCACTCAGGTGCACCGTGGTTGAAACTCAAAAATTGGACCCTCCCATCAACCAAAGAGTTCTTGGTCCCGGGTTCCCAGGACTGCGGAAGTATCGGTGGTTCCAAAACTCGGAAGGCTATTCTGCCGCAGGGGTGCGTGAAACCCCACAAAAAGCCAAAAAAAACACATTTGCAAAGGGTCTCCTCTTGGACGCCTTTGTTGGGGTCCATGTGCATTCGCAGTGGTGTACACTTGGGTGAAAGTGGAGGTGCAATGGCCGAACCAAAGAGAGTTACTGCTTCGAAAGGCGCAGCATGAAGGTGTAGATGAGCTCAGCAGTGAAGCACGAGCCTGCCAATCGGGGCCAATGTCGGGCTGCTCAGAACAGGTTTCCATACTTCCGTACAAATTAGCTTGAATACATACATGTTTGTCTCCATGTTTATATAATTGCATGATAAACACACCTGGTCACCGGGTCGGTCTCAAAAAAATGCGACCCCCCAAAATGGTCGGCTTCCTTCTGGTTTCCTTTTCAAGCCGCCCCCCGAAAAGAGTACCCCCAAAAAGGACGACAAACCCTACAATTGCGGCAACTGGAAGCGCTCGGGGACACGCGGAGGCCTGGTTGCTGGCAGCAAGCACCCCTTGGAACCGGCTGACAAATGCGACTCACTAGGCCCCGCTGAGATCTTGTCAGCTTGTGAGGTGTTCCAAGGATTGAAATCCATGGCAGGACAAAACAACCCAAAGGTCAAAGGGTTGGGTTACAGGAAAATCCACAGGACATGGCCCCAAAACACCCTAAATCCTGTAGAATTTCCTGCAACCCACCCAATTGCAAAGGGGGTTCGAATCCTTTGCCGCGAACGAGTGTGGCCTCACCGTCTTCCACAAGCAACTCGACTCTATGCCCCAAGAACCCCTCCTCTTTTGGGTTCATGCCTGGCCCCACAACCCACAAAGCCCAAGGAAGTGCATCTGATGTTTGGCAACAAAACCTCAGGTGATGCCTGCCAACCGGGAGACTCCGGAGAATGCAAACAGCACCAACAAGAGGGCGAAAACAGCACAGCAAAGCGGGTGTATGGCAATTGACATGCTCTCGGAAATTCATGATGTTTGGATCCATGCCAATATACAAGGGAGTACAGAATGGTAATGCATAAAACGATAGAATCGAGGGCACTCAGGTGAGTTGTTCGAGTTGAGGTGAGAAACACCACTGGGCCAAGCATTTCTCCCAACTTCAAGCATGTTGAAGCCAAGTTGAAACATATTCACCTTGGCTCTCTTGGAGGAGGGTTTCCATGGTGCCTTTGGCCCAAGTCAACCAGATCTCGCCAAATAGATTTCTCACTTCCTGTTGATTGGTCTGAAAAAGTCAGACTTTGGGTTCACCACGAACAAGAGCTTCCCAAAAAGCCTGAAGTCCACCAACTGCTGGGGGGGAGGGGGCGTGGGATGTTCAAACTGACCCACATGCGTCATAATCCACGAGCCTAGGATGGTCTGCCTCAAGCCAAAGTTAGTTAGCTTTCTCAGCGATATCCGGCTGAACCAGGGCCCCTTACATCCACTTCCGCATGCCTTGCCGCTTGGTTGACCCCTCCATCCTATGTGCCTTGCCTCCCGTCCGATTCTGAAAAAACCAATCAGCTCGTCGCCTGGGCCGAAGGGGGCGATGGGCGCCACCATCACGAAGTTGGGGTAGCAGAGGCCCCGGTAGGCCCCCGCGCCCAGGAAGCCGCCCAGCAGCTGGGCGGCCCAGTACTTCAGCCTAAAGGGAGGCGCTGGGCGGAAGGCGAGCGGAAGGAGGATGGCGGAAGGCGTCCGGTGGCTGGTGGGCCATGGGGAAAAATAAGGAAAAAGACTGCCAGCTGGATAGATTCCCGTTGTTCCCCTTTTTTCCCCCCTTTTTTTTTAAACGCCAAGAAGGGGAACACAACAAAAAAAAAACATATTCTTAATAAATGCTTGGCTGGTGCGGGAAAATGGAAGAGACCAGAAAAGGCGCGAAAGGTTGAGAAGGGTAAGCTAAGGCGACGTGAGTCGGTGGGTTGGTCCCAAAACACCGGATCGAATCCCCACATCACCAATCCATATCACCAAGTGTGATCTTAGGGTCACAATGCAGCAAAGGCCCCAGCCGGGAAAGCGGCCAATAAGGACCAGGGATCCCTGGCTGAAGCCGTTGCGGAAAAAAGAGAAAGAGATCCGCCTGCCAGAAAGGGTTCCCTCTTTCTTAAAAAGCTCCTGCTGAGACATTCCCCCCACGGCACGCGTCCGACTGACCAATAAAATATGGTTGATGTTCATGCTAGAGTAGATATGCACTCATGCGAGATCCGTCCATGTCCTCCGTCTGGGTGAATTGCAATAACAATGCACCAACCTGAAATAAGGACTGCAGCCCTAAAAACGTGTAGGATGAGCAGCCATTTGATTGAGGCTTGAGTCTGGGAAACCATGCGCGCTTTGGGCCCGATATGCATTCCCGTGGGCTGACCTACGGGTCGCAAACACGCTGGGCTGCCCAGGTGAAAAAGGTCTATGCATTCCATCCAGGCTTTAGGTTCGCAGCTAAAATCGGTGTTGCCAAAAAGTGACGGAAGTCCAAAGACTCGGACAAAAAGTGCTTGAAGTCCGAAGACTGGTTGGATTTTCGAGCGAAGGCAGCCCAAAAGCACCTGGTGACTGTCTGACCAAGTCAGAGGCAAAGTGAAGCGAGTCTGGTCCACAAACTGTTCAAGGGTATGGCAAGGAACACAAGCCATGGTCGCAAAGTGGAAGTTGGGATGGGAATTGTCAAGATCAAAGAGACAAACCAACCGAAAGCGAATGGGTTGTTGGGGTGGAAACTGGAAGTTGGGAACCAGAATCGACAGGGACTACGTTGCCGAAAACTTCGGGAATGAACTACCATCCCCTACCGACTACCGACCACCGGTTTCCAATTCCCAGGTTCTTGGAACTCCTTCCCCTCTGAGTGGATGACCCCAAAGTCCAAACTTGTTGTTTGACTCAAGTCCCAGAAGCTCGGGAAGTGAAACTCGGGCGGAAATCCGCCGCTTTGGAGTTGGGTTCCTTGCACATGGCTCCGAAACGCTGGGACGGGTTAAATACGGAAACTGCCACTCAACAATTGCAAAGCTAGAAACACCAAAGGAACCCCTACCCTCCACCCTCCAACCTCCAAACCCCTCAAGACATCTCAAGACCCCTGCAAAACCAACCCTCCCCCCCCATGGAGGCAGGGGCTTGCCGCGAAGCTTTGAGAACGCCCTCTTGGGCCCCCGGGCATCTGCGTCCAGGTCAGCTTGCCGGAGATGGCCAGGGCCAGCGACACCGCGGGGTTCAGGTTCCCTGGCGAACCGCGCTTCATTCGATGCGTGTTTCTTGCGCCGGCTTCGGGTTTTAGCCCAAGGCCCTCGGATCTCCTGGTTTTGCTTCTTTTGTTTTTTTGTGGGCGGGGGGGGGGGTGGTTGAGGGTTTACTTTTCCGCAATTTCTGATGAAAACAGGTTTTTGGGGGGTTCACTGTTCTACAAATTCTTGTGGAATGCAAGGTGGGGGGTCCCCCAAAAGAAGTTTCTTCTGCAAATGGTGTTTGTTGTTGGTGATCTCTACCAAAGGGCCCCATGGGCAATGTCGACCGGATATATTCATTTGGTGGATTATTACGGCGGCTCGCCCCACAAGTAGAGGACACCCACTATTCAACAACAAGTAAGTTGTGATTCTGGATTTCCATAAAATCAAGCTCTCAAGTCTTGTTTGGGGCGGGCAAGTTGAGGGATGTTTGGGACAATCCTCAGGTGTTAGGGTTGCATTCAGCTTGATCCTTGCACGCATCCACGCGAAACCAAGCGAAATCTTCAGCCTGAGAAGTACTCAGGGCTCAAGGTATAGGCTCTTGGCTGAGTTGGGAAATGGACCCCTTTTGATGACTAAAGGGAAACGCGGGGAAACTTATCATTTACATCTCAACCGGTATGCTGGTACATCGTGCCTTCGTGAAGCAAAGCAAACCATAAACAGAACCAAAACTCAAGGAGAGTCCAAAAGAACAGTCCGGCAGACAAGTTCTCAAAAGAACTCGCATCAGCGTTTGTGTGGCGTTCCATTTGCTCGTCTCCATAGGATACGTAAGCTTGAGAGGTTCCATGCGCGTTGGTAAACGATTTAAACAATGGATGTGCTGTTTGCGTCGAATCTAGCTTGCAGAAGAGAAGTCTTGTGTTTGTCAACGCCCCACACGAGAGCATTTCCAGTTGGGCATGTCAAAAACCCGCCTTGTATTTGCGAAATCCCTTTACCAGTAAGTGTGACGACTCGTGATTTGGCTCGAGGTGCAGCTCGTGGAATCTTAAGCTTGCATCTCTGTTCTGGGCGACATGTTGAATTGGAGGACGGACAGTATTCACCCAGCAGACATGCATGCGTACACTTAAATTCATGTGTATACAACAAATACTGGGTTGAACATCCATGAAAGAACCCAAAGGTTGAATCCACAAGACTCCAACCATTGGTTTCTAGGGTCCATCCAAGTAGGTTTCAGTATCCTAAGGGGCTCAAGGCGAAACGTCTCCACACTGCGGAGCTCCCTTTGCTTTTAGGGAAGGGGCCAAGTAAGAGAACCCGATGATCTAGCAAGTTGCTATGAATCATAGAGATTTATTGTGAGCGAACCCCCTTTTCAACGTTGCCTTAATTTGCCAAAATCACTTTCAACTCCGATTCCTACAACGCGTACTAGCACCAACCTGCATAGGGCATAACAAGGCTTACCACTGTCCACCTTAATGCTTCTTGGTGCCAGCTGTGACCATCTCCTGGGCAACATTTGAACTTATGTGGCCGATTTTGAATTGCCCTGCTTCAATATGTGGGTTTGACTATGACATCTCCTCCCCCCGATGTCCGCGCGCCGCCGGAGATGGGGCCGGTGGCGTACACCATGACCTCGGAAACGGAGACTGGCGACTGGTCGTCATCATTGAGCTCGTTTTACCCCGGAGGGCGGCTCAAAATTTGGTTCACCCCTTTTTGATGGTGGTTGAGGGCCGAGGGTACCTTCTTTTCTACAACCAATCCCTTGCGGCACCCCTCATGTCCTTCATACGGGTTTGTGACAACGGTGATTCCTCCAAAAAACAAACATAGGCCCAGTGATAGATTCCCTTTCAGACCAACATGTGAAAATACCATATTCAGCACATGGGTATGTGTTTCTTTTTGACACCCTCCAACATGGCTTCGGCTTTTCTTTTGGTTTCCCTTAACCAAAAAGACCACAAATACCGAGCCTCGAAGAAAGAGGCACTCAAATAGACTCCATGTGTTCACCTAGCCCCCCTCCCCCCTCCCCCCTAACCCCACCCCACCCCCCGTCCAAGTGAGTCACAATCAAAACCCGGTATTAAAATGGTCTACTGTACCCAGAACCATGTCCAGAATTGAAAAGAAGGATATCCGCACCTATTATTGGGATTGTCCCTTTCTGACCTTCATCAATCCTCTGGTTTTGATTGTGGCTCAAATCCCCACCACCAACCCCTCCCCCACCCCCCACCCAAAAACTGTCCCTACCCCCCACCCAAAAACTTTCCCTACCCCCCCACCCAAATGGATCAAATGGAAGCAACGGTTTCTATCTCCTCCAGTAGAGAGCTTAGAATAAGGGTAACATCCACTTTTTTCTTTCTATTTTAGGAGGGGAACCCTCCCAACAAAGGGGTGAGCAAGGGCACCTAGCTGGGGGACCTAGCTCTTCCCCCACCCAAAATCCCTACCCCCACCAAAAAAAAAAGGAGAAAAGATCCAAATGGAAGCAAAGGTTTTCACTTCCAACCAAAAGCTCGCCCGCTCTTCCCAGTAACTCGCTGGGCAATTCCGGCCATGAGCACGGCCGCGATGGCGGTGGGCACCCAGGGTGCCGGCCCGGGGCCGGTGACCAAGCAACCTGAAAACCAAACCCCGGCAATTCTCGGCGGCACTCAGATCCCCCACTAAAAGTGACCAACGTGTAGTGGGTTAAATGGAAACTACCACTAAACACTAGAAAGCTAAAATAGGAAATCCAACCACTAAAAATAGAAACCACGTTTAACTTTTAGTGGGTCAAATACGGAAACCCAACCACTAAACACAAAAAATAAAAGGTTAAGGGGATGGCTGGGAGCCACCAAGAATTTCCATGCCTACTCTTTTACTATCCAATCCACAGATTTCACCGAATTTTATTCCTTCTGTTGGTTTTGTGTTGGTAATCTTTTCATAAAACGTCTACCACAACCCATGTCCGGAAATTCAAAGGCGGGCATTTTCGGCTGGGACTACCCCTTACTGACTTTCATCTACCCGGGTTTTGATGGTGGCTTACCTTTTCTTCCCCTTGTTGGCTCTGTTGTTGTGATCTTTTCCTACTCTTTTCATATTCAGGGGTGGATCCACAGATTCGCCACATCCAAACCGGCTTCGACATGGGTTGTCTTCAAAAAGGGGAGCCAAAAGCTGGGTTTCCTTTTGGCGTCCGTCTGGGGGGTTCCCCAAGTTTGGACCTTCTACCATCCAAAAAGGTGTAAAAAGAAGAACTGACCAAATTGATGTTCGTTGTCTTTCTAGCCAATGGATGGACTCCACCCCCAAGTGGCAGCTTGTTGCTTAGGAAAACTCCAGGAATACAATTTTGGGCAAGGGCAAAATGGTGAGTTGAGTCTGGTAATGTCAAGTGGGGTATGGTTGATTCACGAATGACGGGAACAAGGGTTTCTGCTGGTAACCTAGGCACCTTTCAACCAGCAACAGGAATTCCACATTTTTCCGCCCAGAAGCTAGCACCAAATACTTGGGTCTGGGCAAACTAGCGGTCGAATTTCTTGTAGGCTTCGTTGACCACACCCTGGTTTTCCGACATGGAGCAAGCCTCAAGAAGGTTCTAAGAGTACTTCGGATTTGGACATGGGAAAACGCAGTTATTGTGGGCGGGATAGGGGGTCTTGGGTTTTAGGGGGGGGCGCCCGCTTTTAAGGGACTTTTCTTTTCTTGTGTTTCTTTATTTTTTTTCCGGTGGAACCCGTTCGAAGACAAACCCACCTTGGACAGCACCCCTTCAAGTGCCTCACTTTAAAGGCCAAGAAACAAGGACGCAGCTGGGGAGGTCTTTGCAGTGGGTTTGGCCGTCCCTACAGTCACTTTGAACTGCTCCGACTTGGTATCACAAACGAACCTTGATGCCATTTAGCGAGGCAAAGACATGGCCATGGGTCAAAAGCCCATACCCCAAGTGAACATCCCAATCCCAACTAAAATCGACTAAAATGGGTGGTGCACCTACCCCAAAATGGTACCATTGGTGTTGATCCACAGCCAGATGATGAATGATCTAACCTGATCTATATGGGTGTGTCTTTTTAGTGGGACCCCCCAACATGGAGTTGTGGCTTTTGGTTCCCCTGAAACCCACAAAAAAGGGTACCAACTAGAAAAAAACGAGCCTCCCATATGCGTACCCGACAATACCACCAAAAACCCATAGGGTTTTACAAGCAAGACAAGACCGATACCCATCAACCTGCACCGCTGCAAAACCGCCCAAAGCCAATAGCCCGGCTGTGACTCAGCTCCACGTGTCAGGTGAGTCCACACCAAAAGCCAAAAGCCAAAGCCTGTCTCTTGGCAAGATTGACAAATACCAGGCATTTGCGCAAATTCCAAGTTTGAGTAGGGCGTCAGGAAAATTGCCTTGCTTCCTTGAAAACGCGCAGCACAAACAACTCCAAACACCAAGCACCGCAAGAAAATGCTTTCTGAGTGTCCAGTCCTTGCTTCATGCATTTTTGTTGGGGCAACATGTAACATTTATTTGTTTAGCAAGTTCATGCAAGTGACCTTGCGGCTTCATTCTAACTGGAACACATGTTGGCGATCATCTCTACAGCTTTGACAGCACCTTCATGAATCCATTTGGGCTTTGCCTGAGATCTGAGAAATTGCGTGCGTTGCCAAGTGACGCCGAACTGGGGGTTCATGCCGCCGAACTCGCAAGGGTTGAAAGGGAAAAGTGGTTACTGAGCAACTGGGTTAGCTATTGACCCTCCGTCAGTCGTTCTGAATCAAAATCGTTTTGAGAAACCACCTAATATTATGCAGTCTGAAAGCGTCCCAATGAACACAACACGTCGGATTCACCCAAAATTTTAACCATGTCCGCTGGGGGGTCCCGTGGCCAAAAAAACACAACAACTTACACATCCCCATTTGGCGTTCTTGAAAGCTGAACCATGCTGTGAATGAACAAATCCACTTTGCACCAGTTGGGATGGATGAAACACTTATAGATAAACAAATCACCATGGTGCGAAGCAAATATGGACATATTTGTCCATCCCCCGTACGGGCGATCTGGCACCTTTTCTGAGCGGGCTTTTCATAAGGCAAAAATCCAGCACGCCCCCTATTCATCTATTTATGGTTTGTTCATCCCGGGTCAACATGATAAGAACATAGCGCTTTGGTCCGGTTCTGGAAATTGAGGTGGGTAACCTCACCTCGGACTTTCTTCTACTCCCTCATCTACTAAGAGATGATTTCTTCAACTTGGTCAACCCCAAGGGGTTGCCTTAGGAGAATGGCTTTCGGGGTGTTTTGGTTGGGAGACCGACTCGGATCTTGGGCTCCCCCGCCCACTGCCAGGACCAAGCAGAAGGTGCCCAGGCATTCCGCCTGGATCGGTGCCCCGACGGCACGCGGAACACGCAAGCCGCAGGAAGGCAAAACCATTTGCGCCACCTTCAGAATGGATTTGGGTGCTGGTTTTTTGTTTGAAACAAGGGCACCCTCGCAACACACGGGCCCATATCCCCAGAACTTATGGACGCCAATACCCAGTCCAAAAGCCTTTGGCAAAGATGTAAACAAAGTCCCAAGAACACAGGAGCTATGAGCTTGCCCAACACGAGTTGTGGACAAATAAACCTTTGCTTGATTGTGGCTGTATCTCATTTCCTGAGTGGATGTAACCAGATTGCCGCGAAAGCTGCCCCAAAAAGTCCAGACCCGTGGCCATAACAGCGCACCTTTTTGTTGGATTGAAAGGACGCCCCCTGCGGTGTTGGGCCAAGTCCTCATAGTCTTATGTTGGGGTCAAAACAGAAATCTGGAAAACATATGAAGCTACCCATCCCCTTTGCTTTGTTGCGAGAAGAAGAAAAAACAAAACAAAAAACAACCCATCCCCTTTGAGCTTCCTGCTGAGAAAAAAAGAGTAACAAAAATGACCCATCCCCCTTTTGGTTTCCTGAGAACCAGCGCCATTCGTGTCTGAGGCCCGTGCCACGAGGGGTGGGCTCAAGGGGCAGCTGGGCCAAGACCACTTGAAGCGGAAGATGCCGGTCTGGCAAAGGTGCTGGGAGGTGCTTGAGCATAGGTGTCCTTTTAGGGAAAATAGATGGATTTCCCTGGTAGATGATTAAACCACCAGGTAAACCAAATGAGGTGCTTGTTGAGACTGGCTGGTGCGATATGTAGGGAATGTGGTTGAATGAACTCAGGGCTTCCCTTAAAGGAAACCACAAGGGATTGATGTGGTTGAATGAACCGCTTTTCGTTGCTTTTGGTTGGTTTCCCGAAGAAAGGGAAACCACCAGTTGGATTGTTTATGGGTTTCTTTCCAACTCTCATTCCCTGCCTATCGCACCGGCAAGGAGAGAAAACAAAAACCAAAACAAAAACAACTCCCTCAGGTTCAACCTAAAATCTCCAGGCCGATCTTGTAATTCTGCAATTGGAACCCAAGTTTTGCCAAGGGGGTTGGAGCTTCCATGTCAGTCTGGGGCCGGGTATCCCGGTATCCCCTTTTTCTCCCAGCACGCTTTGGGCACGTCCAAGAAGGCTGCAGGGTGGGAGGGTGTTTCTCCCTATAACCCCCCCCCCCCAACCCCTCCCCCATGGTTTTGGGCTGACCAACTGGGTCTCCATTAAAGTCACATCGCTCAGAATGGCCCCTCTACATGATTCATCTGATGCTTGAATGGTTGAAAACAACCCTGCAATGTAATTTGGAGGAACACTCAAACTGCAGCCATTTCAATGGACCCAGTCCGAACCTTGTTTTGAGGCGGGGTAACAAAGGAAGAGGAGAACACTCTCGCCATTACTCCCCGTCCATTTTTAAGGGACCCAAACAAATCCAGTGGATCCCAGGCAAGTCATCATGGGTAACCCTTCGATCGATTCTCCCTTTGGTTTTTACATCGGGTGGAAGCCCTTGGTTACCCCACATAAACCAGATAGATGGATACCAGTTACCACTGCAATAGGTATCCCTTCGCCGTGTTCCTTGGTTATTAAAGGGTGGGAAGCCCTTGGTTTCCCACTCCACAAATGAATATCGGTGTGTCTTTCTTTAGAGGACCCCACCAAATCATGGGTTCCTTTTGGTCTCCCCTTAAAACCAGCAAACAGGGCTACCACCAAAACAAGACAGACCCATATCTTGGTTGACGTTGGAAGGGGAGCAAAAACTTAAGTTTTAGCAGTTGAAGTGGTTGGATTTCAACCACTAAACCACAATAAGAAAAATCGCAAAATGTTTCCCAACAACAACCAAAAGTGATGAATCCCCTCTAAAAGGGGACACCCCCTATTAATCAACCAGGGGTTTATTAATCCGGGGTTGACATTATGGATCCACTGGGACATCTATCTCCTCCCGATCAGATCCGCCTTGGATCCGTTGGCTGCCCCAGTGGCGCCGTAGCTGGCGGCCTCACCCTCGATCAGAGACCTCGGAGATCGAGGGGACTTACGGGGCCGATTGGGTGTGCGTCTCGGTCCCTTTCGGGGACCCCCAACATGGCTTCGGTTTTTATTTGGCGTGAGTCAAAAATAGGGGAACCCCAAAATGGAGCCCGGGAAAATGGAAACATGGGCTAACATCTGCGGTCCCCTGGCGGTTTAATTTTGACCCATGCCCATTTGCAAAAGAGTAAGTGAGTTCAGAAGCCCAGGATTCCCAATTTTGGCTTACTGCAAAGGCCCGAGCCTGTCAGCCAAAGCGATGCTGAATGCCAGTTGATGTAGGCACCCCCCCACAACAAAACACACACATACCCCCAAAGCCACCAAAAGAAACGTGCAACCTTGCTTCCTTGCTCAATCTATGATTTAAGGAACCCCAGCTCCCTCAAAAGGTGCTGCATCTCAGCAGGGAATGAGGAATGACCCCTATACACCATCTGCTATCAACACCAGTTCATTCCCAACACCCGGACCCCTACTGACCATAGACTTCCTTTTCGTAAGATAGACGGGTTTCCCTGGTAAATGAGGCATAAAACCCATCTAAACCAGTGCCATGTCTTTGTAACCAAACTAACCTAAAAACACCTATACATTCCCTGACCCCAATCCGCTTTGGGAATCGGATCGTTGAGGCTGTGGCTTGGACGGAGCTTCCTCAGCCATATTGGATGGAAAGGATGGAGCCTCGGCCGGCTGACGAAATCCAAATCCGAAAATCCCGGCCAAGAAAAATAATCATGGGTGAGTCTGCTTAGAGGGTACACCAACCTTTTTCTCCTTTTAAGGATGGCCCCTTGTGCGATTCTCGAATTTGGACCTTTTTCAAAGGAACCCAAGGCGAAACACACGATGTTGCGCAGCCCCACACTTTGAGACATCACACTGTGCCAGCGACCTTGGCTGATAACATCCCATTCCCTTTCCCATGATGTGGACTTAACTCGGCCTCACGGGGTCAAGAGGGCGTCACCGAACCTCACAGTGAGCCTTTGATCATAGCAGCGCAAGCCCATTGACTTTGGTTACTTATCTAGACTTCACATAAAACCAGGTAGAGCCACCCCTTGAAATGGCCGTTATATGGGCTGTTGCGCGCTCATTTGTCTGTCCGATTCCATGGGAATACAGGAATACGCAACCCTACTCACTTGAAGGGATTGGTCAGACAAGTTAAGAAGGTCTAGACTCTTTGTTGAAAACAAGATGAATCGTCCCTTACAAGCTGGTCCAGAAACTGTGGAAGTCCATCACCTAGCTTCTGACCCACGGGGTGTGGGCTGGCATCCTTTTTGAGGCTGTGAAAAGTCCCAGAGCTCCAAATGGGGGTCTTTTTTTTCAAGGGACCCTCCAAATATTGGTGGTTTGCCTATTGGTTTCCTTTAAAACACAAACAAGGACACCCTCCAAAAAAGACGCACCCAAATGAAAAAAAACAGAAGCAACGGATTTGGATGAGTGCGTTGGCCTTTTTGGCACAAAATGGGCTCGGCTCTCCTCGAACTGACAACTCAAAAGAACAAGTCCGGATTTAACTTGGTGTGTATCAATAAAACCTGCCTAAATAGCCAAGTTGCTGCTTTTTTCAGTCACTGTTGCTGGTTTTTGGGGTAAAGTTGGTTCAGGTTGAAAAGTCCAGCATTCGTTTCACCGATTTACCTGAGCCCATGACATCGAGCTCCAACACTCCAAGTTCGAGCGCTCGAACTCTCGGGGCTCCGGGCAAAGACCACGGAGGGGTTACGGTGGACTTTGGAGTCTTGCAGTGGCTAGGAGCCAATAGCGCTGCGCACGGCGAATTTTCGGAAAATCACGACAAAAGTCGCAAGAGCAGGTGGATGAGAAATGGATCCGACTTTTTCCGGGTAGCTCCGTTTGGACCAACTGCTCTGGGGGAATGAGGTCTTTGCCGCAAAAGGGCTTGTCTTAAGCAAGAATCCCCCCAAATTGGTGGTTTCCCCGTTGAAACAAGCCCAAAAGGGTATCAAAAACATAACGCACGAAACATCTAAAGCTTCTAATGCTGGGTATGTCCCAGAAAAAAAATAAAAAATAATGTAAACCCTCGGGTTCAGTGCAACCCCCATTTAAAGAATGGTTGACCTGATGACAATCCTTAGGTGACCAATTGTAGTTGTATGCACCGCCACCTTTTTATTGGTGGCTTGAACCCCAGAGTAAGTGAGTCTCCTTTGTGGACAAAGCATACCAAAAGCTGCCACGACAAAGCCAGCTCTTTCCCTCGCGTCGCTTTGCCAGCCCCGCCGCGGCGCGAGCTCGCAATGCCTGGGAAGGAAGCCCTCGCGAGGGTCGGTACAACGGCTCACGGGGACCGTGTATCAAAATGAGTGGCGTGTTTTGAGCGTACCCTTTTTGGGTTGCGTTAAGGGGAAACCACAAGGAAAAGCACAGTTTGAGGGGTCCCATAAACAAAAACACAGACACACAAAGAAAAAGGGGGGCTGTCCTGTTGGGTTCCCTTTAAACCAGGCTGAACAAGGGTAAAACTTTCCTGCTGAGTGGACTGGCAAGAACTCACCAAAAAGGATACCACAGGGATGAGTGTGTTTTTTCTAAGGAAGCCTGTTTGGGGTGTCTGCAAAGAGCCAATTTAATGGGCCCCCTATCTTGACTTTCTGAGTGGATTGGCCAAATCCAACTGGTTGCTTGTAAACTAAAAAGTACCAACAACATAATAAACAAACTGAGGGAGTGAAACGCGAGGGATTAGTTATTTCAAACAAACAAAAGCTCCGTGTTCCTATTGGTGGGTTGTCAAAAAATATTGCCCCATTTTGGACCCTGCCGCCTTATGCTGTTTTTTTAAGGATGCCAAACAGGGATGCCGCATTTTGACAAGGCCCCATAGTGATTTGCTAGGAATGACTACTGAAATAGTTGGACAGTTACCCCTATATATAATCCATCCTAATGGCGACAAGTGTGGTGATTTGCTAGGAATGACTACCGTGAAATCTACTCCGGATCCCTTCTTGATCGGGACAGTCCGTATTGATCAACCAGCAAGGGACCTTTAATCCTGGGTTCCCATTAAGGGGACAAATCGTAGGTGTCCCAGCGAAAAATAGATGGCTACTCAGTTGGTCCTCGAGCTACTGTATGCATCCGTTCGAAATCGGCGCATCAGAGATGCTCAGGATCTAAGCAACCTGGATGCATCGAGTGCTCATCTTTTGCTTCACATGGCCAAAGCAGTCCGCCGCCGAGCTGCATCCTATTTGTCATGCGATTTCGCAGCAACAAGGTGTCGGCCCGGGGCAAAGTGCCATTGAGGCACGAAGCCAAAGCGTCGTGCTTGGTGACACTGCACACCGTGCTGGCCTCAGAAGTAGTTGAAGCCGACCAACAGGATGAGACTTCCAAGGTTGGCGATGGCGATGTGGGACTTGGAGGTCTCTGAGCCCTTGAACTCCTCTCTTTCACCAGGCTTCCGTGCACAGGTTGGCAGCTTGAGGCTGGAGCAATTGTCGAACCTGGCATGGTACTCCGAGTCTCTGAAGGAGACGAAGGTGTCTGAGTGATGGTACCAATAATAGACCGTCTCGGTGTTGCCAACCACACATCCGACTCTTGTTCTGCCAGCCACCCCATCCAAGACCTGTGACTTCGATACTGAAAAGCCTTCGCTAGTTTCACTGCTCTTGCAATCTTCCTCTGTAATTTCGAGCGAACCAATGCTATTCACGCCCAGTGATCCTGAGCTGCAAATGGATGAGCCACGTGAAAATCCGGTGTCCTGTGAGTAGGTAATACTACAGAGACCCTCCACGTCCGTGTCGGAAGAGCACTTGAGCGCTTCAATGACGCACTGCGAGGGCTGTGATGTGTTTGCTGGTGGCTCCTTGACAAGACAACCCTCATCCAGCAGCGCTTTTGACTGCAACTGCTCGAGGTCGAATTGCGGAGTGTTGTTTGAGCTGCAGACATCCAGGTGTAAATCCCCCGTGTCATCATGATAGAAATCATAGAGAACGGTAGTGCAAGCAGGATCAGCTGCGCAGTCCTGCCATAGTAAGGGCATTACGTCACCCACGGCCTCGTCAAAGAGGACGTATGTACTAAATTGCCCCTGAGCCGGCTTCGTGCATCCAGGATAGCAGAATTGCCACGGAAGAAACCTGAAACCTTCGGGAACGGGCTGGGATGGTGCAGTCCATGCAGAACGAAGAACCCCACAGGTACACAACCAAATGAACGAAAAGCCGGACCGCATGGCTGGGTAGCTCTCTACAGACTGGCGACTGGTGTCTGAAGCAGGTCTGACGGGCAGAAATTGCGCATGTGCTGCAGCTTCGACTGAGACCTCGTTGGAGGTCGACGATTCGCTTGGGATGCCTATTCTAAACGTAACCTTTTATGAGGAGCCTCAAGGCGACTGCTACTCAGCAAAATGGGCAGCTTCTTTGTCTTTTCCTATATCTAGTAGGGGCCTCAACAATTTGAACAGGCCTTTCAACCATGTTACGACTGGTCTAGTTATCATGAGGAAGTTCCCAAACCCTAAACCCACTGGTCCACTGGTACATTCTGATAGCCAAATTCAAGTCCAGCTCCTTCACAAACAAATCTATAATATGGCTATACACTTTCATGGAGAACCACCTCAAAAGTGGTTGGCGGACATGAAGTCTCGCCTAAATGATGCCCACCAAAGCGTCTCGTGATAATATCATAGTTTCCCGAGAGAACCTGTGAGAATTGGGTTGTCCCCCTGTCTTTTGTGGGACATGTGGGTTGTCCTCAACCCTAAGCCGATCATTTTAAGCCAGTGTCTCGTCTATGTTGTGAGCAAACTCAACCTCAAACAAACTCACCAACTCCAGCCTGTACAACAATAATCACCAATCTCAAACCACTAACTCGAACTCAACAAAACTCACCAACTCAAGGCTGTCGAACGAAAATCACACTCAAACGGCCGCCCAGGTTCCACCAGCCCATTCTGCCAACCGCCCACACCGCTTTCCCTCATCGCCAAAGCGCTCGGCATCATCGCCAAAGCGCTCGACAAGCATTCCCCCAGCCTCGAATCGAATCCCAAAGGGCTGGGAAGAGGCGAGGGGAAGGCGCTAAAAGTTCAACTTTTAGCCGGCGGCATGGAAAACCCACCACTAAACACTAAAGGCTAAATAGCTAAGGAACCTGATGGCTGGGAGCCAGCAAGTTAAAGCAAACCAAGAAACGCTGTGAGACCATTCTTTCCAGTGATCCTTCTTGCTGATAGCCGATGGTTGCAAAGACCTGGCTGGGTGAGCTTGAAAGTGGTTGGCAACCCTGAAAAGCGAACCCAAGGAAAGCCAAACATGTTTCACATGGAGGCTTCATGATCTTGTAACCGCGGGAGTGACCCTGTCAACCTGTAGATAGAAATCGCATGCAAGAAACAAGCAAATGAACGACCAGCGTGGGACCGCTGGAAGTCTCCTTCGACAATGACTCAAGAATAAACACCTCCTGGACTTGCAACAAGAAACGTTGTGTTTTGCAGTATCCCGCAACAAGCCGTGCGTGAACAGACCTTTTTGGGGTCAAAGGCCACAGCATCCCTTGGAACAAAGTACACCCATGAGCTTCCCACAAAATGATGTGGGGGGCCCAGCAACTCCGACAGCTTCCCCAAGCAAAATGTGCTTTTTTTAAGGGGACCCCTAACGTGGTGATGTTCCTGTTGATTTCCTTTTCAACCAACCAAAAAGGGGGTACCCTCAAAAAAGACGAGCCACCCAAACGGGGAAAAGCCCAGGGCCGTGGGCCGCTCAGGCTGCGGCAAGCAGAGCGTCTCTGGGGCCTTCTGGTGGCGCTCGCATCCGCCGAGCACCGCCTGGGCTCGTCTTTTTTTGGGAGCCTCGGCACCCCGTGATTGGCGGTAAATCTAGGGGTAACTTCCAATTCCATTCTTTCCAGGGATCCGAATCTTTCTAGAAAACCACCAAAAACCCTGGAGAAATGGCTGGTTATTGAAAAGAACGACGGCTGAAAAGAATGGGGAATCAACCCCTAGAGTGAAGGGAAACCCGGAGGAAAACCGAGAGCCATTTTGGGGGGGTCCCAAACACCCGCATGGACCAATGGATGCGGACAACCTTTGAAACAGCCAAGACATCTTTCACCGCCAACATGTACCCCGTTGGCGAGGCAAGGGGCAACTATAAATCGGGTGCTCTCCCAATAATGCGTTTTTGAAACCGCTTGTTCAGCGGCACGCTAATCCCTTTTTGATTGGTTGTCCACCAAACAAGAAAATCACCCCCAAAAGTAGTCCCTTCTGCCAGTAGTACTGGGTGCAACTGGGATTGAAGGCTTCTGAGAACGTTTCTGAGGCGTTGGGCTGGGCACTGCCAGCTTTTTCAATGCCGGTAGCGGATTCCTACCCACGGGAAGGCCCGGACACGCACTTGCAAGCCCAAGCAGGGGGTCTAAAAACAAACACACCCATTTTATTTAGTCCCCTCGAAAAATGCTATTGCTCTATGGTAGCACCATATTGGTTGTGGTAAAGCAACACAGGTCTCCCAGGCAAATCAAAGGTAACTTCGATCAAATGTGTGCAGCTGCGCCAAAGCCAGGACAGCCTGGAAATGCAATAACAAGATGTATAGTTTTCCGGTGTCTCTGCTTGCCCCTTGACTAAGGCGCTGGGAGATGTCTCCAGTCAAAGGACCTGCAAGCATACTCAAACCCACACTGGCGCCGCCTTGTGAATTCGCATGATCACGTGTTCTGCAACTTGCTTTCATCTAACTTTGCCAACAAGTACCACGGTCAATTGTGGGTCTGAGACTTTGTTTTCAAAAGGCCAATAGAAATAGCCTTCGCGAGCTTGCTTGGGCAACACCAACTCCACAAGAGCTCTGCTTAAATGGACCGGGAATTAGCTAAATGGTCAGCAGCCCGCAGCCAACTCCCGCCCCTGGCTAACAATGTGTAAGTATTGTCCCTCCTTCCACGGTCATGGACTAAGAAGGCCCGCTGTGCACTTCCATGCTTGTTGGAGAAAAGGAAAACCTCTACAACACAGTTTGGATGCAGAATTTGTGGATCCACCTCTAAAACAGCTGGAATGCGCCAAAGGCGCATCCAATTCGCTTTCTAGATAGCGATTTAACTTAATCCTACTCACACCAACCAAGCTTAAATAAGTTTCGTGGTTCACATTTAGTCAATCCTACCATCCAAATCAATCTCAAAGACCTCGCCAAGGCTCTGCGTAGGACACCACATTTGGCCGCAGTGCGTGCCTGCGCATTTGGCACCGGCCCCTTTGCAATCCCAACTGAAAATCCTTTGCTCCTTTGAGTCACAACGTATATCCACCATGGTTTACAGCTCTTTCGGGCTCCATGACCCATTTCCACATCACCAATAGGAAAGTCCCAAATGGATCATGTGAAGACTTCAAGGATCCCAAGTGTCCAAAGGCTTCATTTAACTATAATCATCCCATATGTTCAAGCAAACAGGGTCTATTCCCTATACCTGCACAGCCTGGCAGGCCTGCACATACAACAGTTCGCAACTGGAATGCGGGATCCACGTTGAAGCAAAGAACCTGCATGGTGCGCAGCATCGCTCGTTTTTGCCACCCTGTTGCGCTTGTTTCGATTTGATTCACCGACCTGAATCGAGGGAGTTCATCATAAAGGTGTGTCTTTTTTTGAAGGTTCCCTTTTCGAAACCAAGAGGAAAACCATCATTTTAGGGGTCCCCTGAAAAACAGGACACACCCATGCCGAAGCTGGATCAAAAAACCCTCGGCAAACAACCCCTGGCGTTCGGAACCAATGGATAAGAGAGGCATTCTCAACAGGAATCTTGTCCAATACTGTGGATGGACAGAATCCTGCACCAAAAGGAATCTATTGGAAACCATTGTGTGTTGGTACTTACAGGGGAATCATCCTTCCAGGGTTGCTTAGGTGGTGCAGGGTTTCGTCCATCCACAGTACTTTCCCGAACAGTTACTGTCCAGGTCATGCGTCCACCAGCTGCCAAGTATTCCCAATTCACGGACACAAGTTTGTCCGACCTGAGAGCTGCTGCTGGCGCTGTAAGGGCGTGGTTAGTATCTTGATCAGAACGTTCAACATGTACAGAAACCACTAAAGTCTAGCGATGTGTTTCTCAAATGGCACACGTTGACCCAAGTGTCACATATGTCACACCTCTATATTCATATATATGTATATATATATATATATATATATATGTTTCACGTCTCACGTCTCTCTCGAATCGGGAAATCGGGAACTTGGGAATTGGCCTTCGCATGTCCTGCAGCAGCTGCAGGGCGAAGGGCACTTGCCCGCCCTGACAACAGGCCTCCAACGTAGCCTCGAAGCACTGCGAGTGGGCGAGTGGGCCAGCGCGCGCGCGTGCAAAGGCGCTCCGTCCATTGTAACAACCCCAAAAAAGGGTACGTAGGACCTACCCCAGGACAAACATGTCGTATCTTGGGTCCGCAAAATGATGTTTTTCGCCCCAACAGAACTAACTATCTAAACATGGGCAGTTTCCTGGTGGCTTTCCTTCAATACGGGATCCTCCTGGTTTGAGCTATGGCAACCAACAAGTAGAGGGGTCCAAATTAAGCAGCGAGGTAAAAGAAAGAAAACAAAACAGCTGGCCAAGTAGGGTCCATTCACAATTGGTCGCATGACCAACCTCCTTTTTCTGAGGCCAACAACAAAGAGAGTTACTTCTCGTTTGCCACTTAAGTGAGGTCCCCCCCCCAACAAAAAAAAGACGAAAATAAGTTCAACTGTCCAAAACATGAAGTCCAAGAATTACCAACCTTCTTTGATTAGGGCGACCAGGGGGTTGCTTTGCTTAAACATGTGAAATCAAACCCCTCCCCAGTTTGCCTCGTGTAAATCGTTATAACTAAGGGTACTACCGTACTACCCTGAACAGTCGCTGCACAGCTCATGTGTACATGTTGCAAAGGACCACGTCGGGCTTTAGAAGACCTCCATCATCTGGAAAGGCTTGTCCACTTCCCGAGGGTAGAACAGTGCTATGGTCTATGCGCGGATTGGTGGTTTGGCGGTTGGGTGGGTTTCCTCAACAAGCACCAGGGGGTCAAGTTCCCAAACCACCAATTCGAACCACCTAAGGGTTGCCTGGGGACACCCTTATTGGTGGCTTGGTCCACTTTTCGTCGGAACAAGCTGGCTTTGAGCAAGACCAAAACCTTATCTACGCGTCCCGCTCTATGCAAACCACGCAGCAGTGCAGGCAACCACATCCACCTCAAGACCTGAAAGACGGGAGGAAAGCAAATGTGGGCGTGGCTTATTTTGAGGTACCCTTTTTGGTTGTAAAGGAACACGGAAACCGTTGCCATTCTTGGGGGTCCGATTCCCAAAACAAGACACCCATGTGAGATGGTTCCTATCTAAACAAAGAACGAGGGCTGGGTCTTTATGGCCCTTTTCTCTTCTCGAGTCGTGTCTTACTCCTTAGGCTCCAGGGAACCCCTAATCTAACCATATCAAACAAACTCATCCTGAAATGGGAACCCTTGAAGGTCTTTCCATTGGTTTCCACAAGTTGCTGGTCTATATGCTCGTTTGGCACATGTGACTGGTGCAGGGCCAGTGTCTCCAACTTCTGAACCTGGGGGGGGTTGACCCTAGGTGTCCTTTTTAGGTTAGTTTGGTTGGATGGATTCCACTCATTTCACTCTTCTTGGGTGAGTGTTGTTGGAAATAGATGGGTTCCCACTGGTTTAGATTGGTGTTATGCCTCATTTGCCAGGGCCATATTTTGTCTAGAAGGTCACCAATGGTTGAGATGGTTTGTTGGATGGGGTGACAGGGACTGAAGCGAATCGACAGTCGTGGCGCTCGAAAAGCGGCAACTCACTCCCCCCCGATGTCTTGATGAAGCCCCAAAGGTGGTTGGTTTCAACACGTTCCCCACGGCCACTGGAGCACATGCAGAAGCAAATTGATGCAACCCGAGCCGTCGAAACAACCGCCCCAGCCTACCCCTCAAGCCTTTCCCTCAAGCCCTCCCTCCCACAACCCCCTCTCCCCCTCCCCCCCTGAAACCCCCCCCACCACCACCACCCCCCACCCACCCCACCTGAGGCCCCGGCCCAGGTCCTCCGCCTGCTGCAGCAGCTGCAGCGCCGGGCGCCAGGCGCTGCACGTGGCACACGCGCCGATGGCGTGGCCTCACTCGCGTCTCGGGTGGCGGAAGGCGCGAAGACTTTGGTGGACCCATGCCGACCGTTCCCAAAACAAAATCCAACCCATTTAGTTTCAGAGTCTCAGAGGGGGGGGGGGGGGGCGAAAAACATCCAACCCATTTAGTTTCAGAAGGGGGCGTCTCCAAAAGCCGGAGTTTAAGGCCATCCAATCTTCCTATGTAAAAGGCAAGAAAGGATATTGCCAGTTGCGGGTTGGCAGGGATGGTCATTTGATAGGGACCTTTGCCTCCCAAGGGGGCGCCTCCATGACCCATGAGTGTTTCAGAGGGGGGCGGCCCTGGGCGCAATGTGGGGATTCATCGCCGACCCCGAAAAAACTCAACTAGAGTTTGTAATCAACCCTTTTTGGTGGCAAGCCTGGCCATCCTGTTTGTTCGGTGCTGCATTGTTTTGAGTGGGTTTGATGTTGACCCTGGGTGAAATGTGGGATTCAGACCACTTTTTGCAGGGGAACACATTCCCATTTTAATAAACAGGAGTGTATTAATCTAGGGTCAACATTCGAGGGAGGTCTCCAAATACTTGGCCCACATCTGAATCTAGGTTAAAAATATTTTCCTGATTCTGTGTATAATATATATATATATGTGGTGCCCCCCCAGTACCCAGGTGTTGTTGCATCATGTATCAAAACCATTGATATTTACAGTGTATTTTGATTGAACTTATGCATTCTCTGCAAGGCCATTTTGTGGACCAAAAAACAAAACACAAAAAAACCCAAAAAAACACCAAATAAACACAAAATACCCAAAAACCAAAAAACAATCCTAGCCCCCACCATGGCTGGGATTCTTTTGTATTTTGTTGTTTTTGTTTTTTGGTCCAAGGAAATGTTGCGCAACAAATTCCAAATGTTGCGCAACATTTGCGGAGCATGAGAGGATATGTGAACCTTTGTGAAAGAAGACATGTTCTGGGTGAGAGGATATGTGAACTTTCTGTAGAGAAGAGTAATTGAAAAATCCGCCGACCCCTTCTCCTCAAAGGGGGAGGCGTACGGGAAGGGCGGTTACAAGTCCAAGGCTGGCTGGTAAATGAGCATAACCGAAGATTCAACATCATCATCGGCGTGGTGGTCGTCGCCGCTGTCCTTATCTTGATTATCATGATGACTGCTGGTGATGCTGAGGATGCGTCATGATGATTATCATGTCAGTTCATCATCATCATCATCATCATCATCACGGTGCTCATCATCATCAGCTTCTTCGTCATCGTCCTTATCTTTTTTTTATATACGTTTCAAGTGTCCCGTTAGACCCGATTCGAGATGCAGAAGATGCGCGGACATGATTATCATGATGACTGCTGGTGATGCTGAGGATGCGTCATGATGATTATCATGTCAGTTCATCATCATCATCATCATCAGGTGCTCATCATCATCATCTTCTTCGTCATCGTCCTTATCTTTTTTATATACGTTTCAAGTGTCCCGTTAGACCCGATTTGAGATGCAGAAGATGCGTGGACATGATTATCATGATGACTGCTGGTGATGCTGAGGATGCGTCATGATGATTATCATGTCAGTTCATCATCATCATCATCATCATCATCACGGTGCTTATCATCATCATCTTCTTCGTCATCGTCCTTATCTTTTTTTTTATATACGTTTCAAGTGTCCCGTTAGACCCGATTTGAGATGCAGAAGATGCGCGGACATGATTATCATGATGACTGCTGGTGATGCTGAGGATGCGTCATGATGATTATCATGTCAGTTGGTGTTCATCATCATCATCTTCTTCGTCATCGTCCTTATCTTTTTTATATACGTTTCAAGTGTCCCGTTAGACCCGATTTGAGATGCAGAAGATGCGCGGACATGATTATCATGATGACTGCTGGTGATGCTGAGGATGCGTCATCATGATTATCATGTCAGTTCATCATCATCATCATCAGCATCATCACGGTGCTTATCATCATCATCTTCTTCGTCATCGTCCTTATCTTTTTTTATATACGTTTCAAGTGTCCCGTTAGACCCGATTTGAGATGCAGAAGATGCGCGGACATGATTATCATGATGACTGCTGGTGATGCTGAGGATGCGTCATGATGATTATCATGTGTTGGTGTTCATCATCATCTTCTTCGTCATCGTCATCGTTTCATCATCATGCATTATCATGATGACTGCTGCATCATCATCAGTTCATCATCATCATCATCATCAGCATCATCACGGTGCTTATCATCATCATCTTCTTCGTCATCGTCCTTACATGCATGCATACATGCATACATGCATACATACATACATACATACACGATTTTTTGTGCTGACATTTGTCCGTCTGAAGAGCTCCCTGACCGCAAACTGGGGTCGGCGGCACTGGGCGGCAGCCCTTAAATCCGGCCACCGGACGTGATCGGGCCGCAGGCCAAAGCCCGTTAGGGCTTACCTTCAGGTATAAGGCCGTGCGCCCCATGCCGCCGACCATGCGCGGACCATGCGCATACGTTTTGCGCTGGGCCTTCCTTATGAGGGGCAAAGGATTCGCGGATTGGTTTAGGCGATTTTTGTAGCATCTCCCCGCAGCGCCCAAAAACGAGTCCAAAAACGAGTATTTTTGGGGGGTGCATAATACTGGACAACACCCCCAGCATTGCCAGCATCATCCCGGATGATGCGGATGATGTTATGCATGCTGGCGATGCGGGGGATGCAACCTGAAAATCTTCAAATCTAAAGTGGATGGAAATGGATGGAAAATGGCCTGGATTGAAATCTCAAAATGCTAAAGTCTTAGATTCTTAAAATCTTAGATTAAAATCTAACAATCAATCTTAGAATCTCAAGATCTTAAAATCTTAGAACTTAGAATCTTAAAATCTAAAAATATAAAAACTTCCTAAAGTCTTCGAATCTTGAAATCTTAAAAACCTTATGTCTTAGAATCTTGAGATCTTAAACTCTTAAAATATGAAATCTTAGAACCTTAATTCTTCAACCATTGAAACCTTAAATTCCGAAAGTCTTCAAATCTGAGACCCTTAGAATCTCAAAGTTTTTAGAATTTTAAAATCTTAACATCTACTCATCGGACTTACAGGAAAGGGAAGTGACAGAAACCCTCATGTCTTTGAATCTTCAGATGTTAAAATCTTAAAATATGAAACTCCTAAATTCTCAAAATCTTAAAATCTCAGAATCTTAAAAGCTTCAAAAACTTAAATTCTTTAAATCTCGAACTATTGCAGTCTGAAAATCTTAAATTCATAAACAAGTAAAATATAATAAAATTCCTTCAATACGGGCTATATTATTCTAAATTCCTTCAACTCTTAATCTTCAAATTTTGAAGTCTTGACATCTTAAGATCTTAAAATCTTAAATTCCGAAAGTCGCCAAATCTGAAAATCTCACAAAAAATAAAATCTTAAAGCCTTCGAAATCTGATAATGGATGGTAAATGGCTGGGCAATGGCCTGGCTGTTATAACCTTCAAAAGCCTTAAATCTTCGAATCTTAAAACCTTAATTCTTCAACCATTGAAACCTTAAATTCCGAAAGTCTTCAAATCTGAGACCCTTAGAATCTCAAAGTTTTTAGAATTTTGAAATCTTAACATCTACTCATCGGACTTACAGGAAAGGGAAGTGACAGAAACCCTCATGTCTTTGAATCTTCACATGTTAAAATCTGAAAATATGAATCTCGAACTATTGCAACCTGAAAATATTAAATTCATAAACAAGTAAAAATATAATAAAATTCCTTCAATACGGGCAATACTTTAAATTCCTTAACCTCTTAATCTTCAAATTTTGAAGTCTTGACATCTTAAGATCTTAAAATCTTAAATTCCGAAAGTCGCCAAATCTGAAAATTCACAAAAGTCCAAGCTTAAAGCCTTGGATGGAAAATGGCTGGGCAATGGCCTGGCTGTTATAACCTTCAAAAGCCTTAAATCTGTGAATCTTAAAACCTTAATTCTTCAACCATTGAAACCTTAAATTCCGAAAGTCTTCAAATCTGAGACCCTTAGAATCTCAAAGTTTTTAGAATTTTAAGATCTTAACATCTACTCATCGGACTTACAAGGGAAGTGACAGAACGGAAGGTGCCCGGTGGCCGGCTGTGTCGCGTCAGCGTGTAAATACATGTTTTGTGTGAGATGATATGTGGGTCTTTGTGGAAGAGTCAGGGTTGCAGTGATTCACAAAAGTACAGCAAAAGACAGTAAATATCATGTAAAACCACCATGTATGTAACACAAGCTGTCCCAGCCATGGCCGGGCTTTATTCTACACAGGGTTCTCTTTCCTTGGCAACTCTTTCACATATGCTGCCTTTGGTTCATTGAAAGAAGACATGTAAAAAGACATGTGTTGGGTAAGAGGATGTGTGAATTTTCTGTGGAAGAGTCTTTGAAACAAGGCATGGTTTGTGTGGGAAAATATGTGAGTTATCTGCGGAAGAGCCTTCGAAAGAAGGCATGGTTTGCGTGGGAAGATATGTGATTTGAATTTTGTGTGGAAGAGCCATTGATAAAGGGCATGGGTCACGTCCAAGGCGTCTTTCTTCAATGAGGCAAACCTCCTTCCTCTGGTCTCCCAGTGTGCAAACCTGAGCTATTCTTCCTGCCTGCTTCCGCGGTCAAAGCACATCTGAACCAAGCCCAAACCTGGGTACCTGGGGGGGGGGGGGGGTAGCATATATATATATATATATATACCCAATATCAACAAAGTTTTGGAGACACCAAAAAATCGGGGGAACCGCGCGGATAAGAAACCAACACATACCAAGCAACTGGGTTCGCGACCATCCCCGAGACCCGCGAAACGGGGACCGTCCCGGTTTTCTTTCGAAGGGAACGGCAAGGACTTGGCCATTTTTTCAACTGGGGTTCAGTTGCCACCAAAAAACATCCTGGCTCATATAACCACCAGTTGCCTAAGGATTGCCATCATCTAAGTTGGGTCGACCATGCTTAAAATGGGGCTTGAACCCTTGGGTTCAGGGTCTTTGCATTTGACACAAAACCCAAAGGACGGCTCGTCTGCACAAAAGAAAACCTCCCCCGCAAAATGGGAACCTCAACAATGACTTGGAGTTTATGTCCAACCATTTGCGAGGGTGTCCCCGATTTAAACGGCATAGCCGTATGCAACGAAATATGGGAATCGAGCACCCAAAGGGGCCATTTCAAATGGGCACGGGTTCAGGTGCGGAATCAGCCTTTTAAGGTAACTCAAACCTGCCATGGACCATGGCACTTTGAAGGACAAAAAGTGGGACAAGCTGGGTGCTCACTAGGGGGAACCATCCAACGTTGGTTCCTTTCAGGGGAACTCACGCAGCAGCCAGGTTTCCGTGGACCGGAAAGCGTTCCTGCCTGCATTTGGTTTCAATCAGAAAGTCGGGCTTCAACTCGAGAAAGCAAGCCAGCTCGTGAACCCAAGTTTCTGCAACCGATCGGGGCCGAAAAGCCACAGAAGATTGTCCTGATGAGCTATAATCGACCTTCAAAGTGGTGGTTTCCCTTTGCTTTCCTGTGTACCCGCAACCCAACCATGGGTACCTTGTCGGGCAGATGTGGGGCCCCCATATTTCTTGACAGGCAACCCTGCTCATCAACCGTTCATGCGAATCGGGTTTCCATCCTCTTTTGGGCTCCCATGACCAACCCACAGGCTGCAAAACGTAAAAGCTAAAGGTAGTGTCAGTGCCAAAACATGGCAATTGACCGACGCCAACAGAACTGGGGGAACCCGGCTGCAGAAGACCATGTTGGGCACGGTGGACAGCTCCTGCAGAGGGCCCCCCAAAAAAGGAGGTTCGGAACCCTGAAATGGGCGCGTCTCCAAGCATTGCCCAAACAGAAGGGTCCACGACGTTTGACATTTTCTGGGCAAACTTCGCCTGGATTTCCCGTATTGGCACAATCCAAGAAAGGGAATCTTTCAAAAAGATGCCCCTATCCCCGCATTCTCCTCACACATTCATGCGAGTCACGCTTCAACCTGCTCCGCCGACCAAACAATTGCTGTGGGGCCCGTCGTTTTTGGCCAGGATTGCAGGCCTTATCTCTCCCGATTCATCCCCCTCCCCCCGAGTAATCCGAATCTCGTCAAAGGAACCCCCCGTAAGCATCTTGCCCCCCGAAACCGAGGCCTCGGTGTCATTTTGGTTGGCTCAGGACTACCACCCGACAAAAACTTCCCTCAACTTGGATGCCCCAACTTGTATGGGTAGTGTGCCAGAAGCAGAGCCACCGCTGATGTTCCCAAAGTCGGACATCGCCCTCTAGCTTTGAAGCTTAGGGTAGTTTCATTGGGGACATGAAAAAGCGCTGCGGCTTTTGAGGCGAGTTTGAGGGCCCACGTTCCGCATGCGAAGTTCGCTGCATCCCACGGAAGCGTCGGTTCCTGCAGCTCCTCGAACAGCCGCACCGCGCTTTCCCAGCGCCCGGCTCGATCGCAGGCGCCTGGGTACAGTACCAGCTGCCAAATGACTCCGTCCACCAGATGCGACTCAACAACTTGCATGTTCCTAGACAGACAAAGGGGTTCAAACTTGAGATCATGTCTTGCATTTTACTTATTATTTTTTGGGGGGGGGGGCATCCTTATACAGAGTTTCAATCAATGACAAGCGATAAGAATGGGTTAAGAACAAGGTACATTTTTTGAGACGCTACATCCTACGCGCTGTTTGATTTGGGTCTCCGAGCTGATGTTTAAGCCAAGCTGGGCAAGCTGCCCCTGAAAAGTGCTGGGTGTAGGAGCCCCTCTTTGCGGATCTTTAGAAGGGTTCCCTGCAAAGTCCTCAAAACATTTGTGCAACTCAAGAACTGAAGCAACAAATGGGACCGCCGACTTCAGTATCAACACATCTTGGGTACTCAGCACTCCCAAATTTTCCATATACGTGGATCACAGTTGCCACTATAATAAGTAACCAGCCATTGTCCTTTTGGTTTTTAAAGGTTGGCAAGCCCTTGGTTGCCCACTAATACAGGCAACTGGATCCGCTGGGATAGTCTAATGTCGACCCCAGACGAATCAACCAACCAGTATATTAACAGGGGGGGGGGGGGGCTTCTGGGTGAAATGTGGGGAATCATCCCTGGAAGGGCCAAAACCACCCCTGTTCTTCTCGTTTGATTGAGCTGGGGTCAACATTAGGGGTGGTCTCCAAATACTTAGACCAGAATCTGAATCCAGGGTAATAAAAGATTCTGTGTCATATATGCCCGATATATACCAACGACAAATTAGACAAATCTTTTAGCGCCGACCCCCTCGAACCGCCGAGCGCGGCGCTCGCCACCGCCGAGAAGGACACCACGTCCGGCACCAGCAGGGACTGCGGGCGAAACGCGCGAACTCCGCGGTCACGCTCGAGGGCATTGATATATGCTGGGATGTATGGGGCATTTTGGAGGTATGTAGAGTACCATTTACGGCATTTGTGGGGTTTTGGAGGTATGGAGGACTGCAATTTACGGCATTCATGGCGTTTTGGAGGTATGGAGGAGTGCGATTTTGCGGCATTTCTGGGGTTTTGGAGGTCTGGAGAGTACCACTTACTCTCCTTCCAATCATGCAAGGGAGGGCCCCCCACTTGGAGAGTTCCACCGTCTTCTCATCGTCATCTTGTTTGATTCGAGGGAGGGTTTGGCACTGCTTTACAAGCTTATATTCCTATATCCTTTTAGGGGAAATAGATAGATCTGGTAGATGATTAAACCACCAGGTAAACCAGGAATCGCCATCTATTTGTCTAGCAAAACAACCAAAAAGGACACCTATGCTTATATTTGGTAGCATCCATACCTCCAACACCCAAACTGAGTATGGTTTTGACTGGAGCAGGTCAGATTCAAAGATTGACCCACCCAACCGGGCTATCCCCGAAATCAGAGTGTCACATGCTTCATATTTAGTCTACCCTGAAGTATAACCTCATTTTGGAGAGACCCCAGAAATGCGCGGGCCTTTTCCTTTCGGCGCCCCTAAAGATTGGGTTAAAGAGGGAAATCAAATGGGTGTTGTTGCTGAGGGAAATATTCGGCAACAATGGGGATACTATGAAACCAAATTCCCTCATGATCATGGGGAAACATGTCTAGTTTTGGGTGCATGTGGAGGTGTGGTGCAAAGTCCCCGTGTCGCTCCCAAAAGGACTACTTGATTTGTTTTAGCCTATCATGTGGGATGATCATGGTCGCCTGCCTCTTGACAGCGAATCCACGGGAACCAAAAGCCAATTTGCCACGTAAGCTCGGCAGCAGCATTCTTGGGCACCTATTCGTCAACCAAGCAAATAGCAAGCCCTCGACCCGAACCTTAAAATTCAATTGTTTCCATTCCAAAAGATCTTAAAAGCCAAATGCAGCGCCACCTTTTTAACACGACGCATCTTACAAGCCGCAGACCCCGAGCTCCGCACCTCCTGAAGCTGTCGCAGCAAGGAGGTCGCCAGCTTCCAATTCTGACAGAGGGCGCTCATCGCCTCAGATTTTTGTCGGCACTGATGCTCCTCGTCCGCGTTTTTCACCCCCAGGGTGCCCTTAGGCTATAGGTCGCTGAATTTAAAACAAGTGGACAAGTGCTTGTTGTGGCGGTTTCCCTATCTTGAGACACATCCATATTCGCCCTAGTTGGGAAAAAGGGCGCACCGCTCCGGTCCTTGCTGAGGGCCGTCCGAACCCTGAAGCCCGAACCAGTGTGTGTCTCTGGGGCATGGCTCTTGGTGTCTTGCCCCAAAGCCAATGAATCCGAAGTCCGGTTTGTAACCCAAGGACCTCCCAATACCGTCGGTCGCAGAAGAACACCGGTTGGAATCTTCATTCACAATGGTTGCTGGAAAGCCAATCAACTGGTGGAATTTTGGCGAGCGCCTTGGTTGCGTTCCGGCGAAAGTGAAATATGGCATCCCACAAAGCCAACATCGCTGGTATGAAAGGGGCCCCCCTTCAGATCCTAAAAAGGGAACACGCCACACAAAGTAGAAACAAAGGGCGGTTGTTAATAATTGGGCAAAGCCTAATTGAAAACAACAACATCAAATTGAGGTTTCCTGTTTGTTCGGGCTTCAGCCTGGAATGACACTACTGTCTGGAAAACACTGTTGACTGTCACTATTAACGCTACTCCCTGTGTAAACCGTGCCTCTCAGGCATGTGTTTGAACGCATTGCTTCCGCGGGCATCCGCGAGCATGTTGTTGGTTCTTTTGCTCCCGCGGCCACAGTGTTGTTCACGTTGGGCTTCTGGTGCAACATGTGTCGTTTAAAACAGAAAGCCTTCTGCAAACCTTCGGCGTCTTCAGTCCCATGCAAATGTTGCATGAACAAAGTCGGCAAGGAGAATGTCCCTTGGCCTTGAGCTTGCCAGGTTGATTTCAGCAGCTGAACCCCCGCTTCCAGAAAGAATTGAAAGAAATTGAGAATGCTTTCTAGGGGGATCGGGATAAGGCAAGGTGCGCCGAGAACCGCAAGCTGTTTGTTTCGCTCACATCGAACTCATAGGCCCCCGACCGCGTTGTAGGTCATCAAACCCTGGAGAGGAGAGGCTGGGACGGAGGGCGGCCATGGCGGATACCCAAAATCGGAGGTACGCAAAATTGGAGTCGGTCAGGTGAATTTTCAACTTGCAGTAGGAAAGTAGAAAGTACGTTTACGTGTTGTCACCAAGACTAGGTCCTCCAGTAGAGAGATTAATTAGTCTATTTTAGTAGGGGAACCCTCCCCTAAAAAGGGTAAAAGGGCGCTACTGAGGGACCTGGAAGAACATCTCAGAATTTAAGTATCCCAGCTCAGCATGTTGAAATCAGCCTGCTTGAAACTCGAACCTTTGATTCAAGGAAGTGCCGAGGCAAACGCGTCGCAGGAAGATACCAGTCCCTTGTGAGAAACAGACCTGTTTGGCTTGACCGCGACCTGGCTCAGCGACCACTAACCCTCGTTCCTTCTCCCCAGACATGTCCTGCTATTAACTGGCAAACTACCCCCAAATCTGTTTGAAGCCCTGCAACGGACATGTTTCCCAAACCAATGGGCAAGGGCAACACGGGGGTTCCCTTGTTTGCTCAACTCAACAGGTCAGACCCAAGCAAAAACACACACCAAACCTTGACTGACAACTGCAGTTCCTGCTCAAATGAAGTATCCCTTCTCCAAGCACAGCGAATGAAGATGAATCCCGCTTGGCTTCCAACCGGACAATCAGCAAGCAGGACACAAAATGGGCTCGGACATGTTCAAGAGAACTTGTCAACTGCGAGTGGCAACGTATCCAAGACATGCCGCTAGGAATAACAAATGCTGTTCGAGCGTTTGTACACATGCCCAATTCAGCGGAAACCAGAAGCCAGAGATGGCACTGGCGACTCAAATCAGCTTCACAACAAGCTTTACAAACATAAATTGTCATCCCGACAAAAACAACCAAAGCACACGGTTTCTAACTGAGAAACCATCCCTGACCTTGGTCTCTGATGGGAACAGCCGCTTGTCAACTATGTCTGTCTCCCAAACCAATGCTCTGTCGCAGTGTACTCAGTTCACTGCGCAGCCAGAATTCTATGTGTCGCCCACAACCCACCACTGCCAGTCAGCACGGGACGTGGTGGCATCGCACGCACCCCGCAGTCAGTCAAGGGACGTGGCGGCGTCGCACGCACCCCGCCACCAACGCTCCGGGACGTGGTGGCATCGCACGCACCCCGCGGCCCGCATTCCAAGGGACGTGGTGGCATCACACGCGCTCCAAGGGCAAGAGATTCCGCCTTGTCCTCCACCAAATATGCTTTGCTGCCAACTTTGGTTCCAGGTCGGCCCGCATTTGAAGGGGTCAGAAGAGGCTATTCAAGCAGGGATTGCCTTTGGACGTGTCCGTCGACCCCTCTCATGGGAAAACTAACACATAACCGGCGCGGAGGAATAGATTGGGGAAGAACCCTCTTCCAATAGATTCTATCGTCTCAGCAAATAGTCAGGAGAATGGACAAGACATGGTCTACCTCTTCACTTTCCCTGGGAGCATGGTTCCCGTCTTTTTTCTCCGCCGCATGCTTGCGGAATCGTTTTCGGCCCAACGGACAGCTAGGGATGGTCCAACTCCAATCCCCCAGTTCAAGTCAAAGAGTTTGGACAGTGTGAACGTCTGGCCAGCCCCCAATGAATAACTACCGCAGAACACTAAAGTCAAACAGCTGCTTTCAATTAGTCAGTTCCAACTCTGAACTCAGACAATGTGTGAAATGGTTGAAATAAATGTGCCAATGATAATTCAAACGGTTCTCGGAATGAGCCCAAATTTAATAGTATTGAATAGTAGAAAACACCACGTAAATAATAATAATAATCATAATAATAATATTAATAACAATAACAATAATAATGACAATAACAATAACAATAACAATACCAATAACACTAATAATATTAATAATAATAATAATAATAATAATAATAATAATAAATAAACAAACTAATAATAATTAATAATGATCAATACTAATAATACATAACTAATAATAATTAATAATGAATAATAATAAGAATTAATAATTATTAAAAATAATAATAACAATAATAATAATCATAATACTAATAATAATAATAATAATAAACAACAAAATAATAAATAATAATAATATTAATAATAAAAATAATAATAAACAACAAAATAATAAATAATAATAATATTAATAATAATAATAATAAACATAATAATAACAATAATCATAGTAATAATAATAATAATACTAATAATAATAATAATAGTAATAATAATAATAATAATACACACATATAATATGATATGATACTGTCAATGATACATAATACATGAATATTATACTAACATGATTTATATGAAAAGACAAGGACACTACATTTATAGCTTTAAGCAAGCCCCATCGATCCGCCGCCTCCTGAACCCCACGCCGCCGCATCTCCTTCAACAGCTCCAGCGCAGGCTCCCAGCGAAGGCCTGGCGGTCAATGGCCAATGAGTCCAATGAGTCCGATGAGTCCCCTCACCCAGTCGATCCCAGTTACCATAAGGCTCAAGAAAATTGGAATGAGGTTGCACGGGACTGAAACTCCAGACTCATTTGTTTGAAGGAGTTGGCGGTACTGTGGGTGGACAAAATCCTGCACCACTTTGAAGCCATGAGAAACCACTGATTGTTGTTTACCGGGGAATCATCATTCCAGGGTTGTGACGTGGTGCAGGATTGTGTCCATCCACAGTGGTCACCAGCCGTGCTCGTTTGGGTTTTAAGGGTGGCAAGCCCTTGGTTACCCATACAGGTGAACAGCTCCACTGGGTAAGAGAAGGCAAACGTATTCTGAACATTTGCAGTTTCTTTGGCAACATCCTTGAAAAAGACACCGATGAGACTGCTCTACCTCATGGACACTTTCTTCCGGCAGACGCCAAAGAAGGACAAAGGGCGTTTGTGGGCCCAGCAGAGTTGCGCAACGCCAGAATGCGCGCACTGGTGCCGCAGCAACGTTTTAAGCAAAGATCCGTTCAAACACTGACACGGGCTCATGTCACTCTCAAACGTCCCGTCTTTCTGTGGCCAGTTTCCGGACCCTAGCCAACTTCAATGGGAAACGTTCTCTTTCAGGCCCATACACCTCAACTGGAACTCAGCTTCCCAAAGCCGCCCGCTGGACCTTGTGGCTTTCCAGTTTTGGTTCATTAGAAAGTTTTACCAATTCTATTTCCAGGTCCGACAAGGGCAGGTGAAGTTAAACAAGACATGCTACACACTAAGGTTACACCCGGGAGATTGCCCCATTCGGTACGTCAGTTGCAGAGAAAAGCTTGACTTATGATCAGAACCAGCGATACATTTCTTGGTCGGGGCAAAAGCTGAGGTAGGAACTGTGTGATCGTGCTGACGGAATGCCCTGGCAGTTCAAGCATATCACCGACACCGACATTTCGGTCAGCCAGTAAATTAGATCCAACTCCTTGTGGATGCTGCGGTTTCTGTACCTTCATATCTCATAACGTAGGCAGTTGACCGTCAAAGAGACAGGTTCAAACAAACCACACGCCCTGAACTTTCAACCCACGCACCTGGAACAAGCAAAATGACAAAAGACCAACAACAGGCGTTACGTGCAAATAGCAGCTTGGGTTCAAACAACCAACAAAAACGCATGTGCTAAACTCTAAAAAATACCCAATACAATTGAAACTACAACCCCATCATTCTGAGGCCATGTCCCTGCTTAAGGCTGAAGTTCCAAGCCGCAAGTCGAGCTTCCGCCTGATTTTCGCATGGTTCTCTGGATTCCCTAAGGACGCGGTCTCAGCCAAGTCTTCGAAACAAGGGCTTGCAACCCAAAAGCAAACGGATTCCTTTTTGGAACATTACCTATGATGCACCAAACTCTTGGAATTCAGTTCCCCAACTTTCGCAACACTGCCGAGTTGTGCCGCTTTTTCTGGTGCCGACCTGGGCCAGCCCCAGACCAAGTTGCTAGTTGCACATAGAGGAGGTTGTTGAACGGTCTTTTGTTTGCTTGCTTCTTCGCCAGCATATCCAGTTGCCAAATGGGTGAGGCGTTGTCTTTGTCGCTTTGATCTTCCCCAAATTGCACTGGGACTTCATGCGTGACTCAATGTGAGCATAAATGTTGATTGCCGGCGGACACCTGTGTCTTAAACTAAGGCACCCCGCCAAACTGGCGGTGTTCCTCTTGAATTCCCTTTGAAACCAAACAAGCCACACACCCACCTGACACAACCGGTGGATCAACACATGCCCGCTTGGCACTTCTGGCACGCGCTAAGTGCGGCAGCAAAGGTGATGGTGTCAGGCAGAAGGTTTATCCTGAGCGCAGCCCCCCTCAAAATGGTGTGTACAGATTGTAGTCCGAATTGAACCTTGAAACAGAAACTGTCATCATGAGAGATCTCTGACCTCACCTCAGATTTGACTCCCATTTTAAATCAGTTGAAACATAAACCCTGGTAATTAGCTTAAAAGGAAGCGTCCCATTTTTGTCAGCCCAGCAATACCTCGAACTTCGAAGACAGATTTGATCGCAAGGGGCGCCAATCACTGTGAAGCCACGCAGACCCGAAACCCGCGTGGCGAAAGCCTCCTGCTCTTGCGAGTAAAACGCTTGCTTGACGTTGTTGGGCCAAAAAGTGCCGCCGCGAATTTTAAGGCATTCAAGCGGTCCTTCCAAAAATGGTGTCCAGGAGCTCGGCAGAAAGGCTCAGCGAACCACCACGGAGAATACAACGGAACTCCGAAACCGGGTGGAACCCACTGGGCAGCACAAAATCGAATTGGCAGGTCAATGGTTGAAACGAGCTCATTGGACGCCACCTGGGCGTTTCTCATGTCCTAAAGAAACAAGAATGCGGAAAAGGGCCAGCTTTTGCCCTGGGCGAAACTAGAGGTCCGAAAAAGAACACGTTGGCGCTCTGACCAAACGATGGATCCCACACCCAAAACCTCAACAATTGGGGGTGTGTCCTAAAATAACGATGGGTGTGTCTTAAAATAGGGGCACCCCTAAAATGAGTGGTCTCCTCTTGGCTTCCCTTCAAACCTATTCAAAGACAGCACGTTGCTCACAAGCCACCAAAGGAAGAAACTGAGCCATGTTCCGCCCTCCCAAACGCCTTTTCTACTCGAAATTGTTTTGTTAGGTATGTGCCGAATACCGAACCCCAAAGAAAACATGTGGTTGGATTTCCTTTTGGGGTCCCTTTAAAAATCCATCCAAAAGGGGCTCCCTCAAACCAAGAGCCACTCCCAATTCGCAACCTCAACATCTAGGCACCCTCACGCCATATCCTCGAGGAGCTGCAGGGCGCACTCCCACTGCAAGCCTCGCGACTTCCAAAAGCCCGGAGCCCCACGGACGACCCTACCACTTGCTGGTGCTTTCCATTGGGCGCTGAGTTGCATGGAATGACCCTGAAACAAACCATACTGGTGGTTTCCTTTCAGGGACTGGGTTCATTCCGACATGCCCTAGGATGGAGACGATGTCATGCCCCAATGTCATTGGGCGAGTCCAGGGATCTGCGCAAGAAAGGTCGAATCGTTGATGGAAACCCTATGAATCAACCCCTGTTTATTAACATGGGGGTGCTTAGTCCCTGGTTTTAGTGGGGGTTCACCACTTTTGCAGAAAAGCAACCCATAATAGACAGGGGTTGATTAATAGGGGGGTCAACATGAAGCTGGAAAGGTCAAGCTTCTTGACAAAGGAGGCACTAAGTGTCAGATCCGGTCGATTCCTTCTGGTTGCAACCGAAACAGGTCCTCACTTCCTGAGTGGATTCGCCAACATGAAGTGCGATGGGTTTGTTTGCCAACCGAAACGGATCGACCAAGGTCTAGGACCGGATCAAGGTCTGGTGTGGCAGTCGTGAAGCCTGTGAACGTTTGTGTACCCGGGAAGGCCAGAAAATGGTGAGAAGCCACTTCCGGTGACACAAACATCCGGACAAACAGGGGAGATCGGATAGAGGAGTCTCCTAGCGGGAGCCTCCTCAGGTGTCATGTTAACTCGGAGGGGATCAACCTTCAGTACTTACTCTAGTAACATCCACAAAATCATCCTCTAAATGGTAGATTACAGGGACATTTCCATGTGTAATCTTAAGAGCCCCTGTGTCGAATGGCTTGCTCACATCGCACAAGCCTTTCTCGCAAGCGCTGATGGCAGAGTTGAAGGTGTAGGCATTCCTAAGAACGGCAACCGGGCGTCCGAACCACCGGCCCGACCCCAGCGTTTCACTTGTTGAGCCGCAATTGTTGCTTCCCTGCAAATCTACAGGAAGTCGGTTGAACACCTACCCTCAAGAGCTTAGGGGTTTGGATAACTTCCGATCAAATTTCCTGTAGCTGGCTCTTAGACAATTGTGCATGTAGTATAATCCCACATACTACAAAACAAGGATTCCCCAAGCGAACATAAGGGCCCCAATTTGGTCGCAACCGCCGGCTCAGTGAGGTTGCAAGTCGAAAGAGGTTGCAAGATGCACTCAAAAAACAGGTGTTTCGACTTCGGATCAACAGGGGACAAAGGGCACTTTAGATGAATAAAAGGTCCAACAACAAGCAACATACGACACAACCCTTCCTCCGTGGCTTTTGTGTGAAATCAAGAGCACCCAGGCCAATCGCAAGGAGTAATGGGTCCCCACCCCCGTTTCACATGGAGAAACACAAAATAAAGCTAAAGCTGCCCCAGTTGCGACCATTCCATTTTTGGGGGGCGATTCCATGTTTCGCGCAAAAATGGGACTCCCCTTCAGGCCTTGTTTGGTCTAACGTCCCAACCTCCCTGACCCCCAGAGGCCATGGCGAAAAAGGGCCCCTTCTTTTGGCATGTTGAGTTTTTTTTAAGGCTAGGTCCTCCAGTAGAGAGGCTAGAATAAGGGTACCCGATTTTTCCCCAACAGCTGAAAGCTTTGGGGTCTCAGCCCAGATACGCTCCGGGGTGGTCTGGGGCGGCCCTCAGGTAAAGTTCCACCAGGGTTCCACCAGCGTTCCACGAGGGTTCCACAAGGTTCTGCGAGGGCTGCGGGGTGGTGCGAACTAAAAAAAGCACCGCATGCTGTTGGGGATATCACCTGAGCTTATTGTTCTGTAGTCTATTTTAGTAAGGGAACCCTCCCACCAAAAAGGGTAAAAGGGCACTACTGGGGGACCTAGAAGGGACGTCTCCTCCAAAAAGAACGAAGGGCACTGAGTGGGGTGTCCTGGCCTCCCATTCTGGTTCCATGATAGCCAAGCTGCGGAGAAATGCGCTGCGAAAGCATGGCCGCCAACAGCGAGAGAGCCGTCGACCACTGCTGGCCCTAGCGGCCGCGGCAAATCCCTTCAACCTGGGCACCTGGACCCTCAAACTGCCCTGAAAAGTTGGAATTCACCTCATCATGGTGGGGCTATAACCCATTTTAAAAAGTAGTTTGATTGTTCGGGCACACGCAAAAAATGTTTCATCGGGATTTCACCTCATAATGGTGGGGCCAAAACCCATTTTAAATAGTGGTTTGATTGTTCGGGCACACGCAAAAAAAGCTTCAATGGGATTTCACCTCATCATGGTGAGCTATAACGCATTTTTTATAGTAGTGTCATTGTTCAGGCACACGCAAAAAATGTTTCAATGGGATTTCACCTGATCATGGTGGGGCTATAACCCATTTTTAAAAGTAGTTTGATTGTTCAGGCACACGCAAAAAATGTTTCAATGGGATTTCACCTCATCATGGTGGGGCTATAACCTATTTTTAAAAGTAGTTTGATTGTTCGGGCACACGCAAAAAAAGCTTCAATGGGATTTCACCTCCTCATGGTGGGGCTATAACCCAATTTTTATAGTAGTTTCATTGTTCAGGCACACGCAAAAAATGTTTCAATGGGATTTCACCTCATCATGGTGGGGCTATAACCCATTTTAAACAGTAGTTTGATTGTTCGGGCACACGCAAAAAAAGTTTCAATGGGATTTCACCTCATCATGGTGGGGCTACAACCCATTTTTTATAGTAGTTTCATTGTTCAGGCACACGCAAAAAATGTTTCAATGGGATTTCACCTGATCATGGTGGGGCTATAACCCATTTTTAAAAGTAGTTTGATTGTTCGGGCACACGCAAAAAAAAGCTTCAATGGGATTTCACCTCCTCATGGTGGGGCTATAACCCATGTTTAATACTACTTTTTTTTCAGGCACGCGGAAAGAATGTATCAATGGGATTTTATCTCATAATGTTGGGGCTATAACCCATTTTTAATAGTAGTTTGATTGTTCGGGCACACGCAAAAAAAGTTTCAATGGGATTTCACCTCATCATGGTGGGGCTATAACCCAATTTTTATAGTAGTTTCATTGTTCAGGCACACGCAAAAAATGTTTCAATGGGATTTCACATCATGGTGGGGCTATAACCCATTTTTAAAAGTAGTTTGATTGTTCGGGCACACGCAAAAAAAGCTTCAATGGGATTTCATCTCATCATGGTGGGGCTATAACTTATATAGGCTATAACCCATTTTTTATAGTAGTTTCATTGTTCAGGCACACGCAAAAATGTTGCAATGGAATTTCACCTGATCATGGTGGGGCTATAACCCATTTCTAATAGTAGTTTGATTGTTCAGGCCCACGCAAAAATGGTTCAATGGCATTTCACCTCATCATGGTGGGGCTATAACCCATTTCTAATAGTAGTTTGATTGTTCAGGCACACGACAAAATGGTTCAATGGCATTTCACCTCATCATGGTGGGGCTATAACCCATTTCTAGTAGTAGTTTGATTGTTCAGGCACACGACAAAATGGTTCAATGGCATTTCACCTCATCATGGTGGGGCTATAACCCATTTCTAATAGTAGTTTGATTGTTCAGGCACACGACAAAATGGTTCAATGGCATTTCACCTCATCATGGTGGGGCTATAACCCATTTCTAATAGTAGTTTGATTGTTCAGGCACACGACAAAATGGTTCAATGGCATTTCACCTCATCATGGTGGGGCTATAACCCATTTCTAATAGTAGTTTGATTGTTCAGGCACACGACAAAATGGTTCAATGGCATTTCACCTCATCATGGTGGGGCTATAACCCATTTCTAATAGTAGTTTGATTGTTCAGGCACACGACAAAATGGTTCAATGGCATTTCACCTCATCATGGTGGGGCTATAACCCATTTCTAATAGTAGTTTGATTGTTCAGGCACACGACAAAATGGTTCAATGGCATTTCACCTCATCATGGTGGGGCTATAACCCATTTCTAATAGTAGTTTGATTGTTCAGGCACACGACAAAATGGTTCAATGGCATTTCACCTCATCATGGTGGGGCTATAACCCATTTCTAATAGTAGTTTGATTGTTCAGGCACACAAAATGGTTCAATGGCATTTCACCTCATCATGGTGGGGCTATAACCCATTTCTAATAGTAGTTTGATTGTTCAGGCACACGACAAAATGGTTCAATGGCATTTCACCTCATCATGGTGGGGCTATAACCCATTTCTAATAGTAGTTTGATTGTTCAGGCACACGACAAAATGGTTCAATGGCATTTCACCTCATCATGGTGGGGCTATAACCCATGTGTCTTGGAATTCTGAGGGTTCAGGAACTAATTTGCCAAGAACAAATCAGCTTGCCAGTGGCCTCGCTTGAGCCTCAACTTCCCAAGTTGCCAAGTCCCCAAGTCCCGGTTTCAGGCACGCCGATGCTCACAACCCAGTTAAGAAACCCTAGGTGCCAGGTTTGGCGGTAATGCAGGTAGGAACGATATGAACAAAACGCAGCTGTTCATAACTTCTATAATCACAAGGCGAAATAGGCTGTTCCTGTTAGTCTTGAAGTTCCAGTTGCTCTGACTTTGACGCTGAAAGCACCAGGGAAAGGACGTTTCGGCTTGGGTGAATTGGCCTGAAGTTGTTGGTTTGCTTACCAAGCAGTCAACTCGGAAACTGGGGAACCCCAGGGCAGGCACTGGCAAAAAGGTGTGCCATGTCTTTTCTTTGAATAAAATCCTAAGTTAGAGATTCTTCTGTGTCCCCCTGACTGGTGGGTATAAAGCCCAGTTGATGAGTTCCGCCAGCAGAATACAAACAGAACTTGCGTGACTCTAAATGGGTTCTAAGTAGGATTCCTTTCAGATGCTACACGCGCATCATGGTGCTTTGGTGCAAGCTGAAACCCATCTGGGTGTCTTCTGAGTACCCTTCGGGCAAAAGGGAATTCAAATAAAAACAAAACCCATTTTGGGTGTTTGAGGGTACCCTCTTGGGCAAAAGGGAGGGACACCCACCCATTTTGGGGGTTCCCCGTTTGGGTATGGGTCCAAATCAAACCACCAGGCCAGGATATGGACCGCAGGTTTGAGTCCTTTCCATTTACCAGAGTGCCACTTTGGCGTCACCCTATTTGTGATCCACACCCATTTAGACACACGCACACACCCACACACACACACGCACCGCCGCACACACACGCACCCGCGCAACCATTTACGCAGACATGCACCCAGCCACCCAGCCACCCGCCCACCCACCCACCCACGCATGCACGCACGCGCGCACGCGCAGTTGAACCCGCTCACCGGGTTTGCCATGAGCGCTCCTTCTCGCAGGCGCTGATGGCTGCGCTGCAGGACACCACATCCTGCTCCAGGCCTGGCAAGCGGTCAGCCCATGGTGTTATTCACCGGGGCTTTCTGGGGCAAAGGGATGGGGTGGAGGGGGTTGGGTGGAGTGCGGTTGAATGTTTGTAGATTTTGAGAAGGGCTACTCTTGCATTTGAGCCTTTGGGGTTGAAAAAGTGCCTCCCCCCGCTCCGGAGGGAATCTAACCTGGGGGTTCACCACTTTCCTCTGAGGCCCCTCTTTGTGGGTTTCATGTTACGAGCACAAAGTCCAACCCGAAAAGCCCAAGAGGTGATGTTGAGAACGCCATCGCTCGACTTGACGCCGAAATTCGGACGGCCTTCCTGCGTCATGGCCCAGAAGAGCAGCAGGGCGTGCTCCCACTTCTGGCCTTTCCTCGAAATCGACCAGAGCGATTGGTGCTACCTTGCATGGGGTGTTTTATTTATCACAATTGAACACATATCTATGCCAAACTTTCTGAGTCACCGACAAGCTCGATTTTGAACTTTTGGGGCAGGTGCTATTCTCGCTCCGATGACTCCCTTGGTATCACAGACAAGTTGGCCTATTTCGCCTGCAAACTAACAAGGACCTCCAAAAGCAAGTCCCCAAAAGCAGATTCCTCTACAAATGTCTGACCTTTTTACACCACCCCAAAAAATGCTTGTTTCCGTGTTCCTTTCGGTTTCCCTTTTTATCCACAGAAGAAGCAGGTACCCTCAACAAAGACACACCCAAATGGGGCAGGGCAGCACCGTCCGCCAAGCGACTCACAGGCACTCAAAGCTGAGCTGTAGGAGATGAGGTTGGGCAAAATCTGGGCCTCCCGCATGTCCTGCGTTGAATTTCAACTGCTTGGGGCGTGGGCCCAGGTGATGACACTCTAACGAGTTTCCCCAAAACTTGAGCCCAGGGATTTGTATTCCTTGACCATATGGGCATGACTTTTAAGTAGGGCCCCTTTGGTGGAAATCATGCAGGTGGGGATTCATCTCCACCAACCATCTTGCGAGGTGGTTCCGCATTAAACTCATGGCCATATATGTCTATTGATTATGATTACCGGAAAGTTATCTATCCGGTGTTTCTCTCTGTGAGACAAACCCATGTGTATTTCGCTCAAACAGCAAAACTTCCCCCAATTGACGCCGCGTGCTAAAGGCAATGGTGGGGCAATGCTCATAGACGCTCGACGAAAACACGGATTCGAGAAGGCGGGGTTTCGGGTACCATACACACAAACTAAGTAAGATGGTAATGGCAAACACATATGACAAGCAAACGCAAATCTAACTCATGGTAAATTGTTTGGAGTTGATAGTAGTGGGTTTTCTTTTGGTGGGGTGATGCTTGGGGGGAAAACCAAGGGAAACCTGAAGCACAACGCAAGACGTAAGTGCTGTGTCAGGCACCATTGCAGCAAACAAAACCACACCCTAGGGAAACCCTGAGGGCCTAAGTGAACCTTAAAGCTCCAAGCACGGGGTTGCTCCCCAACCGCCCTCCCCCCTCCGCCAACATGAGAACACTACGGTCACCACGCTCGTGGCAAACATTATCCCGGCCAAGGTGTTGCTGAGTATGTGGAAACCTAAAGCCACAAAGCTGGCAACCAAAAAACGGGGGAAAAAAAAAACGCAAAGCCAAAACGCCGGCAAACATCCCGACAAACAAAAACAAAAACAAATAAGAAACACATTGCCCTGAAAAAGAAATCTTGCGGGAAATTTGGGTTTGTTTTTTTAGGGTACCCTTTCTGCGGTGTTTTCTGGGGAACCCCAAAAAAATGTCACCAATGTGGAGGTTCGAATTTGAAGCTTGGTTTCAATGGAAACCAAAACCAAAACCACTGCAGGGCTCCGAAGATTTCCCCTTTAAACATCACCCCAAGGGAAAATCACTTCAGGCACCCAAAGGTGTTGTGTTGTAAACCACCCAAAGGGGGAACGACAAATAAATAAATATATATGTATATATATATATATATATTCACCCCCCCCCCCCCCAGGGCATACCTTTCCTCTCTTCCAGCTGAAGGTGTCTACTCTACTCCGTGCCTCGTTCTTGCAGACGCCTGAAAATACTGTAAAATACAGTGTTTTTGTTGGCTTCTTACCTTGTATATGACGGCAACTGTTTGTTTTGTTAAAGCTTGAAAGCCAACAAAGCGAAAACCGTTTCCGTTTTCAGATTCGAGTCTGGCTTTGATTGAAACACTGGCTTTTACAGTGGCTTTGAGTACGCCAGGGACAAACCTTGACAACATGATGTTTTTGCAGCTTTGAGCTCTGAAACCTGCACAGACCCAAAAGCACAACATCTCCTGAAAATAAAAATAAAAAAACCTGAGACCCGCACATGCCAAAAAACTCCAGACCGAGTTTGGGAGTTTGGGGATATTTGCCCACTATTTGTTTAGCCACATTCTCTAAAGCATATTTGGGAATGAGTTACAATTCAAGTTTGCAAAGGCCAATTGAATTCTTTCCGGAATAAGCTCTACTCAAATTCAAGTCATATTTAGAAAGGAATTCCTAACTTCTTGCTCAAAAGCCAACTGAATTCTGTCTGTGTTAAAGTATACTTAAACTCTACTTAAATGTAAATTCCTTATGGACATTACATGGTGAATTATGAATTGTCGTGAACTATGTCCTTACTAAATTATTTTCAACATTCCAATTCGATTCGGAGTAAAACCTTAGTTGGACAGGAAATCATATTTGGACATGTTGGAGGACTCCCGGCTCCAAATTATGAGGCCTGGAGAATCCAACAATAGACATTTCCAGGATTCTGGGTAACAGCCGCAGTGTTCGAACAGGTGTGTGGGGTCTCCTGAATCAAAGACGGGCCCGGGATTAAGAATGAACAAAGCGCATTGTTCATCTGAATCTTTTGGTGGGTAAAAGCTTCAGTGTTTGAATAGGTGCGTGGGGTCTCTTGAATCAAAGATGGCCCTGGGATTATGAATGAACAAAGCGCATTGCTCATCTTCAGTCTTTTGGTAATCGTGTAGTGGGTAAAAGCTTCAGTGTTGGAACAGGTGTGCAGGGTCTCTTGAATCAAAGATGGCCCTGGGATTAAGAAGGAACAACGCGCCACTATTGTTCTGGCTAAGGAAAACCGCTCAGGATTCCTGCTGTCAGAATCATGATTTATGCGACACTGCTTTACAATGGATGGATGGCGTTTGATTATTGGGTTTGCGAGTCAAAGTTCGAACATCTATTGACACCGAATGGATTCGAGCTCACTGGGCCTGCCTTATCAGCCCTTTTGTGGGAGAGGGGGGGGGGGGTAAAAGCGCAACATCTCTGACGACTAAGGGAGGTAGGAGAGTTCAGACCCCAATGCCTAACTCAAGCTTTTCGACCGCCCCTTCTCAGCAAGCTGAGATAAACGAAAGCTTCATCCTAGCTCCAAGGAGCTAGCTTTCGTGAGATTGTAAAGACTTCTCACACCCCCCTCCCCCTCCTCTCTCCAGGTGTTGCAGGGAACCCGTCAAACCCTTGACATAGGTTTTGTTTTTACAAAAAGCACCTTTCCTGAAAGTTTATAATTTCTTTGCTGTTGTTACTCAACATGATTTGTCACCCACACAACATATTCAACAACAGCACACTTCTTGCATCTATATATATATATATATATGCTCTCACCACCTGTCTTTAAATCAGAGGTGGGGGTTGCATATATATATATATAAGCCTATATGTTACCCCCTTAAACAAGATAATCTACCGTTATTGACATCTTATGTGCGCATATACGTATTATTTGTATATATATATATATGTACCAGTCCCTGGGCCACGTACCCCCCCCCCCCCCCCAATGGTATGGTCCCCCCACTCCCCCGCATCATCCGCATCTTGGGGCTGATGCTGGCAATGCTGGGGATGCTGTCCAGTACCGTGTGAGCTTACCCCGTGAACCAACACCCCCGCACCTCTCGCAACATCCTACCCTAAACCAAACCACCCTGCAACCCCTCCTTAACCCCAACCCGAAGCCTAAATCAACCCAAACCCCAAACCCACCCGAAACCCACCAACCCTGAACCAACCCTGAACTAACCCTAAACCAACCCACCAACCCTAAACCAACCCACCAAGCCTAAACCAACTCCGAACCACACCCCAACCACCCAACCACCCAACCACCCCACCACCCCACCACCCCACCACCCCACCACCCCCCCCACCCCCACAGACGGGGGGGGGTTGGGGGGGGGAGGCGGGGGGGGGCTCCACGGCCTGGAACATAAATAGGGAACCCTGCAGGGTTCCCAACATGCCGACGCTTTCGCCTGCAGCAGCTGCAGCGCACCTGGCCACTGCTGGCCCTTCTCACAGGCGCTCAGCAGTCCCCCGCAGCACACCACGTCCGCGCGCACCCGGCGCCTCCGGTTGCTTGGCGGGAGACGGCTTCTCAAAAGACTTTTTGAGGTGGGAAAGCCACATTTTAAGCTTTAGATTAGGCGATGAGTAGCGCAATGCTACTCGGACAGTATAAGACCTGGCCGGGTTATTCTTGCAGCTACAAGTCCGGCTAAACTTTAGATCATGTCGCCTTCAAACCGTTGAGGGGCTTCAAACCAACATGGGGATTTAAACGAGGCATCTCTTGGGAGTGTCACTTCCCGTTTGGAACCCTTGAGACCTCAATTTCCCTTTCTTTGCAACAACCCTCTTGCTCAACTCGGGGCGCAGTACCCCACAGAATCAAAGCACACCTTGCGAGGGGCCTGGCACCCTCTCCCCGGTTGTAACCCCCCACCCAATTCGATCCCTTTGCTAACCTTCACTTACCTCACCTATGCATACCTTCCAGCCAATCCGAGGGCCCAGCTGACCCATGTCCTCCAGGAGTTGCAGCGCATGCTGCCAGCAGTGGCTCCGTTCGCAGGCGCCTCGGAGAATGCCCCTGCGAGCCTGGTGGAAAAAGGGGAACCTCGGTTAGCTTTCTGCTTACCTGCGAAAAAGTTTAACTTTTCGTGGTTTAATGGACAATCCATTAGTTTGCAACAAGTGAACGTCCTAGCCAAGCAAAATGCACCAACGCATATACCTCCCTGAAAAAAACAAAACAAAACAAAAAACGAAAAGGACAATGGATGTTTAGCCATTCTAGGGGGAATGTTGGATGCTCTACCAACAAGCTTACCAAAAACAAGAAAGGGAGGGATTGCAGGAAGTTGTTTTGCTTTCGGTGGAACAAAATGCCTGCCTATCCGAGGGCATGATCCGCAGACCTGGCAGTACTAGAACAGTATGAAACCGATAAACTAATCTGAAGAACAACTCGGCGACACTAACTAACACTAAGCCGATGGCAAACCAACACTAAGCGAATCTTAAGCCGGCAAAACCGGAGGTCACCAACGCAGCTTCCCGGATAAACTTTCAAGCAGCCGCAAAATGGAACAATCTTATATGTTTAAGGGCAGGAAAGAAAGAAAACACAAATCTCTCAGCCAATACAAAGGAATGCTAAAACACTACTAAACTAGTGGTAGTCATGGACCAATACTAAACCAATACTCATCAATGTCAAACAATTACTAGACGGACAGTAAACCAATACCAAGCCAATCCTAAGCCAACAAAACCAACTGAGGCCCCAAACTTCCACTTGTTAAAACAGCTTTTGATACGCATGTTCAAGCGGCTACAGGAAAGCCCCGGAAAGGGAATTGTAAGTTCAAGGGTCCGGAACAAAGAACACATGGATCTCTGGGAAGGTACAAAGGACGACCAAACCAATCTCAGTTGCCCCTGCCTGGGTGTCCCTTACGGACCCAGAAAGAAATGGGTAACCCTGTGGAACGTTGGCTGAATATGAACCACATCAGACAAACCAAATGGGTAAAAGATCGGCTTTGGGCAAGTGAGCAACACTAAACTCATTCTAAACAGTATTACTTCTCCAACTCAGAGCAATGTTAAGTCGATACTGAACCAACTCTACAGACTACCGAGCAAGTACGCTGGACAACAACACCAACACTAAACCAAACCGATTCTAAGCAATACTGGGCCGGCTCCAAGGTATGGTCAACCAATTCTAAACCACGAAGCAGCACTTGGAAGGCTACAAGGCCCAACTCTGAACCCCCGACTGTAGGGCTGCTGCAACCCTATTCCCCCAAGTTGTTTTTGAAAGGGGCCTTTACTAGCTACTACTACTACCCAACACTGACTGCTCTCGACTGAACCCTTTTAGTAGGTCCCAGACCTTTCATTCACCGGCGCACTTGCTTGGCAAAGCTGGAACTGCCTTCGTGCAGAAGGAGTGATCATATGCGCGTGGCCCTGCCAATTGTGCTGCTCCCAAGGCCGCAGTCACGGGGCAAGGACGAAAGGCCCCGAAAATTCGAAGGATGACACAAGTTGATAGCATCCGAGGCCTTCTGTGCCTCTGGATCCGGGGTGAGGGTCCGGGGTGAGCAAGAAAAAACCCTTGGCTGGCTCAGTCCCCTGATTGAAAATCGGGACCAAAGAAAAATCGATTTACAGGATGCCATGAACAACTGGGTCTGGAGGCTCATTAATCCTCAAAGGGTGTTGAACTGAAAGGGGACCCAATCCCACGAGGCGGCAACTAGGGGTCCACACCCCGAAGCTCCGCCTATCTGGTGTGGCTTTGCACAAACCCCGGCTTGAGCCCTGCCCGAAAGGAATTTGTGAAAAACCTTCTGGGGGAAGGGACGGGTTCGCAATTCCCTTTTTCTAGTCTTACCAATACAAGCGGAAATGAAACCATTCATGAAATTGCGGCAGTTCGCCCCATCTCGATCCCTTCGCACCGGATCCCATCGAGTCGCTGATGGCGGCGCTGTAGACGAAGGCGTTGGGCTGAGGCACTTGCTCCAGGAACCGCAGAGCTTCAGCCCACCTCCGTTCATTTCCAAGTGCAGTGAGTTTCGCTAACAGTTATTATTAAACACGACAAGGATATGGTGAAGTTTCTCAACATAGGAATCGGACCCCTTTTGGATGGTTTTCAAGGGAAACCAAAGTACACCTACCATCACCTACCTGGAGGGGTCCCCAACTTTGAGAAATACCCATTTTCTGTGTTCTGCCAATGTTACTAGTCCAAAAGCTGAATTCAGGGATCCCCAAAGGAGCTTTCTCATGCTCGTTGCACCCCCGGGTGAGCTCGTTATAAAATTTGCAGTTGTTTTGTATGGATCCCTGTAGATCCTAAAGTCTGACAATTCAAGGTCTTGGCGAACAACCAAGATTGGATGGGCAAACTCCGAAGATCTTCCATTCATCATGGAAAGTCAGGACTAATACATTTCTCGTTGACCAAAGACAGTGTCTTCATTGTGCAAGGAATCCTTCGCGTTTGAAAGGAACACATCGAGGTTGATGGCTTCAGGTATGCCTTTCTGCCGGTTCATGTGGGCGCAGGTGGACATCATGTTCGCTTTGAAAAGGAGCCGTCGCAGAATCGAGTTTGGGTTGCCTCTTGTCTCTTGAGTCCAGGAGTGGAGACCAAAGTCGGTTGCCTAAAGATGGAATCCCAAGAACATCTTGCCCGAAGGACTCTAAGGACATAGAAATAAAAAGGGTAACCTGTTGGGCCACCAAAAACTCGGACCATGGGAAAACCAAAAGGTCAGAAATGTGTAAAGTTGACCTTTTGGGCCACGAAAAACTCGGACCATGGGAAAGCCAAAAGGTCAGAAATGTAAAGTTGACCTTTTGGGCCACGAAAAACTCGGACCATGGGAAAACCAAAAGGTCAGAAATGTGTAAAGTTGACCTTTTGGGCCACGAAAAACTCGGACCATGGGAAAACCAAAAGGTCAGAAATGTAAAGTTGACCTTTTGGGCCACGAAAAACTAGGACCATGGAAAAACCAAAAGGTCAGAAATGTAAAGTTGGCCTTTTGGGCCACGAAAAACTAGGACCATGGAAAAACCAAAAGGTCAGAAATGAAAAGTTGCCCTTTTGGGCCACCAACAACTAGGACCATGGGAAAACCAAAAGGTCAGAAATTAAAAGTTGACCTTTTGGGCCACCAAAAACTAGGACCATGGGAAAACCAAAAGGTCAGAAATGAAACGTTGACCATTTTGGGCCACCAAAAACTAGGACCATAAAAAGACCATCTCACATGCCGGGGCACTGGTTCTGCCTTCCCAGCTGTGCGATGTGCCGAGTGGAGGTCTTGAGATCGCCCCTCGGGAGGTTTTGCTGGGATGCCTGTGAAGGGGAGAAGAAACAAAAGTAAACCAAACAAAAAACAACAGTTCTGCAGGTGGGAGAACCACCGGTCTGTTATTTCCCCAGTTATCTCAAACAGTTATCCCCCAGTTTCCAGTGATCTCCCACTCAGACAGTTATCTCTACTTTCCCCAAGAAAACCACAGGTCTGCGAGTTCTGGTTGATGGATGTTCAGCGACCCCAGGGCGTGAAACACAAAGTATTGGACCTGCTTTAAGGTGTCCCCCTGCTCAACCCGCCTTTTTCTGTTTGGAAAAAAGGGTGTCTGGCTGGGTCTTTGTCGTCTGGGTCAGCATTGCCAATTCTAACTTGGTAGTGTTAGCGCATTGTTCCCCATTCATTTTGCTTTGGGCCAAACACTTTCCATTATTCAGGACCCCAAAACAGTCCCAATTCTTGAAGTAGGCATAATAGACGCCCCATTTACAAAAGCCTTTGGCTCCGTGCATTTGGCGAACTTGCCCAATCACCCTGCAAAACGAGAGGGAACCTTACCTGATCCTTCCCAAGCTCAACATGGGCTCAGCATGGGCCATGGCGTTCAAATCATGTGGACAGTTGAGGTACCCAAACTCATGGGCGTACGAGTAAGCAAGCAAGTTGCCAAGAAACAAAAGCATCTCTTTATATAGGTATACCTTCCTTGCAAACACGTTGGGCGGATAGCTTGGGCACGTTCCTGTTGGGTATGTGGGGACCTGCGCTTCTTCGAGGGTGGACCCCTTTAGCCCAAGCCCAGGGTACACAAAAAAATAGTTGTTTACTGAGTCGATCGGCAAGAACAAATCCCGAACCTTGCTTTTGGCCCCTAAAATGGTCCGAACCCCAAAAGTGACTAAAGTCCAGGACCTCAGGGAGTGAGCAAACCTAGAATACGTTCACCGCTTGTTCGCTCCAACCTTGAAGTATAAATTCGGAGACCTCTCTTGAGACAACATCACGGGACCCAAAAGAGGTCCCTCAAAGGAAAATCGGCACATCGCAGCAATGGGCCGTGGTCCCCTATTCCTGTGGTAACCAAGGGCTTCCCATCCGATATATACATATTACATATATGATTAAACAAAAAAACAAAAAAGAAATGGAAAATGGATCGCAAGGCTAGCTATTACAGTGGCTTGCCTGGGATCCACGGAGCTGGGGAAGGTAGAAACTTTGGCTGGCAACTGGAGCGGGAAGTTTATCCCATGCGTTGGGTTGAAGACTGGCGCGACCAAAATCCGATGTGCGAAACCCCGGCACCGAAACCCATCAACCTGAAAAACCGAGAGTTGCTCAGAGGAATAGAGGTATAGTATACTAGAATGTCAAAACATGTGCATACCAATGTGCATATAAGCTGAAGCAGCCGTGATTCTACATGGTTGCATGATCGGGTGTTCCTACCTCGTTCTCCAACCCTGCACCCGCTTAGACTCATTGACATTGTCTTTCAACGATGCATGTGTTTGTGATCTCAACCACCTACGTTTTTGGAGTGCTCCTATCTCGTTTTGCACCTAATCCAGTATGACCACAACATGTGTCCGCCTGACCTTTGTTGCTGTCTTCTCTGACTAAAAGCAGTTGTTCATATAGAGGCATGTTGCTTGTTTATCCAAAGGTAAGACACTATCCGTAAGTTTGGTTGTTTTTCCACATGGCGAACTCCCGGATAGAATCTACCCTTCTGTCAAGCTGCCGTAGTTCCATGGCGTGAGTTCCCACATTCCGCGCGCTGAGAGCAAACGGAAATGCACCATGCTCCCGGGCCTGGGTGGAGATTAAAGGAACGCCCCACAGAAGTCAAACAGGTTACCCCTCCGCCGAGAGGTGCCGGAAGGCGATTTGCTCCAGGAAACTTCTGGAAAATCTGGTGGCATTCTCCAAATGGGGTGGCTGCAGAACTCCAATGAGTTGTCTGCCAAAGGGTCCTGAACTCATATTCAGAACCAAAAGCACACACGTAGAAGCCATTCTTGCCTTTGAAGAATATCCCATCAGATCTGCTTGTCATCAAAACAAGCCAACCCCTTTCGTTGTTTCACGGGTCTTGCCGCCGATTCCAAAAAATATATGCTTTTGGAAGGCCGAGGCCTCCGGTGTCCAACGTGACGTCCAGTCGCTGAGTCGCTAGAGCTACAAGTTCCCGAGTTCCTTAGGGGTGCTTACCCCTTAAAACTCCAAGCCCTGGGGAAGTTCACCTTTTACAGACATATAGCCCATGTTACCCAAAAAGTTGAAAAGTTGTGTTTTTAAGAGGTAAGGGTGTAACCGAGAATGCGACCAGCCAATGGACGCTGTTGTTTTTCCGCGGGGGCTGGAAGGCCCCAAATAGGCTTGGTCCCCGACAAAAACCACACTGAAGCCGGAAGAAAATCCGCTGAGTGAATTCCTGCAGCGGAAAGGGGCAGGAAGTTCTCAATGGGCGCCCAGTACTGAACATCTCTTGCCTAAATGGGTGTGTCTCGCAATAGGACGATCCTAAAAGTGTTGATTTCCCCTTTGAAAGCCTTTAAAACCAGACCAAAACAGGGTACCCTCACAAAAAACACAACCCGCAACTGGACTTCGAGTTGCCCACCAAACTTCCGGCCCATCGCCGCTTTTCACGGCGGCGGGCCGGCGGCTTTCGGCCGGAAACACCGCTGCCTTGGCTCGGCTCCGCGAATCTCTGACCCCTCCTTGGATGAAGCTCTGACCCCTACGTTTCAAAATGGGGACTCGTAATAATGTATGTTCGACCCATGGTTTATGCGTGAAAAAACGAAGAAACAAACAAATAAAAAGCAACGCGCTCGATGTTGAGACCCTTGGGTTTCACCGTATTAGTTGCAAACCCCTCGGGGCTTGAGAAGCAAACCGGGGAGCAACAGCCCTCGAAGAGTCGCCACGGCTAACCACACGCATCTAAGGGCCTGGCACCTGCCTCGGGGTGAGCACTCCTTCTGGTTCACATGTGTATTACTTGCCCACAGCAGAATTTGTGGCTCGGTGCATTTCAGGGTCACCTATCTGCGCTTTGCTGGGTCCTTGGAATCGTGGAGAAGTCGTAAAGCCAGGCACCCGAGTGATGTCGACCGATTTGGAAAAACATTCGGCTCGCCAAAGCGGTCCGATGGTACAGGGCCAGTCGCGCAAACGCCTCGCGCCTGCCGAGCAAGACTCCCAATGACACGGCAACCTTCCAAACACCGCGCCTGCGCCGCGAAACGCCACAACGTCGCAAAAACTACGATTCGCGCACGGGCGCAACGAAAACAACATGCTGCAAGTCATACAAAACGTACATTATGAGTCTTCCCCAATGGCGCAGCTTGCGGATGCTTGTGGATGATTTTGATTTAAAACAGTTGCGGACGTTTGACGCAGCGGCGCATCTAGCGAACACATGCTGCATTTAGGAGAAAAAACACCAGTGTGAAAAATATATCATTGGGGCGCTGAGATCTAAGCTGCCTGCTTGTCGCCTGCACATTCAGGATACTCTGACAGCCTGCGCCGCAAGAATGGAACTTTGACTGCACTACCTTAAAAAAAACGACAGACCCATATGGGGGTGTCGACCCTTTCCGAAGAGTAGCCTCTTGGGATCACTAGAAGCAGACCAAGAGTAAACCGACCGTTTTGGGGGTTCCCCAATGCGATGTTGCTTTTGATTTCCCTTTAAAGCCACCCAAAACACACACCCAATTCACAAGCCAGGATGGCACCTTCATCGGGGAAGCGGGTGAAGTCTGGATGGGCGAATTGATTTGCCCGTAGACTGCGGACCTGAGAATCAAGGTTCACCTTGCGGCAACCCTGACTACGTATGGAAACCAAAAGGTCAAAAGGTAGGCTTTGGGCAAGTGAGATAAGGTTCATGACATTGAACATACTCACGGTAGTTTCCCTTCACGTAAACCCACGACATTGGCGAGTTGCTGGAGGCATGTGTTGAACATGCTTGCACAATTTGAAGCCCAACATGTCGTGATGTTGACCTGCTTGCGCTTGCGCTGCAGTCCACGTGTATTCCGGTTGCACATTGCCTGCAAACCATGGTATGTACCACATCTTGTGACCCATCAACGAATCACGCAGATAGTAAGTAGGATGCAAAAACACCCCCCCCCCCCCACACTTTTGACCCTTTATTGGTCGAACATCGAAATCCCAAGCTGGAACTTTGATTGACCCATGAAAGTGCGGTCTTTGCAAAAGGTGTGAATTTGAGTATGTGCCCACTTGAGACATCAAACATCGCCCTTTGCGCACATTTATGTCTAAGTCTTCCACAAGTGTGTCATGTTTATCCTCTTCCGCACAGGACGTGTTGTGTTTGAAACGACTGCCATCTTCTGACAACGGCCTCCTGCCCACTTCCGCAATTCTCGGAAAAAGGGATAAAGCACCCTGGCACAGGGCTATCACTTCCCCCGTTTCAAACATCACCAAAAGCGAACTCGCTTCAACTTGGCAAGTACCAGGAACCCATGCACAAAACAGCTTCATCCGCCACCCTCAGAAAAATAAAAATAAAAAAACAACACCTCAAAGAGTTCCTCGGTATTTCCCGGGCCGTCGACGTCAGCGAGCTCGAGCTCTCGCTCTCGCTCTCGCCTGATGATGGTCGAGCCGGACTTCGGGTCCTGGAGATCAGCGAGAGCAGATCCGCTCTGGTCTTCCCGCGCCGCGTCCGAACAAAATGAGACTGCTTAAAAGGCCCCGTGTTATTTTCGGAGGAAACCGGCCGGTAACAAAAACCTGGTACTGTACTTTCGTTTTTAACAGCCTGTGACCTTGTTGGACTGGCCGCTGGAAAATCGTCTTACCAAGCTTAAAGTCCGCGAACTGGGGGGGGGGTCTAGTTATAGAATCCAGGCACTCAAGCGAGACTTCCGCCGGTTTATGCAAGGTTTGCAATCACAACACCTGGACTTTCTGATCGCCGAGAAAAGGGTGTTCCTGGTATGCTCGACTTAAACCCCGGGTGAGCTCGTCATGAAATCTTAAACTCCTGGGATGAACCCCAATTAATGGCTTGGCTTCCCGTTAGGTGTGGCTTAATTGTGGGAAGCCAGCCCCAAGGGTCCAACAGGGCCGTGGGTTCATAAATACAATCAGACTTTGATTAAACAAACATGCAGCGAAAACGACTAGACTCTTGGGTTCGACCTTCCTTTGCTCTTTGTTATCTTTCGCCCCAACTTACATACCCTTAGGAGGTAAACTTCTCCATGGAACACCTACATATACTTCTTGGAATGGCAGTGGCAGAAGGAACTCGAAATTGTCCTCGCAACGGCATTGCTTTGACGCTGGCATCCAAACGTTCAACCAAAACAATCCCGCAAGATCTCAAAGGTCCAACATGGGAATCGCTCAGAAGTAGAGTGAATCCAGCCGCTCCCTTTTTCGCCGCCTCGACTCCGTTGATGTGCGCCCCCAGCGGGGCTGGCTAGCATCGTTGGTGAAGAGGTCTACGCCCTGTTGGCTCGCCGATGCAGCAAATTCAAGCCAACCGGTTGTAGGTTGTCTTGCGCTTGGCGCACCCAGCCAAGGTAGAAGGGCCGGCCTTGCAACCCACACTCAGCCAGGATTTTCTTAACACAGCGCCCAGAACCCAGAACCAAACATGAAACTCGACCTCACTACTCTGCCCATGCAGAGTGATACAGTCACTAAAATAGCTACCCGCGGTTTTGGGCACTGCTCAGCTTCTGCCTAGCGCAAAAGCAGGGTTCCGAAAGCAGGGCGGACTACTGGCAATGGGCCCGGACTTCTGTCGCTTCCGACATCTGCAGGAAAAGGCTGAACTTCAGCTGAGAAATCGGTCGAAATTGGTACGTAGGCCTTTCGCTTCCGAGCCAAGTATGGCCATGGGCCACACGTGGCCAACGCGTAAGGGGCGTGCCATGCAAAAATCCGAATTTAACGACCCGACTCCACGAGTGGATCTCCTAATTCTCGCTAGCGCGAGCTCGCGGAAAAGTTCCTACACACTGCCGACGCTGTCCTCCTCACTTTTGAATTCGGAGCCTTTGGACATGCAGGGGTAGATGTTGTCCAACATTCCGAAAACAATGCCTTGGCTCAATCCAGTACTTCGGTGCCTTTTTGCTTCGGGGGTGGGGAAAGACATCATTTCCTGACAAGTGTTCAAGTCCCAAGATCAACCAACTTGCAAATAACCACTATTCTGAAAAATGAACCTAGGGATCTTTTGAAAGGAAACCACAATGATTCAGCTTGGAACTCGTTCCATGCCTATCGAACCAGCAAGGCTGGGCCGATATGTCTAAGGGGCATACAAATCAGAAGCTGGTATGTGTCCTTTCAACTCGCCACTTGAGGGGTGACTTTAATAACAGTAGTAAACCTGGAACGAGTAAAATCCAAGCAAATATCTAGGGATACCTTCCCCATTCCAGGGATCCTTCTTTCTCGAAAACCTCCGGAATCCCAGAAAAACGGCGATCGGTGTTTAAAAAGAAGGATGGTTGAAAATAATGGAAAAGGAATCAACCCCTAGAACATGGAAGCTGGGCAATTCAAAATCGGCCACAGAAGTTCAGATGTTGCTCAGGAGATGGTCACAGCTGGCACCAAGAAGCAACAAGGGAAAATAAAAAACACATTCTTAAGCAAATGAAAGTAATAAGCATGGAGCCAGTAAAATCCCAGCAAATCGCCAAGATGCCGCCCAAGGTCAGGAACACGGCCCCGATGACTTGCATCACGTGCACCCAGGCCCACGAGAAGGTCTTGTGCGTGTACATGTCGATGGAGGGGTTCTCCATGTCTTCATACCGGAGGAAGCCTTCTAAAAGGCTTCGTTTCATAATTTTGCCGATTATCTCTTGAAACCACTACAACAGATAGCCTCAAACCAAACCTAGGTCCTCCAGATTTGAGAGCTTAGAATAAGTTGGTACCCAATGTTTTTCTGTTTCGTCTATTTAGGGAAAGGTGGGAAGGGCAATAGTGGGGACCGAGTTTCTTCATTTTGCCTCTTGACGGGTAAAGCAAAACAAGCAAAACAAGGCAACGGGGCGCAACCAAAAACAAGCGGCCCTTCATGGGAGGGCCGGGTTGAAGAATCAGCTCCAACTTGTGGCTTGGATTGGTGGTTTGGGCTTCGGCGGTTTCGCATTAAGTCGGGTCCAAACCCGCAAGCCACCAATCCAACTACCACGGTTTGGCGGAGGGAAGGACGTTAGGGCACCTTCCTCATTTGGTTTCAAAGGTACTGGCATTCAAATCCCCGAACCACCAATCCAGACCACAAACTAAGGGTAGCCTGAGTAACGGCTACCTGACGCAATTCGGAGCGAAAGAAAACAAAGAAGAAGAAAAAAACACAAAAAGGGTCCCGGAGTTCGGCCTTCCAGGATGGTGGGCCCCCAAAGCCCGAAGAGTCCGATGGTCCATGCGCCCGTGAAGAAGCAGGCGACAGCCCCGAAGGGGCTAACGAACGTCCTCGGAGATTTCTTGATGAACAAAAACATTCAGTGGCGAAGAAAACAACATCATTGGCATCCTTTTTGCAGAAGCGGGCAACCTTGATTTGAGATAAAAATTCTAAAAAAGAAAAGAAACGTGAACCCCGCAAGGAAAATAACAAGTCGGGCTAAAAGGGAAAAACAACAAAAAAACGCCGGGGGTCTTGGGCAGTCCCGAAACGCCATAGAGCCCCATGGCCGTGGCATCATAAAGCAGGAGATGCCATAGTAGGGGCAGGCGTCCGCAAAGGCCGCGGACATGCTGGGCGCCCAGCTGGTGGGGTCCAGGCACTTCTTCTGCTGCGCTGCAGGGGCCAAGACCTTGGTTGCTGAAACGACCCCCCTGCAAACAAAAATCAACTTTGGGGGTGGAAAACCCAACTTGATTTCCCAAAAGTTAAAATCTAAAGATCCAACCCATTTGCAGTCAAGAGACGTAGGACAGGCTGATCACTTTGCCCGGCACGCCGTCCTTGGAGTATTTTTGGGCGGCGTGGTACTTGATACCGGGAAAGCATGGGGGAAAACCGCGAAGTTTTAGGGGTCCAAACGCACGTTCTGTACTTTGCCACGTACCCTCCTGGAGCCCAGAGATGGTAAAGAAGATGCCGCCGAAGCAAATGATCACCTGCCCAACTGCGACCTCAGCGGATCTGCCATAAGTCCAACTCAAAAAGTCAGGTCGATGATGTTGACCCCATATTAATCAACCCAGGTTATTGACAGGGGGGTGCCCCCCTCCAAAATTAATGATTCCCCACTAAACCCAAAAACACCTGATTCCCCACTAAACCCAGGGACCCCCGTATGAATCCGCCGACAACAGGCGGCGTGTTGGACATAAGAAATGCTCCTTACCTCTTTACCTGTTACCCCTCCCCTAACCCCCAGCATTTCAGACTATTGCGGGGGGGGGGTCCACGTACCACGCGGTGATTCGAAGACGCTTCACTAAATCTGTTCATTGTGCGGGCTTGCGCAACTCAGTTTGTCAAAAACATTGGGGTGTTCGATTCCCCCCGGGTGCGCTTTCGCATCCCCAGCGGCACATCGCCAGCATCACCTGCATCATCCGCATCAGCGCCTGCCAAGGATGCGGACGATGCAAGTGATGCTGGGGATGTTGCCTATGCTGGTGAACCCCCCCCAGTTCCTTGTTGAGATCATTTATTTCCCCCCTTTTCCTTCTAAGGCCGTTTCCCACCCTCAGTTCTTCTCCCTTTTCCTCCCAAAGATCTTTCCCCCCCTTTCCTCCCTAAGTCCTTTTCCCTGAGTTCGTCTCCCTTTGCCTCCCTAAGATCTCTTCCCCCCTTTCCCGCTTAAGATCCTTGCCCCCGTTTCCCCCCTAAGGCCTTTTCCCCCCAAGATCTCCACCCTTCTCTTCCCAAAGTTTTTTTCTCTCTTTCCCGATTGAGATCCTGTCCCCCGATTGCCCCTTAGGGCCTGTTCCCCCCGAGAAAGATTTCCCTTTTCCTCCCAAAGATCTTTTCCCCCCTTTCCCCCTTAAGGCATTTTTTCCCCAGATCTTCTCCCTTTCCTCCCTGAGATCTTTCCCCCCCTTTCGCTGTTGAGATCCTTTCCCCCTTTCCCCCCTTCATTTCCAGATCTTAGGGAGGAAAGGCAGAAGATCTGGGGCAAAAAGGCCTTAAAAGCTTCCTTCCAGGGAGATTTCTGTGGAAGGGAAAGGGGAGGGAAAGGGGGGAAAAGATCCCCCCCCTTTCCTCCCTAGATCTTTCCCAAGATCTTTCCCACCCTTTCCCTGTTGAGATCCTTTCCCCCCTTTCCCTCCCAAGGCCTTTCCCCCCCTGAGAGCTTCTCCCTGTTCCTTCCTAAGATCTTTTCCCCCCTTTCCCTGTTGGGCTTCCCCCCCTAAGTCCTTTTCTCCCAGATCTTCTCCCTTTCCTCCCTAAGATCTTCCCCCCCCCTTTCCTTCCTAAGATTGTTTCCCCCCTTTCCCTGTTGAGATCCTTCCCACCCTTTCCCCCTGAGGCCTTTCCCCCCCTGAGAGCTTCTCCTTCCTTAGATCTTTCCCCCCTGTCCCTGTTGGCCTTTTTTCCCCCAGATCTTCTCCCTTTCCTCCCTAAGATCTTTTCCACCCCTTTCCCTGTTGAGATCATTTCTCCCCTTTCCCCCCCCCCAGATCTTCT